TATCCTTTTAATTGACCGCTCATTCGGAAAGCTCTCTCATCACAAAATAATGAGCATGAAACTTGTGCGTTGCTCTTCTAAATTATCATTGACATTTTTAAGTCGAAACATGTGAATACAAACTACCACTAATTTATTAGGGTCAAATATTAAATACACAATAAAATTAAATCAGTAGTAGTATCAGTCGTTCACGGGTATGACGTATAAGCCAGACATCACTGCGCTCGACCATACTTAGGACCCGGCCCACCACGCCGCCACATATTTTTATCATTTTTAGTGACATATATTTTTAAAAAATTAAATACAGATCAAGTCAATTGCTGATAGAAGAATACTGAAGCTTTCTATAGGTACATGATTCTTTGTACGTAATTGGTGAATTTTTAAAAGCATTTAAGTGTTTTTAATAATGAATTTACATTTATTGCCTTGCCTTCATTCCATCATTTGGGGTGGCACAGCATGTCTTCTTAATTATATATTCTCGTTTACAACAAACAATATATATGCTTAAATTAATTATTCATATTGTATAATGACATCGTATTTATTGAATATCCATGCATTTGCTATAATTCTCCATTTATTATTTGCGTATCACATTAGCGGTTTTCAGGCGACCCGAGGAGACCGCCACTTTAGTTACAAAGTTAATTCAATACAAATTCGAATCATCGGGTGTGTCCACCTGAAGTTCAAGTGATAACAAACAGAATAGTAATTTCGTAGTAAATATGTCCATTTAGAACGACAGACACTTGAGGAAACTTGAGGAAAATACTTCCAAAACTAAAACATTTTTCAATGAAATTGTTTTGGCTGTTAAATTTTCAGACTTGTACAAATATCAAATATTTCAAGATTTATGTTATATACACAATTTGGTAGCTGTAGGATTTTGTTATACAAATAATATAAAAAAATGGATATTATTAAAAACATATATGTAGGAGACTTGATAGGACATTTTTTGTTTGCAAATATATCAAAATTTTCTCGAGCATCAACCCTTCAAATTTTGTTACTAGGTATATTACAAGTTTTGTTACTATATTATGAGTTTACTCTATTCCCTAGGGAAGATTAACTCTGCTTACGACTATAGTTTAACTTTATTAAAATTTTATCAAGCATCAACTCTTCAAATTTTGGATACTATATTACGAGAGTGATCATTCTATTCCCTAGAGAACATTAAGTCTGCTTTAACGAGCTCAACACTTTGTCAGATTACGAATGAGTATGTCCTCGGACCGCAAAACAGGACCTGAATAAAAGCAAGGACGTCACGGGTAAAGTGACCAGTACAATGCTCATGAGCGTATACGGCCTTAAACGGCCTCGTTGGTCTAGCGGTTTTGCACACTGCTTTAATTCCGATGGTCGCGGGTTCGATTCCTCGCACGGTCTACATAGTCCTACAGCGTTTATGGCAGTACATTACTGTATTTCTGCACAAACCTAAGCGTTAGTTATTCAACGGAAACGTATTGCTAAAATAGAGATTACGCTGTATTCATGCTCGCGATAAAAAATATCAAAATGCTCTATATCAAACAGTTAACTTACACAAAATACTTAAATAGATGACAGATAGTTAAATGACGCGTAAAAAGTTTGATAGATTTAGTAAATTAAATTTGTAATTATTGGTAGCTAAAAACGAAATTAAACATAAAATTAATTGATTTGACATAATTAATTTTTCGAAAATAATAACAATACTTAAGTAATTATGATCGCGTCATAAATTTAATATTGATTTAATTGATTTATTAAATAAGAAGCACAATCCTTATCACAATGTGACGCGACGTTTTCAAAATGCAAACAGTTTATTTTGCAATAGTTATTTTAGTGTCGAGAGAGAGGTATACCTTTGTTTACCATAAAATTATTCGTGTTAAGACCCGGTTAACAGTATAAATAGTGATTTTGCAGCTCATAATACTCAAGTAACAATAGCTTTCTCATACTTTTGACGGAAAATTGAGATAATTATATGACAAAAAAAGGGTAGTAATAATAGTAGTAAAAATAATAGTATGCGCAATTACTCCAATTTGGAGTATTTTAAAACATTTTTTTTATTATAATGCTCTACATCGCCAGCCAATTTATCCTCAAACTATAAAAACCTATTTCGGTACAGTGCAGTAGGAATTAGCTCTTTGTCGTGGTTTTCCCTAGACTCTAGTCAAGTTTTTCAAAGGGGTATTACAAGGTTTTAAATTGAGTCTATTCTTATTTGATAGATTTTAGATACAAATGAATGTATTTATAATTATGTATAATAAATTATTTTAAAGGGACCTTATAATAATAATAATAATAATAATACTTAAGACGCACCCAACTAAAAATACAAAATTACTAATAATTTAGATATCACAAACAAATCGTCGTTCAAATTCACAAACAGATACGCACGACGTAATGTAACCGGCACGCGACAAGGCAAACTAAAAACTGCGGAAGATTAACCGTTTGGAAATCGAACGGGATCGATGGACATGCGAGATGCGCACGCGCACCGACCAATGTAAATATCGTGACATTTCGCGACGCGCGCGCAATCAGCCGACGCATGTGATGTTGCAGTCGCTTTCGTAACACGGGTGAACGATCGATACTTTATTGATCTATTTATAATCTGGAAGATTTACAACTTTCCAAGGAGAATCAGATTTCATTTCATAAAAATAATATAAACAAATATAATATGAAATCTATATATTAATACGAAGGAAACTTTGTACCCTTTTTGACGAAAATTGCGCGAAGGAGAGGAGAATGAAATTTCGCACACTTAAAGTTTATAAGATGGAATGCAGAATGCTAATATATTCATAAAATTATACATAAGAATATATTGAATCAATAAAAAACTTTACACACATTAACCATGTATTTGACGCACACGCATACAAGTTATTATAGTCTTTAATAATAGAACATTAATAATGTTCAAAGATATAATTTAAATTAATTAGGGATATAAATATCGATATTCGACAAATGAGCGACCACTAGTATAAATAAATATTGCACAGTTTCAAAGCTATGGAAAAATAAAACATATTGATATTTCGAGATTGTTAGATTAGACATATGTAGATGATAATGGAATAGTATCTGCACAAGTGAAGGATGAGAAAATGACGATAAAATCAGTTCTCTCAGCCCACCATGACACAAGGAATTAACTACGATAGAAGTAATACTGATATTATTTCGCCTATTACTTCTAAATAAGCGCCAAAAGCTTAAAAATTGTATAAAAATAATGGCAAATCTAAACAATACTTACCATTCTGCAACAATGTGTATATTTCTTTTCCCACACTATTGTTGTGTTAACAAATTTTCACACACATGTCTATGTAGCCCGTTATGAGAACGCGGAACAAGATGAATGACGGGGTCAAATATGGGCGGTACAGTTGGCAAATAAAGTTTTGATTAACGCTCATTATCTATGTGAATCAGGCCAAAAGGTCTCCACTAACACGTCCACAACAGATTACGTTGTAACCAATCATCTTAATAATTACAGTGACATAATTATGAATCATCATCATTGTCTTGCCTTTATCCCATTATTTAGAAAAGGCGCAGTACAGAGTATTCCATCACTGGCCTCCATCAACCGTCAAATCGGAGCATATATCTATTCTGCTTGAATAGAAATTACAAAGGTTATATATAAATAGTTTTTTTTTTGTGATTAGAAACACTTACATTTAGATCAAAATTAAACTCGAAATATCATTTATCCATGTAGGAGATATTTTGGCTATTTATGCAAACCAGTTTTTTATATTATGTTTTAACACTAATGTCCAGTTCGAGTCACAGTTTGAGTTCAGAAAAAGGTAAAAAAAGATCAAATAGAGAACTGTATAAATTTTATCCCATGCTATCTAAAATGCATATAGGTACGCACTCTACACCACTATTAGTCTTATTAGTCAGTAGTATTAATAGAGTATATTATTGATTTAACTAATCCATCCCACACTGTGTATTTATATAAACAAACATATTTACAAACTTTCGCATTTATAATATTAGTCAGATGATTGCTATAACGAAGTTCCATCAAAAACTTACAGTCCAAATGGTAAACTATAAATATGTACAATTTACAACACTCGAGGCCTGTAATTATCATTCTGTCATCAAGAAGAACAATATTATGATTAACAGAACCAATTAACATAATGGTTATTTGTCATTAAATCATGATGAAACATTGTAGGCCTGCTTTCAAAGGGCTGGATTATATTTAGGAATGTAAAATGTTTGAGTGTCGCATGGGAACACGCATTAGAGACCACACACGCTATAAAGCAGTCTAGTCTGTGTATCTGATCGTAAAATTGGAAATAAACCGCATTCAAGCCAGATATTGCGATATCATGATGTCACACAATTGTGTTACCATAAAGCTTTCGAATTACGTAAAGCATCAACTTTCCTTTTCAAAGCGTTTCATTTTGCAATGTTCTATACTTAATCAAAATCACCATCTTCCTAGCAGACGTTTTACTCTTTCCTTCATTTATCTATTCGTAGACATAGTGTTCACTCCCTTTTTAAAAGAGGATATATCTTTTAGACAGTCTATCCATTTCTCTTTATATTTTCCACTTAACTTTGTGTGTGTGTACACACATAAATAAATATACTTAATTGATAACAATTCTAAAATCAAAGTGAAAGCTTTTCAGCTGTTAAGTCTACGAACTTGCAACAATTACATAAAAATCCGGTACTTCTTATGGATTGTTAACGATATTCTCGTTGCAGTTCTTAAGAGTATTGTTCACATTTTTCCATTTTTATTTGTCAGACTCTAGATTAGATAACTTTTAATGAAGTTGTGCAATAATCGTCAATTTGAACCAATACTTGAATCCTAAAACTAAAAATACTGTTAGGAAAAGCAACTAAAAAGAACAATGGAGCTTATATGTTTTAACAGAACTTACTAGTTTAGGTCTAACTAGGCAGACAATAGATCGAGCTGATTCTTCATCACTACTGCTTTCGAGGCAATCGGAGAGCGAAGGAGACCGGCGTGGTGGCCACTTCGGGATTTTCTCCGAGGGAGGTGACGTCACCACGAGCGGTGCTGGCAACCACGAACCATGGCCGCGCCACCACGACACCAAAGCTGGGGCCACACCCACCACCATTGCCAGTCCAAGTCGCACCATTGTAGAGCAAGCGACACAAACACCCAAGAGTTATCTACACGAGCATATTTCATACACTGTCACTAGGAAGTGTCTAGAGGCGCATTGTTCATAAATAAAAACGTCTATTTTAGATCGATGCAGTCTCACGCACTTTCACGCGGCAATATGTCACCGAAGCCGGTTGAGCGGCCGTCGGGGATTATGCACCAACGTGCCCAAGTCAGCACACGGCGAAACAACGCACGTGCTATTTTTAATGGCTGTTAAGAATTCTTCATAAGTCGAATGCCAATGTCGCATGGACAAAACTCACTTAGCACATCACATCACCGATTGAAACTTTTACTGGTAGCAATGTATGGAATTTTAATTAGTTTTAAATCGATATCACACGTGATAACTTAAAGAGACACCGAGTAGAACTGAATGCATACAACTTTGCGTAAGATAAAAGTTGAAAGGTGATGCCCGGTGAATCTTCGGGCGGGGTACTCTCGCGCTCGCAGACAGCCGAGTGGCGGTGCTGGCGGTCGTTGACGCTGGAGCTCCCCCTCCTCTACCGCCCAAAGCGCCCCTCCAGCCGCCCGCCCAAAGAAACAACCCCCTCGGCGAATGTGCGAAAGAATGTCGCGCAAAATTATAATAAGATGGTACAGATTCTCAGTCGTGCACTACGGAGTTGCATTCATAACAATTTATTTTTGGAGTCGCGCTACTAAATGCTCATTAAATATTTTTATGTAGCCAGTTTAACGTAGGATGTCGCAACATGTTTCGAACTAGTACAGTGTATATCGTGACGACGTATTAGAACTTTGTTAATTTTCAGTACCAAGAGAAATTTGCATAATGAACAGACGAAAAAAGTACTAACATAATTTTTTAAATTAAAATGTTGAAGATAATAGAAAGATAAATAATAGGTTGGTCATAAAATTGATCAATATAAGAGCCCAGCTATACTACAATGCAATTTCGCCTGCGTATATATTTCATTATGTATGAAATTTGAACACAATAGGTACTTACTCTATTGTGACTCTATATGTACGAGTATCTGTATAGCTGTTGTTTAAATCGTAAGGTTTCCGTTCTAATAACAGTACATATTACTACATAATCTTTGTTACTTTGCCTTGTAAAAGTAAAATTTACAGTAATAGAATAGAATAGAAATAATCATAAAAATTATAAGCAAATAAACTTAAAAAGCACTTTTGGGCGATCCCATTTTATTTAATCTACCTTAACCTGCCTGGAGCCTAAGGATGGACATAAAATACAAAGTATGTATTTTAAAAAAACCTAGTCATACATAGGCAATTCTGAATTGTGCAAAATATTACAGGATTGCATAAGCCTGGGAGGCAATCGGGGTTGGGAGGCAGGCAGACAGATCGATGCTGGCGTTGACGTCATACAGACCAGACTGAATAGACGTCTAGAAGTTACATAAAGCCTACAAAATACAAATAGACTGTTCTATTTCAGAATTAAATAAAAGGTTCTTTATCCATGTTAAAAGAGTTTGTATATCAACATTTTTAATGCCACCTTTGTAAGTCCAACATACCTACCGTCAGTTCTGTATGTCGTTCGTGCCGAGATGAACAAACAAAAACGTTTTGAGTATCCAGTCTAGTCACAAATCTATACAAATATTACAAAGCTGAAGAGTTTGTTTGTTTGAACGCGCTAATCTCAGGAACTACTAGTTCTAATTGAAAAATTCTTTTATTGTTAGATAGTAAATTTGTCGAGGAAGACTTTAAGTTATATAACATCACGCTACGACCAATAGGAGCGGAGCTGCAATTAATAATATAAAAGGTGGTGAAATGAAACGCAGACAAAGTTGCGCAGGTCAGCTAGTCATCTATAAGACTAGCTGACCCGCTAAATAATCTAAAACCAATCGCAAAATTCAGTTGAAAACCAATAAATGTGTTGCAGACGAGATTTGTTGGCAACTGGGTTACATAATCCAGGCCCAGGAAGGCTCTCCAAAACTGGGACACCGGATCGATCGCAATAAGGGCATTACCCCCGGACTACATGCTCCGAATAACCTATTTCCGTGTACTTCACTACCCCCTAAGACTGAAATAGAAATAAACTCTAATTTTCACTTCATAATATTATATTTATAGCTAGTTGATACCCGCGGCTCTGTACGCGTGATGCTGTTAAGTTTAATTTTTCACAGACTTCAAAAACAGTAGCTACTTCTCAATTCGACTCTATTTTAATTACCTCAGAACTTTTTCCTTGTGAAACGATATTGATTTTTTTTGTTCGCGATCTGAACATTACTCGTTAATTCGCCTACTCAAATTATTCGTCTTGAGTTATCCGTAATAACGCACATTTATATTATCACTAGCCATTCCCGCGACTTCGTCCGCGTGGAAATTAACTTTATTTTACTAAAATAAAAGTAGCCTAAGTTACACCTTATTACATCAGCTAACTGCTTAAAAAAAGTCCCGTCAAAATCGGTCCAGCCATCTCAGCGATTAGCCGGAATAAACAGACAGACAAAAATTGTAAAAAATCCTATTTTGGTGTATGTACCGTATTTATATTCATATGCATGTATTAAAAAACGGTTATTTCAATATTACAAACAGACACTCCAATTTTATTTATATGTATAGATGTATAGATTTGCATTGTATAAATCGTTAATGATACAAATTTCGTGACCTAAGCACGTGTAATTCGTTCTTCGCAGATGCTTATGTTAAGAAAAAAATCTAATATTTTAGCTTATACATATATATTTTATAAGTATATCTCGAGATATAAATCAACATTGTTCGCCGTACTTTCTTGTATCGTCGTCAAAGAAAAGAAAATAAAACAAAGTAAAAGGAAACAAATACTTTTTCTCTGGTCATAAATCTTATCATCCAAGTTGTCTGTAAGAAATAGATTATGGCTGATAAGGCTGCCTTCTGTAGTAATATAGCACATTATGATACAACGCATTTTTATGTATATTTTTAATGCGTAAATAATTTCAAATAAGATTTTCTGAAGAATAATCTAAAAATAAAGATAAGCTTAAAACAAATATTGGCTGTAGGAAACACAATTATATGCATCTTTAATAATAATAACCCTGGACAATTAACACAGCGCCATCTAATACGCGGTACTAATCCACGGTATGCAGAGCTTGTGTTATGGGTACTAGACAACTGATACAAACATCTAGATTTTTATTGTAAATACATACATAATGTACATAGAAAGCACGCCGATACAAACAATCATACTTATGATAAAAATGTTTGCACCGTGCGACGAATCGAACATGCGACCATCGGAAGTAAAGCGGTGTGCTAAACCCCTAGACTACCGAGACCGTCTTTATTGAGATTGTATGAATACACTGCAAAAACATGGCCTCTATGACTACTATACTCGAGCCCGGTAACTCTATATGCATGCCTTTTATTGAAAATGGTCTCATTTTTATTTATATTAATGTTATAGAAAAAAAGATTTATTTTTTTAACGTAATGGCTATACGCTATATTTCACGAGAGTACCCAGGATACAACTACTTCAAAAAAATCTCTTTGTCTTAATAAATATTTGCTGCGATTTATTATAGCAGGTCAATTTTAAAAAACACTATATAAACTACACTAATACACTATATTTATATAACACTATCCATCATATTAAAACAAAGTTACTGTTCACTATAAGAGTATAATAATAATATATTGGCCTTTATTATAATAATATCGGTATGTTATCGACAAAGTTCCGTCCAGTGGATCACGACATCAGACCTTGACAATTAACAAGAGCACCTAGACGGTAAACAAATTAAATTATGACTAGTATTAAAAAGCAAGTGGGAGTTCTTTACGTTCACGTGTCTTAATGACAGCCTCGGTGATCTAGCGGGTTACGACATCAGTTTTTCCTCAGTATCACCTATTTCAGCCACCAAGCAGCTTAGTATTGATGTGTTTTCGTTGAATGCGAAATAATTTTATATATTACAAACGAACCACATCCTACGTGGTTGTAACCCACTCATGCATAACCGTAATATCTCCTTTAGAAAGTTTACACTTTATCCGTAGGAGATAAAAACCATCGCTCCTAAGAACAATTCCTGTCCCAGGTAGCGAACTCTGAAAAAGAGCGAGCACAATAGATCTATGTAGGTCGGAGTGCTACAGGTCCAAGCACCTGACAATAGCCCAAACAACCCAATTACAAAATATATTACAAAACAGGAGTAATTGTAATATATAAGATATATAATGAAATATATAATGAAAATTAGATTCTAATTTCTATTTGACGTATTAAATCCGAAGTACGTACAGTGATTGATCATGTGACGTTTTAATCATAATAAATTGAATTTATTCAATGTGTACAGAAAATGCGTAAAGAAGGTATTTTTTAATACTCATAATATTTATACCAATACTAGCTGACCCACGTAACTTCGACTTCATCACACTTACTTGTTTGTATGTGTGTGTGTGTCATTATATATAGACATTTGTATTTATATAATATCTTTTCATATTATAGCCTATGTGTTATTCTGATGTATAAGCTATATTGCTGTAAAGTCTCAAAGAGGCAAATTCAATAAGAATGAATCCCGGTGGTTTTCTGGGGGAACCGCGTGGAGGTAAATACGACATGGTACATTCCTAGTAATGCGTCTATTAGTCTACATTACTAACAATCCCCTTTTCCCTCGCAATTTGTTGGAGATATTAGTGGATATAAAGAAATAAATATAATTTAATCTAGTTTTCATCACAGCTGCATGTAAAACATAAGTGTTAGCAACAAAAACACTAATTTTAAATGCGATGGATTATAGTTTTTATTCCAAAATCAATATGCCTAATACAATCCAGCGTTAGTTCAATTTAAATGAAACCGGTGTTCAATTCACGGGAAGTCGACCGATTCACGACCTCTTAGGTATAATTCAGTTTAATAAATCACTAGGCCACGACGCAATGACAAATAAATGTTAAATATAATCAGATAGGACACGCAAATCTTACCTCCCTGGCGATCTGGTCAAGAGCCTGCTCCTCGGCAGTGGCCTTCGTTTGTGTGCGCTGCCGTCGCGACGGATCCATCTCCGTTCAGTCACTGCACTCTGTTAACATTGAAGACAATTTTTAATGTTACTTACTTTTTTTTCGGACTACTCTAATGCTGTTGGCCGCAGCTTCACCGGACGATAGAGGGTGAGTGCAAATGGCACTCCAAACCCGCGGATGGACTTATGGAACGGCTGGAAGGCCTACTCACGCCTGACGGATACGACTTTAGTCTATGGGCACGACTAGGGGTTCGAACTGGACGGTAGGGAAAAAAAATTATAAAGTAAAAACTTGACGTTCATAAGCGGCTAAAATGTCCTACATGAATAAATGATTTTTGAATTTGAATTTGTACCTCGGCTCAGGCCATCGCAACATCGAGCCCCGTTTGAATTGAGCGGGAGATTGATCGGATTGCTGAATACTTACTAATAAACTAAGAGTCGACCTGATGAAAAATACTAATTGTCACGTTTATAACAGCACCACGGACATGTGTAAAACTCGTGGAACTTCACATTAGAAAATAAAGAAATATTTATTGAAAATCTATGAAATAATTGTATAGAATAGAATAGAAAATTCTTTATTCAAATAAACTTCAATTTAAACACATTTAAATAGTCATACTTTATTGTTTTATTTTTGTGAGAGGCCTATGTTCAACAGTGGGCTGATGATGATGATCATGATTGTTTTAATATCGCTTGTATTAATACCGCTGATCGGTAAAACTCTCTAATTACAAGAAAATTTAACAAAAACTTGTGTTTCTCTTTTATATTTTCAAATATAAATGTGTGAATACCAACTAGCTCAGCTTCAGTAATGCTGAATAAATGTGTGTAAATGTTAGAAATACCTTTAGAATTTTATACTTATTCCCATTATTTTATTTAAGGACTAAGGTGCCTCATGCATCTCTCTTCTGTAATTTCACAACACATCTCACAATTCATATCACAACATAGACAATACAGAGGAACCCTTGCAGTTGACTTTGGGTAAAAATGATATTTTATTTTTACAATTTTTATCAGTATCCCTTAAATTCAGATAATTTTTACAATTATTTTCTATGACAACAAATACCCCTGTATATATAACACAGCGCCATCTAGTCTTGAATCGAGCAAACTTGTATTGTGCCTACTAGTCAATGCTAGGCGTATTTAGAAGCATCTTTTTTTAAACAACAGTGCAACAGTTATAAACATTAAATAAAAAATATTTATTTAACTAAATGTCTATCAGACTATCAGTTAGTTATAAATTAAATATTTTCATGACACACATATCTGTATCAAGTAGGTTACCAATAATCTTTGTGGCTGATATGTCATCTACAAATGTTTATCACACTTATGTATATCTTGTTCTTAGAAATTACTAAAACAATAAACACTACATTTGAAAAGTTTATTATATAACACTTGTTTTTTTGAAGAAGTGTTATTATATAATTAATGATTTTATTAAATGAGTGTAATGGATATATTTGAGTTTTTTATTTAATAATTATTATCCCTATTTATAAATGTATGTTTTCATCTGTTTAATGTGTATTTAATTTTAAAAAATGACATTTATTGGTAAATTACAATATATGCAATGTACTCCTAATTCAATATTATTAATTTAACAAAATATAAATTGTTTAGAACAAATAAAATTAATAAAAGAAACATTAAATTAAAATTGATTTATAATGAATGATGATGAAGAAAAATATTCTCTCTGTTGGGAAGCCACTTTATTATATTCTAATTACTGCTTTCTAATATATAAAACTGGTTACTGATAAAATGCACACAAGTATTATAAATAAGAAAATATATCATATGTCCACTATATGTTATCCTTCCACAAATAACTGGCTGGGCAGCTTTTAATGTTTGTTTTGAAGATCACTACCATTCATCATAGGCTTTTTCATCATCATTTATCTCTTATAAAAGGAAAACAGATGATGATAAACATTTCAGAATGATCTAATAAAAAACAATTGCAATTTAAAAACATAGAATTAAAATACAAAAACTTGCAGAACAATTACAGCGTCCATATTATTAGAGGTCAAACATTGACCTTGTCTCCACTTGAGTAATGCAACAACTATGTACGGTTGATTAATACTTGCCTTATCTCCTTCAGGTAACCAAAACATAGTTATCAATAATGACTACAAAACTATCATTAAATATTTTATAAAATACAAGGCAACTTTCTATTTTCTTATATTTTAAATGAAGTATTCAAGAAAGGGATTTAATATTTTATTTTATCAGTATATGTTAAAAATAGTGCAAATTAGTATGTATATATATATATCTATACCCTACATGGGAAACTAGTTATAATCCTGCTAGGACTGACTGCAAGTTGGTAATTTAAAAAGGAAAAATCAATCTATTGAATATTAGTGTTACAAATAGAACACAGTAGAAACCAGATATAACAACATAGTCAACAACAAACAATGTAGAATACATTATGACAAATACATTGCATGAATTTGATAATTATATATTTGTAAGCAATATATAATTGCTTACAAATATATTACATAATAATTATATATACATAGCTTGCTTACAATGACTATGTGGAAATAGTGTGTATCAGTGCTCCAATATTACTACTACACAATCAATACTTATACTTAATACTTAAATACATTTTTATTCAGACCCAAACAAAATCAAACCTATATTAATATTACATAAATATTAATTATTAATTTTGAAGGAAGATTAAACCTAAATAAATGTAAATTAATACCACCTACTTGCTTCACTTCAAGACCACAGAATTTGTGTAAATAATATAGAAATAAAAAAGTGTATCGGGACACATATGGCTTCTGTAGTTTCATATGCACAGTAAAGACACCCTTATAATGATTACATTATTTAAAATTTAAATACACATTTTATACAAGTATATCAAATGTATACTTAGACAATGTAAAAATATATATTATATTAAATGTAAAGGTGATGGGAATATTTGTGTAGACATATTAAAATAAAGTATTAATTTTCTCACAGTTTTTAAGTCCTAAACTTAAGAAAATCCATAGACATAGTAGTGTTTAGAAGCATAAGTATTTATGTCAATCTTAATCCTCAATGAATTTTATCTAATCAAAAGGTTATTTCAACTCCTTCAATGTTTATTTGTAATGATAGTAAGCCTAGACTGGATGTCTTATTCAATATATTTTTTTTATATTTTTAATGTGTTATGCTGATACCTTAATTTTTGCTATTGGTTTCAGTTTTACTATTAGTCTATGATACAATCAAATTAAAAACAATATAATTTATTACTGACAGGCAAATTTAAAAACTACTTACATAGTTTTGAGCAGTGGGTAACTTTTTCTTTACTAGCTAGGCCACAGACTAGCAGCACATATTGGTTTAAACTCTAACAGCAGGAGGAAAGCAATGAACATAGTTATAACCTATTGGGTTCATTGAGCTCTTCCACATGGATGTTTTCGGAAAACCGTATTAGAATTACAATTGGGAGAAAAATGGGTGGGCAAGAAGCCAACACTGTTTTTTATGGCAGTTGTGCTATGACATCATACTTACTGAGGTTGCTATAGAAGTAAACACATCACTGGTAAACACAACTCAGGGAACCAGCAACCACCACTCTTATAAATAATACCCGTCAATAACCAGTTCATAGAATACTGAATACAAAACACAGAATTAGCGTTTATGTTGATTTATTAGGACACGAAATCACTGCCTACACGGATCACTATAATTTACGAATTTGAGGCTTAACACCGTTGTACGTGATCATTTGGCACTATATTAGAATCTAAATGAAAATTACGCCGTTTTTGTGACTGTGATTGAGCAAATTATTTCATTTTTATTAAAATTAAATTGTACAAAAGCCATGTATGACATGCATGCCATTGCCATATAAAACTGTTGCGTTCATAAATGTTTTAGATGAATGTCAACTGCAGTTACGGAAGCATTCACAATAATATTACTCTTGACTGCTTTAGAAAATTATTTTTATTTTTATTTTACAAGAATTGATAAAATGAAATGCAAAATTATATTATCATTTTATTAAATAACTGCTTAACACACCGGTTTTATTACGTTGATCGCGGTCGAACTTGCGGTCTAAACCGCGACCACAAATAAGATAATATTATGTAATACAGTACATTTATATTTATGAGTATGATTTTCAAGTATGGTATATTATCTATGAGTATGTTTATATGGGCCCTGGGTGTTTTCTATGTACATTATTACACAGGACAATAAAATTTACCTTGTTTTTTGTTGCATGAGGTTTTTTACTGCTGTTTATTAATTTGGGTGTGCTGATTTCGAATCTACCCTCAAATTATTTTTAGCAGCTCTGGTTAAGTTACACCAAACTGTTGATAGAATTTATCGACTACTCATGCAAATTCAAGACGGTACCTATATCGCATTAACCAAAGCTGCTAAAAATAAACTGAGGGTAGATTCCAAATCAGCGGACCCAAACTAATAAACATCAGTAGAAAAACCAAATTCAATAAAAAAACAAGATAAATAATAAAATAAAGTTGTTGTCCTGTGTTATATATATAATAAGAAAAAAAGGATTTAACTGTATGTACCAGTCGTCTACTACCCATTACACAAGCTTTGCTGAGCTTGACACTACATGGCGCTGTGTGAAACAGTGTCAAGTTGCCCAGGAATATTATAAAATAAAAATTAATAATTAGGTACGTTATATTATAAACATTGAGCTGTCTTGAGACTTCTAGTACAATTTCCTGTCTATTTTATTTGATTGTCGGTTTCAAATTTCTTGTAATGCAGCAGAGTACAGGCAAAGAACAGAATATGAGCGATAAAGAACCTGACCGACACCAAGATTCGTGTATATTCAGAATTGTTATATCTTCATGGACTTAGAAGACGACAATAATAAATAAAAAAAATAATTAATTTACATTTATTTTAGATAAGTTAGAAACTTAACTAAGAGATAGAGACAAACAAGATGTTAGCTACCTCCTTTAGCATTATCAGTACTTCCAGGGCGAGTTTATTCTACAGGTATAAATATAAAAACAAAAATAAGGAAAAAATCTTTATTACCACGAAATTAAAAACCATAATTTGATTAATAATACAGTCGCACACACATATTTATGCCATTCACAACAATAACCTTCTAATTACTTTAGTGACATAAAAAATTGGATTAAATAAAATTATTTAATCACTCTTAGATTTAGTTGTGTCCTCCTTGTAGTAAAGGAAGACGAAGGAGAAGAGAAACACGCCGACCATCATGGAGAATGCGCTCACGTAGTAAGGGTACGCACTGGGGATGAACCGCTCGTACTGTGTATGCTGCAAGGGTCGCACTGACACCTGCAATGTATATTATTACATTATTGTAAATTTGACCAACTATAAATGCAGGTTAGAGTGAAAAATACATAAAAAAATTTTTTACAAAAAGTAATAAAAAGAAATCTAAATTCATATTAAAAAATAATTTATTCATACACACATATTCATGTAGGACATTTTAGCTGCTTATGAACATTATTTTTTTTACATTATAATTTTATTTTTTTTCTCTACCGTCCAGTTCCGTATAAAGACCCAATTGAGAAGAACTGGCAAAAAACTCAATTGAACTACTTTTCTTTTAAAAGCCAGTTTATTTACAGTGTATATTTATATAGGTGTCTATGTCTAACATTAAATGAAAATCCAGTGCATGAACAACTATTGCCATACATGCTCGTCATTCAAGTGATCATTTAGTGAGGCTTTGCTCAATAAATATAATTTGTCAGATAGGGTAATTCCAAAATATCCTTCGGTAACTGATTCACATAGTCTCATCCGAAGCTAAGCAGAGCTTTGTATTAAAAACTACTAAAGATAAATAATACTTAAACTGTACTAGTCAAATAACAGACTTTTAAATAGTAGTAGCAAACCCATACCTGTGTGGAATGGTACAGTCTTGTGTAACCCACTCTGTCGTAGTCCACTTTGAACTGATAAACTCCCCAGATATCTGGGATCTTAAAGACAGCTTCATACACTCCATTGCCTTTGTTCTTCAGTGTGGTACGTACGAAGGGATCGATACGGACAAATTCCAGCTGCACATCATCAGCTTGGAATGGTTGCCATTTGTCACTCCTCAGTTCTTCAATCTCAATTCTGTATACCTAGAATTTATGTTGCACTTGATTAGTAATGTCTATTTTCATTTAATGTAATGCTGTTATATATAGTCCATACCTGGCATATACAGTTTCACCGAAAGATAAGGAGTGACTTGAATTTTGTGGACACGAGAATTTGATATATAAGATTATGATACTAACAACGGTGTCTGTGATGGTGTATGTGTTGGAGGACTCCTTCTCGCCTTGTCTGTTGTGCTGCACACTGCGCACACGCAGGCGGCCGCGCTCACCAAACACCCACTGGCTCAAGTGCACTGATAAAGCCTTATTCCCTGACACATCGGACTTCACTTTGTCACCCTATATGAAATATAAAAAAAATAAATTAATCTAACAGATAAACATTTGCATTTAGAGCGGAGGATTATTAGACATAAATATGTGAGTAGTCTTTATTTCTAATAATCCTCCATTCATCCATCTACATCTATACCTTAGCCAACGGCGACTTTTCCATTGCAGGGTTCCGCAGGCTATGCAAGGTCCTTTGTCCTACGTGAAAAGTATTTGATGCAAACAATTATGTGGAAATTTTCCATTGATTCAAGAAAACTATGCATTTTACATATTTTTTTAAATACTTTTTAAAAGATACAACTTGGTTGAGATTGGAAGCAAAACTATTTAATATTAATCATAATTACATAAGTACCCTCACATAAATCAATTTACAAATAGTAATCAAACTACCCATAGTTTACATACATAACACTTATTATTTTAGATCGAGAGGTTTTTGCAACTTGCCACTCCCTGATTGTTTATTGGCTTTGGTTGTTACGCGAAGCCCCTGCAAGAGCTAGGCCCTGGGTGATTGCCCTATTCTCCACACCCTATAGCCGCACTGACCTTAGCAATGTACCAAATCAAATGAACCACTACATGCATTTTTTAATTAACTTCACTTCATAGCCATCCACTATAAGTGCTCTGCTAGAACATACCATTAGCACAGGTAGATGCACTATTTCATTATCAACTATACAAAAATATTTATACACAGTATTATTATACATACTATTGTTCTAACAATGAGATCAACAAAAAAAATAGTTGGGTCAAAATATACATAGTAAACAAAATAATATATAGTAAATTTAATATATTTTAAATATATTTATCACACAAATATAGTGATGTGAATACATGTTTTTATATATGTACTAACCCTTTCTATAGCCAGCGATAAATGTTACTTTAAAAAAAACTTACATGCACTTTGGAGACAGGTGAATTGAATGCTTCATCAGAGAAGAAGTACAGTGACCCACTGAACACAATGCGGGCATTGTTTCTGGCCTGCAGAGCTGCAATGAGAACTGTCTTGCGGCCGACTGCATGAGGGTACTCCTTCACCTTTTAATAAAATATAATAGAGATCAGACAACAGGTTAATAAATAATAGGATAAATATCAATTGTAAATTTTAAATTACACAAGTTTCCGTCTTTCATTTTGTCAAGTAATAATAGCAGAAACTCTCTGTTAAATAAAACATAAAATATTGTGATCAACTACAAATAGTCACACCAGTTTCCATGATACAAGCCTGTGAGCCTAGTGCAGAACTACAGTGATAAATAATAAATGAAAATGTTGTATGGTAAAGTATTAATTTAAAGTTACCAACTTCCTTTGAATAATACTATATAATAAATAAAAAACTGATGTAATATTTAATTACAACATTTACAGATTCATATTCATACTAATTTTTACACACCCTTTTCCTAATACTTATTTTTTTAATAAGCTACTGAAACTTGGCTTTACCATGTTAAAGACCGCACACCCACCAGTGGGTCACTCCACAATGAAAGTAAATTTACTTGTTGAGACCAGGTGATCACTCATAGGCACTTTAATTGAAATAAATCTATGGGTTAAATAATGTCTACCTCACATTATTGTACACTAAAGATATATTTAAAAATAATATACATAAATAATTATCAATAAAAAAAAATGCCAGTCCCTATGTGAGTAATAACATTTTTCAATGCACAGTCTTCAACATATTATGCATATAAATAGGACACATAATAAAATATTAAATTCTATTACCTGACTCTTAGGATTGTAACTGTATGCAGTACTATCAGCAATCAATATTGGGAGCACCAAACTATTATCTTTGTCTAAGATCAGTCCAGTCCCTTCAAACAGTAGGGGTTGAGTATTCTGAACTCCTACAATTGTTGGTGCACTAATCAGATTCTTGGGAGATACGACAATCCTGGTATGATCACTTTCATCAGTGACATCATAGTTGAAGTGATCAATCACTGCGGCTGATTCTTCATCCATCTGTAAACAGAGCAATGCACATTTTGCTTTATTACTGAAGTCATGTTCAACTTCAGTATTGAGTGAATATACTGTAATTTATTATATTAATAAATAAACAAATCTAAAGTCACAGCCAATTTCTGACCCAAGGGAGAGTAAGTTAAAACATATGCCAGGATGTGATTTTTTTCAAAATAAATTTGTTGTCTCTGTGTACTTTATTATCACATGAAAGGTAAATAAATAATACACTTTAGTATTATTTATTTACCTTTCATGTTTTTAATAAACTCCACAATACAGATTAAGCTGTAGTTATGTCATTTGATTATTGTTTTTTATGCTTTCCGAAATAAAAAAAAATAAGATTCTCAAATTTATAGTAATTTTCTTGTTTGTATATAACACACATACTTTGACTTTAATATTTAGAATATGTATTAAATGTTAAATATTCTGTTGAAGAATTTACAGAGTTTGCCGCACACATTGGTAGCACAGTTTACTTAATTCCTGTTGGGCTATTTTTAGTAGACCAAGAAATCAATAGGGCAATATTATATCAAACAGCTATTAGTATTGTCTAGGGTCCAATAACATGTTGGATAACATAGTATCCAATGAGAACTCTACAACAGTATCCATTGTAGAAAATGTCAGTGAATCAGTGATAAGATAAGGTGGCAGTTTTTCATAGGATACTTTTTTACTCTCAATGAAAATAAGGAACAGACCTCAAAACCACACTCGGAAGCAATTTCTCTATAGATATCCCCGGCGGCAGCGTTGCCGGCCATGAGCAGGTTACCACCATCATCTATGAACTTGGTAATGGCTTCGGTATCTAATTGTCCACCAAACTCGACGACGGACGGCGAGAATATTATTAAATTTTTGTACAAGTACTCTCCATACTTCGATAGTACGATACTAGCATCATCAGCCAATTTATATGTAAGACTATATCCACGATCTAAAAAAATGAAAAACAATAAAAAAAAACTACTAGGGTACAATCCTCCAGTCACCAGGACTGATTATTTCAAGTTTTTATTGGAATTATCTAAAATTTACTCTTTAGGACATACCGGCATTTCGGGACACGCCGTGTCCAACTTACCTTGCAATGATTTGAAAAATTGTGAATGTGTTTCCCTTATATTTAAATTATCAACTAGAACCAAGGTCTCTTGTACTGCTGAGACACAACAGAAATAAATTGTAATCGTTAAAATTATTGAAATCTTCATTTTAATGAAGAAAGATTTTGGACATACAAATAAGATTAAATGGACACCGACATATTACGTGTCACTAAATGTCATGTTATATTCCCTGATATGTCAAATGCCAATGACGTAAAAAGCACAGATTACTTTAATCATTTTAACAGACATTAAAGCCTATTTGGAAAAAGCGCGGGAACGCTTGAAAGGAAGCGCGCTATTTTAAAAATTTTATTTGTTTTATTTGGTTTATTCAATTGTATATCGTATATATTGTGGTTAAAATAAAATAAATAACCCACAACATGGGGAAGAGTAGAAGAAAGCGTAAAAAGCCTGTATCGCCAGATGATCCAGATAGTGACTGCAAATCTTCAACTTCATCCGAATCTGACGAAGTGGAATTAGATCAGAAAGAACTGTATAAAACTTATTTTGTCACGGATTATCATAGACGTTATCCAGAGGATTCCGGTGCAACTGAATTCGTTGTATTCGTTGAGTCTAGTGACCCTAAAACTATAATAGGCTCTAGAGACCTTCTATCTCTTTCATCTTGTTTAAAAAGGTTTAATAAAGGAGTCAAGTATCTCAGAAGCTTAAATAAGTATAAAATAGGAGTATATTTTGAGAAACCTGGCCTTGCAAATGCTTTCCTAAATAATTTTACCTTTCTTAAAGAATACCAATTTAAAGCGAGTATACCAGCTGGATCCACAGAAGTTACAGGAGTCATTAGGAATGTCCCATTAAACCTATCCAATAAGAAGATATATACCATGATATCAAGTTATAAAAAAATTATATGTGTTCGGCGGTTTCTACGTAAAGTTAAAAATGATACTAACTTTTTTCTACAGCCAACTCAGACCATAGCTATCACTTTTGCAGCTTCAGTTCTTCCAGATTATGTGGACCTTGAAGGATGGCGACACGATATATCACCATACATCGCTCCTGTGAAGCAGTGCTTCCGTTGTTTGAGGTATGGACATCTAGCTAAATATTGTAAAAATGCAGAGACATGCTCCATATGCAAAGGAAGTCATAATTTTAAAATATGCGATACACCAGTAGAAAATGCCAAATGTTTCCATTGCGATGGTAATCATGTTAGTATTTCCTCCAAATGTCCAATCAAACAAAAAAAAATTATAGAAAACAGAAACAAAGCTCAAACATCTTCATATGCAGATGTATTTAAATCTTTCCCATCACTAGGTACTAGACAGAATAAATATAATAATGATTTGATTTCTTTTCTTAAAAATGATGATAAATCTCTTGGTCTCTTAGTAGAGTCCATAGTAAAATTGATTACATTAAATAAAACTCAAAATACTTCAATTTGCACAAAAAATTTATTAGACATTCTTACTGAAAATTTCAGTAACAAAAACATTAGCTCTCAAAATTCACCTTAAATAATTTAAATATAGCTCAGTGGAACGCTCAAAGTCTGCTGAGCAATCGACATTTACTCACACATTTTCTTTACAGTAATAACATACATATTGCACTTTTACGTGAAACTTGGCTTCGGCCACATCATAAATTAAAAATAAAGGGTTATAAAATAGAACGCAATGACTCAGGTAATTACCACAACGGTGTTGCTATTATCATACATGAAAACCTTCATTATAATAGAATTAATATGTTTTCTGACGATTCACTACAAACTTTAGTCATTCAGATCATTATAAACAATGAAAAAATATCATTAGCTACTATTTATTGCCCCACCAATTGTTCAGTACCTTTCACAAAATCTAAACTTGTTAACTTTGTAAATAATACTCCTAAGCCTTTTATAATTGCTGGTGATTTTAATGCACATCACACCATTTGGGGTTGTGATTCAATTAAACCCAGAGGTAGAGATATTTTAGAAACTTTAGATGAATGTAACCTAGTTTTATTAAACGATGGTCATGTCACTACTGTAGGTAGTCATATTTGGAAGCCAAATGGCTTGGATTTAACCATAGTTAGTCCTTCTTTATCCCTTTCATGTAACTGGTATGTTTACGAAGATCCGTTAGGCAGTTATCATTTGCCAACAATAACACAATTAAATTTACAATATTCCAATTTTTCTTGTAAAGGAGCAAATAATTGTGTATCAGTTCCAGTAAATCGGCGTAACTTGCGACTTGTAAACTGGGACAATTACAGTAAAATTGTTAATTCCAAATTACAAGGCTTTTCTGTCAATGAGAGCGATCCGTGTTCAACATATGACACTTTTTGTAATATTATTTTAAATTCTATTGATATTGTTCTAAATAAGAGTTCATCGGCACATCAAAAACAATACAATTGTAATTCTTCTAGCAATTCTAAACTATCAAAATATAAGCATCCTCCAGTACCATGGTGGAATGACACTTGTGCAACAGCTGTTCGTAAAAGTAAACAAGCATATATAGATTTTAAATATGATCCTACCACAGATAATTATATTAAGTTTAAAAGATTGCAAGCGGAAAAAAAACTTACTATTAAAACTGTGCGTTTACAAAGTTGGCATGAATACTGTTCTAATTTAAACAGAACCACTTCTATATCTAATGTTTGGACAAAAGTTCGAAAATTTAATAAGAAATATATAAATAAACCCCGCACTTACAACTCAGGTAACGATGATATGTGGTTAAATGAATTTTTACACAAATATACTCCAGATTACGTTGCGAGCCCTTTTACAACAGTTCCTAACAATTCTGATAAAGCTAACGATATTTTCTTTGATAAACCTTTCAAATTAGCAGAGCTTCAATCAGCATTAAAATCAAGAAGGGACACAGCAGTTGGGTTGGATAATATTTCATACAAAATGTTGAAAGCATTAAATGGTAACAATTTAAATACCTTCTTAATTATTATAAATTTATTATGGTATAACTCTATAATTCCAAAAGAATGGAAAACAGATTATCTTATTCCTGTGTTAAAGCCTAATAAAAATTTATATGTTGCTGATTCTTATCGGCCCATTACATTAACATCGTGTATAGGAAAAGTTTTTGAACAATTGCTTAAACAAAGACTAGAGTTTTATTTCGAGTCTCAAAATCTATTGCCGTCGAATCAATTTGGATTCAGACGAGGATTTTCAGCTCGGGAAAGCTTAGGGCATTTTTATATCGATATTAAGAAAGCTTTAGAAAATAATCAACATTTGGTAGCAATTTTTCTGGATATAGTGGGTGCATTCAATAATGTAAATCCGAAGATTTTGGCAGATATCTTAATTTCTGTCGGAGTTTCAAATAAACTAGCAATATGGTTATATAATTTTATGAATGGTCGAAAATTATACGTTAAAGTTAGTAATGTTTCATGTATAGGTCCTCGCTTATCTCATGTAGGAGTATCACAAGGTGGTATACTCAGTCCTTTATTATATATTATTTATGTTCATAGAATTAATGATGCTTTAGGGCCTTATGTCCATAATCTCCAATTTGCTGACGACTTAGCTGTATATTGTTATGGTGACAATATTGTGGATACATTATCCAAAATCAATATTGCTCTTAGTAATCTTTCAGTATATTTTTCTTATGTAAATTTGGAAATCAGTCCTACTAAAAGCAAAATGGTAGTGTTTAGTAATAACAATTTAAATTTAGAATCATCTAGTCAGGTGAAATATATGAGCGCTATTATTCCAGTAGAGCCAGAAGCAAAATTTTTAGGTGTAATATTTCAAAATAATTTAAGTTTTAAAAAATATGTCGATTGTTTATCAGATAGAGCCATGATGTCCACTAATATTCTCAGATCTTTGGTCGGCACTACTTGGGGAGCAGACCCTAAAATTCTGTTAATTCTTTACAAGTCGCTGGTTCGAACGCATTTTGAATATGCGTTCTTCTGTTTTTGTAACAAAGAAAAATACGTTGATAAATTAGAAAAAATCCAAAATATAAATTTAAGATTAATTTTGGGAGCCATGAGCACATCACCAATAAATTCGTTGCAAGTAGAATGTAATATGCCCCCATTGCCGTTACGTTTTGAATTGCTAAAACTTATGTTTTTACTGAAACTTTATTCTGTTCATGACAACCAATTATTACATAAATTAAAAAATCCATCCTCTCCTAATAATTTTCTCTCTAATAATATAATTGAATATATTGAAAGTCTACATAACTCCAACATATTTATTAATCAGAAATTAGTTTACAATAGCAATTCATATGATTGTAATTTTTTTAAAACCCCAATTTTTATAAATAAGAATTTACATAATAAATATGATGTCTATGATTACATATCTCAATGGAACAATTATAGGCATGTGTATACGGATGGTGCTAAAAATAAAGACTGCACGGCTATTGCTGTTTATGATGCCAAGGAAAAAATATCATTCGGTACAAAAATATCGAATAAATCGAGCATATTTACTGCTGAAGCTTACGCTATTATCTCTGCGCTAGAATATATTGGTGAAACGAACAATAATGATAAATGGGTCATATTAACGGACAGCATGAGTGTCTTGTTGGCCCTTGCGAATGTTTCTACTAGTAAAACATCTTTCGTTATACAAAATATTCAAAGGAAAATATATGATTTTAAAAAACGGCTTAATATGGATATTAATCTTATCTGGACTCCAGCTCACGTTGATGTCACTGGCAACGAAAAAGCTGATGAACTGGCTAGGTTCATCACAAACTGTCAAATTCAAGGAAAAGAAAAATACATGTTAATCCCAGCTTCAGATTTTATCGTTGAAATAAGAAAAACAATTAAAACTAAATGGAAACAACAGTGGGAAGAATCCATAAAAGTTAAAGGGAAATGGTTCAGAGAAATACAGCAAGAATTTAAAACGCCATGGTTCGTTCAAGGAAAATATGTGGAAAGAAAATTTTATTCAATTTTATGTCGTCTTAGAATTGGACATGGAAGATATAAAAAGCATTTGCATAGGATGAAAATGGTTTCTTCTCCTATATGTGATTATTGTTCTGCCGACGAAGATCAATCATTAGATCACTTGTTTTTTGAATGTCAACATTTCGCAATCCAGCGATTAATATTTATTGATAAATTGATCAATATATATGATAAAATGGAGATCCCGCGCTCCATCCAGAATTTATTAAAGAACACAGAAACATACAAACCCATTTTCGAGTACGTAATATCAACATTTCAAGATATATAACTACTGAAGACAAGTATTAGAAAAAAAAAAAAATATACGAAAATATTACTGAAGACAATGGCTGTATGGGCTGAGTCCTTTTGCCTTTCCCTAAAAAGGGAAAAACAGAACCAAAAAAAAAAAAAAAAATTAAAGCCTATTTTTGTTTGAATATCAATGTTCGATTAGTTCAAAGACACAACACTAGTGATAAAGCGAGGAAATCGAAAATATGTGCTTTATCGCAGATTTCGTTATAATATCCATGGTTACAACTCGCCAATATAACTTTGATTTTATCACAAAAAATGCCATAAAAATTAGTACTTGCTCTATGTTTATGAAATAATGTACTCTGTCCAACTTCAATAATTTGATTGACTGATTGACATATTGGAAATTTTTTTCGTGCTTTGCTTTTCATTTCTGTGAGTTCGTCTCACTCACACTCATTTCTTAATCTTAATAAAATAAATAATCTTATTTCAGTTTAAGTTATTTCTATTTATCGCAAATTGTTTGTTTATTTATTTTTGTATCAAAATGATCTTATAAATAATTTCAGAACAACTACAGCTGTGTGACATCTTTAGATTCAAAATATTGTCTTCCATAAGTAATAGAAAATGATGATATCGCGGTCTAAACACCGATCATCGGTGGATGTTTGTTCTGACTGCGGAGCGTCAGGTCCGTGCTGTGATATTGTTATATGTGAAGTGTAGTCCTGGTGAATAATGTTCTTACTGTGATGGCTTGTTATCCAGATCCGTCATGGGCGTCAATAAACCGCGGGCTCCTGCTGTGCGCCGAGTGCTGTAGTGTCCACAGGAGTATGGGACGACATATTTCGCATGTGAAGTCCTTACGCCAAGGTTCATGGCCGCCGTCACTTTTAGCGGTACAAACAGTTATACCTGTTTTTATTAATGACTGCATTTATGGAGAAGTAATAATGAAATTTAAAACTTCAGATGGTGCAAGCTCTCACTGCTCAAAATGTCAACTGCATTTGGGAACATTCCCTACTCGACACATCAGCACCTAAACACTTACGGAAAAAACCACAAGCGAAAGATCCTTTGCAGTAAGAAATTATTTTTATTTTAATAACTAATCATTAACTAATGTTAGTTCTTGAATTGAATTGATGCAAAATTGTATTGTATATACAAAATTTAAATTTATTTGTGTATTTATTTTATTAACATTTTTGTTGCTTTATTTACTACATTTACAACTGTTATTTCAATATTAAATATGAATAATATATAGTTTGCCCGAAGACACATATCATGATGAAAATGCATGCATGATGGAGTACTGTCCATGGAAATAACATTTTGAATATTATTGTAATCCTTTTTAGTTGCTAGTTCCATTATATGGACTTAGAATTTAATACTTTTGAATTGACAAACATTTTTTTATCTGGATCCTTTATAAATCCTTATAATATTTATAATGTAATTCAAAAGTATTAATTGTCTATTGCAGCATTTGTGTATTTAGTAGTTTGTGTAAGTGTTTTAGTGTTAAGGTTTAATTTATGTAAATATATTTTAGCCCAATAAAATCAGAGTTCATCCAAGCTAAGCATCTGCGACTGGCATATGTATTGAGAGCTCGTCGAGATGAACCTCCCAGTGAGTTGGGGAGACAACTACACAGTGCAGTGAGGAGCTCCTCACTGGACACTGCAATGAGACTTTTAGCGCAAGGAGCTGACCCCAACTATTATAATCAGGTAAAAATATCCTCATTATAACATTATATATGATGTCAATTGCGAAATCTCTGTTTGTAGAATAGAATAGAATAGAATAGAAATTATAATTAATAATGTTCTTGTTTATAAATAAGATAAACATTAACATTTGCAAAACTGTAGGTAAAAGGTAGTAGTGTCACTCATCTGCTTCTTCCCTATCCCATTCATTTGTGATCGTCGTAATATGTTTTTCTCTTCCATTCATCCCTGGTTGCAGTCATTTTATTATTTACTCCCTTTCTTACCATATCATCTTTCATACAGTCCATCCATCTCTTTTTCGGCCTTCCCCTGCCCTTATAATCATACGCATTCATCAACACATTACAGCTAGTATATTATGTGTTATTTTATTCAGATTAGTCAAACTTTATTTATAAGTTTGTGTTATTCATATTAATGAATATGTCTATTTTCCTTCCTTGTCTCCTTCAGGTACATTATTATTCATAATACCTAAATAAATAGTAGTATTAATACATCTATTTATTTTATTGTATTTTATAAAATATAATAATGTTATTTTATAGAAGATTCGTATTTTTATTACAGCGATATATTTTTATTACATTACTATTGAGTCAACATCCATATTGCAATATGGTTGACTCAATAAAGGTGGGAATTTGATCACCAATACAGAAAGTCGTAATGCTTCCAATATTGGTGGTTAGCTTTCCACACCCAATACTCACACATATTAATAGTCTCGGAATTAAACATAGGTATATAAATCCATTAAGTATTATGTATTTATATACAAAAAAATATAATATGGTATTTCTATTAGTCGTCCAGTGCCCAAATCAATGTCTAGATAATACAAGATCTGCTTAATTTAGGACTAGATGGAGCTGTGTGAATTCATATCACATAGGTTATGATTATTGTTAATATTATTATTATTAGTAAACATAACTAAAGTTTTAATATATTGATTAGCCTGATTTCTGTGTTTTAAAGAAATAATTCAAACTTGGTATCATTGGTTCATATAGGAGAAAGGTACTACATGCCTACATGTAGCATGCAGAGCGGGACAGCCTGCTCAAGCTGAGCTCCTGGTGGCGTGGGGTGCTGATCCAACAGCACGGGACAATGGTGGGAACACACCATCAGACAGTGCCAGGTACAGTGTGATGTGCGGCGCCCTCAGGCTAAAGTCGTATCCGTCAGGCGGTTTGTCAGTTGACCTTCAGCCGCTCCATAAGTTTTTTTAGGATAGCTATAAGCGGATTTGGAGTGCACTGGCCCCCTATCGTCCGGTGAAGTTGTAAAAGCCAGCTGTAGTCAAAAGCATTAGAGAAGTCCGAAAAAAGCCACAACCACACCGTCCAACGTACTCGAACGCAAGAGCTTCTCACCGGCACTCTCTGTCACCCACCATAACTGGACCAAAAAAGGCGGTCAAGGCAGAAGACACTTCACACCGGGATACGTCGGATACGACCGGTCTGAGGGCTGGGTTCATATTAGTCGTATCCGACACTCAAGGGTTGACCTGCTATTCCATATATCCTTCCGCAAGTATGAAGTGTCCTATGTATAGAACGCCTTTGTTGATCCAGTTATGTTATAAAGCTTAGTAATAGCAAACAGCATTAGATTAGTTCTAAATAAAGAGGTATATATAGTAACAATTTTTATACGATCTTTTTATCGACATTACTAATTTGATATATTAAACTATTACTAAATTGTAGAAATCATAGTGGGCAGTATTATATTCTACTGTGATGAAATGTGTGTTCTATTTAGGTATTATTACATTTTGAAAGGTCATCAGTACAGTTTGACACCTACGTCTTACCTATTAACAAATATATTATTACTGACATCATCGGTTCTACGTATACATCCTGGAATATTGCAATAATTTTTGATGTTTTTTTATTTTAAATGTATGGAGGCGTTTGGCTTACGGGCATTTTTGTTTTCATTAATATAATTGTTTATGTAGGTATTCGTGTTTTTCTATTCAATCGTGCACCTGTTTGCGCTGGCGGGGCACTAGTGGAGCATGATAAGTTGAGCATGAGGTCAAGTCAGTTAACCCATCATAATTAATTCACTAGGAATTTATCATGATGGTTTCTAGGGGGAACCGTGTGGATATTAACCTGACATGGTATTATGATATGGGAGAAACATACCCTATGTTACTATAGCGTATCTACCTACATATATTATATTTATATCAATCTACTGTTTTTTGGTACAATAGACAAGATGGTTTCACAGAGCTGGGAGAAACATATCCTATGTTACTTTTGTGTATCTACCTACATATATTACAATTTACTTTTTTTTTAATACCACAGACAAGGCGGTTACACAGAGCTGGCGGATCGCATGACGGAGCTAGTATACGAGGCGACCGACCGCATGATCTACTTCCTGTCCGGCGAGAAACCGGACCACGCGGCCGGCCGCCACTACATCGTGCCCCGAGCACACGACACGCACGAGATGACAGACGTCGCGAAGGCCGCCAGAGGGAAGCTGCAGTTGGTCCGTACACTTCATTAATAAAAATAATAATTAAAACCATCAAAAACTGTGTTTAGGTAAATGATAATAATTGTGATGTGACTCTAAATTAAGATAATTTCAAGAATTAAAAAAAGTATAGAAATAGTGGCCGTAATTTCATTAATAATAAAAAAAATTAAACCAGTAAATGCTGTGAAAATGAGGCAAATGATAATAATAGTGATGTGACCCGTAACTCTACGTTAAGGTACCGAATATTTCAAGAATTAAAAAAGTAAAGAAATAATAATATTATCTGTGCACAATTCACACAGCGTCATCTAGTACCAAGCTAAGCATAACCAGTGTTATGGTTACTAGACAATTAATGGAATAATTTTTATTTAAATAAACTTAATGCAGGCACTTATGAATAGTCATATTTATTTCTTTCTGTTCTACTCATTCAGAAAACAAGCTCATCACAAGAAGTATGAGCAAGAAACTTACGTGTTGGTCTTTTAAATAAATCTCTGTACAACAGACTTACATTTTTAAGATTTTTTTTGTATATACTTACTGCCACATAGCACATATACAGCAATATTTTTTTATAAATATGTGCATAGAACACACCAGACGGATACAAACAATCATACTCATGAATACGAATGTTTGCACCGGAATCTAACACGCGACCAGTGGAAGTAAGGCGGTGTGTTAAACAGCTAGACCACCGAGGCTGTCTTAAAATATGTACTCCCTAATAAATATGTATTGATTGTATATGTACATAGGGTAACAAATGTGATGTTTCAGACGTCTATAGGCTGCAGTAATCATTTACCATCAGATAGGCCGTATGCTTGATGCCCAAAAATTATTATGAAATAGTATATAAGATTGCGTTTTTATTCGCAGCTACCCAATCATCTGTTTGAAGAGTTAGTTATGGATATATACGATGAAATTGATCGGCGGGAGACTGAAGCCAGTAAGTATCATATTATATATCACATATCCTTTATAATAAACTATATTATATCTAATCTCAAAGTACGTAGAACTTATATTATGGGTACTAGACAAATGATATAAATACATAGATATTTAAAAAAAAATGCATGTATAATATACATAGGGAAACCCAGACCAACACTATCGTATTTATGAATACAAATGTTTGTACCGTGCGGGGATTCGAACCCGCTACCAACGGAAGAACCGTCGTGTGCTATACCGCTAGACATCTTTCATAATGAATTGTTTTTCCATTTAATTGCGGGGAATCATGACGTGTGTCTACACGTCATGATTCCCTGGAATTTCCCAAATTAGACTCCTGTTATGTTTACTGTGCTTTCTGTTATAAAACCGTTTGAATTCTTTATTTCGCTCGGATAATCTATAGTCTTGGTCTCAATTGAGTGCCGATTTTATACATGGTATTTTTATTTATATTATTGTGGAGGGGTTTTAGGAGAAGCCTGCGCCTTAGAGGCGACTATTGTTGAAGATATGGATTAATATTTAATAAAATGTATCAAAATTGTAAACAATAAAATAAAGGGATTGTTTTATTTTATTTTATTTATATGTTGTTTTTATATATTTGTAAGTTAAACTATTTTCCAATTCGTATACCCCATATATCTTTCGCAGTATGGCAGACAAGTGCAACAGGGTTAGAACGGAGCGGCGTAGTTTTCCTTCCGGTGAACCCAGCTCTATCAGCTCCTCGGAACCAGGGCAGGCAGAAGCTGGCGAGGCTTTCTATCGCGGAGATGGCCGCCCTACTCCGAGACGTACTAGTGGATGCTACACGTCGTCAGCATATTGCTACCCTGCAGCCAAGAAGCCTGGCTGGTCCTCAGAACCCTCTTCTATCCGCTAGTCATTTGAAACACTTCTCCCAGTTGTCGGATGATGAGCCGCTGTACGACTCGGTGGCTTCTGATGAGGACTATGCCGCTTTGGCACCAATAGATCTTGATGTAAGTTATATTTTAATGTAACTAACAAAAGTAGTAAAAAAATTTGGACTTGTATAAGTCGCTATTGTTATATGATGTGTATGTTCATAAACCCTATGATGAATATGTAAACAGAACAGCTAGTAACAGCAATAACATTAATAAATATTATAGAAAATTCACTAGAATTTATACAAAAATAATTCTAATTTCTTGCACAATTGGATCCACAGTTGTCACACATCGTGCCACGGCCCGGCGAAACTGTTTCTTCCACTTACAACGCCTCACTACCCATCGAGCAATCCCTAAATGTAGAATTTCGCAGAACACAATCCCCTATTAGCATGGGTGTTGTACCAGAGCGAGGTGAAATCCTGAGCCTTAAAAAGGAATTAGACAGCAGAGACTCGACTATCACAGAACTGAAAAACCAACTGAAGAACTTGCAGACTATAGTGGAACAATTAACAAAAGAAAACAGCGTATTAAAAACAAATAGTATTGACGATGATCAGAGTATGACGTCGCAGACTTCTGCAAACGAAAGTACCGCTAGTAATATGTTAGAGTCTAGTTCTAAACCTCAAGAGAGGGGGAGGAGTCTGGAATCGGAGGAGCTGCGGTCGCCCGAGGAGTCAGATTTGAGGCAAACATTGAAAAGCACACAGCGCCCGGTCAGTATGTATGAGCCTAGGGAGGGACCAAAGAATAACTGGCAGGTTACTAAACATCAGGTACTAATCTATATTAAATATACTAATTATTTACGTACTATATCCTACTTTTTATGAAACGAACACCGAGTGAAATATCACTCTTTTAGTTCATATGAAACAATTTAATATGTAAAATTATCGTATCACAATGTTAGTTACTATACTCCCGCGAAACGGCTTGACCGATTTTTATGAAATTTTATATGTATATTCAGTAGTCTTAGAATCCGCTATTTTTCAGAGCCCTAAGTGATAAGGGTTATCCATCCCTAACATTATTTTTAATTTGTGGCATTAAAAAATACTAATAATATTTTAAAATAGAGATTTTAATTTATATGGTAAAACAACGTTTGCCGGGACACCTATATCTGAAATGTTCAATATTCGTTTCTTAAAAAATAAGATATAGTATTATTGTAGTTTAGTGGTGTGAGTGTGACAAACATAATGAATTTATATTAACATGTAATATGTACAGATCTCCCACGTTTATAAGCGTCGTCGAATATACGATCAAAGACCTTACCTAATATAATGGACTATATCCTCCGCAATTAGCCTCATTTGGGCCGTTGTGTCTGTAGAGTCTAGGCTATAAAGTAACCAGCCAAGCTCCTCCCAGAAGCGCAGAAGCCTCCTGGTGTCTTAACAGACTTCACGGAACGACCTCAGCGTTCCTTACCTATTTAATTTTTTTCTTTTTTACTTTAAATCTTAAAGTTTTAGAATTAAGGTGTAAAATAGGACAATAATAACATTTATGCAGTCTCATTTATGCTGTGACTAAATGGAGTGACATAATTACCAGTAATTGTCTAATTGTGTGGATACTTATATTAAATAACATTGTAATATCCTATGTTACATGTATTTTACAAAGAATATAATAATTTTTTACTTCTACCGCTGTCTATTGATATATGAAGACTAGACATAACGTTTTAGAATTGGACAGTTTTTTAGTCACAAGAAATTAATTCGTTTCTTATTTTTGTTATATAAAAAATGAATGAATGTAAAAACAAAAATGTAACTTATAAACTTGGTTGTTCTGTACTCATTGATTTTTTAAATATGTAGCGTATGAATAAATGGTTTACATGGTGAGTTAATTAAAGGAGCTTTTGGATACCAGGTTATTGTAAATTCCATGCGTTGGTGTAGAAATTAAAAATCTAATGTCCATAAATGGCATGACAGTAGTAGATTAAGAAAATATATTTAATATTTTTAACCTGTACATATACAATATAATGAACATCTTTAACATTTCAGTAGTTACTAAAGATAGGTTGAAAATATATATATAGCGTATAGTCTTCTTCGATAAAAAAATACAAACTTTTCTGAATTTCAGCAGTAATTTTCGATTACCCCTAACATCCAAAATCAAAAACTTTACCTCTACATAATGTTAGTGCATATAAATACAAAATAATTAAAATTTAAGTGTCTGTTTGTAATATTAAATTGAGAGCTTTTTATTTAATGTGTACGGAAAAAAAAACGATTTTGTTTTTTAAATTTGGCTATCTGTCTGTTTGTTCCTGCTAATCTCTGAAACGGCCGGAGGATTTTGCAGTTTTGGAATTGCACTTACAAATATCTAATGACAAAAGGACTTAGTAACTTAGATTACTCTTTTATTTAAATTTTTTAGACTACTCTTTATTTTAAATCTCTTTTTAAAACTTATATTAAATATTAATTTCCCATTACGATGCGGTGCTGGCTTTCCTGCGCTAAATCAACTGCTTCTGATCGCGCGAGAAAGAAATTGCGTAAAGGCAGCTTTCGTCTACCATTTACATACATTTGAAAGCCTATGCGTAAAAGAACGTACATGCGAATGGTACGGCGGTATGTTGGAAGGAGAGTGTGAATTTGCAGCTGACGACTGTGTCGGGGCTGGAGCGGTCGCTGACGCAGGGCGCGCTGGAGGAGTGGGCGGGGCCGGAGGAGGGGGCGGGGGCGGGGCCGGGGCCGGGCCCGCAGGAGATGCCGGGCGCGGAGGCAGTGCAGCGGCGGGCCGAGGCGGTCACCCGCGCCATACAGGAGCTGTGGGCGGCCGCGCGCGACCTCCCCGCGCGCCCCCCGCCTTCCCCCCTCCACGTGCGCCGTGCCGTCGCAGACCTGCTCGCGCTCTTTCCACAGGTGATTGTTGCAGCTTGTTTTTTTTTTAATAATTAAGGCAAAGGCTCTAAACCTGTTCTTCGTAACCTTTTTTTAACGCCATGCCCCACATTAGCTTTTCTAAAATCTTATGCCTCTCGAGCTATCGCCCTGCCCACCACCCCCCCCTCCCTCTAGTTTTATGTCAATATTTGTTATTGCTATTGGAGAAATGGGGGGTAGCGGGTAAGGTAAGTGGACTGTATGGAATTGAAATAAAGGGGGATGCACAGTACGTACCTGCGACTGTAGAGCGGGTGTATTCTTGCACAGCTGCTGCACTCGATGAATACTAAGTTTAACACAGGCACGCACACAAAGTTACTTATTGTTAATGTCAATATTATATTAATTAATTTAAAGCGGAGCGGTTGGGACGAGATGTCACCATTCACGTTAGTAGACGAGATCGTCGGGCGACCTCAGTTGACATACTGTGCGCGGGAAAGGGATTAGGATTTGGGAAATAGTACCATACCACTTGATATGTTTATAAATGGCGCGAACATCCTCCCCCGCCTTGAGAAACTAAGGGTTTCTCAAAGAAAATACAAAGAAGAGCAATATATGAAGCGGATGTACATTATAGTATATATTCCTAACATACTTATAATTAGTTATAGAGCGTAATATAATAAGAAAAACTTAATAGAATACACCTAGCGGTAAATAATAACTAAATGCGGTTTATAAGAAACATAGAGTTTATTGAGAAGGTAAAGGGATTAATTTAACGATTGGTCGCTTGAGTAAACCATTTTGAGTTTTAACAGATGCTACGCGAGCAATACCATCTGAGCCTGGATATATTTTCACAATGATACCCATTGGCCACCGAAGTGGTGAGACGTTATCATCATGTATAAGCACTACAGTACCAACCTTAACATTGTCTGTATTCTTAAACCACCTTTGGTGAATTAAAGAACGAAGAAGAATGGCACCTGTGTGACAGTTAATGCGGTGAAAATGATCTATTATTAAGTAAGTAATATTACTTACCATATGGTCGCGCTTAGGCAATAAAACGGGATGTTTTGCCTCGAAAGGTAAGTTAGCATTTAATAATCTACCTATCCTAATTATGCCATCGTCATCAATAAAAAGATTTAATTTACGCAGAGTTCCAGAAGGTAAATTACCCTTTTTAAGATCACTAATAACATGATAAAAATGAGCGACCTGAATTGCGGTAAGTATATATTTTTCAATATATTTAGAGCGGGGCAATACGCGTATATATCGCAGTATATAAATAGTAATTCGTAATAATTTGTTCCAGGATGAAACTTTAGATACAAGATCACAAAGCGGTGAGACTACAGTATTGGAAGCAGCAGTAACGAACGTCTTAGTATTATATTCAGGTAAGTTTTCATATTTTTCAGGTGTAAATGACTCTACCGGCCAAGAGCAGACGGGGCTACTCAGCCACGCGGGACCGTTCCACCACAACTCATGGGTAAGTAATTGTTTAGGCAGTAAACCTCTTGAAAGACAGTCGCTTGGATTATTGAATCCAGCCACGTGATAGAAATGTTTTGATTGTAAATTTTCCTGACATTTAGCCACACGATTGCTAACGAAGATATTCCACCGATGTGGTGAAGAATGAATCCATGAGAGTGCAATTTTCGAGTCAGAAAATACATAGACGTTCTGTACAGACGTGCGTGAAGAGTAAGCATCGTAAACTAGTTTAGTTAGTTTAGACATTAAAACGGCGGCGCAAAGTTCTAGTCGCGCAAGTGAGACTACCTTAACGGGTGCGACTTTTGATTTCGCACAGACTAATCTCACGTATATATTGCCTGCGGGATCTGTCAATGGAGAGTAAATAACGCAGCCGTAAGCTTTTAAACTAGCATCCGAAAACGCAACGATATTTATTATACAGTCTTGCGTGACAGATAAATGACGCGGTATTTTTAAATTAGCAAGAAGCGGTAATTGTTGTTTAAATGTAGTAAAAATAGCGGTTATATCTGTCGGAGGTACATCATCCCAACCGACTTTCTGCAGCCAAAGATCTTTAATAAGTAGTTTAGCGGTAAGTACGACAGGCGCAGCAAAACCTAATACGTCCCATAATCGGGCAATTAGGGAAAGTATGGTACGTTTTGTACACAAGCGGTCATCACAATTGATTTTAAAAACGAAAATATCATCTTGCGGGTTCCATTCGAGCCCTAATATCTTAAGGGACTCACGTCTATCAAACTCAACTTGCTGTGCAAATTTCAGCGGTGTAGGAATGCTCTCTAGTAGGTTCTTTGAATTACTAGACCATTTAACTAATTGAAAGCCACCTGACTTAAACATATTAATTAATTGAGCGGTAGCCTCGACAGCATCAACCTCATTTAGTATAGACGTAGCTAAATCGTCCATATACAGTTCCCTTTCAGCTATAGATGCAGCCAGCGGGAAGTTATCGCGTTCATCATCACAAAGCTGACGAATTGTACGCATGGCAAGGTAACGACTTGACTTAAGACCAAATGCAACTCTATTAAATTGAAAGGTACGTATGGGTTCAGACGTATTAAAGCGGTACAGTATTTTTTGATATTTACGATACTCGTCGGTTACTAAAATTTGTAGGTACATTTGTTTTATATACGCGGTTATAGCGATTGGAAATAAACGAAAATTTAATAAAAGTAAAAATAAATCAGCTTGGAGATTAGGACCCATATGTAAAATATCATTTAGAGAAATGCCGTTATGACATTTAGCACTTGCATCAAGGACTATTCTGACCTTGGTGGTGTCTTTATCCTGCCTAATGACAGGGTGATGCGGTATGACGTAACCGTCATCCATATTATCGGATGTATTTAAAACTTCAGATAAATATTGGTTGTCTATATAGTCTTTTATGATGGCATTATAATCAGCGCGCAAACCTGTACTTTCTAGTTTGCGTTCTAGCGATAGCAAGCGACGAAAAGCGGTGATACGGGAATTACCTAACTCGCTAGGATCCTTATAAAACGGTAAAACAGTACAATAACGACCTGACGAGTCCCGGGACACGGTAGAAGAGTACATTTGCTCGCATTCCTTTTCTGCGGGACTTAAATATTTATTTATAGGAACCTCCTCTAATTCCCAGAATTTAGAGAGAGAATCATTAAGATTATTTTCAATACATATTAAGAAAGCAGAGGAAGATGAGTCTTGTTGAGGCGCGGTATGATCACGATCAGATGTGGTCGCATTATTACAGGGAACGTCACCAATAAAAACATAACCAAAAATAGTTTCTATGGCTGGCGGTGCGGGTGGACTTATTATTTTTCCACTTAAAAGAATATAAGGGAACAAATTTGCTCCTAATACAAGTTCGATCTCACCTGGCATATGCCAGTGAGGATCTGCAAGCGGTAAGTCGACTAAATGACTTATAACAGACGTATCTATATATTCAATAGGTAGCCGATCGGTAATACAATCGACTACTAACGCGGTTATAGTGAAGCTTGTTCGTTATGTTTATCGGAAATCATTAATTTAACATGGCCCTTTATAGGCCTCGTTGTTAATCCGACACCTTTTAAAAATGAATTCGTAAGCGGAATAATGTTTAAGTTTAATTGTTTACAACAATCAATCGTAATAAGGTTATGTTGCGAAGCATTGTCTAAAAGGCAACGAACAGTACGTATTATATTTTTGTTATAGTTACGAACAATAACAGACGCTGTAGACAGAAGTACCTCTGTACGCACTTTACCCGTTGGACATACAACACCAGGCATGGCTGCTGTAGTGGTAGGTACTCGAGTGCACAACGACAAAGGTGCGGGCATCGCGATTTCAATGGGCGCTTTTGAGTCCCCGTCAGGAGTCAAATTACATTGTGTCGCATTACGACAGGGGACTGGCGGGAGTGCGGGAGCGGCGATCGTAGATCGATCACTCATCACATTAGATCGATGAGTGCAGAGCGGTGTATTATTATTTTGTGCCTTATCTAAATGTAATAAGGAATGATGTCGCTTATTACAAGTTCTACATTTGTATTTAGAATTACAAGTGGACACAGAATGCGTTATACTAAGGCAATTTACACAACCTCGTTTAGATTTAATAAAATCTAATCGATTTTTCGGCCGCATTGATTTAAATGTGGAACAGGTATATAACTGATAATGTTCCGAAGTATTACACATAGAACAAGGAGCTCGGTGACCAGAAGTGTCACTTCGTGTAACAAATGAATGTACATTTTGCGGGCGGTTGTTTTTAATATTAGTTAATGTGTTGCGGCTTACTGAATTAATATTATTATTCGTGCGGTCTAATATTTTCACCTGACTTTTTATAAATTCTACAAAATCCATATAACTCGGAATATCTTTATTTCTAGCGGTCATTTCGAAAGCCTGTGTAGTACTTAAATCCACCTTTCGTAAGGCTAAGTTCAATAAAATAAAATCTTGCATATCATCAATCTTTAATTGACGCATAGCAGCTACAGCGGCATCGAAAGTTTCGATGAAATTATTTAATGAAGCGGAATTATTTGTGGCCGATTTAATGTTAAATAATGTAGAAATATAATATGAACCTAAGGCCCTTTTATTCTGATATTTCTTTACTAAACTTTCCCATATGGAAGTATAATTATTACCAGACGGAATTATACCGGCCATTATTTTTTGAGCGCTTCCAGTTAATTTACTAAGTAAATACTGAATTCTTTGTGAATCGGTTAAATCGGTGTTACAATGAATATTACTCCTAAAGGATTCATAAAAGCTAGACCACGTGGACATATTCCCGTCAAAACAAGGAATACAGAGAGGTTCTAGTTTGATACTAGATTTATTATGCGGTACCGATTGTGAAGACGAAGGCTTATTCGCTTCGCTTAATATTAAACGACATCTTTTTATTCGACTAAAAATATCTTCAAACGTTAAAAGTGCCTGGTAATCAGGTTCAAATTTAGGATTCAACTGCATTTGTAACTCGTTTATAGAATCTAAATTTTGTATATATTCATAGCGCAGTGTATCAATGGTTTCACTGTCCGCCATGAATGCCTCTGCGGAGCGTAAGTCGATTGACGACGGTGACAGATTTTTACAAGTATCACGCAATCTTGTAATACGTTGAAATATAGCTCTGTTTTTAGCTTCTAGCATTTTTAAATTCGACTCCATTATCGTTACGATTATTGGCGTTGAAAAATACAAATTAATGTAGGTAGGTATGTACGCTTACTGCGTAATATGTATTATACAAATAATAAAGTATTATTATTAATTAAGCGGTAAATGCGGTAATTATTAGAAAATATACCCAATACTAGGCTTATAGGTATGGCATACTAATATATTAAGTACAGAAAATGCGTATGCGCGGGTGAATATACGAATAGGTACAAAGAAGCGGTATGGCTTATAGCGGGCGGTATAATATAATGAAATTATGTACCTATCAATGCGGGGATGTAAATCTCGTCCTAATTATAGTATTTAAGCGGTAGGTATCCGGCTCGAAGGACCATGGAGAAATGGGGGGTAGCGGGTAAGGTAAGTGGACTGTATGGAATTGAAATAAAGGGGGATGCACAGTACGTACCTGCGACTGTAGAGCGGGTGTATTCTTGCACAGCTGCTGCACTCGATGAATACTAAGTTTAACACAGGCACGCACACAAAGTTACTTATTGTTAATGTCAATATTATATTAATTAATTTAAAGCGGAGCGGTTGGGACGAGATGTCACCATTCACGTTAGTAGACGAGATCGTCGGGCGACCTCAGTTGACATACTGTGCGCGGGAAAGGGATTAGGATTTGGGAAATAGTACCATACCACTTGATATGTTTATAAATGGCGCGAACAGCTATTTTATTTTGCTATAAATTAAATTAGTATATCGACAAAGGAGATGCAAAACAATTAAATTTTGTTCCACACCACGTTACTAAATCCCTTAAATGTGTCTTGAGCAATATTTTTTAGTACATGTGTCTACCAAATTATTATTTTATTAATATCATAAATGTTTTTAAATGACACACTAATTAATGTCTAAACTATTAACGACGTATAAAACCAATATCTCAATTTAGAAGAAATGTATTAATGTGAGTTCTAAATTTTTATAGAATATATTTTGTTTTTATTATAAGACGCAATATCTGGTTTTATTTAAAAAAATAATATAATCTTCCAGCCGTGTCCGGAGCCGTCGGTGCAGGCGGTGGTGGAGGCGCTGCGCGCGGCGTCGTCGGCGGTGTTCCGCGCGTGCTGTGCGCCGGCGCCGCTGCCGGAGCTGCGGGCGGCCGCCTACGACCTGGCCAAGGCCACCAAGCTGCTCGTCACGCACTTCCAGCCCTCCTAGCGCCGCGCACACTACTACTACACCACCGTGTAGTACTCCCTCCGAGGGTAGCTATACTTATTTCAATTTATATTTATTCCATTCTGTTAGTATTTACAGAATATCTTCAGTCATGTAGGTCTATTGCAAACTCTTATGATATGTCAATTCTACCGTCAGTTCGCAGTGGTTTCGAGCTTAAGAAGAACTGACAAGAAAATAGGCCTTTATTGTTGTCGCATGAGTTAATTCATTGAATTCATTAATGCATATGCCATTGCAAGTTTGTCATAAGGAATGATGAATTAGAATACAGAGGGTGCGACCTCACCAAACCCATAGAGTTGGCCAGATTCAAACTTACTACCTTTCGCTTGAAGTGGGGACAGCAAAGCCGCCATGTCTCTGACTTTAAATCGATAATAGTGTAATATTTGTGTAAGTAACATCAATACGTCTGTGTATTGTAGTATTGCACAGTGAATATTGTATGATAACGTACAAGATCTGAGGTAACCGAGGTATACTTTGTTCGAAGCCATTTCAATGGGCATATCTGTCCCATTCTGCCCATCTGAACCTCAGCCGCAAACTGTGTTACTCTGTAAGCTTTCTTTCGGTGTGAGGATTAGGTATGGCAGTGAATTCACAGTGTTTAAACACATAACATCTTAGTCTTTCGTAATGGCAACATACGATACGACGGGTGTCAGTTGTATGTTGTAATATCCGTTGCCCTTTCCATTTACATAGGAGACGGTTGCCAACTTTTTGTCTTTTTATTTACATAAAATTTCTACGAAATACTAAAATTATACGATACATCTGTAAAAATAATGTACTTCTAGTACTGTGATTAAATAATAAAGACAGCTACTAATTTAAATTTTAGTAGGAATTGTATACATAAAAAATATACTAATGACAGACTTCTGTTCTAATGACATTATTCTTTTTCTTTTCAGGGAATGATCGTGGTTGTACCATTGGTTGTAACGTAGCAAAAATCCATGGCAGCTATTTGGTTGTTTGCTAAGAACTAAGCTAAATATGTTTATTTGATTGTATGCTAAATGGCTATTCAAATGGACTTACTAATAAGCATATTTGAATCACAAATAAATATAGTGTATTAAAAGATTAAACTCCTGTACAATGTCAGCCCCCGCCTGAACATAGTTTATCTAATTTTAAGATATTTTATGTAATATTTTTCGTCGTATATTTTCGCGTCGACAGGTTATGTGCCCAGTTTTTTCTGCTTGATGTAAATTAGTGTCGTATGAATACTGACCGCGATTGTTTATTTTAAAATTATAAGATTTAAACGAAAATGATTATATCTTTCGACTTGATGCCAAGATCTGATTGGAAAAAAGTGGAATAAGGGTCCGCGCAGACGACAGTTTCACATCTATGTAATTGTTCTTAAAATAGCACATAACTGTGTCTTAACGTTGGCAAAGATAAAAAGTACATACAGCCAATTATAGATGGCTTACTTGTTCAATTACTCCGTCTATGTGGACCCCAAAGTAAAGTATTATACTGAAAATTTATACTAAATACGTCGTCTGTTATTTTTCACAGATAATTAATATATCTTTTGTATTAAATGAACGTGGTTGAATACGTATTAGTATTTTAGTGATATTTCGTTGTGTTCATTGTAGGTTGACGACGAGCAAAATTATAGGAACGTCTTCCTAATGTATATATCAAGAAACACATAAATATGTGACGATATTAATTTGAAATTAATTGAATGTCGAATAGACTGTGGCAACACCAAACAAATGGTACAAAATATAGAGGCGGAAACAGATTATTAAAACGGTCCCAACATTATGTTAAGATTCCATGAACAAAAACAATTGCGAACGCAAAGTTATTTAATTACATATGTCTTAGATGTTATATAATAATGATTTCATAGAAATACTGAGTAAATACAGGCAACACTTGACGACAATTCATTAGAGATTTAAGAACGTGTGTGCGAAACGAACATGCGTGCGAAAGACTTGGCTAAAAATAAAAGTACATCAATGAATAAATACCTTTTATGTTCTAAAATAGCTTATATGTTATGGAATCGTTATGGGCCGTATGCTTGCTTGTCACCTACGTAGTACAAAAAATCTGATAATGTTCACGGTTCAAGTCGAACGTCGACACGTCGTTATAAGACTCGTTATAATATCTGAATGTTTCCGCCTTAAATATGTTATGGCGTTATTATTGTGTAACTGGAAGCTGGCGATGCACACTTCTCTTAGTGATAGGTCGCCAATGTGCTATATTATATAGAAACGTAGTAAAAAGTGATTAAAATTATAAATCTATCACAGTATAGTTAATATTTTTAACGTTATTAACAATATTTTTATATGCCTAGGATATGGACATATAATTTACATTATATTGCAACAATTTTTTCAACATTAATAATAATATGACTACTTCAAACTTGTGTATTTTATCAGTATTAAAATTTTACTCTCTAGTAATAATGCTTAAGTACAGAATTATTTTTTATTATTGTGAGAAAACTAGAGTATACTGTATATGAAATAGAAGCACTAAACATTGTAATACAAGATTTGCAATCAATATTAAATATGAAAATATAGTCCACACTCAACGTAGTACGTAGGTACTCCGCGATACGATAGTAACGGACCGAAGGCACACCGTACGTCTCATATCCTAGGCAGAATTACACCTGCAATTAAAATTGCATTAATCAGTACGATATAATTATAATAGTTTATCAAAATGTTATGATTATTCAATGAAATGTGTGTCGTCGATATATCTTCGAATAGATATCGTAAAGAAGTGATATGAAAATTGTATAGAGAATTGATATACCATAAATAATATAGATTTATTATAACGCTTTGCGCTTTTCATGTAACTATTAACGCATTGCTACTTACGAGGAAACTGATGAATAAGTTTTTTAACAAATTAATAAGACATATTGTTTTTGAATTTATATAATAGTTATTGTATAAGTGAAATGTTAGTGATTTATATGTATATAATAATATAGTTGTATAAGTATAAGAAGTAAAGTATAAATTGTCATTTTCATATAATTTTTTGAAGTTGTATTTTGAAGTTGTTGCCCTGTATACAAATGTATTACAGTATGGAAGTAACAATTTTGCAAGTTATCGGGGCGTTTATTATTCGTTAAGTTATTTTCGTCGAAAAACGTATTATACGATATATAGTGGACACACATAATTTGGTTCAATTGGACGATTGTCCTATGCGATTGCGTTCTGATTGGCCCATTTACAAAGATGGCGGGGCTTAACAACCAAATGCGCCAATCGAACGGGAGTTACATTGTGAAATCGTTCGATTGAAGCGAATAATGTGTGACCGTACTTACATGTTATGATGGCGTTTCATATAGTTATTCGTATTCTTTTTCCTCTAATATATACTCCTAATATAGCTCCCACGGTGAATAACGGTGATTCTAGGCCAGTATCAAGGTCAGAAAGGTCTCACTGCCATCGTATCATATGTTAGATTTTATTTCCACATTTATCATATCATCTAGGTCGATGTGCGTGTAGAGCTGATACTACTAAAGTGATCAGCCAAGCTCCTCCCAGAAGCGCAAAAGCTTCCTGGAGTATTCACAGACTTTACGGAGTAAACTACTATATAGATACTAATATTTTAATCCGCGATTGATCGAATTTTGTTATGAGGAAAGTAAACGGAAATATGATTTGATTAAAAGAATTTTCTATCACTGTTCGAACTGTACATTATTCTAGAGTGACATACGCTATATATTAGGTTAATATATATAAAACTCACAGACTTATTAGTGCCCTGATAAAGCCGGGAGGGTCACATATATACATGGTGTTTAATTTATCAGAATATGAATAGCTACGTGAGACGCTACCATTAATTGTTACATTGTTTATTGTGATCGTCATTCGTTAAACACAAGTGCCATTCGTGCTCGTTTGAGTAACAAAGTATCTCATTCAAATCTGTGTAAGCATGGCTTAACATTCTCATCATTCTCACAGTATTCTTTGACTTCTCATGTTAACCGTCACAAATGTTTAATAGATCTCTTACCGCGCGTCTACTTCGTCATTCCAATACAGTGTGTTCTTTATTTTTATGTAAACTCACAATTTATTGTAAAATATAATATACAGGTTGTAACCACAGATACATTCATTGCTTATTAGCAAATACGTAATAATTCTAGAAAGTTGTAAATGTGGGATAAACATAAGATAGCTATGAATATTACTAGTCTATGTTTATATTTCCACAGAAATTACGGTGATAGACTTGAGAAAATTAATTACATATTTAGAAAAAAGTTTCGAACATTTCATATAGTTTGTGAGGTTTATAACTTTCGGTTACATCCTGTATATTGAAGGTCAGTTCACATCACATCGACACCTATATTACATTGTTAACTATTTATAATGTACAATATAAAGACTAATAAAAATGAATATCGTATACGTAATGACCACAATAACTATCTGCTGTCCTTGTCTAACCGCATAGGATTAAAAAAGATGACATTGCACAATGTTGAGTTAGTTAAGTTTATATTGCATGCGGTGTTAAGCTTGTGAAATTACGCCTTTATCTATTGTTAAGAGTCCAATTTGTCTGAATGTGTGAATTGACCTTGATAAGTTATAACAGTTTGTCTCATACCTGTTTTCAAATGATCTAGTTGCTTTTTGTAATGGAAATTTCGCGTTCTTTGACGATTTAGTAACAAATTCCCACAAAAATATATAAGGCGAGTATTACATTATCAAATATAATATTGGATCAAGGCTAAATGAATGTGTCAATTCATGAAGCTAATTCGTTTTTTATGTATGTAACTTTTATAATGTCTCGTTTTCGTTAGTAAATTTATAAATAAAAAAAAATATCTATGGTCTGCTATATGATAATGTAATACCCCCTTTAAAACAGAGGTGCTTACTATATTAGTTTCCTATACTGCCCAGTTGTCTACTAGATACCCAGTGCATACTGAATTTGATATGAATCGTGCCTAAAATGTTAAATTATATTCATACATTTGTTAGATAGAGCTAGATATTTGTAACATTAACTGTACAGGGCTAGTCATAAAGAGTAATAATAAGTCAGGATACATATAAAACTGAATCGTTTTCTATAAGAAATAAAGTTGAAATTTGAATGTATTTATTCAACATTTAGTAAATTGGCGTGACCGCTAAATTTGTTTTAAAAGTATTTTCGTTTTGGAAATGTTCTATTCCAGGAATACTTTCTAAATATTACTGGGTTCCCATGCTTTGTTTACTTTGTATGACTAGTCCTGTATCGTATCAGTTGTGTAGATTTTTATATGAGAATTTCATAGCTATATGTTAACTGGACTGTACCTATATATAGTTGATATAATGTGAATTTTAATATTGTAGTCTATTATATTTGTATTAGCTTTCGTACGGAATGTATTTAGTATTGATATCCATATTATGTGATCACTTTATGTGCCAATGTTTATGTAAAAGACGTAGGTTAGTACGCAATTATTGTTATTGCACTGTTGTATGTGTTTCCCTTTTGTGTTACGGGGTTATGACGCTATATCATTATTGGAGATTATTATACTCTGTGCAGGATTCTTATCTGGCAAGCAGGAGTTGGCCTTCAGCCGCTATATAAGTTCTTCCGCGGGTTTGCCGTGCCATATGCACTCGCTCCCATTTTGTCCGGTGAAGCTGCAAAGTTCAGCTGCGGCCAAATGCATTAAAATAGTTCTTTTAAAAAATTATAATTGTATAATGAACGGATAACACTTGACATTTGAGGTTTTATATAAATCTAGTTTTTATATAAATAATAAATCTATAATCAACTAACATGATAACATTTTCATTCTGTTTACTTGCTAATTTCGTAAGTAAAAAGGCATTAATAATTAAAAATAAGATAATTTATTTATTTCATAATATGATGGAAAATTAATTCAATATTTGAAATATTTTGGTGAAAAATTGCATTGTTATATAAAATAAAATTAATATGTAAGTAGGTAAAATATATTTTGTCTGTGGAACAGTCAAAACATATATTAGTATAATAATAAATATAGCTCGTCATAATTCTGGTAAATAATTGGGGAGCACACAATTATCTAATAAAGTTTTGTTACGTTTCCTTTCTAAAGAGAAGATATGACGTATTTATACACTTATTAATAATGTATTTTGAATAACTTTGAAAAAAATTGATAGAAGAATTGTGCGTGTAATTTTTATAATTCTTACTAAAATCCTAACCAAAACCTGTTAAGGGAAATTTATCTACATTTTATAATAATTTATAACCACCGAACTTTAGTATTTCGAGTAAACTCTGACCTATTCCCTGTATTTTTACACACTCATTTATTTAAAAAAAACTGAAGTGTACAAACGCATTTTATTTATATTTGTTAAACTGTATTATAGTTTTGTAATTTTCTTTCAGATCATGAAACGAACGAAAAAGATGCAACTGTAATAGTTGAAATGCGTTTATTATACCTGTGAGGTTTTTAATATGAAGTGTTAGAATTCTTTCGGTTCACTTTTAGAAGTCGGTTGAAAATCTGTTCAATTCCGCAAGTGATAGTGGTCTGCATTTTATTCCGCTTTTATTACTTTATGGTCAGAGTTTATCGTATTTTTTTTGTAATTTTAATATCAGAAATGAATATTATTTTATATATATTTCATGCATAGACACAGATCAATGTACATTTATATATAAATTAGGACAGATACAGTAAGCTTCATGCAAAACAAAGTTAATAATGGGGAATTATTGGTTGAACATGCTCTTAGGCAGATACTCACTTACCATCAAATGAGGCACAGACTCGTTTATGTATTTAAACAAAAGCTTGTTTAGGCCATCTTCACACCTGATAAGAAGTTGACTGTGTCTATTTTAAATCTATATACTGTAATCAGTCTGATAATACTTCAAAGACATCACAAACGAAGCTTTAGCTCCCGTCAAACTATTAAGAAAGAAAAATATATTTATTTGGCGCGTACAGTTCAATTTATAATTGTATTAAAAAATTAACCAATCAACCTTCCATTTGACATTAATTGAAATGTATAACATAAGTATTAATAAAATTTATTATAATTTTGACTTACGTGGTTGTTTTATTTTTATAAATTTAAGTGTATGAAATTTATATATTATCAGTCGTGTAATCAACAAACTGAATATAAAAATGCCAGTTTCAAGATACTATTTAGTCTTATACCTTATTAACTGAGTCTGAGATTGAGTACCTACATCTAAAATTGATAAGCATTATTAACATATACTTGTACGTGTTTCTTAGTGCAGTATTTTCCATTTGAGATTGAATAAATAGAAATATTATTTAATTTTTCACTACCTTTTTCTATTACCATGATGGTAGCAAATAAGCATACGGCCCATCTGATGGTAAACGGTTATCGTAACTTATGGATACCTGACCCACCACCTTGCCGACTACTTGTAGTGTTACTGAATACATAACTTGCATATAGAAATATTTAGATATAAGTAGCTATTTATTGTATGTATTTGTTTGCAATTTCAAATTCAAATTCACAAATAATTTATTCATCGGACATTATGGTCACTTATACAAGTCAAGTTTTTTTTTATATTTTTCACAATGCGCTGAATTACCAGTCTTCATTCTCATCGTACCTTCACTGGTGCTCATCACTATGTATACCTACCATTACCACATTAAAAAGTATTCAATAAAAAAAAGTATTTACTTTTGCACCTACCAAGTAATGTAATTATGTAAGTACTGATTTGAATTATGAATATGAATTAGTTTCATTTACATTTATTTATTAGACGAGTGATTATACAAAACATTTACAATATCCCATTCGTATCGACCACAGATAAAGTGGGCGTGTAAAGTGTTCAAATCAAGTACGTAATGAATTAATAATTGTTACTATAAATGCAATGCTGGAAATTACATGTAACCGCACTAATACGTTTTAATCACTATTTATCTTCACGCTAGATTTTTTAAAGGGTAGGCAGAGAAACGTATGCCATTGGCTACATACTAAAATTTCTTACATCATACACATTTGTAATTATTCATCTATGCAGACCTGTACAGTATGTAATTTATTTTATCTGTGGTATAGATATACGACCGCATGTGCATAATGAAAAATAAAACAACTTTTGTGTTTAAACAGTATATTATAAAATTTCCACACACCACACAATAATACTTTGATAATATTCTCTCATAATATGTAGATACTATAATTATAATCAAATATATAATACACCTCCCATTACAAATATATGGCCATCATTATCTTTTTGTACTAGGTTCATCGTAGTTTTGTTGATTATAATACAATTAAAAATGTATATGCTTGCGATGCAGAAAATCCTAGGCGTTAATATTTTTATCAAAATTGCATGTTATTACGCTAAACGTGTAGCAAATAAAATATTCCCATACCATATGTATACCATATGGAGACCATAGGTATAGATTATATAATACAGACTGGTTATAAAAGGACGGGAAAATCGGTGCGTACAAAAGGGCTCTAATTTGTATCTGCATTCTTACACAACGATCATAATTATGTCAAATGTTTAATACATGTACGTATTCATACGTAATCGTAAAAAGAACTTTCGATTTCATTATGTGTAAAATAAAAATAATGCAAGACCCACGCTACAGGATCTATTCAAAAATAATAAAAAAATTATGTAATCGCTTCACCGATTACAATCGTGTTATGACTCAGTGAACAATAGGATCTCGGAAATTGTAGGTAGCACCTTCAAGGTTGACTTACAGAGCAGTATAATTGACAACAAATAATTACTCTAGTAACGACTACTATGAGGGACTATAAGGCACCGTTTGCTTTTTGTAGTATGTGAGAACCTTTAACTATAAATACGTAATTACAAGTTTGGCCTTGGCTGCGGTTTCTAAAAATGTTGCCAAAATATGTCTATCATTATAGTTAAATACTGTATGGCCTAGTGTGCCTTGGGTAAAGGAAATGATCCTTATTAATCATTTACTCTTTGAGGTTGAAATTAATACAATCCTCCCTGAAATTCATCGTAACGAATTTTCCATAATGCAGCGTTGGGCTAAGTAGGTCAATAACCTTATTTAACCACATATTTTCATTATTCATCAGTCCCGTTAGCTATACATATACCAATATCTTACAATCATTTATAAGAAATAGACAGCCCTAACAACTAAATAATAAAAAAAAACATTTACCGAGGTGCACTTTTAAATTAAAGTTGTCTGTTTGGGACCTTGGTGTCCGCTATTTCAGCTGCTTTGTACTCACAGCTGTGTTTCGGTAGAGGGGTAGGATAATTATAATAAAAGTTTAAGGAGTCATCCATGGTAATGCATGAGTGATATCACGCAGGATAACGACGTCAATGGTGCTGTTCATGTCATACGACGGTTAATTAGATCTTAACACCGCCGCGCAGTCAGCTCATTTGCACATTCAAAAAAATACTGGATCGTACAGGTTATTAATCACAATTAATAGCAATATGCGCCAGATCCATTACACAGCACAATGAGATAAGTACCCTAATTTTCTTCAAGCTTTTATCCATCATCGATAATTTGCTAGCGTAGCCTTTAATGCAGTGCTGGTTGCATCACTACGAGTTCCACCAACATTCATAAACACGCATTTACCTTGTAACCTGACTTCAATCTTGCGACAATAAAACATTATGAAGCTATTTATTATTGATTATTATAGTAATAACCTAAACTGTTATGAGAGATCACCGCTTTATTTAAGCACGCCATCAAAGCAAGTTCTGCGTTGCGTTTACCGCCGAAGGAGGTCGCCACTCGATATTGTTTTAGAGATAAATATAGGTGCATCTACTAATATGAACCAAATTCGTTTAGCCACACTGTCGATACAGCTTCACTATACAGGTGTACTTATTGAAATTACACAAATATACTCCCGACTACGCATCTATGAGAATAAATCAAAAGAATGCGCTATGCATATTCACTCGACCCTCGTTTCATATTGCGTCGGCCTGGTTTCATTTATAATTTGAGTAAACTTAGCGATCTGTTTGAATAGTTGCATATTGTTAAAATTGAGCATGTCCTCTTTTTTTTATTGGTCAAAATATTGAAATAGAAACATTCCTGGACACTGGGTACCTAAAACGTGCACAAGAAGTAAAACATTTGAAAGGAAATCGATAATGCCGGTTACAAAAGAATATTTTTCCACTTTTATGCTAATGATCTCTCAAAATTGTTTTCAAAGTTCCCATTTAAGTATAATAACCTAGTTTGCATAAGAAATCGTAACTAAAATCGCATAGCATTGTTTCGGCCGCATTTACTCACACACGTCGCTATTTCGTGTTTAAAGAAAAAGTAAAGTTGTTTAAATATTTTCTATGGCTAATGTAGGTAATTAGGCGAGCATAAATGGCTTACTGTATGGCAGTCTACGTGGAATATCTACGTATCACAGTGAGTACCGAATAAAAAACTTAAAAATCATGAAAAAGTTAAAATCTGGCACAGGTAATAATCGCTCCATTGGAATTTCAAGAGCATTTCCAAATACAGATCGCTTGGTTTCCACCGAAATACATATAACATATTGTTGTGCACTCATATGTGATTTCGAAGCCGTAACTTTCTCCGACCACAACGTGGAAGGCAGGTCCAAACTTTTTGTCCATGGATTCCTTAACCATTCGTGCTGCTAGCTCGTTGTTCTGAGAGAACTTTTCGCACGCCGTTACTGATAACTCCATCGCTTCAACGCGCATTTCTTCTGACATGTCTGAGTGCTGTGAACAATGATAAGTAATATTAATATGCCTTCACGACAGTTATTCCAGATGGGGAAATTAGAGGCAAGATTTTATAGAAGAATTCGAAATGGTGCACCCTCCTGCGCCAACATTAGGTATATGCCGGTAGGATACCAGTGGAGGATGAAGTCAAGTCAGTTAACGGCAGGAAAATGACTTGCACAACAGGTTGAATGGTCGTATGTTATATGACATAAATAATAATGAGTTTGAGTTTGAAAAACGAATCATGGCGAATTCACCAAAAAATAACCGTGATGGTTTTTAGGGAGGGCCGCGATGCAGTTGATGTGTCATTGTCCTATTGCCCACATTGTCAAATGTCGAATTTATTATGAACGCTACACTTGATATGCGGATATTTCGCCGGCTATATTGAATTAAGAATATAAATGACTTTCTTTGTAAAAAAGCTTATTATAAAATAACTTTCCACTAATTTAATAATATAATGAGAAGAAACGGTTTCTGTTATGAGGAATCAGAAAATAAACCCCGGAACGTCTGTACCGAATTGAGAAATTATTTCAATGACTGAAAGATATATTTTTTAGTAATTTTAAGACATATTTTCAATTTGACATAGCATACGACCTCAGATTAGTTATGAGCCACCCGAGGGTCTGCGTGATGCTCGAACGAACCAATAATTTCTAAATAAAAGTCATTGTACCTACATTGATCTTAAACGGAAGTGTCAAAAACATCCTACTTGAAAAACTATAGTCAGTAAAGATAATCAAGTATTGATTGGTACCTAGCTAAACTAACACGAACACATTGGATCCATCTGCCAAAACAAATACCTAATGGAACCGGGCGAGCAACGGCCGCATTTGTTTGTTCAATATAACCTACAGACATGAGTGGGTATGTTTATCCTTATTTTCTACGAACTACTTGCCTAATAGTAGGTAGAGTAGTAATATTAATAGACTGGTACCATTACTAATTACCTATCTAGTATTTCATACTGTTTTCACATTATTTCACGTGATGTTCTTCGTTTTCCTTCATTGCTGATAAAACAGCGCGGAAAATTTTGAATTGCGAAAAGGCTGAAATATCCATTTATTGTAGATGGTTTTTAGGACTTATAATGCTGCCAGTAGCTCCAGTCGAAGTCGTAATAATAACACATAATTAAGTATTTGAGAATAACCCGACCGTATATTCTGAAGACCTAGTAGTAGGGGTGTTATGCATTCTGCCTCTGCACCTCACAATAACAGGATCGGTACCAGCTGAATACAAACAGTTGTATTGAGGTCTATGTCGGTCTGTCATTTATTTCGGATACGGCCTCGGTGGTCTAGCGGTTTAGCACACTGCTTTACTTCCGATGGTCGCAGGTTCGATTCCTCAAACAGTACTAACATTTGTGCGTATGAATCATGCGTATTGTTATTTTTATCGGTCTGAGTGTTTTTATGTATATTATGTATGGATTTACAAAAAATATAAATCTAAATTTTTATATCAGTTGTCTATCTACCCATAACACAAGCTCTGCTTACCGTGGGACCAGATGGTGGTGTGTTAATTGACCCAGGTTATTTATTTATATTTTCCATCTATATTATATTAGTAAACAACTTATAAACTATGTTATTACAATATATAATTCATATTAAGTATTATCTCTCTACATATATATACATAAATACAATTCAGACTGCATGATATCCAGGCATAGTTCTTTATTAGTATATCATCACAATTAACGGAGAATGTAGAACAATAAATAGTACTTATTTGGGACGGCAACCTAATATGGTCAACACGGTGTCGAATGTCCATATTCAGCGACGCGTGACGATCCGTACACTGATCTTCCGAGCTCGAGACAGCATTTAGTGGACCTTGACTTAGTCGACGTTTGAGACTAATATACGTAATAATGACCTAGATATAGATTTGTTACATAAGAATGCATTTATAGTCAAGCACAAATAATCATATTTGAAGCTTAGCATCTTTTGCTTTTTTTTTTAATATCAGGACAATTCACACAGCGGCATCTAGACCCAAGTTAAGCTAGCTAAAGCTTGTGTTATGGGTACTAGATAACTGATACAAATACATAGATATTTTTCTTTTGTAAATACATACATATTATACATAGAAAACACCCAGACCGATACAAATAATCACACTCATGAATACAATTGTCTGTGCCGTGCGAGGAATCGAACCCGCGACCATCGGTCGTAAAGCGGTGTACTAGACCGCTAGACCACGGAGGTCGTCATTTATTACCTATCATTACTATTATTAGTATATCTATCATTGTACATAAGTCCTTATATATGTATAGACCGTACCATATTCAGTAGGTAGTATCTAAGTATCTAATTTAGTAGGTCTGAGAATAGGACGTAAATATTGTTCATACATATTGTCCTTAAGTGATATGGGTGCTCTACTCCATATTTATTTTTGGGCATTTTTTTAAAATTATATTTTCATGATTCAGCATTAAAAATATATTTAACCCAATTTTCATCCCACTATGAACCCCTAGTTATATTGTAATTTATATGGAAAACAACGTTTGAAGGGTCAGCTAGTAGCTGTGTTCCGGTATAAAAAATAAACATAAGGGTAAATAAATGTTACAACTCTACATCAAATCAGCTTGTTTATCATTCCACTTATATTAAAAACTACCTGTACACGCGACTTCGTCCGCGTGGAATTTAACTTTATTTTTCTAAAATAAAAGTAAACTAAGTTACTCCTTATTACATAAGCTACATGCCAAAAAAAGTCCCGTCAAAATCGGTCCAGCCATTTCAGAGATTAGCCGGAACAAACAGACAGCGTACTCGATCATTATGGAGTATACAAATTTACCATAAAAAAAGAGGTATAGTAAAGAGGTATCTACCTACCTAGAGGTATGTATTATTATTATATTGCCACGGTGAGTTAGCAGTTTAGCACGCTGGCTTTCGGATAGTCGCAGGTTCGATTCCTCGGATGGTGGATTGTACTATGCGAGAAATCGAAACCGTATTCATAAGTACTATTGTTTGTATTAGTTTTCTATGTATATTATATATTTAATTAAAATTAAGTATTTAAAGTAGTTATCTAGTACTCATAACACAAGCTGTGCTTAGCTAGACACTAGATAGAGCTGTGTGTATTGTTTGGAGTTATTATTAGTATTGATTTAATAAATAGATGGCACGGTATGGATTGTTCAGGGTTATAATTATTATTCTATTCATTTGATATCCATTTAATTATCTATGTGCAACAAAAATGCAATAAAAAAATCATACATTACCCTAATAAGAGGATAGGTGTGTATCACTTTTTCAGTGGCTCCAGGAGCCGCGGCCGTCTCCTCAGCCATTACTCACTATGTTAGTGCACTCACTGGTACAATATTATTATAAACACGAGAACCGAAGAAGCCAAAATACAATAAAATATTCTACGCGCGTCCGAACAATGTAGGCACGTTGTGAACTGTACACTCGTCGGCTCCCCACTGTTTACGCGTTACCTTGGAAACCGAAGGAGGCGGGAAGATGTGATTGATTTTTCTCAACGCCACTGCTGAAGTAGGTAAGTTAAACTTTCAAAATACCGTCACACCTAAACATAGTACGTGCTGCAGAATCTAATAACACGATTTTAATAAGCTGCATTGAACTAGTTACGTTGTATATATAATAGTACTAGCTGTGCCTACGGTTTCATCCGCATGAAATTTGTAGCATTTGTGTAAGCTATATGACCGTAAAGATTCATCAAAATCCCTTCAGTCACGTTCAGTAGTTTTTGAATGAAAAAGTAATAAAAATCCATAATTCCATCTATCCATCCATATTCACAAATTTTCGCTTCTATAATATTTGTAAGAGTAAGATTTGTAATATTAATAAATTAACTCCAATGTACGTATCTTAATATTTGAATTACATAAGACAAGAACCACTAGGAAAAAAACTGTAAACACCGTTAACATATCAAATATAAAATCTTTCTTGCTTCAAGACCTCAAGTGAAGGAATGAAACATACTTCTCTATATCTCTATAAGCTGTAGCAATATCTTTGCATCAAAGAATATGCCTAATGCTTTGTTCATCGCTGGTTAACATAATGCAGCAATACCTATACAGACTCATTAGTAGATTAGAGACATTTCTCTGACATCATTATTATACCTAATACTCGCCACTAGTCGCTACGCTGCCCTACCTACAAACTGTAACCAAATGAGCGTTGGCGTATGTTATTTTACTAAGTGTAATGTAATAATATTGGAAATAAACCTATGTATATCGGAATTATATCATAGGCCCTATTCTAAACATAGTCACGACCATTGTCGCATATAAGGTTGATAATAAATAAATAAACAAAACACTTGAAATGTTTACCCGGGAAAATTTCAGTCTAACAATTTTCTATTTTTCATAGCATTATTCTAAATATCCTCACTGTACCTACCTATTTGCCTGTGAGTTAAGCATGTTGAATCTAGGCAGTTTCTATAGTATCAAGTCTTCGTCTATTCAAGTTAGACAAATATAGGTACAAGAAAATGTATAAGAAAAACAATCCAATATTAAATTGTCATAGCTGTATGGGCAAAGACTCCTCTGCCTCTCTTTTAAAGTATAAACATAACCAAAAAAATATAGCATGTGTCAAAGTCACCTGTTCCAAAATATATTTTTATGTTAATTGTTATTGTTTTGTTTTGTACTAAAAATCTTATAAAATTTTGTAATTCTACATAAGTTTCAGATAAGCAAATAAGCTATGGCATCTAGATTTAGTGGTGCTCTTCAGCTTACAGATCTTGACGACTTTATTACACCATCACAAGTGAGTAACCTATAAACTTATTTCGAGTAAATTAGCCAGGTTTCAACACAATAAATAAAGATGAAAGTATTGTTAGTAATAGGGAATAGTAACTGCCTTGGTAGTGTACCATCAGGTCGACCTCCACGCTATCCGCTGTGGTAATAATCGTGGTGAATTCGCCACGACGACCACGATCTGACCTGATTTCATCCTCATAATAGTATCTTCCACCGTTAGCCCAGATATTCAGTAATAAAAAATATTAAATGATATTTCAGTTATCTTACTAAATAGTAAGATAACTGAAATATCATTTAATATTTTTTATTATATTTAATATTTAATATTATTATTTCAGGAGTGCATAAAACCAGTGACCATAGAGAAAAAGAAAACAAAAACTGGTGCTAAAATAAAAATTGGGGAGGATGGATATTTTGATGTGTCTAGTGGCCAGGAACAGAAGCTTCAAAAAGTGGAGATAACACTGGCCGATTGCCTTGCTTGCAGTGGCTGCATCACATCGGCAGAGAGTGTACTAGTTACTAGGCAGAGTCAAGAGCAGTTACTCAAGTGAGTATTAAGCTATATAATTTAATGCTATTTTAACACATTTCATGTATTTCAAAATTAGAATGGAACTAACTTGATTAATTCTTTATATATAAAAATCTGGCATGGTAATGTTTGTCTGAGATACTCATTTAAACTGGTATTTGTGTCAGAATGTCAGCATATACTATACAGGTAGATACATAATTCAATGATTATCAGCAATAGGAAGTAGATGATAGTTAGCATTCCTATTTTTATCGAAGGAAACTTTGTAAAAAATTTTTGTGGCTTAGTCTTACATATTTCAAACAATCATGTTGATTTGTATGCTGAGTTTCCTGTTCGTCCGCCAAAATGTCCATCATGTTTCAGTCGAGACAAGACAGCGAGTTTGCAGAAAAAGAGGCAAAATATTTCAGTCCTCTAGAATGTTCATAGTGTTTTCTCTACAAAGGCAGTCACTCTAATTAATAGTTGGATAGTGTTTATTATTTGCTATTTCAATTAAGTATAAAGATAGTCAAATAAATATAATAAATAGTAAAAATAGTAAAACCAAATGGTTATATAAACTCATTGATAAAAATTCCTGATAATATAAAAGTAGAATAAAAATATTCCGTAGTATAAAAATTCCTAATAAATAAAATAATAAAAATAAATTAATTAAATGTTCACTTACTTACTTTCAGAGTACTCTCAGAAAGACAGTATACAGACAACAAGGGTTTGATACGGAGTGTGAGTTTAGTTGTGATATCTCTGTCACCACAGCCCACTCTATCTCTTGCAGCACGTTATAAACTTACTCCTGAGGATGCTACTAAGAAATTAGCTGGTAATTATATGTTTATAAATCTTAAGATAAGTTAATTCACTGAGGTATTGTGTGTCATTAACTTCTCTGTCATTTGAAAGTTATGTCTTATTCGTCAAACTAAAATGGCATAAATATGGCCATTGTCAGATATTAAGTTCGTCACTCTGTGACCTACATAGATCTATTGTGCTCATCCTTTTTTCAAAGGCCTGTCAGGGTCAAGAATTGAAGGATATTCTTAGGAGCATGGTTTTTATGATATGTAGTGGTATTTCCTCTTCTGTTTGGCAGAATCAGAAGATTGTTAAGCTGAGGCCTAATTTTGCAATGTGTTTATTCAATTTGCAGAGTCCGGTGAGGGCCCTAACCATTAGGGATAGTACTTAGGAATAAAACAAATTTTAGATATGTTCTTTTATATTATTAATGTCTTGATATTATATCTATCTTAATAATACCTAATGTTACAGGTTACTTTAAAAGTTTAGGGGCTGATTTAGTACTGGATATGACAGTAGCAGAAGACCTCTCACTTCTTGAAGCCCAGCAGGAGTTTTTACAGCGCTATCAAAACCAGCAGAATGAACCAACTGCTAAAAACCTTCCAATGCTCGCTAGTTCTTGTCCAGGTATCCCTTTTTTATCCTTTCTCTGCTTTAAAATAATAAAAATAAATATATTTACAGGAATTTTCCTATTTAGTGAGTAGGGTTTCACCTTATATTTTAAGGATATTATATGACATTTATATTGTATTATTAATAAATAAAACAAGTTTGATTAATAAATAAGGTATATCACTTTATGCAGTCATTTTTCATAATTATTTTCAGGCATGTGTAAAAGTTATTGATTATCATAGTATTAGTATTGTATAACTAGCTGACCCGCACAGCTTCGTCTGTATCACTACTTGACATTTATCATTATATTTTGCCCAATTTACATAATATCTTTTTAAATTATAGCCTATGTGTTAATCTGATGTAAATGCTGTAAATTACTGTAAAGTTTTGCGTGAAAGAGTAGCAAACATCAATATTCACAAACTTTCGCATTTATAATATTAGTATTGCATCTATTAATGTTGTAGAAAATATTTGAACGTATTATTGGATAACTAGCTACTCGCCCCGGCTTCGCCCGGGTGTACATGTATTAGACATATAAATCTTCCTCTTGAATCACTCTATCTATTAAAAAAAAACCGCTTCAAAATCTGTTGCGTAGTTTTAAAGATTTAAGCATACATAGGGACGGACAGACAGCGACAGCGACTTTATTTTATACCATGTAATGAAAATTTAATTTATTATATCCATAGGTTGGGTATGCTACGCAGAGAAGACCCACGGAAATTTCATTCTACCGTACATATCCAGTACAAAATCACCCCAGCAAATCATGGGTTCTTTAGTGAAACAGTATCTATCCAAGTTGAAAGAGGTTGGCCCCGGGGAGATATACCATGTGACATTCATGCCATGCTATGACAAGAAGTTAGAAGCGTCCAGGGAGGACTTTTACAGTGACATGTTGAGTTGTCACGATGTGGACTGCGTTATTACTGCAAGTAAGTTAACAATATTCAAAGTCAAAGGTTAAAGTCATTTAATTAAAAACGTAGGATATTTTTAGCCACTCTTCCATGTTATAATATTGTACGTTGAAATAGACATTAACTTTTTTAATAATTGGCTGTATCCTAGACCATATTCTTTTTTAACCACTTTTGTACGTTATGATAGTGTAAGAAGCAGTATATTTCCCACTTCATTTTTTTATATTTGCCTGACTATTTTTATCTTATATCTGACATATATGGTTATTGGTTATGTTCTTACGGTCCTAATTTCTACCCTGCCTTTTAAGATATTCTTCAAAACGACGCCATATCTATTAGATGACATAATGCTTTTCTTTAGTGAAAACTTCTTGAAGCACCCTGATAATTCATTTTATAAGTATTGAATGAGCAATCACGCGTATGGTCTCAAACGCACACTTTTATTTATAGTATTTCTTTCATTAGGGATATTGTGAAAATTATTGGTTCTTAATGTTCTTGTTGTAAGTGTTGCCCCACTTCAATTAATGCTGATATATATTTGTGATTTTTTTAACAGTTGAGTTGGAACAAATGTTGGACAACACTGGCAAATCACTTAATGCATTGGAGAGTTCAGAGTTGGACTGGCCGTGGTCAGAGTGCGATGGCAAGCCTGCACTTAATAAGCACATCGGATCAGGGTCGGGCGGTTATGCGGACCACGTGTTCCTTCACGCAGCGGAACAGCTATTTGGAGAGAATAATGCAACACTCGTATACAAGAATCTAAGGTGAGATTGAAGGTATATTATTCTCCTTCTGTACATATGAGAATATGTACAGAAGTATACTGCTTGCAAACTGAATTTTACTACCAATAATGGAATGGTGCACCCGTCTGCGCTAACGGTTTATGCTGACGGGGCTCTAACGGAGGATCATAAGAGCATGAGGTTAGGTTAGGTTAGCCTATCGTGGCAAATTCCCCAGGAATTTATCACGATGGTTTCCAGGGGGAACCGCGTGGAGGCTAATGGTACATTGCTAGCTACTGGATCATAAGCCACATTATTAACAATCTCCATCCACCTTGCGAACTGGGTTAACTTAGACTATACCCAAATACTATTGAAGGATGAGAATGGAAAAGGATGATATATATCCTTCACCATTTTAATTAATGTATGGTTAAGGGTTTAAACACAGAAGAATAACAAATAAACTAGTACACTTCTATTCAAGATATTAGAAATAAAAAGAATGTTTTTTATATTTGACTAGCTACCCACTCCGGCTTCGCACGGGTGTACATGTATTATACATATAAACCATCCTCTTGAATCGCCCTATATATTAAATAAAAACCGTTTCAGATTTTGAAGCGGTTTTTTTGCGCAGTTTTAAAGATTTAAGCATACATAGGGACGGACAGCGACAGCGACTTTATTTTAAACTATGTAATGATTTTGAAAACCGGTGTTCCAAATTCAAATTCAAAACTATGTCTATTATAGACTCTTATGATATGTCAAATCTTAATAAATATTGACATAGTATCAATTAAAAATGTGGTATGGAATATCGTTTGTACTGTATATGAGAATTGTGAAATATATGCAAGTACGTACGTACGTACTTACATACAGCTGACCCGCGGAGCTTTGCACAGTGCATCGCAATTGTGAAACACGCACCGACGCAATCCATTGTTCTACTTATTTTTTTTTTATTTTATTAATGAATGATGAATGATTAGAATGAAGTCTTATTTGCACGAATCTTACTCAGAAAAACAATATATATATTTTTAAGTATATGAATATATACATATATTTTATTAACAGGAACCCAGATTTCCGGGAGGTGACATTAGAAAAAGACGGCAAAGAAGTATTGAAATTTGCAATAGCAAATGGATTCAGAAATATCCAGAACTTGGTTCAGAAGCTCAAGAGAGGAAAATCTCCGTACCATTACGTAGAAGTCATGGCCTGTCCTTCAGGTAACTAACACTATACTACCCTTTTGTTCACAGCTCCTGTGCGTTTTTTATACTACATGCAAAGGCTAAAAATCTGACGACATCTACTAGTGATAAGACTACACAAAATACACTGACGTTCTAGACACTCTTATTGTTTTCCAGAGGCCTTAAGGCATTATGACTCTATACCCAGTAATGTTAAGACTAATATTATTTTCCACAGGTCTTAAGTTCTGTCTCTGTACTCAGTCATCTTAACACTAATATTACGCAATTCTCTTGCCAAAACTACTGGACGCATGCGATATAACATAAAAATAAACAAAAATGTGATCTAATATATGCATTTAGTCTAATTGTTTTTGTGTGGAATACTGTTTTGAATTGAAACCATTATAAATATCTATTAAAATAAAAGTGAATGCAAAAATGTCGATAAAACTAAATATAATTAGAGAAACACGAGCAATAAAATGGGTCATGGTAATGCCAAGAATCGAACCAGCGACATCGGAATTAGAGTGGTGTCCTAAATCGCTAGATCGTCATTAAAAGATAGATTCAAAATAACTGTCATGTTATTGAATTTACGTATACTACGTATCAACTTTAGTCTTTAGAAGAAACTTATTTTAATTTATATTTCACTGTTATTCTCCAAACTGGTACACTGCATGTTATACACAAACAGCTAGTCAGTATAATAAGTAGTTTGCGTGAACCGTGATTGTAGTAGAACTGTTGAGAATTTGAATAATTCAGTATATGTCTAGTCCCAAACTGTACTGCGCTTCCACTACTACTTATACTACAACCAATAATTACATAGATAAAGATAATTACATACATTTTATTTGTATATGTGTTTTTTTTCTACGACGTTGGCAAACAAGCATACGGCCGGTCTGATGGTAAACGGTTACCGTAGCCTATGGACGCCTGAAACAAAAATGGACACTTAAGAAAACTTAATATACCCTTCTTGAAAAACCCCATGCTGTAGTCCCTTGTGAGTGAGATGTATGTATACTTAAGGTATTTAAACAAAAAGAATATTAGTTTAAATTACATCAAATACAACTAGGTATGGTTATATTTCTCAGGGAACATGAAAGCTGGAAGTATGTTCCACTTTGTGACAGTGCATATTAAAAATGATGACGCAAACCACTAAGTGCGAATTTGTTGAACTCGACAGTAGGCGATAAATTATTAATACAAAAAATTTGACGTTCATAAGTAGTCTATTTTTAATTTTATTTATATAATTAATACAATATAAACTTACAGCTAATTACCAACACGTTTATATCTTAAAACTATTATATAACATGGGGTACATTTTAATTTTATTTATTAGAGTAGGCAAGACTTCTTGCAGACGTCAGCAGCTTGGACATCAATTCTCAATTATTACTAAACAATTTCAGGCTGCCTAAACGGCGGGGCACAAGTCAGGCCTATGGTGGGCGAAAGCGGACGCGATCTCGTGCTGCAACTCGAAGGTCTGTACTCGCAGCTGCCACTAGCGGTACCCAGCACCAACAAACTCATAAGGAAACTGTACACCGAATGGCTTGACGGTAGAGATTCAGACAAAGGCAGGGCGATGCTGCACACGGAGTACCACGCCCTCGAGAAATCTGATTTAATAGCACTTAATATTAAGTGGTGAAATAAATAACATCATCAAGAAGCAGATGATGATATTTATTTCACTTTATCTCATTTATTTGGGGTCGGCGTAATGTTATTCTCTTCCATTCATCTCTGTTCGCAGACATTTCGTTATTTACTCCCTTTTTTACCATAGCATCTTTCACACATCCATCTATCTCTATTTCGGACTTCCTCTGCTCTGGTTAAATAAATATATATACCTTTGTATCTCCTAGAAGCCTCTAGAAAAAAGCGATGCTGATTTTTTTATATACATTAATATGATATAATGCCGGCGCTGACACTATTAGCTAGCTGACTGCTAGGAAGATATTAGTGTGAGCATAAAATCAGGACAGTTAGTCCATCAGAAATTAAACACTATGGTTTCTAGTGAAGATCATGTGGAAGCAATTATTTCTTACTGATAATCGCTTTCTTCATTATTGTTTTGATTCTATTTTGAGATCTTTTTCACTGGTGTTTCGTTACTTTAATTCTTAAGATATATTGAAGGAATCGCGCCTGTTTTTCTATTAAGAAATGATATTAATGATTTTCTATCAAATGAAGATCTTATATGTTTACTTGTATATGATCGTCATAATTTAACGTCGCGGAAAAACTCAAAGGTAAACTTGTTTTATGCACATTGTTTATATATTTAGTAGACATTTTGAAGACTCTTGTGATAATACTATAATAGATAAGACTACTTACTTGAGAAAAATAATGCAATATTATGAACATCTTTCAATAATTTCACAATGCGACCAGAAAAACAGAAAACAGTCACATTTTTAAGGATTCTATTTTTGCCCACAGATCTTGAATAAAATTGAACATTATAAATTGGTTCCCAGCTATGATTTTCCATTATTTTGCCGGCAGTGAATGTGTTAAAGCCCAGTTTGTATATACAAGTTAATTATTATTTTGTAATTATGTTAGTGTTGACGTAGAAAAATATAAGTTAATGATAGTTGTAAGTTTTTCGGGGTCCTAGACATGTTAATATATTGTACATAGTAATTATAAGAATAGTTATGTAAATAAAGATAATATTGTTATAATAGCAATTTTTTATTCAATAATACTAGTATCTACACACATATTCAGTCCACAGATCATATACCTAGGTATATGAGGTATAGACGATAAATATTTAATTATTTCTTTCTACCTAACACGCGTTATGACCCCGCGACAAAAGAATGCTATGAACTTTTGACTTATGCACTGTCACTTACGGAATTGTGCGTTTTAATTTTAAGGTACTTTTATATATGTATATATATATATATATGTTTACCTACTTCAACTGTAGCTGAATATATAAGGCGGCCGCATACGGTGCAACTAGCGGCGACGATAAAACGCCTGTCGTAAACCAGTAATGATTTAAATCAAGTTAAGTTTATATGAATAATTACAATTATCACGTTTTATAATTCTTAAATAAGTTGTAAATAAAGTAAAACATTTATGTACTTTCATTACATTGGTGTACATAATTTTTATGGAATTTGTACATATAGTTCTACACATTCTATTTTATGTGAATATCAAAGAACAAATCTTGTCAAGAGTCATCAGAATGACTCCTCATTCAAATAATAGGTACCTGATATATCTGGTAACAATTGGCTATTCGAGGTAAATGCTTCATCTTAGCATTTCTGTGTCATCCTACTCTCTGATAGTCGGAATCACATTAGGCTTCAAAAAATTTAATATCGATATGTTTTATAAACTCACACGCGTTCGCACTTTGAATAACGAATGTTGTTAGCCAGCCAAAAGTAAAATTGTGAATTTAAAAAAGAATGTATGCACTAATGATTTTTTTTATTCACAATTTAATTATTATTTTAATATAGTATATGGAAACCCTAATACAGTTTATGAATAATCAATCGAATGCCATTCGAACATGTTAGTGTTAATTGCGGACTGGCACCGAGACGGCCGTCCCGCGACTTGTTAAAGTAATGATGTTTACAAAACAAGTAACCAAATACGTGTTACAACCGCGTATCTGAAACTTCCTCTACTAGAGAAAACTCATTAGATATATTTAATGTAGTGCGATGGGCGAATTCACAGTGAGAAATGCGTCCAAAATATACTTTTTGTTGATCTGCAACTTGTTTAGGGTAGTCCTATGTACGGGACTAGGGAAATGTCCCGTTTACCCTCAAATACCGGACTTCGATATAAGAAGAGTAAGTATCTGTGTTGTGGCAAAGATATACATGCGATATAATGCGATAGTAACTCTAGTCTGTCTGTCGCACTTTCGCGCCTAAAATTATTTAAATGAATTCTGGTACACAGATAGTCTAAACCCTGAGAAAGGACATAGGTAATTCTATTAATATATAGCGCTAGCAGAATATATTATGCGTTGTGAGTGTAAGCGGAAAATATCAGCGTCGACTCTTGTGTAATGAGAATTTTGGGGTAGAATATTAGTTCGATCCCATGACTGGCTTTTTTTATGAATAATTATGAAACGATGCACCGGCCCGTACGGTATGTACTGGTGGTACACTAGTGATGGTTTTGATTGGTTCGGTCAATTAGGTCACCTTTGCGAATTCACTAGGAATATGTCACAGTGTTAGCTAGGTGGGACGAGGAGCCGATTATTAACATAACAATCCTCGCAACTCCCCCCGTCCCCTAGGGTTTCTTTAGGACTGGCTACGGGGCATAGAGATGGAAGACTTGTTTTTTAATAAAAGTATCTCATAAGGGGGTTACCCCTTCCTCCAAGAATGGATCCTCCTTATAGATTTTCCGCTGGTTAAAAAAGGTTGTAACTTCTCTGGTAATCTATTAGAATCACACAATACTACATTGAATTAACTACAACTTTACACCTTACTTTTCTAATATAAAATCTACTATAATCGTGTAGAGCACTTGGAGCAGATTGTCAAGTGGCATATAATATTAAGTTACCTATTCCAAGCTAGATAGAGATACGTAAATGTGTCACAGGAACTCTGTGACTGCAGGTGCCTCAGTACTCAAACTATGAAGAAGACCTATATTCTGAAGTGCATGGATAATTTATGTATAATTCTGTAGGAAACGTGGACTATCCAACAAATGTCTTGTGTGACAACAATATCGTGTTCAGACGATAAAAATGCGGCCTTCTATAGCAATTATCAAAGATAATTCAAAAACTACTAGTCAGAACTTGAAATTTATACGGAACCCCAATGAGAAACACGAGCTTTCAAATAAAAAAATAACTGTCATAATTGGTTTACATAGAAAAATGTTCTGTGGTTCTAACACATAAAAAATTTAGATTGTAATTGACAGCCTCCTCCTTTTTTTAAGTCGGCTGAACTCGCAACTTTCATTTAAATTCTGTAAACAAAAAAAAATTAAACGAAATATTACGAAACTCATTCAATGTCACCGCACTCTGTACTGTAACATCGTAGTAAAAAACAGTACAATTTTAACAATAAGTTCCATTATCAATAACTGGTTATTACTTGTCGAAAATAATTTCATTGAACGTCTCAAGGTTCAAGTTTTCATTTTACAGACAAAGAAGTGCGTAATCACCTAGTGTGACTGAAACGAGTTGAAGTTACGTAAACATTTAGTCCCTATGTTTATTAATTTATACCGAACCGTCCCGATTTCGCCTCGGTTAAACAATATACATAATGTATAGTATTTCCAACTGGAATAATCAACATTAGAATTGTTAAAAAATCAATTTGATGCAGTGGCTGCGGCTATTCTGCATGTACTCACAAAAAATATAAAAAACTTCAATAATAAAATACCTTCATGATTACAATCTCAGATTCGGCTAGCTCAAGGCATTCATAATTCATCAGGTGGAATAGAAAAATTATAGAATGATAATAATAATAAGTCTTCCCAGCGGGGGGAAGGGGATTGTTGGTAAACTGGATTGTTGACCCCGTTGCTAGCCATGTTTGGTTGACCTCCACGCGGTTTCCCCCTGAAAACCATCGTTAAAAATTTCAACTGAATTTGTCATAATGGGCTAACTGACCGACTTCATGCTCATTCTATCACATCAACTAGCCATCAACTGCCAGTGACAGACGTTAGTGTAGGTGCACTATTCTATTATCATTTATTTAAAAATAACTCTTTATCAGACAAGGAAGAGTAACTATCACATTTCGCTGAGAACATCTTAGATACTAATCAGCATTATCATCTGCTTCTTCCTTATTCCATTTATTTGAGATCGGCGTAATCTGTTTTTCTCTTCCATTCACCCTGTTCGCAGTTACCTTGTTATTTCTTGCCATATTATCTTTCACACACTCCATCCATCTCTTTTTCGGCCTTCCACTGCCCTTATAACAATCCACATTCATATGTAACATCTAATCTAATGTTACTAATATCATAGATAAAATAATATAACATACCTACTAATATTATAGACTCGGATGGATGGATGGATGTTTGTTACTCTATCATGCAAAAACTACTGAACGGATTTTGATGAAACTTAGCAATAATAGCTATAACATAGGCTATAATTTAAAAAGACATGTAAATTGGGCGAAATATAATGATAAATGTTAAATAAGTATGCTGCATACGAAGTTACGCGGTTCTGATAGATTCAGCCCGTCTATCCTATTCTAATTTTTAATTAGGTTTGTTATCAGTGTTTGCATGACCTGACCATATAGTCATACAGACAGAAAGGTAACTTAACACTTGTGTTGCTGGTAATTAATTCTTTATTCGCTCTCATTAATATTTAAATAAAGAAATATCTTTATTTAAATATTTATTAGATTACTATAAATAATATTTTCATTTTTTTATATAACTTTAATGTACCTACATAATTTCAAAGTACATATGGCGGACTTAACACCATGCGCCATTATCTCTCAGTCTACCATGAGTGGTGCAGAGAATAGTTGTTGGCGTTACAAATATTACTTTCCAAATCAAGAGACTGCATAAGCGTAAATGTAAAGTATCGTAAACATGATCGTTAAATATCCATGTAGATGTGTACATAATTAAATTATACGTGTCACTGCTGCGTATAAATTCATTACACTGTTTACTGACTTGACTTGGAAATAAGTTTAACTCAAAATGTAACTTGTTATCGAGTGTGAAGGTCTTGGCCATTCCCGATACAATGGCTTTACCAACGACGGAGACATATTTATATGAGTAATCTATACTAATTTACACGTTTAGAGATGACGTCTTTTTCTTACCTAGTCGTTTTAAAACACAATATCCACGTCCTTGTAAGCGGGCATGTCTCAAATTACCATAAAAACAAATATTGCATCCAAATAATTTTTCAGCGAATTTCATAAAAATAACTCATGTTAATTGATACACAGCCATCTAGTTCCAAACTAAGCAGATATAAATACTTTCGTTGTAAATTGATTCGTAATATGTATGGAAAATCCAGGCTCTAAGGGGAATGTTAGTAATGAGGACTGATGACCCCATTGCAAAAGTATCTACTCCACGCGGTTTTCCCTGTAAACCATCTTGGTAAATTGTTGGTGAATTTGTCACGATGGGCTATCCTAATCTCATACTCATCTTATCATAAAACCGCTCTAAACCGTTAGCATTCCATTATCATCCTTAAAATAAAGCATTTTACATGATAGTAAGGTCATTTGTTAGTTAGTCTCTGAAATTTACCGATGGAGTAGTGGTAGCTATATTTCAAACCATCTTCTCGCTTCCTAACACTAAATATTTTAGGTAAACTGTAAAACTTCTCTGATTCTTACTTTAAATTAAACAAATCGTAGGCTAGAAGACAATGACATATGCTAATTATTGATAATTTTATTTTTTTATCCTATTAGTAAAGTTTGATAGGAAAATAGCAAGTGGGAATTGAAGCTGAATTGTTTATTTCTTGCGATTCCTTCTCAACCAGTGTTTAGCAAAGGAGGACGGTAGAGATATTGATAAAAAAAATGACATACATAAGCAAAGAGTGTCCTATATGCATAAATTATTACTGAACATGGATTAACCTATTTACTTAATTATTTCTTACTAGCTTTTGCCCGCGGCTTCGCTCGCGATAATTTATCCCCTTAGGGATGGAATTTATCAAAATCCTTTCTTAAGGGATACCTATGTCATAGTAGCTTTATGCATGCAAAGTCTCAGCCCAATCGGTTTAAAATTGACAAAGTTTCATACCCTATTTTATCCCTTGTGGGTAGAATTAATGAAAATCTTTTCTTAGCGGATGCCTACGTCATAACATATACTTGCATGCCCAATTTCAGCCCGATCCGTCCAATGGTTTGGGCTGTGCGTTGATAGATCACTACGTCAGTCACCTTTGAGTTATATATATTTAGAATTTATAATGCATAGTAATATAACTATAACCTAGCTTTGTTTATGGTGCTGTTTTATCTGGATGAGTTAATGAGATGAGACGACATATACTTTATTTATACAATTAACTAGTTTTTGTCACCGACTTCCTACGTGATCATAATTACTTTGGTCAAAAAGCTTATGTTAGAAAAAAGTCATTAGCCTATACCATTCTAATTACAAAACATGTACATATTTAATAAAGATATGAGTTGGTTTATAACTTCTTTTTGTGTTTCTAATATTAGTTAAGATCATTATTGTTTAGATGACAGGCACGTGGTATGAAGTGGAGCGATCGTTCTACCTGATGGAACTGTCGGCCAGTTGCACAGAGCTTAACGTCACCCTCAATGACAGGGGGTACCTGGTCATCACCATAAACACGGTTAATAGATGGTAAATTATGTACTTTTTATAGCTGTATATTCCATACCTTTGCCTCACATATATTATGAAAAGTATTATAGATACATAAGATACCTTTTCAAGATTATCTTTTCTTTTACCTCTGGCTTATCTACTAATTCTGTTAAGAATCACCTTATATTCTGAAATATAAAAGCTGCTTCATAAAAAGTGCTATACTAATATAACTACTGGAGTCTAGTGATTCAACACTATCTCATTATTCGACGGCCGCAAGTTCGATTCCCGTACAATAGGTACAAATATTTGTATATATTTTTTTTTTACTACCCTAATGGTATTGGCCGCAGCTGTCCTTTACAGTTTCACCGGACGATAGAGGGCAACTGGCAAGTTAGCACTCCAAACCAGCGGAAGGACTTATAGAGCGGCTCAATGCCGACTCCCGCCTGACGGATACGACTTTAGTCTGAGGGTTCGAACCTTGGCTCAAGCCGTCGTAATTTCAATCCCCGTTTAAATTCATTGATCGGAGGGGTATTTGTAACTATATTTCTGTTTGTGTTGGTCCTAATATTTTTCTATGTAACTATGCGCTGCGCTACACTGCGCTAGCGATTTATACTTTACGCGATTACGATAGTTAGTGGAGGCACAGATAATATAATATTACATAGTGGAAGTGAAGTATGAGCATGAAGCCAGGTGACATCCCATCATGACAAATTCACTAGAAATTTATCATAATGGTTTCCAGGGGAATTGCGGGGAAGTCAACGTAACATAGTAATGTACTATGTTATGTTTTTTGTTGGCTATGGGGTAATCAGTCCTTTACTAACAATCCCCTTTCCCCCTTCACCGATAGGTTAGGTAATCCATCAACTACGTACGGCATCGGCATCCCCAGTTTCAGCGGCTCCTCCGTGTTCCGGTACAAGGTGAACAACCGTATGCCGTACATCATTGGACGGCTGTTACCCGGCGCCGGCCAGTACAACGTGCTATCCACAGACTACGACCAGTTCGCACTTGTCTGGTCCTGTAGCAGTTTGAGTGTTGCGCATTCCGGTCAGTGTAATATTTTTTTAATTGACGACAAACAACTACACTCAATTCGCAGCTGCCCTTTACAGCTTCACTAAACGATAGGAGGCGAATGCAGATGGCACTCCAAACCCCCGGAAAGACTTATGGAGCGGCTGAGGGTCGACTCCTGCCTGACGAATATGATTTTACTTTGAGGACACCGCTATGGGTTCGTACCTCGGCTCAGACCATTGTAATTTCGATCCTCGTCTATAATGGACGGATAATCGATCAGAAGGGCCCTACCTCTTATCCTGTTCTTTCAGAATAAGATCATGTGCATTTTCAAAATCATTTCTTTATATAGGTATGACATACATGACAATTTTTATCACTATACATATCATCCATACTTCAGTTGAGAACAACTAACAAGAATCTCAGCTAGTATCTACATTTTTATAATTGTTTATTTTCTTTTTATTCCTGAGTGGTGCCAGCTGTAAAGTTATTTTATAATTTCCACACTGCACTATGCTATGCTGATTGTTATTATTATTTTCTCATTTTAACTGTTCTGTTTGTTTGTTGCAGATCGCATATGGGTGTTGGGACGGCACCGCGAGATAGAGGCGGCGTTACGCGCACAGATCTACGCCAGTATGGTGAAGATGCGACTAGACCCCGACCGCCTCGTCATATCCAAAAACAATAACTGTACTCACAGATCATTGAACACAATAAATTAGCTATGCAATTGTCAATACAATAGTGTACTTTTCAATATAGTTTTAAACCAAATACGGTTATACCAAACTGAAAGTCAGTGTTTTATGCGATTTTATACTGTACAACTTTCCTAAAGGAGCAATGAAATGAAAATATATTGTTAATTTTTTAAAAACTGCATTCTAATTACGCGATGACTGATTTTTTTTTACCACCAAATAAAATAATTAAAAATAAAGTTCCAATCCGGAACACCGCTTGCAAAGCAAGCTTCAGCAAAGCCTCAGAAAGTGAAAGAGGCAGGTATATAACGTGGGCGCTTTATTGTAACTATACCTCAGATTATTGATGATTCCAGATGATTCTTTTTTATACTAGCTTAAAATAGGGAAGGCTAGTCTGTGAAGGATGTTTTTTTCATTTTTTTTTTCAGTAGTTACGTTTATTGTAAGCCGAAGTAGCAAGTACTCAACACTCGATACACCAACCGCATCACTACACATTATATCGCAATCAGTAACTTCTATCATATCGACGAATTAGGGGTAGAAAGAAAGAAAGAGAAACTACATAAATTCTTCTTCATCACACTTTGTATTTTTTGAAAAAATAGTTCATATATACAGTATTACAGAAAATAAATAGAATACCATTCGAAAAAGTCAAATGATATCATAATTGTGATGGCATCATCATCACAGTGTTTAATCAATGGAATGACAATGTTGTGATGAAAATATAAAATTTTAACATTATATTGCAATAAGAAAAATGTGATAACCACAAATAGTATAGAGAAATAAACATCTAAAAACATTGTGCGCCAACAAAACAAACTAACAAAGTACTTCTACATAATATGTGCTACACAGTTAACTCTATGGTAGGGAAGGGCTTACTGTAAATTGAACTGTTTGGTTTAACATTTGGCATTATACATATTTATTGCATACAATACTTTATGAGAACAGTCGAGAAATGCAAACATGGTCTTTTAGACAACTACCGTGCCCTTGGAACGTCACTGATATACATAGGGAATTTTTCCAGTAGTTGACCAAAAGTGCCAAAACTAATACTATTTTATTTATAATCCCATATATATGTTAACTTGTACTATCTAGTCTATGGGGCCGTTTATGTATGACCCTATTATGAAAATTCTTATCTATTAATAAAGTTATCATTTATTACCTTCGTGAAATACTGGCGTTTATAGTAGTAACTAGTAGAAACATTCACAGATTATGCAGATCATTGTATAGAAGTTTAGGATTTAACTATTCTCTAAACATAACAACAATAGGCCGTAAAACTTACTTTAAACATAAACAAAAATAATAAACGTAAAAAACTTGAAATAATCAACAGTATTTGAATAATTTAATTAAAATATGTGTACAACAAAATAGAGCTGCATTAAAAATAAAACATTATCTAAAAGATATATATTAAGTACTCATATGACCATATATGATAGAAACAGGTCATCCTGTCAGTTTTATATGAACTGTAGACCAACACCTAATTCATAAATTGAGACTTTATAAAAACACTTCCATCACACAACACACATACAATGAATATTGTGAACACATTGAAATTGCTATGCGATCACAAATAGTCTGGAAATTTATAGAGTATAAAAACCACACTTTACAGACTGTTCTCTCTAGTGACTACACAGTTTCGGACTTCAGTCAATTTGAGGCACTCTGCATCTCTATTGCGGTAGTCATATCCTGATAAAGAGGATAAACTATCCACAGGACTGTCGCAGTGATTCAAATGTAGTTGATCCGTAATTGAATTTGGTGGATGCTGGATGTTATTCTGCAATGCATACTGATGCATCCATAACTGCTTCTCTTCTACCTCCTTGCTAACAACAATGAAGAGTTCCTTCTCTTTACTGTCCAATTGTTCTTTCAAGTATGCTATTAGATCAGTGCTCTGTAACAGATAAGAAAGCACACTGAAGCTGGCAACATCTATTCCAATTGATAAAATTATAATGTCATAATTAAACAATTACATGCATAATATATATTATTAAAATGCTTAAAATTCTATCATTGGTCGTACAATAAGATTCCTGTTATACAATAAATTAACAGTGAATTTACATAATCTTTCTTTCACACAATAACAACTATCATTGACAATCTTATTAGTATTATCGATAATCTACTTCATCATTAACAACAATTAATTAATTAATTGTTGTTAATTATGTACCTAATTTCATTAATTATCTGTGGGTAATTAATTAATAGTATGTTGCTAAATAATTATTTTAAATTAATATTATTAATAACAGACAGTACATCAACAGTAACTTCAAACGTTTCCAGTCAAAAGACTATTTCTAAAAATAGAAATTGCTATGTCGCCCAAAGTGTGAGCAGAGTGAGGTAATAACTATCATACTGAGCATCCCAATTAGGATATTTTTTAGTAAGGCCACTGTTGTTAGAAGTTCTAATTAAAGCTTGAATAGTGTTAATAATGATGATTACCCTTCCTATTAGTTGTGGCGCATCCAATTTTGAGTCAAGGTTGTAGAAATTTCCTTGTATTTGGCGGATGGTGATCCAGTGTCGCCGCCGTAATGGCAACATCACAAATCCCAACTTGTAATCTGATGGCACATTCAGGATGAAACCACAAATGTTGGATAGGTCCAGGCATCCTGGGTCTCTGTAGGAATAAAATTAAATAATAATAATAAATAAATAAATCAATCAATCAGTTGGCTATTACAATTAGAATAAAATTTGCAGTCAATGATCAGTGGTATGGCAGATGATGCATGTTTGAATATTTGAAAGGAGAATGTATAAATACCACTATTTACTTTGTCAAAGTGAGAAGTTCTGAGATAATTTCCCTCACAATTATAATACTGTAACTATTACAAAAAATATGTACAATTGTCATTTGTGCCCAGTTATCTCGATTTAAGAGACATGTTATTCAAGGATTAGCAGAATGATTCCCAGATGGCTTTTAAAAGCTGGTTCATTGGACCCGTCTCATCACTAGAAAATTAACATTTAAGTGAAATAAGACAACACATCACATTGGATTATTGCTTAAAGATAAACAGACTGTCAATAAGCAGGATTAACTCACTTTCTTTTATCAAACCATACAGCTTCACAGCCTTTCTTCTGTAATGCAGCCATAATAACATTGATGTCGTAGTTGCCTAATCCTAGCATGGAACGGTGTGGATTGAACCAAACATTTGGCGATAAACGACTACATATTGTGTCCAATTCTGATTTTGAGAATGTTCCTCGTGTCTGAAAAGCAAGTTTGTTTCAAGTAATTATTAAGCTGTAATAATCACAATTAATTACTAAGCACCACTCTCATACCTTAATTTATTATGACTATTTACTATATATATAGATATAAAACATTGTAGGACAATAGTTTTTAGTATTAAAAATTGTTGGACAGGACAGTAATGCAAGTATTCTGCGATTTCGGTTGCAAAATCTATTAAAAGATTACCACTTCTGAGTGTATTTTTGGTATCAATTTAATATTTATCAATGTAAATTTCCACAAAAGGGTAATTATATTTCGGATTGAAATTGAAATGTTGGACGAAACGATAAGGAAAACAGAACCCACCTGGAATAAATTGTTAAGTGCATGCAATGCGCATAGCTCTTTGACTTGTTTTTCATGATATATTGATGGTTTGGAATTCATTTCGTTCATATCTTCATCATTATTTTGTCTTATAACAAATAAGATAATGTTCAAAGTTTTGATTTTCAACACTACTTAACACTTGAATTTTACCGTATACTTTTAAAATTAAAGATATAGACTGCAAGTATTTAAAAAGAATTTCAGTTTAGATTTATGTAAAATTTTATATGTATAGATACTTGGTAATTTGATATATTAAATTGACAATTGACGGACTTGACAGCAGCGACATGGGTTTGTTTTTTAAATGGCTTAGCACAGTCTATAGAAAATAAAATCTTTGGACTCTGCTAAAATGTCAATGTCATGTCCCATCTCAGCAACAAATCTGTATTGTTATTTAAATATACTCTGTGCTTTCTTTTTGACAAAACTTTGAATTCAAAGAAAAATATAAAAAAATCATTATTGTTAAAAGTAGACGTTGGAAAGCGCGGGAAACGTTCGAAACGCCGGGAGTGTTTTTTGGATTTCTTTTTGTTTAGTTTAATTTTACTATATATAAGGATTAGTTTTATTTATATATTGTAGACTAGATTAATTGTTTAATTATATATTTATTAATAGTAGTAGCAGTTGCTGCAAATATTGGTAAGTAACTTTAATATATAATATCTATTGAGAATGGACCCGCCTATAGACCCTGGGGGAACAGTCCCCCAGGTGTCTGCAAATATAAGTATTCCATTTAACAATTCTTTTGATATTTTATGTGAATCTAGTATGGATACTGATGGGTCTAATATTACAACCACAAAACGTAAGCGAGTAAGGGGCGAACGCCGCATTTGCAAACACTGCAATAAAAAGCGTAGGAGACATCAAAAAGGTACCGAGACAAAATTAAAAGACAGTGACTGTCAATGTGTCGAAGAGGAAAAAAATAATTTAGGAATAATACCTGTAATTGACAATCAAAATTCAGATGTAATACCAGTAGTTGAAAATAATAATATATCCAAAAAAGCCACTCCTTCACCCACTTCTGTAAATAGGACTTTATACAATACTGAAGATGTAGCACCTTTTGTAGTTCATGTTAAAAAAAATGAAACAAATCCTACAGATAATGTAAAAATTACACCCCATCGCATTTGGTCGGTTGTTACATACAAATAAGATTTATAATGTTGTGAATGGCAGCCTCAAAAGAATAGGAAGAAACAGATTGGCTCTTGCTTTTTCAAACTTTTTAGATGCTAACTCTTTTTTAAACCACAGTAGTTTAATTGCCTATAATTATAATGCATTTATTCCTTCTTTTAATGTGACCCGCATGGGTATTGTAAGAGGTATTCCTAAAGACTGGACAGATGATGAAGTAATTAGCAATATTTCAGTACCTATAGGTTGTGGAAAAATTTTAAAAATACGTAGAATAAAAAAAAAGACTATAAATGAGGGAGAAACGAACTTTATTAACACTGAAACAGTTGTTATAACATTTGATGGGCAAATTTTGCCAAAAAGAGTATTTATGTTTTATACATCATTAACTGTAGATCTATACATTTATCCAACCATACAGTGCTACAATTGTTGTAGATTTGGACATGTTAAGATGCAGTGTCGTTCAAATCCAAGGTGTTATAAGTGCAAACAAAGTCATACTGGTGATAAATGTGAAGCAGATGAAGACAGAATATGCTGTATTCTATGTAATGGTTCTCATTTCGCTATTAGTAAGAAGTGTCCTGAATATTCACGCCAAAAAGCTATTAAAGAAACCATGGCTCACAGCTGTGTTTCATATGCTGAAGCTATGAAATTTCATCCTCCAACCAGTAAATTATACTCAGATGTATTAACATCGCCACCACCTTCATCTATTAAACCACATATCCAATCTTCTCCACAAAAAGACAAATCAGGCCATATTCAATCTTCTTATAAAAAAACTGTTACACTTAAACCACGTTCTCCACAGAAACCACAACGAGGATATGATCGTTCTGTTCATGAGGCCTTAATTAATGAATATAACATTCCTGCGCCCTCAAATGGCTGTGCACTAAGTAATAATAATAATACTAATAATCAATCTGTTGCTGATATTATATTTATGTTAATTAAATTCTTGACGCAATCTAATATGACACAAACCAATTTTTCACCGTCCAACGCTGCCAACCTGAATGTTATATCTCAAATTTTATCAACTCACAATGGACAACAAAGCCCACATTATTCAGTGGAACTGTCGTAGCATAACAAATAAGAAATCTGATCTATTTTATTTGATAAACAATTTCTCCCCTTTCATTATAGCTCTTCAAGAGACATGGTTAAAACCTGGATATTCATTTAAGATTCCAGGTTACTCATGTTTTCGTGATGATAGAGCTGACGGATATGGCGGTGTTGCCATATTGGTCAAAAACTCCCTTTCATATTTATTATTTTCCCTTCCTTCATTTAATGGAATTAATGCTATTGCATTAATAGTAAATAGTATTTGTTTTGTTAGTTTATATATTCCTACCCCCTCTTCTCAATTATATTCAGAATTAGAAAAAATTATATCTATTTTACCTAAACCTTTTCTTATTATGGGTGATTTTAATGCCCAACATCAATCGTGGGGCAGTACCACCTCTAATTATTACGGTGAGAAAATTATAAGTATAATCGACAGTCATAACTTATGTATAGTTAACTCGGGTGTACCAACACGTAGAACTGGCCCAAATGAAGGTGTTAGCGTCCCTGATATTTCTCTGTGTTCTTCTGATTTAGCTTCTTCGTTTTCGTGGTCTCCTCACTACTCATCATTCGGAAGTGATCACTTTCCCCTTATTTTATCTTTACCTCATTCCATTCCTCCAAATCGGAAAACCGGTCCTCGTCTTAAATATAACTTAATGAATGCAGATTGGGTGACGTTTAAACAATATGTAGGCAATAGGATTTCAAAACTACCTTCTGTTTCTCACGGAAATGAGCACCAATGTTCGAATAGTTTAGTAATGGTTATGAAGGAAGTTGCTGATATGCTATTTCCTATAAAAAATAGTGCTTCAGGAAAAATTCCATCCCCTCCTTGGTGGGATAAAGAATGTACAGACGTCATTAAACAGCGTAAAGAAGCTGAAAAGAATTATAACAAGTATATGACATCAGAAAACTATGAAATTTATTGTGAAATATCTCGTTCCACCCGGAAACTACTAAAAAAGAAGAAGTTGGAAGGTTGGAGAAAGTTTTGTTCCTCAATCTGTCCCGAAGTTAACCTCTCTGTCGTTTGGAATAATATTAAAAGATTTAGATCTGTATATACCGGACACACATCGCTTTCCATAATGGATTCAAAATTAGCAGACGAATTTTTAGACCGCCTTGCACCTAGTTACGTTCCAGAATATCATAATCAGCTTTCTCCACCAACCCAATTATCGAAACTCGATTCCCCTTTTAGTCTTATTGAATTTAAAGGGGTATTATCACATATTAAAGATTCTGCACCGGGAGAGGACGGTATACCGTACTCATTTTTTAAAAATTCTAATGATACAACACTAGATTACTTTTTAGATTTAATTAATTCAGTAATGATATCCGGTAAGATACCTCCGTCATGGAAATCACAAATTATTATACCTTTTCTGAAACCTAATAAACCACCTTCGGAGCCCTCTTCTTATCGCCCTATAGCACTTTCATCGGTATTACTGAAATTGGCTGAACACTTGGTGAAAAATCGTCTGGAGTGGTTTGTAGAAAGTAATAACTTACTTTCACCAAACCAGTTTGGATTTAGGAAGGGTAGAGGTACGTTAGATAATGTTAGTATTTTAACCTCAGATATTCACATAGCATTTTCGCAAAATGTGTCAATTTTATCAGCTTTCTTGGATATTAGTTATGCCTATGACAAAGTACTAATTACAATTCTTAGAACTACATTGATAGCCTTGAATATTCCATTTATGCTTGCTAATTTTATTATTAATATTTTGTCAGAGAGAATAATAAAATTGGATTTAGGTGATGATAACAAACTATCCAGATCAGTATGGAAAGGTCTGCCTCAGGGATCAGTACTTAGTCCAATTTTATTTAATATATATACATATGACCTTGAAACATCTCTTAGCAAATCCGTTAAAGTATTGCAATACGCGGATGACCTATTAATTTATTTAATAGATCATTCAATTCAATCTGCCTGTCAAAAATTGTCTGATAATCTTGACTTGTTGAAATTATGGTTAGACGCAAATGGTCTCGAACTTTCTGTATCGAAAAGTAGTGTAGTACTATTTACAAGAATGCGATCACCACCGCAAGTGAAGGTTTTCTATGATAGTTGTTACATCCCGGTTAAAACAGAGATTAAATTTTTAGGCATCGTCTTAGATAATAAATTAACTGGTTTATCCCACTGTAATTATATTTCTGCTAAATGCGAACGAAATCTAAATATTCTTAGATGTCTAGCAGGTGTATGGTGGGGAGCACATCCGTATTCTTTAAAACTAGCGTATAATGGCCTTATAAGGAGCGTCCTTGATTATGGAACTTTTTTGTTAGCGCCGGGAAGTTCTTTTGCCTTTAAGAAACTGGACCTAATACAATCCAAAGCTTTGAGAATTATATCCGGAGCAATGAAATCAAGCCCAATCAATGCTTTACAGGTTGAAATTGTAGATCCACCTCTAGATTTAAGAAGACAATATCTAGCTGATCGTTTTCATGTTCGCTGCTTACAGTTGTCTAACCATCCACTTATCTTAAAACTTCCACAAATACATCAGTATGTTACCTCATCTTCTTATTGGATACACAAAAAACCTCCATGTTTAATAAAAAGCTTTGAAAAATATAAAGGAATATCTGCACCAATGTTTACTTCCTCTTGTTCTCCAGTCTATAAATACTCATATGAATCTCTGAATTTATGCCCTAACATTTATTATGACATAGGAATTTACAAAAATGATACGGAACAGGCAGCTAAATTCAAATTTATAATAGACACACAATGGAATGGATGGCATTGCATTTTCACAGACGCCTCAAAATCAAATAATTGTAGTTGTGTAGGTGTTGGTGTATTTCACGTGCAGTATAATATTGTTCAAAAAATTAAACTTCCACCAGAGTCATCAGTGTTTACTGGGGAATGTATGGGTATTTTAAAAGCAATAGAATATGTACATATAATGAAATTACAAAAAGCAATCATTTTTACTGACTCAATGTCTTCACTACAAGCGTTAGACAAATATCCTTTAAAATCGAAATCACTTCATTCTATTATTTACGATATACGAGAAAAACTTCAACTGTGTACATTAAAAGAATATTCCGTTTCTTTTGCTTGGCTACCGGGACATTCTGGTATTCCAGGAAATAATAGGGCAGACCAAATTGCGAAGGAAGCTGTGCTTTGTGGAGATATGTTTCCTTATAAAAACTATTACAATGACCTAGCGTGTCTTCCAAAGTTGTATCTTAATAAATCTTGGAAGGAATATTGGCAGAACAGTAGTAAAACGAAAGGAAACCTTTACTATCAGGTACAACCCGACATTCCTATAAAGCCCTGGTTTTGTGGGATAAAGCTCGGGAAGACCGCGACAACTATATTAACTCGTATGCGTCTTGGTCACGTGTGCACACCGTCTCACCTTTATAAACTTGGTATCGTAGAAAGTTCCTGTTGTAGCTGCGGTACTGAAGTGGCTGATCTAAATCACATTTTTTTCTCATGTCCGGATCTTGATCACTCCTCCTTGTTAAAACATCTCAGATTCATCCGTATCCCTTTCCCTACCTCTATTACAACTCTTCTTTTTTTCCAATGATCCTATTATTTATAAAATTTTAGCTGAATTTATATATTTAAATAGTATTAAAATTTAATATAATGTGTTCCGTATTGTATGTATATTATTTGTAAATATCGTATCCTATATAATTTCCTAACCTAATCCTTATCCCTATGCTACAAAATTTTCGTTGCTAGATATAAATTAATGACGTTTCCCCGTTTTGTTTTTGGCGAAATACCCTAAAATCGGGGTGAATGCCATACAAGAGAAAAAAAAAAAAAAAAAAGTAGACGTTACTTTTAATTTCTATCCTTTATTAAATTACTTTAATGTAAAACTATTTAGTGAAAATGTTTGAAACAGATCAGTTTAATGGCCTAATTCTTGAGAATACAGATAAGAACCATTTATCACTTTTAAATAAATCTTCTTTACAACAATATCAAATTAGTCTTCAAAGGTTTGTTTGAATCCAATTATTATCATTGTTAAAGCTGTGATATACATGATTTTATGATTTTATAGATACTATGCTCACCAGACCCTAAGGACTCCACAGTAGAGTTCTTGTTTATACTTTGCCACAATTTGAATCGTTTGAATGTAAATAAAACCGTACCTTCAAATTGTATAATAATTATTTATATTGAGATAGTTAAAGGATTAATTTTAATCAATTTATTATCATCAATAACATAACCAATTATTTTTACTGTAATTGTTTTATGTTATAACAATATGAGAACTCAACTTTGTTATACTCAATCACATTTGAATACCTATTCAAGTTTGGAGGTCCAATTCTTATTTATGTAGTATATATAAATATAAAACTTATTTTTACAGTGGATTGAAAACATCAAGCTTGCTTGAAGATGTTTGGAAAGCAAATCATGAATTATTGAATGAGGATGCAATGGACATACTATGTAATTCCATCAGTGTTCTTACAAAGAATACAAACAGTGTAAAGGCATGGACTAATCCATTAGAGTATGTACTGTGTATTTAATTAATTACAATAAAACAGAAACAATATTTATTCAAACAGACTTCGAAGAAATAGTTATTCAGTTGAACTTCATTTTAATACTTTAAATTTTTTGAAAGTATGTGTACATTTACTTAATTACAATAAAATAGAAGTAATAGACTGAATTACAGTTGAACTTATTTTAATCACACATAAGTTTTTTAATTTATATTATAATATGAGTTATTTTTACTACACTACAATTATTATGGGTACCTAACGCTACTTTGTACTTATTACAGTGACATTCCAGATCCTCTGTCTATATTTGAGCAAAGTCTACCAGCATGTACTCATTGCAGTCGCTATTCAAAACCTGCAGGTTTACCACAATTCACCAAGCATACATGTACATGTAACTTAGGTCAAAAGGAACCATTGAATAACATTAAAAAAGGAACAAATGAGAATAGAGGAAAATCTCTTTTCATAAAAACCATGGATTCCAATAACGAGAATAGAAATATTATGACTGGGGTTTCTGATGATAACAAACAAAAACAAACTTATAAACCCATATTTGGTAGAGGCCGTTCTATACTTAAAAATACAGCACAATCATCTACTAATAATAAAGACCCTATAGTTGAGGATATTAATAAGGATGAAGATGAATACAGGGCTCATAAGAGTAATGTAGCTAAAATTACATTCAAAACAGCAAGGGAACAGCTGCTGGCCTCAAATCCAGCTGCTAAGAGGACCCTGGGAGCCTCCAGGAAAGCTCAAGCTAAGTTTGTCTCACCAATGATTGGAGCACAGTAAGTTTCTCATTTTTGACTAAATATTTAGAAGGCTATACCTGCTAATATTTATTCCTCGAAGAAAAATTAAAGTGTTGTATGTTAGGCATGTCTGTGTGTGTCTGTTTGTGGTATCATAGTTCTTTATTTAATGGAAAAAAAATCAAATCAATCAATTATCAAATGATACATTCATTTGATGGTCCATGTGTAGAAGCTGGCATGATTGAGATATTTAGTTTTTTTTAATTTGGCTGATTCGTCATTTTCTAATTATTATTCTAAATTCATTGTAAAGAACTTCAATTCATCATTATTAAATAGAGTTATAAATCAGTAACAAACACTTTTAAGTTAACAATCATGATTTAGTACTGGGGAGATTTTGAAATTATTGGCATAGACTCTGTTGTTATATATATAATTTAAAGATATTTCATTGTTGATCAAATAATAAGTTAACCTAAAGTCTAGATTGTATTGAAAATAAATTATTTATTCTTTATGTTATAGGGATAAACAAGAAACACAAGATCCAGAGTTTACAGATGAAAGACTCAAGCACATAGATCCCAAAATGATTGAATTGATTGAGAGTGAAATTATTGACAAAGGAACTCCTATAGGTAATTCACATGAAACTGAAATTTAATTTGTAACATCTAACTTTTCATTTTCATTTAGAGGTTTTAGACCTTATATAAAAATTATATAGGATTTGCTTTGTATAACTCAACAAGTTTAGTAAACTTTTGTGCCTTTTGTGTTGAGGGTATATAATTTAATTATTATCACATTCTGCATTCATCATTTATTCATTCAGCAGATTAGTCAATGCAAATCTTATTATATATTTCTCTAATGTTGTCTAATCTTTTAATAATTAAATAATATAGGGGGTCTGTCTTTTGTATTTTAATTTATTCCACGATTTTAATTTAATTTGTATAACTTTATTTCTGTTTATATGTTTGTTATTTTTTTGCGTATTTTAAATGGTGCCGCTGAAAATCTGCGACATGGCATGTTCCCATACAAAATCACATAAAGCTAAGTGAAGCTATATCGTAAAATTTGTTTTATTTTATATTGTATTTAAAGGCCTTAAATATTTTTAAAGCCTTAATTATAAAAAACATACTGCATGGTACTGAAACTGTAATTCTTTTAGGATGGGAAGACATAGCTGGTCTTCAGATGGCGAAGTCAGTGATCCAGGAAGCGGTGGTGTGGCCGTTATTACGACCGGATATATTCACTGGACTGCGCCGACCGCCCAAGGGAATACTGTTGTTTGGTCCTCCTGGTACTGGGAAAACATTAATTGGTAATTTGTCATTCTATTTTTAAATATTTTTGTTAAACAAGATAATGAAAAAGATAATGAATTATGGCCTTGTCACACAGAAGACCATGCCAGTATAAAAAAAACCATGACCCAAAAGTATGTTCTTAAAGATGACTTTTCTATTCAGTGACTTTGTAAGAATATGTCACCAATCCTTTGTATGTTAAAAACAATTACACAATTACTTGATTTGACACATTTCTATGTTCATTTAGTAATATGAAAAAAAAATAAGAGCATTCAAATTCAATATCAGTGACAATTTTAATCTAAAGTTTAAGACTCCTCCAAAACGGCTTGACCGATTGAAATTTTGTGTCTATTTTTTATACCTCTAAGTGATAAGGGTGATCCGCTCCAACAATTTTATTCTAGGGAAAAACATTTGTCAGTAATTTCTTTTATGATTTGGTATTTAAAAAATACTTTTACCCTTATATTATACGTTAATTTATATGGCAAAACCTTTGCCCGGTCAGATAGTACTTTTATATATTTCATTGATTTCTGCTCCTTAGGTTCCTATATAAAAATTTGAGATTCTTATTCTTAATTTTAAATTAATTCTAAATTCTCAGGGTCGCAATATTCTTTTTGGTATACAGGTAAATGTGTAGCGGCGCAATGCAATGCTACTTTCTTCAGTATATCAGCATCATCGCTCACCTCTAAGTGGATCGGTGATGGTGAAAAGATGGTGCGCGCTCTGTTTGCAGTGGCCAGGTGTCACCAACCCGCGGTTAGTTCGCCACAAAATTTTTGTATTTGTTTACATTACATCCGCACACAGTGGCGGACTAAATCTAGAGCGGGCACTAGGCAATATTATAATTCCGGGCCGGACATTATCAATCAACGATTAATACTTCGGATATGTTTCAGTAGCAATTATGAATATCATGTATTTTTTTGTTAAAAATAAAAATTGAAGCCCTTTTTTTCGGGCCTTAAATATTACAGGACCTAGTCCTTACGTACCTGACGTGCCTAGGCCTTAGTTCACCTCTGTTTAGGGAATAGGGAGATTAAACTAGTTGTATATAGAAATGTTTGAAGTACTATGATAACAGAATCATGCAAGACTAGTAATAAATATATAACTATTGTATCCACCTGTCTAGTCTTTACCTCTCGTCTCTAGACTGATATAATCTATAGAATTGACTTCAATAAATGTAAAGGCTGTAATGTATATTACAGGTAATATTTATAGACGAAATAGACTCGTTACTAACACAACGCAGTGATACCGAACACGAAGCGACGCGAAGGATCAAGACAGAATTCCTGGTGCAATTTGATGGTGCAGCTACTGGTAAAGCACAAACTGTCTACAATTTTACATTATTACTTTGTTTGACTAATTAAAAATATCGAGGGTGATCGTGAAAAGGTACGCGCTTATTTCTGCTGTTTCAGCTGCCAAACAGCGTTGCGTTGTAAGTAAAAGGGTGAGAAATTACAGACATAATGTATTGTACTGAAAGGATCATATTTGGCATTGCAAAAAAAACAGATTATATTATTTTATTCATTTTTTTAATTTAAAAATATATGTGTGTATGGTTATGCTATGTATATAATTTGCATAATTTATTTACATTCCTAATTCAATTTGATTATAGGAGACGAAGACCGCTTGTTAATAGTGGGTGCCACGAACCGGCCCCAAGAACTGGACGAAGCGGCGCGTCGCCGTCTTGTCAAACGACTTTACATTCCCCTGCCTGATGTCGACGTAAGCTATTAAAATTCATTTCAAACATTAAATATAAAGTTAATAACAGACTAGTAGGCGATAAAATATAATACAATGAATATAAAAAAGAACCTTATGGTAAACATATCATGTTTCAAATTACAAAGCAGCAATTGTAGCTCGGATAAAACTATTTTTAAAATAAAACAACTAATATTTTTTTTTATTGCCAACAGGCACGCGAACAAATTATAAGGAATTTACTTAAAAATGAAAACAACGACTTAACGCCACAACATATGTCCGAGATAGCACGTCTTACGGATGGCTACTCAGGAGCTGACATGAAGTCGTTGTGCTCCGAAGCTGCAATGGGGCCAATACGATCGGTGCCGCTGTCGCAGATTGTCAGCATAGATAGAGAGAGTGTGAGTAGTCGATAACACTACATAACACACATGCACCATTTTTTTCCACCAAATTTAGGCCCAACGACGCTAGTTAAACGCGCATTTTTAAAGAGGGCAGGATGTAGAAATAGGTGGCCTTATCGGCACGACTCGTCAGCTCTAAACTTTATAATGTAAACCGACTTTGAATGTCTTTGTGTTATACGCGGGCTGGCGAGTACAATATATTTCTATATCATATAAAATTTGTGAATTTTAGATAACTGAATAAAAGTTCGAAGCCCTATGTTAGCATTTGCGAAATTAAACAAGTTTCCTCAAGAAATAAGGATTTAAATGTTAACTTTATAAATATTATAATTTTTTAAATAAATAATAATTAATGAATAGTTTTGTTTTTAGGTCCGTCCAGTGTGTGTGCAAGATTTTCTAAACGCTCTTCAAAGAGTGAGACCAAGCGTATCGCAGGATGATTTAGGGCAATATGTAAAGTGGAATAATACCTACGGCCAAGGGTCCTAATAAATTATAAAATACTGAATGTTTTTTAATTACACAACTTTTTGTTAAAAAACAACTATTCGTGTTTTATTTTCTTTACTTCGAATGATATAAACATTCGATTACAATTATAAGATTAATGCCACATTTAAGTTAATATATGTGTGTAGTATATTCCTAATAGTTATAAACGCACCTACTCATATTTTGATATTAAACAATTTAACCATTTTTATCTGTGTGGGGCGAAATATAGCTTTTCGGCAGGGTAACATGAATGGCATCAAAATAACTTGTATCCAGAGCCGTGAAAAGTATTAAATATGGGTATAGTGATTACTTGCTCAGATTTCAAATTCAAAACTTCAAATGTAGAGTAAACTTTCAAATGCCAGGAAAATCAGTCTGTTTACTATTTTTAATTAATTATAAATTTATATTAATTTTTCATATAATTATTTTTTATAAAACCTATGCAATATAAACAAATTGAAACTAAATGCAATCCGAGTTAACAACTTTTTAAAGTATATTATATTTAAGTTATTTTCGATTGTTTTGATATGTTTATGACTTTAGTGAACTCTAGCATTATAGTGCCTGAGTAAAAAGAAATACTACAAATTATTATTTATTAGAATATCCAAATTTTGTAATTACACTTTGAAATGGATCAAGAAAATAGAGTGATCACACTGATCGACATGGACTGTTTTTATTGTCAAGTTGAAGAGAAACTTAATCCAGAATTGAAAGGAAAACCTATGGCAGTCGTGCAATATAATCCCTGGAAGGGTGGTGGGTATGTATTATTAACATGAAATACTGGACTCATTCCCTGTTACAACTAAAAGAAAGGAAAACTAATTAATAATAAGTAATTTTGTAGACATTTTCATAAATAATGAACTGGTGTATATACAAAACACTGGTAACAAAACTTGTATTTATACTAATGAAATAGAGTAAGATAAGACTAGGTATGTATTATTACTCATTTCATCCCATCGTAAGAGGCAGCTATGAAACAAATTAATTGATAAAACCTAAAATATACAAGCTGATTGGCCACTATTATTAAATAGTTCTATTTCTCCTAATTTAAGGTATAATTATAAGTTGACATAATGATGATTAATCTAATGAATTTAGAATTTTAACAATCTTGATATAATTTTGCATAATTATGACCTAAAGAATCTATAATTTTAACAATCTTAGATTTCAATTTTTTTTATATCATAGAGGTGGCAAAAAAAGCATACGGCCTATCTGATGGTAAATAGTCAGCATAGCCTAAGGACATCTGAAACATGTATTATGTAAACTTACATTTTTATAATAATTATTTATGTATAAACACTTACAGAATATTATTAGTAATATTAATTGTCTCCAGAGTCCTTTTTCATATTAAGCTTTTAATTTTATTGTAGTATAAAATTGTACCCTACTTTTGATACATTTTTATTATTATTAAATTAAACCTTTTTGTTTCTTTTCAATATAGAATAATAGCTGTGAATTATGTGGCGAGAGCTATGGGTGTCACCAGACATATGAGAGGTGATGAAGCCAAAGAAAAATGCCCTGAAATACAGCTGCCATCTGTTCCCTGTCTCCGAGGAAAGGCAGATATAACTAAGTATACATTATTACTTTTTTGTGTATATAAATAAGTGTGCCAGTACATAGTGCCATATATTTATGAACAGAACCAATAACATTACATACTTTGTCATTTATATATTTATTGCCTTTATTCTGATAGAGAAATTAATTTTGATTTTCTCTTTTTATTTCACTGCCTCGATTCATCAACTTGTTCTAAGACATATACATAGACCTACTCTGATTGACTCCATGCTCCTCTGTATAATGCTTTCCTTCTACATGTTGGTACAACCACTGCCTCATCCTCCCACCCTTTTCTGTCACCCTCATTACCTTTTCCATCTTTTGGATATCAGTCTTTTGCATATCCTGTCCACTTCCATTTCAGTGCCTTCATTGTTCTGACCCCATCTGTTGGTTTGTTCTCTACATTGCTATTAATGTATTACTTCAATCCCATTGATTTCCCTTTTCATAGGAAACAGGCATTGTGTATACATTAATTAACAGGCTTTAGAATAAGTATATAATTCAATTTTACAGATATAGAGATGCTGGAAAAGAAGTAGCCAAAGTTCTACAGAAGTTCACACCCTTATTAGAAAGAGCATCCATAGATGAAGCCTATATGGATATAACTAAACCTGTAAGGATTCAATTGTGAAGTCTTTATTGTATCTTATTTACTATATTAACTTAATACCTGCAACTTGTTGTGATTTTTTAAAATTTCTTTGTATGTTGTTTACTTAGTAATAAACGAATAATTATACCAGAAAAACTAACATCACTTAATGTAATATTCTGTCAAACCCTGAACTAAAAAATAATAATGAAAATGAGTTGAAATTTGCAAAAGGGTTATCTTGGTTTTTATAAAGAAACTTGAAATAGTTCATATCTTCATCACACAGTGAAGGACTTCCTTTGCGACAAGATTTCTTTATAATAACTGTTTATGATAGATATATAGATTATTTATAATACATTATCCACTTATTCATTAAATATTATGAATAAGTGGATAACATACTAAACTTGTGTGTATGCTTTTTTATTAATTAGTGCAAGTTTCTTGCTCATTCTTTATGTGAGGAGTCTGCATTTCGCATGCCTGTTAGAATAAAAAATATGACTATTCAAGTCCTTATAGTAAGTTTTATTTAAATAAAGATTGTTTCTAATCCTTAATATTGTAGGTAGAAGAAAGACTAAAAACTCTAAACATTAACATGGTCAATTCAGAGATACTGCCCAACACATATGCTCTCGGATATGATAATGTGAATGAATTTATTACGGATGTTCACAATTGTGGCGGGGAGTGCATGGAGTTTGACTATGAACATGCAAAGAGGTTATTGGTGGGCTCAATCATTGTTAGTGAGATACGGGCTGCTGTTTTTAAAGAAACGGGTAAGAAAATGTTTCCCTACTGTTCCCTTACATAGTTCAGTATAAAAAATGCTGAAAAACCTGTGTATTTTAAGACCTGTGTGTTTATAAGACATTGAACATGTGTAAGCTAGGGGGAAAAGGGGATTTTTAGTAATGTAAACTAACGGCCCCATCGTTAGCAATGTACCATGTCAGGTCGACCTCCACGCGGTTCCCCCTGGAAACCATCGTGATAAATTCACCAAGAATTTTCCTGACCTCATGCTCATCTCATCACGGTCCACTGGTACCCGCTAGTGTAAACCGTAAGCGCAGGCGGGTGCACACAACACAACACAAACTGTAAGCTTGATTTACACACTAGCAATATAAATGTCGCTATTATATATCTTGCAGGTTAGCAAGATACCTTAAGATCACATAATCTTAAAATGCGTAGCAATGGCCACAAATTCTCAGAATGGTGAGAACGCTCTGTAAAGCCTGTGAAGATACCAGGCTTCTAGGAGGATCTTGGTTGCTTACTTTAGTAGTCTCGCTCTAAGACCCCAATAAGAGGATAAATGATCAGAAAGAGTCGAACATACAATACAATAGGCGACGATTACTACTTACCATCAGAACTGTCAGCTTGTTTGCCATACCAATTACACAAAAAAAAACTGATTTGATTTAATACTCAACACAACATCTTTCATTGCTGTCCCGCTTTATCGCAATTCGGTTCACCATACCCAAAAACCCTATTGATTATTCCACAGCTATTCGATTTTATCAATGTATAAACTTTATTAATATACATTATACTTCCAGGTTACAAATGTTCTGCAGGCATAGCACACAATAAAATACTAGCAAAATTGGTTTGTGGTATGAATAAACCGGACAAACAAACTGTATTACCGAAGCATTCTATAAACATACTGTACAGGTAATTTATATTGTAAATAGCTGTGTCAGTCATTAGGGCCCCATTGATGAATATGGAAAGGCACCCACCTGCGCACTTATATACGCAGGAGTCGGGGTGGCCTGATTGAATCATCTTTTGTGCGCATTTTCATTGTTTAAGTTTAAGCACAGGATTTAGTTATTATAAGAATGATATGTATGACATTACAAATATTACCTTCTATGTTATCAGGACATTATCTTTAAAAAAAGTTAAACACTTAGGAGGCAAGTTCGGGGATACAGTTTGTGAAGTATTGAAAATTAAAACAATGGCTGAATTACAAACATATACAGAAAAAAAGCTACAAGAAAAATTTGATGAAAAAAATGGGTAAGTTCAATAGTAATGATTCTGAATTTTTGGAGTACAATAAATGTCATACAAGCCACGATTCAGAGACCTCCAGACGAATTCAATTAAGTTATTTAATTGAATTCATCTGAAGGTTTCTATGAATATGTTTCAGATCATGGCTATACAATATAGCGAGAGGTATCGATATGGAGCCTGTACAAGCAAGATTTAATCCAAAGAGTATTGGGTGCTGCAAACAATTGAGGGGTAAAGCTACAGTACATAATTTACACAGCTTGAAAAAATGGCTGGATGACTTGGGTGATGAAATAGATGATCGATTAGAAAAAGACTCATTAGAAAATAATAGAACACCGAAACAGATGGTTGTGAGTTTCACCACACAGTTACTCGATGGGAGAGACACTAGCAGTTCAAGGTCGTATAATTTTGCTTCTGATGACGAACTGTGCGGAGAATTGTTTTCAAGTAAAGCTCTAGAGTTGGTTATGGACAGTTTAGAAGGCATAAAATTGAAAGGTATATAATAAGTATTTTATGTATTTGAAAATATTGTATATGGTCATTTATTACTAAGATTTTTGAAAGTATTTCAGACTGTGTTATGATTTCAGGAAATGAAAGTGACAGAAAATTAAAAGGTCCCATAAAATTCTTGGGGATTAGTGTAGGTAAATTTGAAGATAATTTAGAGACTAAGAAAGTAAAAAAAATTGTGGATTACTTTGGTGCTGGTTCATCAAAAGATATTAATAAGACAAATAAGAATGAAGGCTTAAATGAAATAAAGAAAGAATGTATAGATGACAAAAGTAAGGATGGAAAAGAATATATTATAAATAAATTCTTTCAAACAAACAGTCTTTCAAAGAGTACAGAAAATGTGTCTGCAAAAGTAAAGAAAGAAAACAGTTCAGCTACTGAATCTTTCTTTGCAAAATTTTTAAATAATATTGACAAACAAACTACAAGTGTTGAAGTTCCAAAAGTAAAGATATTGGAAGAGAAAGGGAAATCTGGTCCACCGGCTACACCTACCTGCGACGTCGTTAACCATGGGGAAAATAGCAGTGACTCTAATTATTCAGCATCCACAATCAACAATGAAATTAATCAAAGTATTGCACTATTTGACGATGATCTTGAAGATGTTAGTCGCGTGAGTAATATGAGACAACTGTTAAATACTTCTGCTATAATAGATGAAAGTAGCAATCAATCTTATAAAGAAGTAGAAAAAAATAAGGAAATCGAATCTAATGGTCCCCAAAAAGCTATAATACATGAACTATCGGACACATTTTGCTGCTCAGAATGTGGAAAAACTTTAGCGATTGATAAATCTGATGTACATGCTGATTATCATTTGGCACTTAAATTGAGAGATGAAGAAAGACAACAAATGCGCAATGAATCAAAACAAAAAAATATTACAATGAATCACAATACGAAATGTAAATCGCCTGTGGTTGCAGAAAACAAAAATGAAGCTGTTACATCTATAGCTAGCTTTCTAGTAAAAATTGACGACACTGTTCCTACTGAAATGTGTGCAGAATGTGGCAAGAGGATACCTGTAGATAAAATTGGAGAACATTTAGATTTCCATGAAGCACAAAAATTGAGTAGAGAAATAAATAAAAAGTCAATTTCATGTAATGTGAATGGAAGTAGTTCAAAGAGAAAAAAGGCCTCTTCTATGGGGGTGCCATTCAAGAAATCCAAGGTGCTATATAAATCTATAGATTCCTTCTTTAGGTAGTCATTGAAATGCAATCATGTACAGTTTTAATAATTATTATGAATTCAAACTTTGTTTTATTGCACTCTTCATCTTAATCCTTTTCATTTGACCTAATCCTATCCGAGTATGTTATGTCTCAAGTAAAAAACATAATTAAATAGTTAAGCAACTCTTCAGTAGTAAAAATACGAATGGCATCGCAATAAGACTTGCCAGGTTTGACTGTTATATGTTAGCATTGATAAATAAATATTGTAATTTTTAATAGTTACGTATTGAGAATTACAAGATGGACGTGAAGTATCATTGATTAATCTATGAACACAGTAAATTACATTGTTTTAATATTTTTTTATATGTAAACTCGACCTATTCGTAACTATTCACAATTTGACAGTTTGATAGAAAAAGATAAAAACCATTTAAAATTTAATAACTGCGAAAGTTTACAATCAAAATATCTTGTCTGAGAACTTCTACAACTACAAAGAAAATCATAAGTAAGTTTTTTTCTCGATGCTCAAAAGCGGCCACAGGTCATTCTCGGTATGGAGGACTAAATTAACTGACTTGAGCTATCTTTAGCTAGCTCATTGGATTAAATATAAAAGATACAAATAAAACAATATATTTTATACATTAACATGTATTACAGTCCATTCTTAAACACTGTAGATTTCAGTTTGGACTTTTCTCCAAGAGTCGAGGGGGCCGTGTTCTGGACGGTACCTCACGTTGCAGCCGTCATTGGCCAGGCGACCTTCCTCACGCAGCTTCTCGAACTCATCGCGGTCGTACTTTGTGAAACCCCACTTCTTGGAGATGTAGATCTAAAAAACCAAACAAGTAGTTATTAAAATTTATATTTTGTATAAGTAAAATTTTTTTACATCAAAAACATGAATAATAATTATAATACTGCAGGTTATATAACAACTTTATGGCACCAAGGTGCTATTTAGATTATTTTTAGTTCAAAATAATAAAACAAGAATCTGAAAATATGTATTATTAATATTTTCAGGTACCAAGTGACCGACTACAAACTTCTAAGTCTAAAAAAAAATCGTTTTTTATGACACAATTTTTAGAATAGCTGTATAAAATAAAATATAAAATAACTTCAACAGCACTTGGCATATGATAAGTATAGAAGAAAGTTTTTTTTTTGTGCCACATCAATCAATATAATATTAAAATAGTATTGGTTATGGCAGAATATCAGTGTGTATAAGCTAAATCAACTATTTTATGCTGCTGCAGCTCACGCAAGATTTCAATTTAGTCATTCACATTTTGTGTGTGCCTTTTGAGAAATTTTATGTGTGCTAAAGATACATTTTAAATTTTATTGATTTAATTGTAAGTCATCACTGACCTTCTGACGACCAGGGAACTTGAACTTGGCACGACGCAGAGCCTCAATAACCTGCGCCTTCCAGCGGTCGCTTGAGCGCACCGACATGATGGGCTGGCCGATATGCACGCGTGCTACGGTTCCTTGTGGTTTGCCGAAAGCGCCACGCATTCCTGTCTGGAGCCTGAAGTATAATAAGTAGATAGGTTTTAATGAAAAACTATTTGTATCAGAACTATTTGTAGACCTCACAAAGTATTAACTGTTCCCAGTAGGTATATTTTTTAATGACCCATGTTTATATACAATCATTGAAAAGTTTAAATTTTGTAGTCAACCGCAACATACTGACCCATGCATGCATGATATCAAGTAAAACTAAATTTATGAAAGAAAGTATATTTTGTAAACTGCAATTTATAATAAAATTGCCTAAACACATATGTGATTTGACAGACTTAAAAGGTTTTATAAAGAGCCTGTTAGTAAGTAGTAAATAAAGGCTATTATAATATCAGTCATTATTTGTCATATTGTGTACAATTGTGTTTGTTTTTATAAATCAGAAATACTTTGGTATATATATTTTTTGCAGTAACTTTATATGACCTAATCTACAATAAAGATATTTGAAAATTACAACAAATATTTTGCATGATATCCATACTAAAGCTGTATTTGAAGCTATTAGATATTCTGGAGATGGAAGTCCTAGGACAAGAAGGATAATCATAATTGAAATCAAGCTTTAAAGTTCACTGCTATTTTTCCAGTAATTATTTTAACTTAATACTGTTTATCATTCATTAGTTTTTAATATGCATACTTGACCACCCTTCCTCTGTCACAAATGAGTGATGCATACAGGTCCGAGGGAATAGGGTCAATGGTTAAAATGGTAGGACCAATTTTTAATTATATTTCTGTTATTCATAAATATGGAATTATAGAAGTGTTTGAAGAAACAAGGCATCTAAGTATTGGACCAGCTCCCTGAGGCACTGGCTTATTGCCCAGGAAAGGATAACCCTTCATCAATGTAATGATGATGTGCACTGGCACCCATACGAGATACTCTAGCACCTGCTGGCTCTTACCATATGGTATTTGCTGGCAAGAAGCGAGCAGGCACTGAAATAGTGCTTGTGTGAGTACTGGAACATCACACCCTTCTGTGTAAACAAGTGCAAATATTTTTCAGGTACTTCTGCATTTTTTGTTAACCATATAATCCAGTTCTAATATCAAACACTAATAGTAGAGAAGTATGAGAGTATGACAGGCAAACAAAAACTGGAGTGGGTTGGGAACACTTAGAATATAAAATCATGCTTGAATAACAAATTATGAATAAATCACAGAAGGTTAGCTTCAGTTGTTTAGTCATGAAAATGGCAAATGGAGCTACGGACAAGTAATGAACACTTTCTCATTTATAATATTGATATGGTATATGTACATATTCATATTGTCACCATATACAACACAATGAGTTAGCAATTTCTAATCTCTCTTACATTGCTTATATATTGTGCAATATGAAAATACCTAATAATATTTGTCATGTAGGTAAATGATTGTCTATTTCAATTTGGGATATCCAATATACCTACAATGAACTCACTTTGGACTGTGCAACTACTTTTTTTATACTATAACTCCATCAGTTATAATAATTTGATTGAAAATTTAATAATTTTAGGTCATTGTATGTATATGATATAGTTTGTCAAAGTATAGGTATACAAACAAGTCTAAATGAATTAAATTACAGAAAAAATATATAAATACCTGTCAGCTCCAGCACACGATAACATTTTATTGATGCGGATGACATGGAATGGGTGCAGCCTCATGCGGATGTGGAACTGGTCTTTGCCGCAGTTCTTCACGAGGTACTTGTTGCAGCAAATACGGCCCGCTTCCAACGCCTCCGAACTTAGCTGTTCGTATTCATCGGACACCAAGTGAACGCATAGTGGGAAGTCGTCCACCGTCGCCTTCTTCTTACCCAAGTCGAAGATACGGATCTTAGGGTCCGGTACACCACGGCAGAACCGGGACTTTGGGTACGGCTTATTTTTACAGTACCGATAACTGGAATATGCAAAGGATTTTTAATATTCACATATAATATTTAGCTTTAACGTGAAGCAAAACAAATTGGAGGTTGTAAACTTACCATCTAGCTGGTCGGCGCCCCATTGTGATCTGAAATAAATTACAAAACAAACTTAATAACTATCACAAATAAATACTTCAAAAAATCAAACCAAAATATAAATAGTTCATGAAGATTAAAACAGATTTAAAATAAGAAAATTAATAAGCACCTCCACAAAGTGACACCGTAATCTGAAAGAAAAAAAAACAACGAAGTGATGTACGATATGACGTTTTGCTATTTGACGTTTTAAGCTTAATGTTACTATTTCCAAAAATTTCAATGTCACATATCACGAAAAGTCAGAATATCACTATACATGGTAAGTTATTCCAAAAATATAGATAAATTATAAAATTATAATTGGCCAAATAAATTATTACCACAACTTCTTATGCAAATAAGTATTAGTTCATTTCATAATATGTATTTAATAATTTAAACACATTTAAATGTGGAAAGTTACAAGTTTCTTAGGGCGGGTAAGACCAAGATAATTTGTCCTAACTTAAGGAGGTAGTGTCATATTAGAGGACGTGATTTGTTGTTTTTTACTTTTTATTTTTCTGTTTCTTTTGTTGTTATTTTTGTGGTCTTCCAATTATGGCATTTACATATGTACATAAGATATTTAGAATTTCAGTTTAAAGGTATAATATTTTAAAATATTGTACGCCTACAATTTTTCCACACTAATGTCAATGTCAGCTGAAATATTTCACAGTATTGACATATTTGTCAAATTACAATGTCTTTGATGATAGAAAAAATTATTTACTGTATTCATTCAGTCATTGAAGTAATATTTATTTAATTGTTATTTTATAAAAATTCTACTTCTTTATTTCTAAACTTTATTGCATATGCACTGGTGCGTAATTTATAGCTTTTGAATCAAATCGAAATGAAGTTAAATTATTTCATCAAATTTTAAACACCTTTATTTTCGTTCTATTTACATAGGTACCTTTATTACAAAATAGCATTGAACATAAGTTGTTAGAGTAAATAAAATGGGTGCATTGACTAGTAGACAGCATGCTGGTGTCGAGGAGGCAGATGTAGTTTCAAATCACGCCTACAAATACCCACCTCGGTCGGGTAAGTGACTTCATTTTTCATCTTTTCTTTTGTGTGATGTCCGACAAATCGCTAATTATTAAGGCCATCGATCTTTTATGAAAACCAAATTGAATGTAGAATTTGATAATTGATGTTTTTAAGCACAATGGTGAATAGTACTGACATTAAAAATTAAAGAACAGAAAATATATCAATAATCTTTGTGTTCTTGATGCGCCTTTTTTAAAGTAATGAGTGTCTATCTTTTTTTAATGATGATAATGGAATGGGGGTGCCTTTATTGGAGAATGGAGAATGATAACATGGGTACAAGGCATGTCAGTTAGTCCATTGTGGAAAATTTATCAGAATGGTTCCCAGGTGGAGCCGCATATAGGTAAACCATACATGGTACATTGCTAAGTAAAGGAACATTAGTTAAGTACATTACTAACAATGCTCTTCCGCTCTTTGCCTATCTGTTACCTTTTCACAAGTAAATAGCTGAATTAATTTTAAAGATATTTGTTGTAAACATTTATTGTATCACAAAGAAGGGATTTGGTTATCCTTTATCTTATAAAAAGCACATGAAGATGTAGCATTATATTATTATCATCTTCATCTTCTGGGATAAGGAAATCCTATTTATTAGGGGTCAGCGTAATATGTGCAGGTAGGATTGGAGGATTATGTTATAAGTCTGTATGTTCTTCTATTTGGTTAGTATTTTTTTTATATATCATAGTGGTGGCAATAAAGGATATGACTGGGCTCATATACTTAATTACCAAAATTTTCTGTTTACTTCTACAAAAGGTATATCCTTATTTGCCAGGAGTATAATAATAATAATAATCTAAGAACCATTCACACAGCGACATCTAGACCCAATTTAAACCAGCTAAAGCTTGTGTTATGAGTAATAAATAACTGAAACAAATAGATTATTTATATTGCTTTTTTTTTGTAAATACATATATATACATACATACAAACAATCATAATCATGATTACAAATGTTTGTGCCATGCGAGGAATTAAACCCGCAACCATTGAAAGTAAAGTGGTAAACCGCTAAGCCATAGAGGCCATTAGTATATTCTACCTTTATTGAAATTATATTATTATTTGTAAATATATTGTTAATTGTAATGTTTGTCTAGGTAACTACTTTGGCAGTCATTTTATAATGGGTGGTGAAAGATTTGACACTCCACAGCCTGAGGCTTATTTATTTGGAGAGAATGCTGACCTCAACTTTCTTGGCAGTAGGCCTACACCTGTAAGTATACATTGTATTATGCAATTTCAATTCAATTTCAGTCAAGGTCAGGTCACCCCATTGTGGCAAATTCATCAAGAATATACTAACAAAACAACTGTCAATGGGATCCTTAGTTTCATTCAACAATACCCTTAACCCCTAGATTTTTTATGTTATATTTTGTAAAGCCATTAATAAACTATTATTTTTGTCTAAAAGCTTTTAGCCAAAACCGTTTACACAGACTAGTTAAGTATTTTAAAAGTTTTTAATGACACACACAAAGTCAGGTTATTTCTCTTGTTAATACTAGTTTAGACATATATATCTTATCAAAATTTTTCTGTTCTAGTTTCCCTATCCACCACCTCAATCTAATGAACCAACTAAGACCCTTAAAAGTCTTGTCAACATTCGTAAAGAGTCCCTACGATTTGTACGGTGTCCGGAACCGGTTGGTAAGCTGGCCGATAACAAAATAAGTGATGGAATGAAGGCTGGCGATTGTAATGGAAAGGGGACATATTACAATATTGAATTCACATTTGACTGTGATGCAAGATGTGCCATAACCGTTTTCTATTTCTGCACTGAGGAAGTTACTCCATCGGGTGTAGTGTGAGTATATAAGTGTGTATAAAATTATATATATATGTAAAATATAGTGAATGATTTGTTTATATAATTAATAATAATAATAATATCTCAGGACAGTTCACACAGCTCCATCTAGTATTATCTAAACTAATACTACATGACACTGTATGAATTGTCCACGGTTATAATTATTATTAAAATTAATAGCAAAGTAAAAATTGGTAATAAAAAAAAACTTTCTATTAAATTTTTTCAGTTATTTTAATATGTAATATGAGATAATTAATTTAAAATATTGTTATAAACATAGGTATTACTCCCGTGACTCTGCAATGACTTCCCAGACATATCATTACAAGAAAGGTGCCAATCAGCAGTTCTGTCAGATCTCACACGTTTTTGACCCCTCCAAGTATTCTGAGGAGGACTTGCTTTACAATCCTGATAGAGAGATCATACCCATTGCTATTTATTGTGTTGTGGATGAGGGACAAGAAGGTATGTCTAATATAAGATGTAACTCTTATTAATACTATAAACGCGAAAGTTAGAGAGTAGCAAAAGCTACTAGACGCATTTTGATGAAACTTTACAGTAATATAGCTTAGACATCGAAAGTAAAACATAGGTTTTAATTTAAAAAGAAATGATGTAAATTGTAAGAAATGGAATGATAAATGTTAAGTAAGTGTGATGCAGACGAAGTTGTGGGGGGCAGGTAGTATAGAAAAAAATAAGGTTACAGAATTAATCAAAAGATAAGGTCTTTATTTTTAATAAACATACACAATTGTTGTTACAATAAGTATGTGCAGGTCACAGCTTTATTACATGAACTCTTAATGAAACTATTATTATAATCATAAGAGATTATACTTAACAGTAATATATTATGATGTAGTCTACATACTGTTGTTCACAATAGTGTAACAATAGGAAGCTACATTTTTTTCTGTTTATATAAGTGGAATGTGAAACAAACTGACAATAAGCACCTAATGATAAACGGTAACCCTCGCTTATATACATGAACTCCATTATTATGTGGTACCCATGGTATATGTAAACATTATAGTGGACTAAAATGCCATGCTTTTTATCCTGTAATTTTACTACGTTATGTTATTGTACCCCACAATGAGGCAGTGAAAACACAGTTTAGAAAGTAAACTGCTTGCTGACTTATAGGTGCTGGTATATTTCAAGTGTAAGTAAAATATGTTTTAACAGAAATACGGCAATCACACACAACTATAGCGGTTGTAGAAAAGCACTCAGATGGTACATACGTATTGAAGGCACTCAAACAAAAGCTATTTGTAGATGGATTGTGTTACCTACTGCAGGAAATATACGGCATTGAGAACAAGAACTTGGACACAAAGGTAAAACAGCAAATTAATTAAAATGTTAATCAATATTATCAAATCGTCTTGAATTATCCATTACTTAATAATACGCATGAAAGCTTCGTTACTCATGATTAGTCATTGGTCGCGATTTATTTTGTTTGAAATGAAATAATTAGCTAACGAGGGTTATTTTTAAATGGATATATATTTGAAACGTTCAAGAAGTGTTTTACACTTCTTGAAGTCCATAAGTCACGTAATTGTTTAATTCTATCCATTTTTATTTTTGTTATTTATAATAGTGGTCGCCCAGTGGTGGAAATTTGAGCATAATTAATTTAAATTATAAGTTGGAACATAATTAATGTTCTAATTCTGATTACTGCTACATATTTTTTATTTGTATATTGTGATTTTCCGAGAACATTCGAGTCGTTGTTGTCGTGGTATTGATAAATTAAATAGTTAATCAACGAAAGTGTTCCGGCAGCCGAGCTCGGACGAGGAGACTGAGGACGGCGGGTCGGAGTGCGTGATCTGCATGTGCGACGTGCGCGACACGCTGATCCTGCCGTGCCGGCACCTGTGCCTGTGCAACTCGTGCGCGGACTCGCTGCGCTACCAGGCCAACAACTGCCCCATCTGCCGCGCGCCCTTCCGCGCGCTGCTGCAGATACGCGCGCTGCAGAAGGCGGCCGAGACCACGACGGCGGCCGCGCCCGCCACGCCCGCCGACCACGTGCCGGCCGGCTACGAGCCCGTGTCGCTGCTCGAGGCGCTCAACGGGCCGCACCCCGCGCGCCCCCTCCCGCCCCCGCCGCGCCTCGCGCCCGCCATAGCCAGCCCCGACACAGACACCGCCTCGCAGGTACAGTCGCCAGCCCCGACACAGACACCGCCTCGCAGGTACAGTCGCCAGCCCCGACACAGACACCGCCTCGCAGGTACAGTCGCCAGCCCCGACACAGACACCGCCTCGCAGGTACAGTCGCCAGCCCCGACACAGACACCGCCTCGCAGGTACAGTCGCCAGCCCCGACACAGACACCGCCTCGCAGGTACAGTCGCCAGCCCCGACACAGACACCGCCTCGCAGGTACAGTCGCCAGCCCCGACACAGACACCGCCTCGCAGGTACAGTCGCCAGCCCCGACACAGACACCGCCTCGCAGGTACAGTCGCCAGCCCCGACACAGACACCGCCTCGCAGGTACAGTCGCCAGCCCCGACACAGACACCGCCTCGCAGGTACAGTCGCCAGCCCCGACACAGACACCGCCTCGCAGGTACACTCGCCAGCCCCGACACAGACACCGCCTCGCAGGTACAGTCGCCAGCCCCGACACAGACACCGCCTCGCAGGTACAGTCGCCAGCCCCGACACAGACACCGCCTCGCAGGTACAGTCGCCAGCCCCGACACAGACACCGCCTCGCAGGTACAGTCGCCAGCCCCGACACAGACACCGCCTCGCAGGTACAGTCGCCAGCCCCGACACAGACACCGCCTCGCAGGTACAGTCGCCAGCCCCGACACAGACACCGCCTCGCAGGTACAGTCGCCAGCCCCGACACAGACACCGCCTCGCAGGTACAGTCGCCAGCCCCGACACAGACACCGCCTCGCAGGTACACTCGCCAGCCCCGACACAGACACCGCCTCGCAGGTACTGTCGCCAGCCCCGACACAGACACCGCCTCGCAGGTACAGTCGCCAGCCCCGACACAGACACCGCCTCGCAGGTACACTCGCCAGCCCCGACACAGACACCGCCTCGCAGGTACAGTCGCCAGCCCCGACACAGACACCGCCTCGCAGGTACACTCGCCAGCCCCGACACAGACACCGCCTCGCAGGTACTGTCGCCAGCCCCGACACAGACACCGCCTCGCAGGTACAGTCGCCAGCCCCGACACAGACACCGCCTCGCAGGTACTGTCGCCAGCCCCGACACTGACACCGCCTTGCAGGTTCTGCCCGCGACGTTGGTGGTTGGTGGTGCTAGGACTAGGACTCAGACCTGTGCTTAACAAAAATTTGAAGATTTTGTCAAATGGAATAGAGAACACATCCCATGTGGTTGTAGCCAAAAATTTTTTAGTCTTTTTTTTAGTTCATTAACCTGCAGTCAGTCCTTAAATTATAAGCAGATCTTTGTGTGAACTAATAGTGGGATAATGATAACTAATTCACACCAGCGGAAGATGCCGCTCTCTGAAGGAAGGTCCTTAAGATTACTGCGAAACATTATACAATATCGCTTCTTTAAATTACCAGGCTGCAGAAATTTTAAATCGGTGTAACCTGGAGCGCAGCTCATCTACAAGCCTGGGGAGCAGCGGCAGTAGGAAGGCCAAAAACGGCTCCAAGGATGACATTAAAAGTACTCGCGACCGAAGCATGGCGCATACCATCACACCTGAGGTAATTTTAGGTCATACTTCTTAATGTCGCATATGCCTGAACACACAAAATTCTTTACAATTACTAATTAAACACGATGGAATTTTGTCTATTTAAAAATACTTTAGCTTATTTGGACGAACAATCTAAGACAGTATAAAAAATAAGTAAATAGTGTAATAGAAATAATTTTTTTCGTTAATATGTTGTTGCAGTTCCGCATGTCGGTGTTACTGGCGCGAGAAGAGGAGGCCAAGCGAGCCGAAGAGAAGACGGCTGCCAACAGTCCCCTGCTGTACAACCACAAGAACGTCAACGGCACAGATAAAATATCTAAAGTGAGTCATTGTAGCTGTTTTATTTTAAAGTATAGTCTGTTTTTTAACCTTGGAGACTAAATTGACTATCAAATTTTCAAATAATATTACTCTGTAGCGGGGCAGTGCTGTAACTGCGATACCGATTCCTTGAATCTAAATTTTTAATTTTAATCGACCAAATTATATGAATATTTAAATTTTATATACTTGTATTTTTATTACTGTATTCAACAAAATCTACTCTTCCTCTTTAAAATACTAATCATTAAGTAATGTAAAGATGTGAAAGCAAAGAAAAACGGTAAGCGCTAGTTTTTTTAATAAGCATTGTTTTTATATTATTTTCAAATACGGCTCAGAGAAGACTAAACTAAATATTGACTGACGTGGGGTCGACGCCGGCCTGATTGGGCTAGTCTTTTGATTTATTTCTTAATAGCTTAATGACTTTAATACATTAATATAATGTATATAGTTACTCTGGAATAACATAGGTAGCTTTTAAATAGTGAAATTAGTTTCTTAGTTTTCTTTATTCTTAACAAAATCAATTCTTCCTCATTATAATATTAACATAAATTAAATACAAAATAGTATAAAGATAAAGAAGAGAAAAGTGGTTAACCATCATTTCTTTAATAAGGATTTTTAATAATCGTTAGTTTTTTTATATTCACTTATTTAATTACAATAAATATTTTTTGTATTCTTTACAATTTTTTCGAATATATGTTATAGTCTTCATTGAGCTTGGACTACCCGACGGACGTGGGGTCCGCGCAGGACGGCTCGGGTTCCGAGGACGAGGTCTCGCTGCGGGCTGAGCGCGCGTCGTCCGTCGGACGCCCGGACGCCGGCCCGGATGCTGATCCGGACGCGGACCCGGACGTGGACCCGGACGCGGATCCGGACGCCGAGCCGGACAGCGACGCCGAACGACTCTCGCCTTTACTGACACAGTTGCCGTCGAATGGGGTCAGTAAAGTTTTTAATTATAATATAGTTTACTTGTTTCCGTAAGAAATATTTTTTGTTTATAAGTGGATTACCGTGGTTTCTAATCGTGTGTTTTGAGGTGTCCTAGTGATTACTAACCTGACTTATCCCAACGACATCTATCTAAGTGACAAAATTTTTGTATGTCGTGTTCGAACAAATCTGAAATACAAAATTTTTCGAAACCTGAATCTTCCTGCTTGTATGAAACTTATCCAGCTTTATATATACATGTGCAATATAGTAACTGTTATATTGCTACCTTATTGCTATAGTTTAATAACAGTCATAATGGTACATTTTTGTTTTGTCGGCAATAGATTTTGAAAAGTAGCAGCCTCCGTACTTCGCCATGTCCGCCGGGGGCAGGCGCGCGAAGTTGTGGCGAATGTGGCGAGTGTGGCGAGTGTGACGGCTGTGACGAGTACGAGGGCTGCGGCGCGCTGCGGCTGTCGGCGCCGGCGCTGGCGCACATCGACGACACCGACACCGACGAGCCGGACCACCCGCACAACTGTCAGTATCCAGTTCGTTTCTGATATACACACACAGTAGCACGACGCCGTACGATTTTACCGTAACAGTAATTGGGACAGTCCATTAATTACGTTTTAGCATTTTTAATAGGATTTTGAGATTTCATGTCATTCACATTTCAATTTTAGTATTTAAACATAAAAGTTAAAACGTGACCAGTACAGGATAGCAGGGGAGAGGCGAGGGGAGAAGGGAAGGGGTACAAATTACTGCAATAGGTGTAATGTAACGTAAACTGTGAATGGTCACAGATTTTAGAAACGTTTATCGAAGAACTTTTACAATATTAAAAAGAAGTATATTTATATAGCTTACGAAGTTATGGCTATTAGTGTAATAATAAACGTCCACGGTAATATCGTACGGTAAATTATAAACGCGCTAAATAATACCAGCTTTTACTTTATATCGTGAGTGTTGCTAGTCATAAAAAATATTAACCCGAAACTAACACTAGTGTTATCCTTTTCTAATATGCGAGGATGTTTGAGAAAGCATGAAATTGAAGATTTGATTTGTGAATTATCACAAAACCAGCAAATGTCTTTATAAATGTGTTGTTTCTCTCTTACAAGCTAAGCTTTCAATATGAAAGAAAGTGAGAATACACATCAATGAACAAACTAGGTTTATTAATGTTTAACCCTGTTGGTTAAACATATATTTATTAAAAAATATATATAGATAGAGTATACTTTTTTTTGCATTATACAGAAAAGAGAAAAATTACACTGAAACATTTCGATACATTCGTATAACTATAATAAATATAGCCTTATTGCTAAAAGCTATTTTTTCAAGGCGACCTTAGGGTAATGGATCCTTACAGATTACTGATACCGATTATACTAACGAAAACCGGCTGATTTCTTTATATCAATATTATTTAATGTCGTCTCCATTGAAACAATTTATAAATCGGTATTTAGTATGACAACAAAAAACAAAACAAATAAAACAATCCATTAGATTACTTAAGTGTAACAGAATAAGATTTCTTTTCGTAATTCATAAGATTTTTTTTACTTAATTAAATAATTTATTTTTATTAGAAGCGATTGTAGTTCGATGATTAAATTTATTGGCTGATCATGCTTCTGATTGGCCCACATTTAACCAGCTTATACAAACATAAGACATAATTCTTCAAGAAACCAACAAATGACAAGTCAGCGAGCAGTGGAAAAAGTATCTTATAGTATATATATTAAGGTATAGTCATAATAGGATCTCAGTCAGCGGGGAGTGGACTGTGTGTTTTAAAAGTCAGAGACAGCTTCAAAATATAACGCGGATATTCAAAGTTTGAACAAACATTTGTACTCATGTGTACATGTCTCGTGTAAGTTTTTATATGATTTTTATAGCATTCAAAGGTAAAACATGTGCATACTATGTTCTCTACTTGACCACAGTATTAATTGTAAATTAGCAAAGTTTTGTTTGTTACGACATGTATACAAATACTAGCTGACCCGGCAAACGTTGTTTTGTCATATAAATTAATATCGCTTATTAAATTTAAAAAATAAGGGTTGTTGGTAGAATGTAGAAAATCTTTATATTCTATGTATATTATAATGCAGAATTATAAAAACAAAAATTTGAGGTGTAGCACCATTCTGTCTTAGGGGTATGAAAAGTAGTTTAGTCCTATTCTCAAACCGACTGAGTATGGACACAAAATTTCGTAAGAATTGGTCACGCCCTCTCGGAGTTTAGTTACAAAGACTGTGACACGAGAATTTAATATATTAGATACATCGAGACCTATCTTCAAATGAAGTGTTAAAATATTTGAAGCTGTGTCTGACGGCGGGTAATACAGATACCGAGGTGTACGAACACTCAGCGGGCGGCGGCGAGCCGCGACCGGGCGCGGAGTCTCCGGCCGTGGCCGAGGACTCGGACTATTTCACGCCCGAGGACACCACCACCACCATACTGACCGTACCTAAGCACAAGCTCGTAAGTCCGTGTGTTCGCAACGCGCCACGCCCATTTGTGACGTCATCCGCCTCTTGTGCTCGCCATTGCCTGTTTCTAAGTTAACGGCCTATGTCAATGTTTAATTTGAAATGCACTTTTTTGCGTAGGTATTAAAGTACGTTTTTGCAATTTTACGCTTTCATTGTGTTATAATTTGCGCATTCATTTTGTCATGTAACTATGTTGGAAGGTCATTTTATTTTTGTGTTGCAGTAATATAGCATTTATTTATTTAGTTACAATGTTTTTAATGGTATATGTCGAATAATGTTGCAGTGGTATCTTAGTGGTAGAATTTGTGTGAATGACGTTCCTAGTATGATACCTGGTAGGGTTTATTTAGGAGAGTAGCTGTCAATTAGTCAGAACTATACACACTTGGAGCGAATGCGTGCCAACTCGAGTCATTCCCAAACTGTAGGTAATGATAACGCCAAATTATGAATTTGTATTATTAGAAAATTTATTAAAAACTCTCTCAAGGACCTATTAACATTATCGTTATTTTTTGAAATTATTTTAAAATAATCAGAAAAAGTGTTCTACAGAATTTATAAGATTTTTGCAAAATATTTTCATCATCGTCACTTTCAGCGTAAAAAGATCCTTGAAGGAAAATAATAATAATATTTTTGTAGTCGAAACACTATGATTTTTGTTCTGACTGTTTATCATTAATTTCTAGCTAGCGGGAGATTTAATATCATCGAATAATCGCTCTCTAGGAAGATTATTAAATGTATAAAAATCCCTTACCTAATATAAACGTAGGATATTTGTTAATAATTGAATATGTTGCAGGAGAATGGGAACAATGTAGCCGACTGTGCTCCACAACGCTGGGCCCTGCCGCATCATGTCACCTCACTTCCTGGTATGTTACTGAATGACAAAATTGATGACTGAATAACTGATTTTTAGCCTCAATAGTGGCAAATTAGCATACGATACGACAAAAGGACGAGTTATTTATACCACAATAATGGCAAATTATTATACGGCCTAACTAATTATAAACCACACAATACCATACTATAGCTAATATATGCTTGTATTTTGTGCGCATGTTTCACAAGCCATTGTTATTTATATTATACAGTGCCAACCCTTAAGGTATCCTTATTATATGTATATCCATGTTATTTTTGAAACCATGCAATTTGAATGTACACGGTCTGAAGACGCACTCAAGTGCACGCAACGCGCACGAGTGATTATACATTACTTATATTTTTGTGATTTTATATTACAAAAAAACAGTGAAATCGACTTCATATTTTTTATTTTACAGTCTAGATCAATTTTTTAAAATATATATCTAGTTTATTAATTTTGAAACAAGTAACTATTTTATTTAAACAAGTAATTATATAAAGTAGTAGTAATTATATAAACAAGTAAATATTTCCGGTAAAATGGATAACCTACCATAGTAATAAAATATCGATACATTGCTTCAGGAACTCCACTAAGCCAGTCGAGCGTGCGGTCTTCGGGCGACTCGTATAGTTCGACGTCGTCCACGCGGCAGCTGCTAGCGCCGGCCGGGGCTCCGCTAGCGGCCGACTCGGCCTGCTAGCGCTCCGCCCCCGCGCTTGGCCGCCCGGGCCTCCGGTCAGCGCCGCTACCTCACCGAAACAGGTGTAATAACATCGCTTACCCCTTACCCCCATATTAAATTTATATGAACTTACCGACAATTGTTAATTATTTCTTAATTTCTCAACTCTAGTAACTGTTCATATAATATATCTTACATTATACGCCTTGTGTTATATTATGGTGCAAAGGACATATAAAGGTTACACTAAAATGTTGATTATTTATAATATGACTATGTAACGCGGCAAATATGAGTAATTTTACAGTAAAATCAGAACAGACAATGTCAGCGTTACCCGCTGTGGCATAGTAGTTATAAAATCCACTATGTAGTTTTCATACTACATATTTAATGTACATCCCCATAGGTTTAATTCTTTAGGTTACAGGTTATTTAAGAGTCTCGTCCTTACTATTTGATAAGTGCGAGACACTGATATTTATGGAAGAATTTCTAAATAATAAATCAAATCATTATCTAGTATAAAATAAAGTCGCTGTCGCTGTCTGTCCCTATGTATGCTTAAATCTTTAAAACTACGCAACGGATTTTGAAGCAGTTTATTTTAATAGATAGAGTTATTTAAGAGGAAGTTTTATATATATGTATATAATATATGTACATCCGTACCAAGCCGGGGCGAGTAACTAGTATAAAATAATAGAAACATATTTAGAAAGCGATGGTCATGCACCATCCGCCGTTCGTCCTTGACGTTGATAGATGGCGATATAAAGTTTTGGGACAATAGGTGAAGGGGGCTAGAAATTAAAAACGCCGTAAAAAGGAGTGAAAGTGGCTAACTTTCTATCTTCTTCTTTTTTACTAACTCTAGCTCCGCCAATGAATCGCCCTTATTCATTGTGGGGGTACAGTAAAAATACACGTGTTAGTGGACGGTCGAACTCTTTTTCTTTGTTATATATTATAGGAAATATTTACTATTTATAATAAACACTAGATAATATAATATTAGTACACATTCTATAAACACGATATTTGTCTCTATAATATTATATAGTGTTGATCACGTTTGTAACAGCGTTGAAATATCGATAGCCCATAAATAATATTGATATAGTAAATATCCCGTTTATATGATGTGTATAGTTGTAAATAATCGAAAAAGAACACTAAAACAGTATAATATTAGGTTAACTATATGTTTACAATATATTTAAGTATTAATTGACGGCATGAAACGAGGTACTTTTTATAAAAAGTAATTTATTGTACATATTATACCTGTTCCGTATTAATTGTGTTGATATTAATTAACTAATTCAAGCAGTGTCTGTTCCAACCTTGACATTGGCAAAATCGTTGAACTCCGAAGAGCCATAGTTTAAAAAAAATACTGAAGTTGAAGTAGTCTGTGCTAAACTATTTTAAAGACTAAAAATCTAAGGACATGTTTATTATTGTATAAATAGATATTATTTTAACTCTATCTGTGTCCTGTAATATATTAGATTTAAATTTTATTGATATTATTTATACTTTAGAATCAAAATAATGGATGATGGGTACGTAATAAATAATACAAAATATTATGTTATATTGTTAAAATAATCGATCTGTAATAATTTGTATATAAGATTTAAGGAAATTTATCTTTGCTATTGTATTAAAAATTAGATGCAAGTTGATTGTAAAAATAGACTGATAAGAACATTCCTTGGCTTTGTTATTGAATCTCAAATATATTACAATAAATTATTAGAAAACCATGATTTTGATTTAATAAATTAGAAATAGTAATATGCAAAAAATTATATAATTAACAAAATAAGACTGATCAGAATTTTAATCCTAAATATTTATGCATTGTCGTGACTAATAGAATATATTTATTTTGTTTCATTATATTATTATTTATTTTATTTCAGGATACTAATGCCCCACATTATAAATACATATTAGACTGACATACATCATCATTGCCTTGCCTTTATCCCATTATTTGGGGTTGGCGCATACATATGTAAGAATAATAAAAATGGTCTTTATGGTCGCTGTACTGATGACAGCAATCTGCCATGGTAGCATCAATACACCATGCTCTTTGTGCAGTAGTCCTTCATGAAGGTGGCAACATGTTAGTGGCAACCCAACCCATATATTAGTGTCATGTTGTAATATTATATGCTTGTTTGTGACAAAATCACATATATAATGATATTGATTTCCCTGCCTAGAACTGTAGTAATCTGCATGTTAAAATTACATTAACATCCCATCTATGAGATCAATTACAGGATATCTCACAGATGGGACTATAGCGTCCAAGTCCAATAATCGGCTCATAATGAGTTGTGAATGTCTCTATTGATGTACATTGGAAAGGGTCCCCTTAAATCTATATATACATCATAAGTTTTAGGATCTACTTAGTTTTTCTTCCTGCTATATACTGTATCTAACCATATATATACTGGGTCTAACCAGTACCTACATGATGAGTCCATAAAATGCTAAGAAGTTTGTCTCAATTGTCAATGTTGAGTAAGGAACTTCCATTACATTATTGCAGAACCCATTGCACTTCATAGAATATATTTTATACTAGTGATATGTTCCCACATTATAATTTATAGTCCCTATGAATCTAATATTTAATGAAATGGAACCAAAATTAAATAAAAATATGTAAACATGAAAAAACAATTCAATTACAAAACTTATTTATTTCTTTGTTGTATATTATATAGTACACTATCACTTCAAGACTGAAGATAATAAAAATAATATTATTTACAGAAAACAGAGGCTTATTGACTGTTAAATATTATTAATAAATACAAACTAAGATAAAATTAATATAAGATTCTAAATTTAAGCATTTATGTAAACAAAAAAAGTGTAAAAATACCTATATCTATTATGTATATTTTATGTTAACTCTGTAGAAAAGCTTAATTATTAATTATCTATAATAATTATTACTATTCATTCATTTAAAACTTCTTGAGATGTAATTTCAACTTTGGTCTTGTGTAACATCAGATATATTGTAATTTATTGGACCTATGCCAACACTACTGCTGGGATGAATTATTTTTTTCACAACCTGCCTCCTGGCAGCGTACGCTGACATCCTAGCTAATCTTGCTTGTCTCTGTTCGGGAGTTTCCTCTGCGAGCCTCCTAGCTGCATATGCTGACATGCGAGCCAACCGCTTGGCTCTTTGTTCTCTTGTTTCTTGTGCCAATCTCTTGGCTGCATATTCAGACATTCGTCTCAACCTCAAGGCACGTTGTTCCGGTGATTCGTTAGCAAGCCTCTGGGCGGCGTAAGCAGACATCTTAGCCAGTCTAGCTGATCTCTCATCTGGTGTCTCATTTTTAGGTACTGAACCTTTTCTACGCCTTCTCATTAGTGGTGCTGGAATTGAAAGTGGATCCACTTCTTGTAACATTGATTCCGGTTCTACATTAGAGGCCTGAACATCTGGCTCTACATTTCGATCTTCTTGTTCAGTTTTTACCGATCTTCGAGACATTTGTTCGTCTCCTACACTGAAATTATTAGTATTTAGAAGGTCCTCCGAATTTGAAGCGTCCGTTCTGATAGTAGATATCCATTTGTTGTTTGTTTTGGCTATCACCATTTTTTTCCAGGAACAATCGGATGAAGTAAACTCACCCATATTGATTGTTCAAGGATTGAGTTATCCACAGAATCATAGTAAGTATATATTATAAAGATAAATACGACGTATCTATTCGAAGCAGAGATTCATTTATACAATTTATTAAGAAAAAACACACGAGATCAAAACATACTTATATTTCGTAGTGGACTGGATTTGCGGATTTGATTCGATAAGAAAAATAACTTATTAACTACGATGAAAAGGACGCCACTCAGATTACTATTTTCATATCAAAGACTGACAACTTGCAACCTACTGTCAGTCAATATGTCGTAGTATCTACGGTAAGTGGTACCTGATCATTTCAAGATATATAACTACTGAAGACAAGTATTAGAAAAAAAAAAAAAAAAATACGAAAATATTACTGAAGACAATGGCTGTATGGGCTGAGTCCTTTTGCATTTCCCTAAAATGGGAAAAACAGAACCAAAAAAAAAAAAAAAAGTGGTACCTGATTGTCAAAATAAATTTGTAATAAAGAAATTTTAACCGTATTTCTCAACCATTAAGTTTATTTTTCACTAGTCTTCAAATTAAGAAAAAGAAATCGCTTATGAAAACCCGTGGATAGGACTTTGTCTCTTTCGCCAAATTTCGAATCCAAAATTACAACTGATAGACAGTTCACGGATGGATGACATTGTTTAGATACATAGAATACACTTTATTTGTAATATACAGCGAAGAAAAGACAACAATATATTAACAAACACATATATTAATTACAATGAGGCGGTTTGTTGCTAGAAGCCATATTTTATTTTTTATAATTATTTGACAGGTGACTAGCTAGGATTTGTCAAATGAATACTGCCATGTCAAAAAAGTTGGCAGTTTTGTTGGCAAATTTGCCAATTGGCACTGTGTTGTGACAGTAATTTTAATATTTTCCATCTGTCTGGTTTAAGTTGTTATAAAATTCGAATAACATTATCTTAAATTTTGATAAATATTTCATTTAACAGTGTATTTTAAGTAACTTAACGTTATAATTATAAGTGAGTTGTTGTAATAGTCATCAAATTCTAGTAGTATTCATTGTTAGACCCACTACAATATGTTGGAGTTGGAATTTATTGTTCAAACTAAATTAATAGCTGTAAATAAATTACTTAATAATAATCTAAGTAATCTTTTTAACTAACTTCTTTGTTATTTGTTTTAGGAAGAATGACCGTAAAAGTGGTAGTGTATGTGACAATGATGTGATGACATAATGGTTCTCTCCTTGATTGCACTTTGAGGATCACCTGTAGACTGTAAACATGGACAACGATTTAGATTCACCGGTAAACCCGACCACTCAGGATGAGTGCGAGGGATACAGGGAGAGTGAGACAGATTACTCCAGCATCAGAGGCAAGGTATCATTTCCTGTTCCGTTCCCTGTACCTCTCTGTTCTGCCATAACTTATATTACTGTAGGAAATTAATACAGTTTAGTTATTTGGACCAAATAGTATTTTCATACAATAATATTACAAATTATCAATAGAGACCTATCAATACCATTTTATTTACTGTGACATGATAAACAAAATCATTTAGATCTATGCAAAATATTGTGTTTATTCAAACTACTATATACTTATATGTATTAAAGTTACATATTAAATATTACAAATAAAATATTGTCATAATTCATTGTTAGGGAAAAGTTATTACACAATTTTGATGTATTGTGCTAAGTTGCATCATCCTCTTTTCATTAACAATTCTTGTGCAATTGGATCTCAATAAGTGACCCTATCTACTGTGAAAAGGTTCATTCCTTCAGAGTAGGTAGTGAGTTCAGGTTAGCAATAATAACATAGAGTATTAATATTTGTTATTGTGATTGTTTACAATTCTTTTCTGTTTTATTTGTGAACTAGTGAAATTTTCTTTTATATATAATGGAAACTAATATGATATTAACAAAAAAGGTAATGCTATGAGTGGTGAATATAATATATGTGTAGGCATGTGGGAAGTTATATGAATAAGAAACTGACGTTTAATTAAACTCAGCATCTTTTATTTTGGAATACAGTTGAAGTATTTTATTATAAGTATTAAAAATGTGATTAATCAAACATACTTATACAATCTCTTAGGTTTGAAATATTTGATAGATATATAAACTATGATGCAATTAATTATAATCATTGGATAATTTATTTCTGAAATAATTTATTATAATTTGTCTCTATATATGCCAAGTATTTTTTTAATGGATGATAAGAATGGTGATCTTGCATGTGTTAATATTTTATGCTGGTGGGACACCAGTGCAGGATGATCAGATGTACATGAGATCAGGTTAATTACCCCATCATGACAAATTTATCAGGATAGTTTCAAGGGGAAACCACATGGAAGTCAATCTGACTTGATTACTAGCAATGTATGGTATGGTACATTGCTAACAATGGGGTCAACAGTCCACATTACTAATAATACCCCCTATTTTAAGTATTTTCTATGCATATCATATATTTTTTAGCAAAATATATATTTAAGTATTTCTAACAGTTGCCTAGTTGTCACAGTACTTTTGCTTAGTCAGGGACTATTTGCAATGATGTGTAGCAAATAATATTTTATAAATAAATAATATAACAAGGTTCATGTATAAGTTTGAAATTATCAACTTAAATCTCTGTAAACACATTATATAATAATTTAATTAACAAATAATAATAACAAAATAGAATTAGTAATGCTTATCTATTAAATAATCTGCTTGCAATAATTAATAATGTATGTAAATAATGATAGGAATATAAAGTATATATATTTAGCATTATTGTAGAAGTAAGTTTATTTATTTATTTTTTTATTTACCTGTGACCAATTGATGTTATCATCCTTCAACATCTTATCATGTAATTTGTAAACATAATAGTAGTTGTATTTTCATACATATATTACTATATCATAAAAAAGTAGCCTATAATTATATCTATATACATTTTGTTAAGTTATTTTTTTTTAGACATAGAGTATGCCTGGCTTTTGTTTTTATGCACTGAGCTTTCATTTAATATTAGACATAGATACCTACATATGTGAATAAACTGTCTATACAAAAAAAAAAGAAATACAGTTGAGTTTATTGCCAGCTATTCTTAATTGAACTGGATAGTAGCAAAAAAATATTAAGGGGGTCTTCCTATGTGACGGCCTGTTTTTTAGGGATATTTTAGGATTTTTTTTCTACGACCAGTAAATATTTAGAGCTTCAAGTTTTTTATCATTTATTAACACATATTTGGACAGTATAAATATAAAATTTCAGCTAAAAATATTCAGTCAAACTAGAGTTACAGCGCTCTGAACACCCCCGCCTCGAAAAAAAGAGCTCCCACTTCCTCCACAATTCCGGCTGATCGGCTTATCTGAAAAAAAAAAAAAAAACGGCGTTTTAATTTGTAGGCTTAAAAGCACGGAATGACCTATAATCAAATGAATATAAAAAAAATTGGATTTTTGATAGACATTTGAAATAAAAGTTGCAAATTAGGCGTTTTTTTTTTTTGTTTTTTTGCTATAAAAAAATCGAAGTTTTGAAAATTTTCGATTGATAATAGTTCATTCCATGCGTTTACATATATTGAGTGTGCCCTGTAAATTTCAAGTAATTCGGTCCAGCCGTTTCTGAGATACAATGGAGGAAAGTTTGAAAAACACAGTTTTGAGAAAAACGCGTTTAAAGTTTCAAGTCCGTTAAAAACTATTAAAATATCAACTTACTCTCAATCGGCGATGCCTGGTCCATAGAGTATTCCTTCCTCTTCCTCGTGAAACTCTTTTAAAGCAGATTGTTCAGCTCTTGAGTCAATCCTGGCTTGTTTAACGACATCACTTACGCGCCGCTCAGAGCGTAAGATTCGCTTTTCATCCCGTTTCTCAACATACGCTTGGGCTTCACGACCAACAGGGCATCCCATAATCGACATAACTTTTAAAATACCTTGAAAACCTTCATTAAAGATAATAACTGCTAAGTAGCTAGCAATTTCAACAACTTTGGGACCAGAATGAAGATGTTTAGGAGCGAAAGTCCAAATCAAAGAATTCAAAGATTCGTTATTGTTTTGTGTCTCTGCTCCTAAACAACGAATTAATAATTCGTCTTTCGATAAATCTTCGAAAACCGGTTTGATAGCTTCTTGGACTTGCGGAATTAGAGGTGGTTTATCGTGATGAAATTGGTCCAGTTCATTATTAGCTTCAGCCTTACGCCATTTACACCAACTGTCTTCGCCTTCTGGACAAAATTGATGCTGAGGGTTTTCATCAGAAGAACATTTGTGATAGTACGTTGCCCAAACTTCCTTTCTCATATCTTCAAGCGAATCTGGATGGCGTCGAATTGCTAATCCGTAGAATTTTGTAATTTCTTGGATAACTTTATCAGTAAGTTTACCTGCTCCTTTTCCTCCTATTCCTTTATTGGTTTTATCCTTTTTAAGTCTGTAGAAACGTGTCTAAACTTGTATAAACAAATATATTAATAAAAGGGAGGCCAGGTATAAAGCCGACGGTACACAATAGGCCCGGTCTCTAACTGCCAACTCACCGCTCCGAACCGCTCTTTCTTTTACCTGCTGTATCTTTAAAACGACTTCGAATTTTCTAAAATCGCTTTACTACCGTATTCTAGACATGTTAAGGGAGCAATTTATGAAAAAAAAAAATCGATTTTTTCAACCCATCACATAGGAAGACCCCCTTAATACAAAAACTTCCTGTTTAGGAAGCAGCTAAATTGTCCTACATGAAAAAATGATTTTTGATTTGATTTATTGTGAAAGATAAACACACAAATTTTACATACACAGATGGTGCTGGTAAGTCCAACAGCGGACGAATATGAGCTGCTAAGAAAAGAACTCCTTGAGAGGCTAGAATCTGGAAATGGAGAAATTATTTACGATATTGGCCATGGTGAAGGTGAGTGCACACTATACATATTATAACAGGGTTGGTAATACTCTTAGTGACCTTTAAAGGTTATCAGCTAGGCCTTTAAAGTTCAATGCCTTAACCTTCAACCTCTTTATAAACAGCTTTGTTTTTCCTCATTATTGTTGTCCATTTATTTTCTTTGAAAAAGACAGTTTTACAAGAATTATATTAGCTGGTAATCCATGATTCCATTCCATGATATTTATACAAAGAATGCAATGACTTTAATTAATCAACATCTATAAATTAAGTATAAAGACTGACAATAAAGCTAATTTTAGTTTTTAGTTTTGTTGTATTGAATGTTTAGCAAAATAATGGTGATATATATTCTAAGTTTCTCTGTAAATTATTTTTATTAATATGTACAATATTACATTCATAAATACAGATAAAATGCTATAACAACAATCCCTTTATTAATCTTAAGGCCTGTGTGGTAGGAATCTTGTATCTTTGAGTACTCAAACTTTAAATTAATATAGGCTTAATTTAATGGACATTTTTTTTTATGTCAATTTACAATTTACTAGTGGCCAGCCCCATAACTGTCAATTTTAGTATTTAAATGTATCTATTAGAAATATATAAAGGATAAAATTGCAGCTATGATATTAATTAATCTAAAGATACGTATGACATCATTATCTTATCTCGTAATTACAATAGTCTTTATTTCATTATACAATCACAAGTCATGCAATAATAATATTTTTTTGTTTTGCAATCATTACTCAAATATGTAGATGAAGTAACAGATACTTATTGTATGGAACTCAGTTATTGTACTTGTTTACTCGATTTATTGAGGTAGATTTGGTAAAGAGTCATCTGTGTGGATACCTTAGTCTCTTTTTTTTCGGCCTACTCTAATGTTGTTGGCCGCAGTTGGCCTTTAAAGCATCACCTGACGATAGGGGGCGAGTGCAGATGGCACTCTAAACCCGCGTAAGGACTTATGGAGCGGCTGAAGGCCAACTCCCGCCTGACAGATATGACCTAGTCTGAGGGCACCTCTAGGGGTTCGAACCTCGGCTCAGGCCGTCGTAACATCGGTCCCCGCTTGAATTGGACGGGGGATCGATCGGAGGGGTCCTTAGTCTCTATTTCAGCCGCCAAGTAGCTTGCTTCGTACAATGTGTTTTGGTTGAAGAATACTCTGTAATTTCACTGCCTCACCTGTTAGTTTGAAGGGTAGGATCGGTTAGCCAATCAGTTAGCTCGTGGTGGCGAATTAACCAGAAATGTAGTACTATATATACTATATATGTATATTTCTAAAGTGAACTGCGAGACATGGTCATGCACAATTGTTACCCCACCGGAGTGTTCCGAGAGGGTGTATGGGACATGAATTGAATGCAAATCTATATTCTTTAATGCAATTTTAAATACAAAAATTTAAAGAAGTATTGTTAGCAAATGAGGACTTATTTCTAAAAGATATCTATCTTTTCCAGTCAATCTAAAACAGCGTGATACAGGAAGTGGCGTGTGTATAGAAATTTATATTTTTAGATGGAAGAGGCTTAACGGAGGATGAATATAGTGCGTCGGTGGCGACGCTGCAGTCCCTGGTCAGCGCGGAGAGGGTGTCGTGCGTGGAACTGCGACGATGGCAGTGCGGCTCCGGCCTCACCGGGCAGTACTTGCTTAGGACAGAGGTCGACGACACCGATTTCATGGAAATTAGGTATTTTTTTAAATCATGTTGCTGGTTGCTATAATATGTGTTTTTGTGGATGCTGTTGCTCAGGATTTAGAATTATACATTTACTTTATTGTTAGGGTTTCTTTATTATTATATTTATATTTTTGTATAAATGCAACAATTTGTTGTGAACAGGGTGGCTGTAGTAGGTAATGTGGACGCGGGGAAGTCGACCTTACTGGGCGTGTTGACGCACGGCGAGCTGGACAACGGGCGAGGATACGCCAGGCAGAGGCTGTTCAGGCACAAACACGAGCTGGAGAGCGGCAGGACCAGCTCTGTAGGCAACGATATACTGGGATTTGATAGCGTGGGTGAGGATACTAATTTTATTATTAATTTTTTGGAAGACTATCCGTTTCAATTAAGTTTTCAATAATTTTATTATAGATTACTAAAACTACTTCATGGATTTATAATATTTTACCACATTTATTCATGGATTTACCACATTCAGTGCGGAAACCTAAACACTGTTACCACCTTCTCTAATGGTAATCAAATTCTGACCATCATCGAGTCTACACCCATATTGCGGCACGTGTTTCGCCTCTATTCGAGGCATTATCAGGCATTGAATAGAGTTCGAATATAACTTGGAGGCCTAGTGTTGATAGGTCGGCGACCAAACTGCGACCAAGGATATTGGTCTCACAAAATAGTATAAATCCAATAAGTAGTTCAATGCTCTTCTGCAAATAACACCTAATTCGATAAATTAGATTACTAAAACTTTTTATGCCAATACAATGACGAAATATGTGGACTATTTTATTAATACTAACATTATTTTAATATTTGTACCCTATTTCAAGCAAAAAACAGCTATTTTGGCTTGACGGGAAGAGATCTATTTTAAAAATAAGTACTCCTTTGCAAACATAATTTCTAAAAATTGCAATAAAGAATCTATTATAATATTTATTAGTCTAATAAAAATTGTGTACATGTGCAGGTAATGTGGTAAACAAGCCCGACCACGGCACCCTGGACTGGGTGAAGATCTGCGAGAAGTCGTCGAAGGTGATCACATTCATAGACCTGGCGGGGCACGAGCGTTACCTCAAGACCACCGTGTTCGGTATGACTGGACACGCGCCGGACTTCGGTATGCTAATGGTGAGCCTTCATAACACACATTTTGGGCAATAAAAACTAATTTTTTCATTTCATTTCGTAAAAATAAAATAGAAGAAATCGTATGTATTAAATATAAAAACTGTATGTAAAATGGTCATTTTTGAAGCTAGAATGATTGAACTTTTTACTTTGGTTTTTTTGTGTTAGATTACTAAATATTTTTACTTTATTCTTATAGTATAAACCTATGTAGAACCGCACCGAGAGCTGAGTTCTGGTCTACTGAGATACAGGCTTCGTGCCTAGTTCAATTTACAGGGTCCTACAATCACAAGTTATACAATGATTTAAAACTTGCATATGCTAATGCTAATAAATTGCTAATAAATTTAATATTATTATTATTACAGATAGGGGCGAACGCTGGTATTGTGGGCATGACGAAAGAGCACCTAGGACTGGCGCTAGCGCTCTCCGTACCCGTCTTTGTGGTAGTCACCAAGATCGACATGTGCCCGCCCAACGTGCTCCAAGACAACCTGAAGCTGCTCATCAGGATCCTCAAGTCGTCTGGCTGCAGGAAGGTACCGGTCATGGTGAAGACGAAAGATGATGTCATTGTCAGCGCCACTAATTTCGTGTCTCAAAGGTGTGTAAATTTCTTATTCATTCATTCATTCATAATTTAAGAGCCATAGATCTTTCTTATAAACGAAAAACAAATTCCCTAGTTCAGTATACAGATTCAATTGAGAAGAACTGGCAACAAACTCAGCTGAATTTCCTTTTTTGTAAAGGCAGTTTATGTAATTTTTTATACTTAGGTGTCTATATCTAACATTAAATAAAAATTCTGTGCCAATGAACAAGTATTGCCACGCATGTTTGTCAATTAAGTAACCGTTTAGTGTGTAATAGGCTTTCTCAATAAATATGATTTAATATGTCAATTTAATTATCTTTTTCTCATAGGCTATGCCCAATTTTCCAAGTTTCAAATGTCACGGGTGAGAATCTCGAATTGTTAACGATGTTCCTGAATCTACTGAAGACGCGGATGCCCTCACAGGACGACAAGCCCGCTGAGTTTCAGATAGACGACACCTACTCTGTGCCTGTTAGTACAAGTGTTATTTTGTTTTTTAACTTGTAAAAATCATAACATAGTGGTTTTCTTAATTAATTTTAATTTTAAACAAAGATTTATTACTTTATTAATAAAATATATGTAAAACATATTGTTTCAAGACATTTTTCATAAAGGTTATTCTTAATAAATTACTGTTTAGTATTTAATAAAATAAGTTATGTTTTTTGTCGATGGTATCCTTTACATTGATATCAGCCTAATACAATTCCACAATTCTATGTTATCTGCAAGTTAATTAATATGATATAAATATATATAAATAGAAAGTTTTATATACTTTGTTATAATAGATAAATTTAAAAAGTAATAAAGTAATTCTCTGTGGATTTGTCACGATGTGTTAACAGACCTAACCTCATGTTCATTTTATCATCCTTCACTGGTGCGCCGCCAGCGTAAACTTCTACCGCACGCCAGTGCACCATTCTATTATCATAGATTAAAGAATAAAAGAAAAAATGGGGTCCACATTACTAACAATCCCCTTCTCTACGGTAAAGCTGGTTACATGTGTGATATTAATCGATGAATTGACAGGGCGTGGGCACAGTGGTATCGGGCACGACGCTTGCGGGCGTCATCCGTCTCAACGACACGCTGCTACTGGGGCCCGACCCGCTGGGCCGGTTCGTGCCCATCGTCGTCAAAAGTATCCACCGCAAGCGAATGCCGGTGCCGGAGGTGCGCGGCGGACAGACAGCTAGCTTCGCACTCAAGAAGGTAACCGATTCGAATCTCTGTATTTCCTTGTCTCTGTTTATTTTATAGAGATAGACTGAACAATCTTATTGAAGTCGTCTGCGTGAGTATTCTGTATGTTTCTCATCTATTTAGAACAGCTTATTTTGTAAGCTATTTATGTATTTTATGTAATTGTAGGCTGAGTTAGGACAATGAAATTATAAGGTATCGAAAGATAATTTATAAGTTCCCTGGAAAGGCTACACCAATAATAATGTAATAATAAAAATAACTCAGGACAATTCACACAGCATCATCTAGTTCCAAACTAAGCAGAGCTTGTGTGGTTGGTTCTGGATAGCTGACACAATACTAGAATACATTTTATTTTGTAAATTATGTATAACAAAATATGTATGTATTTAGAAAATGAAGTTACAATTTATGTATTTATGTCAGCTATCTAGTACCCATAACACAAGCTCTGCTTAGCTTGAAACTAGATGGCGCTGTGTGTATTGTCTTTTACACTACAGTCAGGCCACTCCACAGTATCCCGGTAATAGTAAATTATATATTACAGGGATACCGATTTATTATATGAAGCAATTACATATATATATATATGTATCTGTATGTTTAGGTACACAGTACATGTAATTTATTTCACAATATTTTTTATCTTTTTTTAATGGATCATAAATAATTGTATTGCAGATAAAAAGGTCGCAAATTCGCAAGGGTATGGTGATGGTGTCCCCGGCATTGAACCCGCAAGCGTGTTGGCAGTTCGAAGGAGAAATCCTAGTGTTACATCATCCCACCACTATCTCCTCGCGTTATCAGGCGATGGGTGAGTATTATCTTAATTGTATGATAACTTTAATCCTAGTTTTTTATAAATATGAAAGTTTGTGAGTATGGATAGATAAGAATAATAATAATCTCAGGATAATTCACACAGCAACATCTAGTCTGTTATGAGTCTAGTATCCATAACACAAGCTCTAGTCTAGTCTAGTACCAATAATTGATACAGATATATAGATATTACTTTTTTTTGTAAATACATAATATAATAAAACCTCAGTATGAATACATACACTCACATTAAAACGCGATTGTGTCTATGTAGTGTTAATTCGTGTTAATATATAGAATAAATAATTACTTACTAAATTATTAGAATAATTACAAGTGCACCTGTTTATTCATTACCATATACACGTGTACTTAATTAGTAAGTAATTAATATAGTTTTAAATATAATTGTACATTTAAGTACATCACAATATTGCATCATATATATTGTGATAATAAATAATATTTTAAAAAAAATCTCTTCGTCATGTATTTTTAATATATTTTCCACCAGTGCACTGCGGCAGCATCCGCCAGACTGCGTCGATCCTGTCGATGTCGCGGGACTGCCTGCGCACCGGAGACAAGGCTCTCGTCAGGTTCCGGTTCATCAAGCATCCGGAGTACCTCAAGTGTGGACAGAGGATGGTGAGCACACGCATTGTTATTTGTCATCATCATCATTAATGATTTTTTATAAATATGCCTTTATACATCCATGGATCTCCAAATGTGTACTAAGACTAGGATAGTTAATAAGTTAAACTACGGAAATCATTCCACAGTGGTTGGTTCTCTATGTATTAAAAAATAAGACATCTTAACATCGACATTTACAAAAATTAATATACATCAAGCCATCTAGTGACACAAATGTGAAACTATAAATTAAACAAACAATTATATATACTAGTTTGATTGTACTTTGCTTTGTCGTTTGCAGAACGTTTAGTAAGTCACATAATATCATTGACGCTATCTACATATATATATCGTGTATCAAGCAAAAATTCGTACTATGCAATGGTGACCCAGTGATTTTTGTAGTAATTTTTTGGATAAAGTAAAACTCTACATTATTATTACAGATGGTAGCACTCGTCTATATCACTAAAAATTGTTTCCCTGGGTTCTGGGTGATTCGTCCAGTTACTATTACGAAATAAATGACGACGTATACTGTTTCGCTGGCAGGTGTTCCGCGAGGGCCGCACCAAGGCGGTGGGCAACGTGCTGCGCCCCGAGCCGGCCGCGTACAAGCCGCCGCCGCGCGGGCAGCCCCCCCGCGACCGCCGCCCGCTGCACGCCGCACCACATCTTGTCAGTATTCCTTAATAATGCCACCCGTGAATCAGTTTTCTGTTCGGTTGTGATAAAACATTTAACCTAGAAATTAGTGTAATATAAAATTTAATATGTGGAAAATATTTAATGTTATATATTTCCTTTAGTATCTGTTTAATTTAAAAGAAAATCATAGTTGTAAAAGAAGCATTGAAAATTATCGTTGCATTGTAAGTATCATTGGTTATCTGGAGGTTATAATTTTACTGCTAAAATTACTGCAATATTTCAAAGATTAATGTTGTACACTCAAAGTACTATCGATTAAAAAAACTCTATAAAAGCTATACCTATTTTATTACACATGCAAGTGCAATAAAGAAACATTACCTAATACTTTGCAATTTTGTAGAACAATTGTCTCACTAATATTATATTAAAAGTATGGATTACCGAGTTATCCGCGGCGTAAGAGGACTTGACAGCAAAGTCTCTATTATCCATGTTTCTATTAACCGTTTAAGAATATCGTATGATCCACAACAGGAGAGCGACGGGACGACAGCGGAGCCCCCCGCGGAGGCCACGGGCGGAGCGCGACGCGGCCGCAAGCGACACGACAAGCCGCCCGACCAGCCCGCGCTGCTCCCCACCGCCGCACTCTAACGACACATCGCGACCACATTCAAAAACCAAGATGCACGTCTATTACACACATCTTACAGAAAATTTGTAGTAAATAAGCTGACAATACCATGGACTGCGATTACGGTCATTTTTTATTGTATTAATTTACAAAAAAGGCTATAACAGAATAGCAGAGAGGGTGGACTCACTGTCCCCTCATTAATCGAAAAAGATTAATTAATATGATTATTATTATTATATACATTAACAGAGCTATGGGTGTCACAAAATACATTGTGACGCCTACATAGCTGTACCTCTTTATTTTATATATTCCAAATGATAGTGACATTTAGTAATATGTAGATTACAACCACGTTCCTAAGAATATCCTTCAATTCTTGTCCCTAACGGGTCTAGGTAGAGAACTCTTTAAAAGGGCGAGCACAATAGATCTCTGCAGGCTACAGTGCTACAGGTCTTAACGCCTGAAAATAGACCAAATCCCTCAATAAAAAATTATGATATGTTACCAATTAAAAATCTAGTTAGTTTTAAAAATTAACTAATTTTATCAAAAAACTTTGCACAGATTAATGTCTCTTACACATTATATTCAATAATATCACAAATTAAAAATTGTAATATTTTCTCTTTTAAATATTAAACACGTTATTTCCAGTTATTCTTAATAGTTTCATATTATTAAATTTTTAAGAATAATTCAGCTTGTTTGCCAAAATTATTGATGTATGACTAGAAATGAATGTACAATTTCCTTTTAAGCACTACTATCAGTGCCGATTGTGATCTCCAATTGTGCATCTTGAGTTTTTTTATGTTATATCGATGTTGGGTACATTCAAGTATTACAGTGGTACACTTCGGTTACCAGAGTTTTTCATTAAGAAACGTTTTCCCTATTAGCGCGGCTAGTTAATTCAACGAAGTACAAGTTTACCTAAGTGGTTGTAGGAGTTATATTTTTGTGTGTGGCGTATAACGCTCCTCGGCGTCAGATACGCGATGTTGTGAATCGTCGTGTACTACATTTTAAGAGTTACGTCTCCAGAGTTACATATTTTTGAGTAAAATATTCTTGTAGCTGTATAAATCGCGTTTACATTTTGTCTTATCAATATAATTAGTATAATGTTGAAAGAGTACCTTAGCACTAATATTTAATGTATACATAGTTTCTCATGTTTACATTGTAAGCTCAAAACACGATATAGATCTAATTATTTTTTTGGACTTGATTTACATCTGAGAGAGTTAGGTATATTGTAGCGAATTTTTACTCACAATGTTATTTTGGATAGATGAATGAATATTTTCTGCAAATAATACTATCAAGATAAAGCAATATATCTTTAATACGAACGATTGATGAGTATGACTATACAAGATATAAGTAATTTTTTACAACTTGTAATAATATTGCTTTTGGCTTATAGTATCTTTTCCTTAGATCATTGATATAGAGATGTTGCAGATACATCTTTGATTTTAATTAAAAGTGACTTCTAAAGCCTAATTATAACTTAAAAATGACACTATTCTATGATAAAAAAATTATTAATGTTGGTTTTTCTTTTGTTTTTATCTATTGAATCCTATGAAAATTGTTATTTTGTGTATTATTATATTTTATTACAGATACAGCAGTATTTTAATTACCAAACTTATTTACATTTGGTTGTCCCATAAAAAAATATGAGTACCATAGCATTAGTTAGTATTATGTTTCTAGTATTTGATCTACTATAGAAGTTGTTTTTTAGAACAACTTTGTGGTAATTAATAATATACTTGTCTTATCCTAACACGAATATGACCGGTACTTGATATATTCAGACAGCTTTGTTTCTACGAGTTATGAAAGTTAGGTTGTTCCATACTTGTGTGTAAATATATTTTTCTTCATATTGACATAGTAATTAAGTTTCAAGAGTAATTTGGACAAGTCTAATACTACAGGACACCTTAATTTCTACTGTGATATAGTAGCAAGCATGTAGCGAGGCTAGTTGCTCCTCAATGTCATATCATTAAACACATAAATACATTTTACAATATCATTATTAGAATGTGATTTGTTTTCTAGTTTAAGATATTTTTTATTGTTTTGTTCAATTTGAGTGAAAAAATTAAACTATACCTAAATAAAACTTAAGTCTTTTTATTTATTACGATATAAGATGGTACGGTATAACACATGAGGCGGAATTTCAACCAGTCGTAGGCGAGAGCCTTGTAACGCCGTCTGTTAAATACGCACGTATATCGTATGATGTCCACCATAACACTAGATTACCCGACATTTTATTTTTTTAAATCAACGCGCTGCCTACTGTGTCACCTAGCGGCGGTCAATTCGAAATTTAAATAGCAAATATTTAGGGTTAAAGAATATAATGCGGCGTGCATTTTTTGTGAGTTGCTTTATATATCGTAAACAGTGAAGTTAGATCCACTTAACGAGCAAGTAGGAGATTGTAATAACTAAATCATTAATACTTTGAACTCTAAATTACAATTTCAACTCTATACCCACTTTCATGTTACAACTAAACTATTATGACATCAGTCTGTCGCCCCAGAATTAGTATTGCGGCTCTAATATATATTACTATTACTACAGGAGTTGTTTTATAGTATACGGTAAAGAAAATAATACTAAAGAAAACTACTAGATAAAATTAAACTAAATCCAAATAAAACTCAAGTCTTTTTATTTAATTAACGTAACTAATTTTGATTAAGTTCATATTGAACACTACAATTAACTATACATTATTTTTTTAACTGTTTCTTAGCATCCTCTATACCCTCCTTCATGTTTTGACTAAACTTTTTTATAAATGACATCAGTCTGTTGACTCTTTGTGGATCCACTTCTGATAGTTTTTCCTTTCCTCTATAGAAAAATGAGACTGCCAACTGTGCAGCCCGTCTCACAGGATATGACTCTGCAATTCTCTGTACAAGCTGTTCATTGTTTGCCAAATATTTAAATAAAGCACGGAGAGGCATTATGATGCAAATCACTTGAATGATGTCTCAAATGAACACATATTTCGATAATTCTGCAATAACTCTTGTTTCAATTTCAGCTGAGTGCTAAGGATTTCAAATTGTTTTATTTGGTCTTGTTTGTTGTAGTCTATACCAGGTAAACGCTTGATCTGAAAAATAAATAAAATAATTATATTTAACAATAACCCAATTGAGATTTAAAAAAGAGTGATCATTGTGCTATAAATGCTACAAAAATAAATAGCTAACACAAGAGGTGTAATCTATTGATTATAGAATTTAACTATTAATGAGTTTAGTACTACAATATATTTGTAGATAAAAAATTATAACATATTGTAGTTGATAACATAAAGTAAAATTACTTAGTACTAGTTGTACTTACCAAATTTACTTAGTAAAGTAAATTTAGTAAGTACAAATAATACTCTCATTTGTTAAAAGCATTCTTAATCTACTATTAACTAGTAATAGATTAAAAATCCTCCTGCAGTGGTTTATATGTTGTTATGACACGATATATGACTGGGTGAAAGTTCTAAAACACATATTCCAAAAATATTAATTTTGAACAACGACATGAATTTGTAGTTTTACATACTAGGTTTTGCACGCACGTCGGCGCAAATGAGAGGCTAAATGTAAAAATGTAGACAATTTTAGATTTGTGTACGTAGTAAACAATATATCCATGGCTATGAACACAAACCTGTGAACGTGCGATGTCCAATTTCTTCTGTAACTCTAACACTCTTTGACTACAGTCAGCAGATTCACGAGCCTTTGCAGCGTTATCATGAAAATCGCGTTCCACACTAAAATGAATTAAAATATGCAATGTTATTTATGCAATCATACGCAGATAAGAGTCAGGGTACTAAAAATAGAGGGTAAAAGTATACCTTCGTATAATTTCGTACACAATCGGTAAAAAATCTACGTCTACGTCTTGAACCGACAATGGGCTGTAATTATTTTGGTCGGAGTTATCAGTATTATTTTCCATTTTATAAATATATGAACACAAATAATTAAAGTCACTTGCCTAAAGGAATGAAGTTAGGTTAGGTGGTTAATATAGGATACAGTACAATGCAGTACAATATGAAATGAAATAATTAGAAAGTAGAATTGGTTACATTAAACAGAAAACAAAGAAATTAGACAAGAATAGAAAACAGACAGAAACAAAATGTCAATGTCATATTCTTGTCAAGTTGTGATGTACGGAATAACCAATTTAATCATAATCGATATTCGCAAAGTACGAGAAACTAGCCAATGTTACATATTTCATTATACATTAGGTTTTTAATACAGAGTTTTATGGACATTATCATCACCTTAATTTTTTATGTTAAGAACGATATCGATTTAAAATTGTTGCAGTCGTCGCTTGTCAATTGACCACAGAACTCACAGAAGACTCAAGATAACCAGTGTCCTGTGCAGCCTATTGACGTTTTAACTTGTGTTTGCTGATGCTGCAGTAAAAAATAATGTTATCCCCTTTTGATACTCATAGCTTTGCATTTGTGTAACCAGCTTAACACTATAGGTGTAAATTTCTACTGTACGTTAAAGCTATCTCTGATCTGTGCTCTACAATATCATACAATATGTCTAATGGAAACAAAAAAATTGTTTATTGAGATATGTATGGTTGCTCTTTTAAATGTTTTTTGATGTTCTTGACCAAATTATTAATGAATTATTGAAGAGAATATCCAAAACTAAATAAACTGTTTCAAAATGGACGAAGTAGCTAAATTAGAACATCTTTCTCTTGTGTCGAAAGTGTGTACAGAATTAGACAATCATTTGGGTTTGAATGACAAAGATTTGGGTAAGTAGTTATTTTTTAGAAAATTATGATGAAATGGTGAATTCACGTATGTTGAATGGTTAGGCCTGGGGGGCCTACTATTGTAGTAAATGATAAAAATACCAGGAGGACTCTTTCAGGTTACTTCACCCATTGTGGTGAATTCACCATGAATTTGAATGAAAACAATCCTGATTTTAAGGTCTAATAATCCCCATTAGTAACAATCTCTCCCATTACTAAATGTGTGACTACTTGATGCAATACATTTGCTACATAGTAACTATTATTGTAACATCTTTAAATACTAATAATACTATGAATCAAATATGAATAAGAATAATAGAAAAAATGAATCTGTATTTTTGTAAATATGTACAATCTCATTTGAAAAATGATTGTAGATTTGACATTTCATAAGAGTCTGTAATAGAGCTATATGATTAAAGATATTTTGATTGATTGAATCTTAGTCTGCATCCTAATTAAATGTATTTTGGTCTGAACTAATGATAGTGAGAGAGTCAAGTTTCTATTTGTGTACATGTAGGTATACACTATACTAGGTTGTTGATATGATAACTATTTAAATTATTGAATTAGATTTGAACCAAGCAGCAAATATCAGCGCCTAATAGACAATATTTAGCATGATCAAAACTAAACTTAATTATGTCTGAATAAAGTCTATATTATTAAAATGAATACATTCATTTTATTTCATAACAATTTATTATTAGATTATCCTTAAAACATAAAATATTTTGGTTACATTCCTATAACTCTAGAATTTTATGAAAATGTTATTTATACATCCATTCACTTATCATATTGTTCATTCCATTAATGAAAAATTTCAATTGCAGCGGAATTCATAATCGACTTAGCTGCGAAGTATCCTACGTTCGAAGATTTCAAAAAGGCATTAATTGATAATGGAGCTGAATTTTCGGACTCTTTTATGACAAACTTGCTTCGCATTATACAGCATATGAAGCCTGCTAAAACAACTTCTATTACTAATGAAATTGACAATAGCGATAAAAATCCATTGGCAAGAAAGTTTCCTGGCCTGGCAATACCTAATGAGAAAGCACCAGTATTTTCTGATAATAGCAGTGAAGATGAGGAAGACAATAAGAAACACAAAAGGTTAACATCAAAGGATGTATTCAAAGATCAGTCCAAGTCTTCAAGTGATGCAGTTGTGGACCAGGCTATGGCAGAATTGGAAGCCCTGGCTCCCTCTATGGCTGGAGTAAAAGTGGAAACAAAGAAGGAAGACAATAAAAAAGAAGATATAGTTAAGGAAAAAAGTAGAAAAAGAGAAGTGTCTAGAGATAGGAAGGGAAGACGGAGCAAGAGTAGAGAAAGGAGAAGTCATAGTAGAGACAGAAGAAGTAGAAGTAGGAACCGAAGAAGTCATAGTAGAGATAGAAGGAGTAGAAGTAGAGAAAGGCGGAAAAGATCTAGGAGTCGCCATAGACACAGGTCCCGATCAAAGGATAGGCATAGGTCACGATCAAGGCATAGATCTCGTTCAAGGCATGGGTCTCGTCCAAGAGATAGACCTAAGTCCAGAGACAGGTATAGGAGATCAAAATCAAGAGGTAGAGGAAGGAGGTCACATTCTAGAGGCAGAGATAATAAGGATAGGTTTGGAGATTATGCAAAAAAATCCAGGAAAAGAACTCCAGAAATAGAAATGAATGATGACCCAGAGCCAGGGAAGGTATGTATAATATACCTGTACTCGCCTAGAATATATTTGATGTATTTTTCATAATGTAGTTATGTAAAAAATCCTCTATTTATGGATGAATATGGTATCATGTCTGCTTCAATAATGCACACTGATGTGGCATCAGTGGTGGATGATATGTTGAGTATGTAGTCAAGTTACATTGTTAGAATTTCACCAATAATTAACCTCAATTAAAATAGAATAGAAAAAATATATTGTAATATAGAATTGAAATTGAAAACAGACATATTTTTCTACTTATAGAATTAAATTGTTTGAATGAGTAAGCATGCTTTTGATCTGTAGTTAATATTATTACTCTTTAAACTCTATTGTAGTGCAGTGCAGAATGTCCATTTAAAACCATATACTTAAACAGTAAGATTCAATTGTGATATCACATTTCAGTCATTTTGCACTATAGACATTTATCATTTTGTACATTCTATAGACATTTGTCATTTTAGATATTCCATAGACATTTTTATACATTCTTACAGCTTTTTATACATTCTATAGACATTTAGCATTTTGTATGTTACATAAACATTCTCAATTGGAATATAGGCTTTATTAGCTAACACTTCATAATTATCCATTTGAAATTGCAATATATTTTAAATTTGAATTTTATTTTAGATCTACAATGGTCGTGTAGCGAACATAGTGCCCTTCGGTTGTTTTGTACAAATAGAGGGTGTGAAGAAGAGATGGGAGGGACTGGTGCATATCTCACAGCTCCGATCTGAGGGCAGGGTTACTAATGTGTCTGATGTTGTCAACAGAGGGGACAAAGTCAAGGTAAGATTTGAACTTAAGTATTAATTACAGAAATAAGAATTATCATATGTATATAGTTTTACTGCAAAGACTGTAAAGTAGTAGCCAGTAAACTGTAACACATTTTATTTGAAATAAATGACCTTTTTTATCGGTCCTCATGATGAGGTAAATTTGTCCTCACATTTAATTTCATTATTCTCCGTTCTGCCCTTTTATTATCCAGAAAAGTAAATAAGCAGACAAACACACTTTCACATTTGTAATTGTTGGCCACTGAGGCCGCAAACGCTTTTGATATTTTTAAATTTATATTTATAGAACAGTTCTTTTTATATGTCATGTTTTTGATAGATTTCATTTGCTACATTTTTATTTATAATTTTCAGATATATATCATATTTGATTGTTATAATATACCTGTTTTCATCATTCAGACAACCATACAGTCCTCTGATCCATTACTGTAATATTAGTAGGTATTATACGGAATATGATTGTGGACGAACATTAAGATCGAACAAAGAAAAATTGATGAACTGTGTGAAAGATGATATGGGTGATAGCAAAATCTACATTAATTAGCTTTATTGTTAATTGCATATCTTTCTGTTGTAGGTGAAAGTATTGTCAGTGACTGGCCAGAAAGTTTCATTGACCATGAAGGATGTATGCCAAGAAACAGGGAAGGATCTAAATCCAACGTCACACGCCCATTTGGAGGTAAAGTATTAAAATTGACATGCTATTTTTCTTAATATATTGTTATTTTGTTAATGGAATATTATATAAGAGCTCCAGATATTTTGACGCTCATGACCCAACAGCGTTACAGACATCGTGTGACATGCGAGACACACACACATGTATTGCCATTTCAGGGGACTGAAATATGCCTCTTATCGGTAATTTCACTGCCTAATTGCGCCGTACAACCGAAACACAGTTTACAAATATTATACTGATATAGGTGAGACTGAGATACCGACGCAGATGATTTGACTTACAATTGGTATTGCTACGTCAATATAAATAAATATAAAATTTTATAGAACTTACCAAATATTTTGAACAGCACTTGTAGATTGATAGATGAAATAGTCTGTTATATGTTATTTAAGGAAATTATTGTATTTTAAATAATGTTTCTTTTCTATTGCTGTTACAAAGGATTCTTTTAAAATCTCTGACTTTCGATTTTTATCTAGTGTATTCTAGATTTTTACTACCTACCTAATTCTGTCCAGGCTGAACGCGAAGGTCGTAATCCGGATCGTCCGCCACCAGCGGCAGCAGTCCTCGCCGGCTTACAGGGCTCTCTAGACCCCGACGAGGACTCTAGTCGCAAGCGCGTCACCAGAATATCCAGTCCAGAGAGATGGGAGATTAAACAAGTAAGTATTGTATTAGGATCGAAGCGGATGTTAAGTAATGCATAACTTTCCTCAAGAATTGCTCTACAAAATTTAAAAAAAGTGGTTAACATATGTAGATTTTAGAGATTAACTTTATCATATTACTACTACTAGCTGATACCGCAAAAAATGTTTGCCATATAAATAAAAAAATAGGGGTTGATATATTTTATAATTAAAATATATATATATAAAAACATTTGGGTTGTCCACTGTGATCATATAAAAATGTTCTATTCTCTCTGGATATAAAACACAATTTTATATGATTCTTGTTCATAAGTTTCGAAATAATTTAGATAATATACATTTCCATTATCTATATTATTTCGAAAATCATGTATGTTCGTTTTTTCTTCATACTCATCAAAAGGGTTTCACTTCTTTATGGACAGATCTAAATGTATATAAATTTAATTTAGATATATTATATAAATTAATATTTTTTCAGATGATATCATCCGGTGTTATAGACAAGAGTGAGTTGCCAGACTTTGATGAGGAGACTGGATTACTTCCAAAAGACGAAGATGGTGAAGCAGACATAGAAATAGAATTAGTTGAAGAGGAGCCACCATTCCTGCAAGGTCATGGTAGAGCATTACACGATCTGTCACCTGTCAGAATAGTTAAGAACCCAGACGGCTCTCTAGCCCAAGCTGCTATGATGCAGTCAGCTCTAGCGAAAGAGAGAAGAGAACAGAAGATGCTGCAGCGAGAGCAAGAAATGGAGAGTCTACCGACTGGTCTCAATAAGAATTGGATAGATCCTTTACCAGAGTCTGATGGTAGAGCTCTAGCAGCCAATATGAGAGGCACGGGCATCACACCGCAGGACCTTCCGGAGTGGAAGAAACACGTCATTGGAGGAAAGAAATCTTCATTCGGAAAGAAGACGAACTTGTCTCTGTTAGAGCAGAGACAGTCTCTGCCTATATATAAATTAAGAGATGAGTTAACAAAGGTATGTATACTGAGCTTTACATATGTTCTTGTTAAAGATCTTTTTTTTTTCTTTTAAACTAAAATTGTTAACATATTGACAATCTAAGAGGAAAATAGTCAGCTACTAACGGCACAGACTTTATAAGAAAGTTAATATATAATAATCTAAGAGATTCCGTCCTGTACATAGAATATTTATAAGAAAAACTATATTATTAGGCAACTTTATCAACGTATGAGGACCCAAAATAAAAAAAAAATGTTAGAATGTCTGTTTGTTTGCCTGTGTGTTTGTGATTTAAGTATTATGATAAGCTGCACTTAAAATGTAGTGTTTGATTTATTCTAATCGGTATTTATATTGGTACTAACAAAAATGTTATACTATTCTTAATTCACTACGGGTATCAAAGTCGCGAACTTAGCTTTTTATTTGGCACGTTCTGATGCCTTAAGGATTTTGATTTACTTACGTTTTTTATTTAATTACAGGCCGTTACAGATAATCAAATCCTAATAGTAATCGGCGAGACGGGGTCCGGTAAGACTACGCAGATAACCCAGTACCTCGCAGAGTGCGGGCTGACTGCGCGCGGGAAGATCGCCTGCACGCAACCGCGCAGGGTGGCCGCCATGTCCGTCGCCAAGAGGGTCGCCGAGGAGTTCGGCTGCCGGCTCGGGCAGGAGGTCGGCTACACCATCCGTTTCGAGGACTGTACCAGCCCGGAAACTGTTATCAAGTAATATATGTGTTTATTTTATTTAGGATTCTGATTAACTAACGCACTCTATCTAACCATGTTGAAAGCTCCAAAATTTTAGGTGTTTATTAACCTACCTCCAAAGACTAAGTGTCTAACACCATAGACAGTTAAGGGCCTGAACCTTTGATATGAAATCGAAAACTTTTAGTATATGAGTTCTATTATAAAGTGTCCTGTTAAAGTTAATGAATAAATAAATAATACTGAACAATTCACACAGACAGAGACATCCAGTCCAATACTTAAATATTCAAATACTTAAATACATAATATACATAGAAAACGCCCAGACCAATACAAACAATCATACTCATGAACACAAATATGAGGTATACGGCTGAGGAACACAATTCGCGACCATCAGTAGATATGTTAAATCGTTGGAGCACAGTAAGTTATGTGCTTTGTTAACAACTTATTATATTAATTTTTCAATACCTAAAATATAAACAAATATAATCAGTTTAAGTATAACAATAATAATTGACTGCCGAGGTAAGTTGTCTAATAACTTTGACCAAACACTTATAAACCATTATGCAATCCGCAGGTACATGACAGACGGTATGTTACTCCGAGAATGCCTCATGGACTTGGATCTGAAGACCTACTCCGTAATCATGTTAGACGAGGCTCACGAGAGGACCATCCACACCGACGTATTGTTCGGCCTGCTGAAACAAGCGGTGCAGAAACGTCCAGAACTTAAGCTGATCGTCACATCAGCTACATTGGATGCTGTCAAGTTTTCACAATACTTCTTTGAAGCACCAATCTTTACTATACCCGGACGAACCTTCCCCGTGGAAGTATTATACACGAAAGAACCAGAAACAGATTACCTGGACGCATCATTGATCACAGTCATGCAGATACACTTGAGGGAACCGCCCGGAGACATCTTGCTGTTCTTGACTGGTCAGGAGGAAATTGATACCGCATGTGAGATATTATATGAGAGGATGAAATCCTTGGGACCTGATGTGCCAGAGCTGATCATATTACCGGTATATTCGGCGCTGCCATCGGAGATGCAAACGAGGATTTTTGAACCTGCCCCTCCTGGCTCGAGGAAGGTGGTCATAGCAACCAACATAGCTGAGACTTCGCTCACTATTGATGGTATTTACTATGTGGTAGATCCAGGATTTGTGAAACAGAAAGTGTACAATTCAAAAACGGGGATGGATTCGTTGGTTGTGACACCCATTTCACAGGTAAATATATTTTGTACACTCATATTATTTTTTGACATTTATGCAAGCTGTAATCAAAGGAAGGACTACTAGATATAGAGTAAATGTAGTGGAATAAACTGAAGCTATTTATACATGTTTACTATTTATTTACAACTATTATTTTACATCTTAATGAAAATATAAATATTGTATTATAGTATAGCGACTTAATATTGTTGAGCTTAAAAAAAGTTAACAAATAGCAGCAATGTTTGCCATCTAAAGAATTATTGCTATTATCGATAAGTTTGATGGTAGAAGGATATAAATTTAGGGTTGTATTAACGATTTTATGATAAAGATATAAATAAATGAAGATATTATGCAAGTATACTAAGCCACATAGATATGAAAGTGCTCATGGTAAAGAACAACTTTTGTTCTACCAAAAATAAGTTTAAAATTCTTATATAAAACATTAACGATAAAAACAGACAACATCTGATATCATCAGCCTTAACATGATAGGAAAATTATGTAACGACATTGATAGTCTTTATAAATGAAAATCAGAGTTGTGTCTGTTGGCCGCAGCTGGTCTCTGCAGCTTCACCCGAGGATAGGGGGGATTTTTTATTCCGTCTCCTCGCAAGTGTGTTGAGAAACTTTGTACGGTATAGGTACGTGCGTATTTAACACATTTGTCTTTGTAATGCATACGCATTTGGCTTGGGCTAAAATTCCACCTCATGTGTTATAACCATCATAACGCACTTATGTTGTAATATACTATAATGGAGTATGTAACGTTTGTATTTTTGTAGGCGGCAGCGAAACAGCGTGCCGGGCGCGCGGGCCGTACCGGGCCGGGCAAGTGCTACCGGCTGTACACGGAGCGCGCCTACCGCGACGAGATGCTGCCCACGCCCGTGCCGGAGATACAGCGCACCAACCTCGCCACCACAGTATGTACACTCTACACATGCACGCACACATGCCTATGTCTTAGTACAAGCTGACGAACCGAGGCAGTGAAATAGCAATGAACAAAAACAACATTAACTTCACTATCAGCATAAGGACTATAAATAAAATATAACAAAAATATCACACAGTGCCCTTTTGTCCTAATTTAACCAGAGCTTGTGTGAACTTCGTATTTAAATACATAGATTTTCCAAATGCTTCTGTATTTACCGTGGAATCGTAACCGGGACTATCGGAAGTAAGTCATTGGCGCTTTAGATTCTGTGATCTAGGACTAACTGTCCTGACATATTAATATTCTATTAATGTTAGTAGTTTATAATCTCACGCAGTAATATTATATTGTTATGTTTCTACAGGTGCTTCAGTTGAAGACGATGGGTATAAACGATCTGCTGCATTTCGACTTCATGGACGCGCCACCCGTTGAATCGCTCATTATGGCGCTTGAACAATTGCATTCGCTGTCAGCTCTAGACTCTGAGGGGTTGCTCACGAGGCTCGGTCGCAGAGTAAGTAGCTTAATTTATGTTTTTTTATGTAATCGGAGAGATGGGAGGATGATATAAGGACAGGGCCTCGACCAACATGGAGAAGGAAAGCATAGTACAAAAGAATGTGGAGTCTGTAAGAGGAGGCTTATCTATCTTAGGACAAGCTGATGAGCTAAGGCAGTGAAATATAAATAAACAAGAATAAAATTAACTTGTTTATCACAATAAGGACTATAAATAAAGTGTGATAGGAATAGAAACCAAGTAAGCTATATTGTTGTGCCTCAACCAGACTCAGTCTAATTACTCCTCCATCCTAAGGCTGCTTAGAAGTAATCACTATTTAGCGGTATGGCCGCCCATTGTTGTCGCTATATTGTAATTATGTTTTTCTTTGTATTTGGTATATATATTAATTTTTGTAATTGTTATTTTCTTTCTTTGAGAGGAACAAATTTTAAACGTTTTTCATTTAATTTCAATATTGGTAGTGGTAAAGTCGCATATTGAAATTATTCACTCCAAGTATAGGTATCACAAAATATATTTTTGCACCTGTGGTACAATTGCAGTGCTATTCTTTTGTCCTAACTCATTAGAGTTAGGACAAAAGTATCACGCCAATACTGAGTAATTTCTCTGCTCAATCTCAACCCTCACGTTATAATACAGTAAATGAGAAATTTGATGGAAGGAGAGAGTCTCTCCTTCCAAGGACCGATTCTGACATTTGACTATTCCATTTGGGATTACTGGCATGAGTATATTTCAATGACTTAAAATACTTTTTCTTTCAGATGGCCGAATTCCCCTTAGAACCAAACCTCTCAAAGATTCTCATAATGTCAGTAGCACTACAGTGCTCTGATGAAATTCTGACCATAGTCTCAATGTTAAGCGTCCAGAATGTCTTCTACCGACCGAAGGATAAGCAGGCCCTTGCTGATCAGAAGAAGGCCAAGTTCAACCAGCCGGAGGGTGATCATCTCACACTGCTAGCAGTCTATAACAGCTGGCGAAACAACAAATTCTCAAATGCCTGGTGCTATGAAAACTTCGTGCAAATTAGGACGCTGAAAAGAGCGCAAGATGTTAGAAAACAGCTTCTCGGTATTATGGATAGGTAAGTTTGTTCGTACATATTGTTAATAAGTAGTGGTCACCCATTGGTCGAAATTAGACCAAATTTCATTTAAATTATTAGTTGAACATTAAAAAGATTATATCGTCAAACACTACACTTCTATATGTGTGTTTCAAATACATGGTAGAGTGTGTAATGTTTTTTTTTATTGATTTAATGTATTTTATATGCATAATTAAAAAAATATATTAGAATTCTGCACTCTATATAAACTATGTGTGCCAGATTTCATACTCTTCTGACCGCGCAATTTTCGTAACAAAGGTTATAATGTGTATTTTATATAATGATGAGGACAAACTGTCCCAGGTCGTGGAGTTGGTACGATACAAATATTTTGTATATTCTATTCTGTCTTAAAAAAAAATGTATTTCTATTAGTCTTCAGTATCTATACAATGGGATTAAGAATAGATCCCGCTGAATGAATTTGATGTTATTTATTAGCATATATAATTTTTTAATATATTTCCACAGACACAAATTAGATGTAGTATCGGCCGGTAAGAATACTGTGAGAATTCAAAAGACGATATGCTCAGGCTTCTTCAGGAATGCTGCGAAGAAGGACCCTCAGGAGGGCTACAGAACACTGGTGGACAGTCAAGTGGTGTACATACATCCATCCAGTGCACTTTTTAATAGACAACCAGAATGGTGAGTTATCTGTGGCTTTCTATTATATTCTTATTAATAGTATAACATAATATAATGTAGTATAAATTATAGTTCTGTCTTATTAATTAATTACAAATATTTATCAATAATATTATTATATGTTAAATAACAGTATCATAAAATGCCACCATTCATCTATTCTATGATCTCATTACTATATCAGCTGAAAATGTTACCATATCTGGACAACATCTTTGGTGCAAAACATGTTATATGTATAGTTTAAGGTATTTTAATAAATTGCAACCATTTATTGAAAAAAATCGTAGCATATATGATTTATTTTTACAAAATATTGAATTTGGTAACTTATTTCATTTTTTAATAATACATAACTGTCTCTTCATCAGGGTAATCTATCACGAGCTGGTACAAACCACTAAGGAGTATATGCGTGAAGTGACCACAATAGACCCTAAATGGCTGGTGGAGTTCGCACCAGCATTCTTCAAGTTCTCCGATCCGACCAAACTATCCAAGTTTAAGAAGAACCAAAGACTGGAACCGCTGTATAATAAATATGAAGAGCCCAATGCTTGGCGAATATCTAGAGTCCGAAGGAGGAGGAATTAAATTTTGTACAGTCACTTGTAATAAATTATTACCCTGTACATATGTTGCTGTTTCTGTTTTTTACCTGTTCTGTTTGTTATCGCCTTATGGGACTTAGTTTAGGTTATGAAACGAGAGCTATGTCAATCTTTGACGATATAAAATTCCATTAACAATTCAGTGTCTTCAATTTCACTAAATATTAGTGAGATTCTTTAATCTTACAATAAATCAATAATTCGTTATTTGTAAAATTACACTACAGATTAGTTCATTAATATTCTGAATGGTCAATTCTCGATTAAATAACTGTATAATCTAATAGAACAAACCAAACTTAATAAAAAAAAAAACAAATATGATGTCCGCTGTCAATGTCAAAGTAATCAAAGTGACAGATAGCAAAATTTTTCAACAGAATCTTGATTCGGTTCTATTTTTGTTATAAATTTCTAAAATAATGGGCAAATTATTTATTGCAGTAAGAATAAAGTCGTAATAAATAATTCAGATATTGTTATTCTAACACTTGCGGTATAACAGTATGGAGTTCTTTTCGGAAATAATAGGCGAAACTGTTATCTTGGGAATAGACTCCCTTATTTTAGGATTTTGCCTAAAACAACTCAGCAAATGCAAACATATATTAAATACTTTACAGGTAAATAACAAAATATAAATGATAAAAGCACAAAATAATTATTACCTTTTATATTATATTTAGAACGTATGAAAAAGTAACCTGCAGAGCGTAACACATTAGTATTGTTATTTTCTTGTAATTGGCTAATAAATTATTAATAAATAATCCCTGCGCTACTGCGTATATCGTTATAAAGTATCCAAGTATTATTTATTATCGATAAGGTAGGATATCGTAGTTTAAGTAATCAAAAAAGTACCAAATGTTAGGTTAGTAGTACTGTAAATAATTATGCAATTATACATTGCAGACTGCACCAGTACTAGATATAGACTCCACACTTAATAAGGAGATCAATAAATACCCAAATAACACAATACCATTTGTGGTAATCCGAGGACTTGTTAAACCACTTGGCAACCCCATTACCAGCAATTACAACAACTCCGTCACTGGAGTCATACAGAGGTAATGCTAATTTGTAAAATGTCATAAAATTAGTACTAACTATTATTATAATATATTTTTTAAGCAATTTAGGACTAATATTTTTTAGTTCATATTATTAAATAGAAATAGAAATAGAAATAATCTTTATTCAAATAAACTCATTACAAGCACTTTTGAATAGTCACATATTAGATCCTACCACTCATTCGGAATGCAGATTCATCACAAGAAGAATGAGCAAGAAACTTGTGTGTTGCTCTTTTAAATAGATATAACAAGTAAGAGGCATGCGATAATCAACATAGAAGTCGCAACGCACTCATTATTAATGTAATCAGATAATATTGTCAGTGCTATAGATTTAAAGTTTTTCTATAAAAACATTATTATCTTAACGACTGATTATTGTAAAGTTCTAGAATGTTTAATCCATTTCCTAACCAAAAATGACGGTGTAAACCCCTTTCAGTCTGGTCACAGTACAGGAACAGCACTCGTAAAAATCACTGATGATATTAGATCGGGTATGGAAAATGGCCAGTTCACAATCCTCACCCTTCTTGACTTCAGTAATGCCTTCAACACCGTAGACTTTGACATCCTCGTGGAATTACTGTGCTCTCTCAACATCTCCACCTGTAGTTGAATGGTTTCTCTATTATATGGGCGTTAGCAGAGCATTTGCACAGGTGACACATTTTCATCTAGGTGTAATACAATAAAATACCTTTGCCAGTGTTCCTCAAGGTGGCGTTTTATGTCCTTTACTTTTTGCAGTCTTTATGAACTCCTTAAAGTTGGAGATTACCTTATTGACTTCTTCCTACCATCTATATGCAGATGATTTACAAATTTCTTATCAGGCCTCACAAGATAAACTAAATGATACTATTACTGTTGTTAATAATGATCTCAGGCGCATAACAAACTGGTGTAGAGCTTTTAGATTGACAGCCAATACTACAAAAATACAAGTCATTGTAGTTGGCAGCTCAAGACACATCAGTAAGATTGGCTGGTCCATAGTCAATAAAATTGAAGTGGATATAATAGTGATTCCATTTAGCAATGTAGTAAAAAACTTGGGTTTCCTTATCTATGTCTATCTTGGGGACCTTGAGCAGTTAGCAGGAAAGTCTTTGGGCTCACTGCAGAGGCTGCATAATTTCCTGCCTATTGCTACCAAAATTACGCTATCTCAATCTCTTCTTCATCCTATACTTAATTACGCTGGCACTTGTTATTCCAACATTACAGAAAACCAACTTAATAAACTTGAGCGACTTCAAAATACTTATATCACTATTGTTTTCGGGCTTCGAAAATATGATCATGGCTTCTCATTCGTTTTCGCTGGAATATTCACATTCTTACCCTTCTTCATAACATTCTCTATAACCCTTCGACTCCTTACTATATAAAGGAGCGGTTTATTTCCTTTCATAGCTCGCATACCGTTGATCTTAGGTTGTCAGAAAGTCTCCTGTTGAAGACACCAAGACATAGCACAATGATTTATGACAAATTGTTCCGTGTACTGGATGTTCGTCTTTGGAACGAACAACCAGTATCTATTCGAAGAATAACATCATTGCTGAGTTTCAAATTACGTATTAGAAACTACTACTTTTGTAAGTTATATTTTGTACATATATGTATGTATTTATTTATATATGTATATTATATTATATATGTGTGTATTCAAAATTATGTAATTTGTATATACATATAGTTAATTTAACATCACTACTCACTATATATTATTGTTACACATCGACCAGTCTCAAGTTTAATTGCTCCTCTACATCGTAAGGTTGCCTGGAAGAAATCGCTCTTCAGCGATAAGGCCGCCTATTATTCTCTTTTTAGATTGTCAATGTTATATGTTTATACATATTTATACATTAATAGTGTATATAAGTGCTTGTTTGTATTCTGTGAAGAGAATAAAGAATTTTCATTTTTTCATTTAATTTCATTAATTTATTAGTTAGTCAATATTACGAGTAATCCATAATGCTTTAAATTTTTATTACTTTACTACATATTATAGTTCATATATTTCCAGATTCTCTTGAAATGGAAGCTTTTATGGTACTTGCCCTGTTTTAAGGTTACTGAATAAAATAATAATCATTTACAAATAATTTGATAGATATATATTAAATATCCTATTATATATAATTACAGGCTAACAATCAAAGAACATGTGATAGCAAGAACATCTGCCGGGTTTTGGTCAGATCAAACTCGGACCATTCACGAAGTGTGCAACTCCACACCATTCGTCCTTAACAATGGAAAGTACAATATTGAAGTTGTGGATGCACTGGCCGCAGAACTTCTTGGTAAGATGTCTAGAATTTAATATTCAATTTATTTTATTTTTTTAATAGTGTATAAATATGGGGCCATTCAAGTATTGCGTAAGCACTATGGGGGAGTGGTGTCTTAACTTTGCTTATTTTAGATGATATGGGGGGTAGGGGAGTCTAGATGATGATTACGTCATGGGTAGTTATTTACTTTTTTACACTAATGGCAACCCTCACATTGTCATTGCTGAAAAAATAATACATTCATTGAAATTTTTTTACGTAGGCATGAGGGGAGGGGGTAAGACCTTTGCTTTACTTTTGCTGACAAGAGGGATGGCGAATCTGCCTACGTAATACTTGAACGGCCCCTATGTAGGGAACATATTTTCTGTCTGAATAACACTCTAAAGTTTTGTTATATTTTAAGGTATACCTTAATTACTTGGCTAATTCATCAAGTAGTAGCTACTTCATGAATTAAAAAGGCCTTCCATTGTAGTTTTTAAATTTATATTTCTTGATTATTACCCATACTTATTGATATAAATTATGTAATAATCAATTCTTGTGGTCACATATTTTAAAGGATCTATCAAACAAATCGAAAAACAGCCCAACCGCTTAGCAAAGACATGATGAAAGCAAGACAAATTGGTTGAAAACAAAACGAAAAATGCCTCAGGATCTTATAAAATAAATAAAAGTGTAGGAGGATGTGTGTGACACATGAACATGCCATGACGTGAACCCAACATACTATTAAATGTTTAAATATAGTAACAGATTGTAGTACACAAAAAAAATATCTTGTGCTCACGTCTTTTAAACAAGAGACCTCTTTGGGTTGGACACCCTGTTTTTTATTTATTGCGACCTTTTCTACCTTTCAAACAGTGGTGTATGTAATGCCTGCATTGCAATCTTGATTTCATTTGTTACTTTCACAGACATGGACGTCATTTCCGATAAGTTTGAACCTATGTCCCCCGGAGTTATTGACCACGTGTGGGGCTTTTTCTCCGGAGTTCGACAGCGCGGCCTACAAACTATGGAGGAAATGCTCCGGGATGGTTCCTATATCACAGCAATTGGCGAGCTGAGTAGAAGTAACACCGGGGCACTAAAGATTCAGCCGCCTAAAGATGGCCTACCGTTGTACTTGACAACTGCCACTAAGTCCAGTATTTTGAAGAGGCTAGCAAGTTCTAGAGATTTCTTAAGGTGTGTTCAGTTATATACAATATTTGTAATTGGCAATATTTATTTGCATCTTTTTTTATAATGCTTTATTGCACAACATTAAATTTGGACGCAATGAAAAATTAAATAGAAGATTGAAAAAAAAGCGGGTACAAAATGCAGTCTTATCACTAACGTGATCTTTTCCAGACAACATTACTAAAAATAGAATTTAATTCATAATTAAAAATAGCAATTAGGCAGCACAAAGTGCTGGTGGTAGTGGAGGATTATAAGTGTTTATGATTCAGTTTGAAGTCCCAATTTTATCCTTTTGATGAATAAACAATACATGCAGTATAATACTCAGGTCTTTGTCAAATATGTCGACCATATAATACATATACATAAGACATATATGACATAATATGTCATAAGTATATATTTTAAGTCAACTGTATAAAGTATTATTATAAATTTTAAGATTTACAATCATATGATAAGGATCATATTAAATTACAATTGTTGTTTCAGAGTATTATTAGTGGTATTCGGTTCTGTAGCCGCAGCGGCATCCTGTCGCATTGTATACAAGTATATAAAGCGGAGACGCCGACGCGAGGTCGAAGAGAACATGAAGAAACAGCTGGCGGTGGGGCGCCGAGAGAGGCGCGCGCATGCGCGGGAGAAGAACCTCAGCGAGGTTCAGCTTTGTGTAGTCTGTGCTGAAAATCCTAAAGAGGTATATATTTGTTCTCCTCCTGCAGAGTCAAATTAATAGACTGAAATTAAATTAATTCATTTCATAATGGGTATTATGTAATTTTGTAAAAAGTATGCTGTGGTTACTAATAAATGTAATAAAAGTCAGTAAATCACTAGTATGTCTATTGATTTGCTATATTATGGTATATATTGAGATGGTGAACCATATAAATAAATTAATTCTTAGTTGGTTTTGCATCAAAGTAAAAAAAAAGATTAGAAGGGTTTATTACCTACTATATATCTATATATTATAGCTATCACATAATCCACTTCGTAATATAGGCACAATAATCTGTAATTTTTATAATACTGAGTGAGAACTTTTCTCACTCAGTATTTCCCAGTCACTTTAATAGGCCAAAATGACATCTCATCTTTTACTAATAAAAAGTTGAGTGTAACAATGACTGGCCTCTGGAACTAGTCGCAAAGCCTACCTGCATGAGAATTCCCATGTTTATATTTCAATGTATCTATTTATTTACAGATAATATTGATGCCTTGTGGTCACGTGTGTGTTTGTGAAGATTGCTCTGATCATATCACAGACAACTGCCCCATCTGTCGAGAGAAAATAGAGTCCAGAGCGCCCGCCTTTATAACGTAAAGATATTCTATGTATAGAATTTATGGTTTTATGTACAAAGGATAGGGGTAATATACTACGTTATTTATATTGTAAATGTTTAGGTGCTATTTTAGAAAATTTGATGATACAGTGATCAAATGTATGTATTAAAAATAAAAGAAAATATTTTTTAGCTTTGGGATTTTCAAATTAACAAAATTGAAAGAGTGTTTATAGGCCAGTGCTAATTGTTGTACCCGCCAACTAATAAATAAATACGAAATGTTGAAATATATATTTTTATTGTTAGAATCCAATTTGTAACGATCCCATTCTACCGCATGAGGCAGAACATGTGTCATCTTCATCTACATGGGACTGTTCATCTTCAGAATTCTCCAATGGATCACCAGGATCAATATTAAGCTCGTTAGTTTCTAAATTCGATTCCACTTTGTCAGTTGTTGTATCTGCTAATCCATACTCTTTTAGTAAGGAATTAACTTTTGCATTACTAAGAGATTCTTGTGTCTGATCATTTTCCTTATCATATTTTCTTGAACAACAATTCTTACTATTGCACTTGTTTACATTTTTACTTAAACTATCAATTTTAGTAACACCATTAATTTTTCTACTACACAATCCTGATATACTATTTTTATCTTCTGTTACACGATTGCCACCACTATCGTCCAACTCTGAAATTGCTTCTTTCAAGTTGCTACTCTCTGTCTGCTTCATATGATATTCTTGAAGCATTTTCTTTGCCTTTGAACTCTTACCAATGCCAAGTTTTGGTAATCCTTTATTGAGACCTTCTAGAAGAACACAAGCCTTACAGACCTCCTGAGATGAGACAAAATTACACCTAACACACACCCTCTGTGATGGTAGTGAGACTTCTTCTTTTATTGTCATTGTTTCACCTGAAAGTAGAATGAATAGATTAAAGAGAATATTAACTAATAAATTAAAAATATTCTTAGTTATAAGTTATCTTGTAAACTGTGTAATAAATTAAAATCATGTTGATTTTTAAGTTTGATTAATTTTTAATTGAGAAACTTTGATGTTGAATATTTTTTTCTTATGTGTTGTGTTGATAAAATTTGATTTACCAGAGTATATAATGTCCATAATGCAAGCAGGCCTTATCTTCTCCATGTCCTTCAGCAGAGCTCTGGCATGGCCTCTGTAGGCATTTGGTGCAAAAACACACTCAGTTGAAAAATAAACTAGCTTCTTGTAATGTGCATACATTACAATTTCCTTTTCATATGTGTACTTGAGTGGTTTTACTCTTGGTATAGTGCCCTCACTGCCCTGAAAAATTTATATTGATATTTGTATTGTTTAAAAAGCAAGATTTCACAGTAGAAACAAGAGAGAAATGGAGATTGCTAGTTATGTGGACTGATGACCCCATTACTAGTAATGTATCCACCCTATCAGGTAGACATCCATGCGGTACCCCTAGAAACCATCACGATCAACTCCTGGTGAATTTGTCATGATAACTGAGCTACTCATATTATTGAGTGCACCATTCCATTATCATCCATTAAAAAAACAGCAAAATAAGTGCTAATGTAGTCCACATAATTTTGTTATTTAATTTTGCTTACTGTTGTTATGGCTGTGCATCTTTTCAATCTGGCAATGTCTCCTCTCAGTACATTCATCAGAACTGTCTCGGCTATATCATCTGCATTGTGGCCAGTGGCTATACACTTGACACCCAGCATCGCCGCTCCCCGGTCTAGCGCCTGTCTTCTAAATACACCACAAAAAGTACAGTTGTTCTTTCTACCAATTTGTGCTACAATTTCGTCCATTGTCCATCCATACAACTCTTTGTATGATAATATTTTTAAAGGCATTTTATAATCATCACGATTCTGTTTCACAGTCTCAAGACTATCATCACGGTATCCAGTGATACCTTCATCTATAGATAGCAGCATTAAGTTCAATCCATAATCATGTCGCTCATTAAGGGTTTTTAAAATGTGTGCAAGTACAGTGGAGTCTTTACCACCAGATGCAGCTACAGCTACTGAATCTCCCCTGTTAAATAGCTCTCCTTTTGTAATTGTGTAGTGTATTTCAGATTCAAATGCCCAATAAAAACATTCCTTGCAAAGAGCATCACCCGTTTTTGGCCTCTGAAACAGTAATTATAATTTGTAATTAGAATTGTCATTTTGTATGTTTAATAACTATGATATATGCTGTCCTTCTGTTCAAACATCATCAAAAGTATAGTGAGACTATTGATTTTTTTAATGTTTGCAAATAAATGTTGTAGTCCATAAATATCAGAACTGCTATGATAATGTCAAATGTGATTTCAACATTCACATAACATACTAAATGTGTAATGTAAAACATTTAAATTAAAATTAATTAAATAATTTATTTAAATGAGCAACGTCCTAATTTCTGACTTATTCTGTGATGAGTCTGCTTTCTGAATGAGCAATGGGAAAACAAAAATATTATATGACTATTCAAAAGTGCTTCTTTTAAATTTATTTGAATAAATATTATTTCTATTTCATAATTAAAAGTACATAAGGTGCGTCAGTCAACGATGGCTGGTGCAGAGAATAATATGCTCACTGTAAGATACTTAATGTGGTTACAGTATCAAGTAGGAGTATTATAAATAATGTAGTAAGTCGAAGGCCTTACTACAGTGCACTACCCTGTAGGCATTAAGGCAAATTTCAACAGTTAGATTAATATAAAACTTTATCAGCGATATATAATTATGTTGTCTGGGGACTCAAATCAAAAAAGCTTACCATATTTTATACATGTGTACCTGAGAATAAATATTAGTATGAAAAACTAACCTCTATTTAAATTACTTACTTTTAATACAGCATTTTTCCCACAATTTGCTCTACAAGATACAGGCATTGTACGGGCAGGCTATGTGTTATTTTAACTTCTTTTAAATGTTTTTTAATAGTGATTTCATTAAATTATAAATAAAATATTCTATTATATATCATATTATTCACAACATGAAATATGACTGTGACAGACTGCTGACTTGTAAACAACAGCACAGACTAAGTAAAAATACAGAGGTTAACTAGGGCGTAAAAAATGTATTTTGTTCTAACAAATGGGCAGAAGGACTTGTATCCCTAGTTAGGAGTAAGGGATATTTAAAAAAAAACTACAGCACAGAGTAGAGTAGGAACTACCTTCCAACTGAACTACCGAAATATTTCATTGGCATTTTGGCATTTGCAAACTAATATTACAAAGCGTATTTTCCTTAAAAACTCCTCTTATTTCATTATGTGACTTATTTTTATAAAAGTTAAATTATGTCTATCTTTGCTCCGAAATACTAAATGATTTTCAAGAATATTAACGAGCAACTTTTTTAATCCCAAGTTCTATGAAATCGTGTTAATGAGATCGTCGTGGGTTCAGCAAGTTTATTTCAAACAAATAGTGAATGTGCTGGCAAATTCATGAACCGCGACTGCCTCCACGATGCATGAACTGCTGAAGCACGTTCTGAACGAGAGAGACCTGACGAGGGCTGGTGATATCTTCACTATCCCGGATTCGGAAATAGTTAATGACCTGAATGAAGTGGTGAGTAGGTGTATATTATAATGAGTAAATATTGGTGCTATCTTCAGTTATTTGAAGAATTTCCTTAGATTTGTCATGGTATGATTACTGTGTTTACAAACAACTGTATCAAAACATAATGCTTGTTTCAATAACTTGCTGTCTACTAGATAGTACTTCGGTTATAGTACAAGAAAAATGATATACTTTAACTAGATGTATTATATTAATTAAACAGTTTATGGTCATACTTTCAAATACTACAATTATGCCAACTTTCATACTGGTTGTTTAAGCTATAAAAATGCAAAGAGGTATCAAATTGTTTTTATATTTGTAAAGTTATTAAAATTACTATCCTAATGTTTTTTTTTTACAAATGATTATAATGTGATAATTCATCAGCAGCAATTATTTGTGGCTGGTGTGTTATTGCAAATTTGTAAAATTTTGAATACATTTTATAGATGCACAAAACTTGTTTTTATTTTAATTATTATTTATTTTAATTAGTAAATATAAATTGGAATAATTTTAAATCTGTTCTTTAATACTGCTGAAAGAAACTAAAGCTATTATTTAGTACACTTGGAAATGTGGTGAACTAACTTTGTGTGTAGTCTTAAAAAAATGTTATTTTTTTTTATCTAAATTTATTTTGGGGTTTTTGTTTAATTATTATTTTTATAGAATTTTTGTTTTATGAATAACCATATTGAAACTTAAATTTATGATTTGACAGTACTAAAATTATGCATGGTCTATAACATATGCAAATACTATTAATATTATTATTATATCACAATCTGAAATATTTATTAATGTAAAACATTAATTGAACAGAGCAATATTAAAGTATATGCTCATTCTTTTTGTTATAAGTCTTTCTAAATGTGGGTAGAATAATAAAATTCTAATTTTTATTCCAATTTTATTGTTAGTGCTATATTTACACCATTCCATGTATTTTCCCTAAATTTTTTTTTCCTATCAGCATAATGTGTAAAACAAGTAGTTACACATTGACTCCTAAGATGTTTTTATAATTAACAAATGTTAATTAATCTCAGAATTTCATTTACTTCTTTTAACAGCTCAAGCAAATAGCAGACATATCATCCAGACCTGACTACTGTCGCAATGATCGCGACCAAGCAATCATTGAAATATGTGTTACCAGAGTGACATCATGTGTGCGCGAGACAGGGACCTTGGACAAGTACTGTGGAGCGCTTGTATCTCTACTGGAGTCCTGTTTACACCAGAACTTAATGCCACTGGGACATCTGAGGGATGACGATCCACCACATGCAAAAATAGCATCTGATATTATAGCTTGTATAATTCTGGTAATAGTCTAATTAATTTAGTAGTAGTTGTAAATAACACATTTTAAAACTTAACATTCATAGCTATGCCACACTGTTAGGTTGACTGGTAGAGATCTCTTTTAGAGATAAGTTCACCTATGCTCACTTTGTATATAATTAAGTTTGCTACTGTATTGTATTGCTTGTTTATTATTTATTGATTTACTGTTTGCTTATGTACTGTATTTGCTTAATTTTCTCTTCTGGAACTGACCTTAAATTATTATTAATAAGTGTGGCAATTGTTTGGCACATGTTATAATCTGTAGTCTGTTTTTTAATCCAGAGACAAATTTGACATTACCTATGTTACCAGTTTTTTGCAATTTTCAAATGTGGCATTATCCATAATTAATATTAATTACCCATTTTTATAGGTGTGTGTGGGTGATTATTTTAAATGGATTAATAGGCTTTATTATAATTGTGTTATTAAATTTCCAGGTGTCATTCCCAGTGCAAGCCGAAAAAGAGAACTATGGAAACAAGGCAGTCATGGAACTTTTTCTGCCAGTTGCAGTTCAGTTTTTGCACAAAGGCAATCGCGAGATATCTCGGGACATGGCGCGCTATCTGTCACTGGCAGCTGTACACCACGCTAATTTGTTGAAACCACATGTACAAACTATTATGGATTCTATTATGTCTGGTAATTATAGTTGATAATATAACAATGACTGAACTTGTGCATACTATTGTATATTGGTCATAAAGGGTATCTCAAGCTGAATTTGTATTCATGGAACTGAAATGATTTCCCCAAGTATGTAAAAGTGGAGAACATTTTAAACAAATTGTACATGATCAATAATCCAGTATTAAAAAATATAAATATATTATTCATTTAGTTTTCTAAAAAAGTGGTTGTGTCTTAGAAGAACTTTATACTTTGGCGTTTAGTCGGGTATAGCATAAACCCTAAACTCCAATGTTTAAACCTGTAGAAGAATTTTGATTGTTTCAGGCAACTATCCTCTCTGTCGCATTCTGACAAATCTTTACGAGGTCAGTCCAGAGCCTGTGGAGGAGCACGCAGGTGCTCTCGTGTCCCTACTGCCACACGCCGAAAAAGTAGAGAAAAGCTCACTATTCTCACTTTTCGAGCAAATAGCATCCCGAAGACCGGAGGCTCTAAAAAGTAGTTTGCCTCAACTACTGTCGCATATGTGCGCTAGTGGGACAAGTCAGACCAATCCTAGCTGCATGTGTATTGAAATATTGCAGGTTAGTGTATTTTTTTTAATTTAATCGGAATGACAAATGGCAATGTAAGACTCCTGATGGTAAGTGGGAATCATCCTCAATACACAAGGGCAGAGCTATGGACATAACATTATCATGTGACTTTCGTAATACAGAACTTGCATTAATATTCTGTAGGACTAAGATGTCATGCCACTTAACCTGTAATTTCACTGCCTCATCGCACTTCTTCAACTGAAACATAGTATAATGTTGCAATTGAAATACACGAGACTGAGAGGTACCTCAGCAGTCTTTACAAAGTCTAATGTCGACATAGGTGTTGTTATAACATCGATGTACTGGATGCGTGTGGCAATGTGACAGTGCGGTGTACGTGCTTGTGCAGGTGGCGCGAGCGGCGGCGCGGGCGCGCGCTAGTGTGGTGGCGCCGCACCGCAGCACGCTGGCGAGCGCCGCGCGCGCGCCGCACGCTGCCCCACGTGTCGTCGCGCTCGTCGCCGCCGCGCTCACCGACCTCGCGCGCGCAGACAAGGTACCGTCGTCGCCCCACGCTCGTCGCCGCCGCGCTCGCCGCCGCGCTCACCGACCTCGCGCGCGCAGACAAGGTACCGTCCCCGTCCCCGTCCCCGTCCCCACGCTCTCACTCAGTGGCGCCGCACGCTGCCCCACGTGCCGTCGCGCTCGTCGCCGCCGCGCTCACCGACCTCGCGCGCGCAGACAAGGTACCGTCCCCGTCCCCGTCCCCGTCCCCACGCTCTCACTCAGTGGCGCCGCACGCTGCCCCACGTGCCGTCGCGCTCGTCGCCGCCGCACTCACCGACCTCGCGCGCGCAGACAAGGTACCGTCCCCGTCCCCGTCCCCGTCCCCACGCTCTCACTCAGTGGCGCCGCACACTGCCCCACGTGCCGTCGCGCTCGTCGCCGCCGCACTCACCGACCTCGCGCGCGCAGACAAGGTACCGTCCCCGTCCCCGTCCCCGTCCCCACGCTCTCACTCAGTGGCGCCGCACGCTGCCCCACGTGCCGTCGCGCTCGTCGCCGCCGCGCTCACCGACCTCGCGCGCGCAGACAAGGTACCGTCCCCGTCCCCGTCCCCGTCCCCACGCTCTCACTCAGTGGCGCCGCACGCTGCCCCACGTGCCGTCGCGCTCGTCGCCGCCGCGCTCACCGACCTCGCGCGCGCAGACAAGGTACCGTCCCCGTCCCCGTCCCCGTCCCCACGCTCTCACTCAGTGGCGCCGCACGCGCCCCACGCGCGCTCGTCGCCGCCGCGCTCACCGACCTCGCGCGCGCAGACAAGGTACCGTCCCCGTCCCCGTCCCCGTCCCCACGCTCTCACTCAGTGGCGCCGCACGCTGCCCCACGTGCCGTCGCGCTCGTCGCCGCCGCGCTCACCGACCTCGCGCGCGCAGACAAGGTACCGTCCCCGTCCCCGTCCCCGTCCCCACGCTCTCACTCAGTGGCGCCGCACGCTGCCCCACGTGCCGTCGCGCTCGTCGCCGCCGCGCTCACCGACCTCGCGCGCGCAGACAAGGTACCGTCCCCGTCCCCGTCCCCGTCCCCACGCTCTCACTCAGTGGCGCCGCACGCTGCCCCACGTGCCGTCGCGCTCGTCGCCGCCGCGCTCACCGACCTCGCGCGCGCAGACAAGGTACCGTCCCCGTCCCCGTCCCCGTCCCCACGCTCTCACTCAGTGGCGCCGCACGCTGCCCCACGTGCCGTCGCGCTCGTCGCCGCCGCGCTCACCGACCTCGCGCGCGCAGACAAGGTACCGTCCCCGTCCCCGTCCCCACGCTCTCACTCAGTGGCGCCGCACCGCAGCACGCTGGCGAGCGCCGCGCGAACATTTCGCCTGCTCTCATATACTCTCTCACACTCCCTCTATCTCCTATTCTAACACTCTCCCTTTCTCTCACATGTTTATATTTCCTTTTACTTAAGTGACAAACAAACTTAGGTTATCAGCTTTTAAGTAGCAACTAACAAAATTAACAGCAGCATGGACATCATATTATTATGTAATACCCAGTGTACCCCTTGAGGTATCGTCCCATCGAAAATACTACGATGTCATACCCTCTATTATACTCTTCGATGACCTAGTCAGTAAATTGCTCGTGAACAAAATATGAGCCAAGTACGACGATTGTACAGGAGCTGGCGCAGGAGGCGCTGAACTTCGTCCTGGAGAACCTATCGGCGGAGCGCGCCGGCCACGGGGCGCTGCTGCGAGAGGCGACTGCGCTCTGCAGCGCGTACCCTGAGCTCTTCTCCGACCGCCTACTCGCTGCTTTACGTCCCTCTGCCAGGTACTTACATCTATTTTAGTTTAGTTACTTTATATTTGACGGCCTCGGTGGTCTTGCGGTCTAGCACAAGGCTTTCCGATGGACACACAATGTTGATTTCTTGAATACAGATATTTGTATTCGTCAGCATGATTGTTTGCACTGTTCTGGCTGTTTTCTATGTATCTATAAAAATGAATTTATGTAGTGATCTAATACCCATACCACAAGGTCTGCTTAGATTGGGACTAAATGTAGCTATATGAATTGTCCTGAGAAAAAAACAAATATTGTTTATATCCGCTTCTTAGCCTGTGTGAGACCACAGATATTCAGAGCTGAATCCTGACCACGACTACTAGAATCGTTACGACCTTCCTCTCCTTCTTTCTCTCCTTCTCTGTGGGTAATATGGGTGATATTGCGACATGTGTTTCACCTCTAAATGAAGCAATAATAGAGCTCGGATATAGCTCGGAAATCTATGACCAACAAAATAACACCCAATTCAATAAAATGGTTGGTACCAAGTTAACATAAATAATGAGTGTTCGATGACAGCGAAGTGAACCGAACATCGGGCGGGGTGACGATCGTGAAGCTGGGCGGGCCGCCGCCCCCCGCGCCCCCAGCCGCCCCCGCCGCCCCCGCCGCCCCCGCCGCCCCGCAGGCCGGGTACACGCGGCGCGCCAAGTTGGGAGACTCGCGCAGCACGGGCCGCCTGCACCCCGGGCCCAACTCGCACCGCAGCATGACCAGGCTCAACGTCGCAGGTATTATACTCTGTTTTTAAGGCATACGTTCAAATGTAGGTAGTTGTTTTTCTGGACCATCTGGTTCCCAATCATGATAGTTACGATAACCACTTTGCGGCGCGACACGCGCGCGACTTTCCTCAAGTATAATTAAAATACAATGTTAAATTAAGTGTTAAACCAGCAAAATTGTGCTAGTACATCCTCAGGACCCTGATACGTTCTAAAGAATGACCCTTCCCCACATAATTTTCCTTAACGGCAACGGAAAATAGCAAAAATCTGGACACCCTAACTACTGGTACTGGAATTGTTGTATGCCGAAATTAACCAGGAGATATTAGTGAATAGTCGTCATACGGCTATTATGACGTCAAGAAATACTGGTCACACTCAGAATAATTATTTTGTAGGAGTTGTTGAAAAGGGGATTGTTAATAATGTTGGCTGATGAGCTCATTGCTAGCAATACACCATGTCAGGTATACATCCACAAATGATCTTCACTCTCGAAAGAATTCTTGGTGAATTGGTCATGATGGGTAATTGACCTAACCTCATACGCATCTTATCCTCCACTGTTGCCTCGCCAGCGTAAACCGATAGCGCAGGCGGGCACACCATTCCATTGTCATCCATTAAAAAAAATTGTATGGGTATGTCTCTAATTTTAATAATGTATTACATTATTAAATTAACTCATATGGTAATGTGTTTCTGTTACCAGGTGGCTCCGTGGGCGGCTTACACAAGAGTATGACTCGACTGTCGTCGTCCCAACAGATCAACTCACAGCAAAACATCAATGCACACACCAGCAACTGTATGTACACTAATAACTTACTCGTTCCTGTTTAACGAATCTATCCTTACTATTGTTATAAATATGAAAGATGGATGTTTGTTGTCGCTTTCACGCGAAAAACTACTGAACCGATAAAATTTTGCACACATGTTCTTTTAGGTATTAGAATGAACATAGGATACTTTTTGTAATGATCTCCGATACTTATTTAATGGATTCAATGCGAACGAAGCCGCGGGTAAAAGCTAGTACCTATATAAAATAAGTCCATTCCGCTGTCTGTTCGCTTAGATCTTTTAAACTACGCAACGGATTTTAATGCAATTTTTAGCAATATATAGAGTGATTCTAAAGGAAGGTTGTTGTATGTGTAATATATAAACACCCGTGCGAAGTCGGGGCGGGTGGCTAGTAGGTTTATAAATCTGTGATTCAATTGTTCTATATAATATTGATGAATAAAAATTGTTCCATTTTAAGTTAAGTTGGACCAAATTTTACTACTACCATAGTTCAAATTTCATGAAAAATGGTTAGACAGTTTCGGAGATCGTCATTATAGTATATAGTATTTATGATAATTATTATCTTTGTGCGACATACTGGACATTACACTGATTAGCGTTAATTATTATTCAAATTTCATGTAATCTCTACTTATACCTTTATCAACAGTAATTATTTTAGATTTTTCGCTTTATTTGATTGATTAACATATTTCATTATGCCTATATCGAAAAATATGTTGCCACGAAGATTTTGGGTTGGTTTTGGTACACAGATAATATATAGATAAATGAATTTTGATTACTCTGTGTCTAATTCTAATGAAATAAGAAGAAAATATTAAACTATTGGAATATTGCATGAAACATACATCATAATCAGCCATTTCAAAGGCATAGTATTTTTTGAAATTAACAGATTTGATGTGGGTATTATTCAGAGCTACATGCCCCTTGTTCTAAGATTGCGCCGTGCGTGCTGATAAAAGTCATTCTATAGATAGATCCCTCTCAGTCTGTCAGGTGTGGAATTTCCACGACGTACGGGTGAAGTCCTAGTGTTCGTCACGTAGCTCGGTAGTAAAAAGTGGAAGGCAAGGTCATATTATGCAGTCGTGTGCGCACTTGACAAAGTGTATCCTATAACTGACACTGTCGGTGTCGGTTATAGGATACACTGGCCACTTTGTGTCGATGTTCTAGCGTCTGAAGTTTAGTATTTATTAGAGTGTCATCCGCAATTAACCTCAAGGCTCGGCGCTCAGCAGAGTCCAGGACAGCCAGCTGATATTTGGCAGGTCCCACAAATAGCTACAATACTCTATACAAGATCAAACTTGAGCTTGGTATAGATTCAGAAGCTGCTATAGTAGGAGGTGGTGGTAAGGCTTGTTTGTCTGTGCAGCGAGCTCGGGGCCGGGGGCAGGGCCGGGCCCCGGGCCGGGCTCCACGCAGGGCGCGGCCCGAGTGTCGGCGGGCGCGGGCCGGCCGCCGCCGCCCGCTCCTCTCCGCGCGCACCGACACCACAACATACTCATCGGGCCCACGGTAACGCCTCGCCCTGAATTACCCGTAGTTACTAATGGAGCCACCCATATAATAGCTGCCTATACACGTACGTTCTTTCCCGGTGGCGGGTTCGATTCCTCACACAATTCCAACATTTATATTCATGAGATGTATGCCTTTACAAAAAAAAGTAATATTAAATATTTATATCAGTTGTCTACTACATACAATAACATAACTCCCAGGAATAGTCGTAGTTAATTCTTCGTGTATTCGTTACGATGGCCTGACGGACTTGACATATATACTTACTTGCTATAATCCGAAACACGTGTTTGTTACAGAGCGCCGCCCCTACAATAGTCTCCGGGCCGTCCCCACTACAACCTCAGTCCATCTCTGTCAACCCACTCACCGGCAAATCTACAGACGCTCTCACCTCGATCACAGCCCCCGTATCCATTCAGCATTCGAACACTGCACTCGGCCACGTCTCAGTGGTCACGCCCAGCGCTAACAGCGGGCCCGCAATCCTGACCACCAACTGCGGATCGGGCCCGATTACTGTCGGCTCGTCCCAGGCGAATCCTATCTCGATATCGGGCCCGGTGACGGTGACGTCACGGCGGGCCAACAACACCAGCGTGACGATGATCAACTCAAACTCGAACCACAGGATCAGCGTGTTCGAGCCGTATCCCATGAGAGACACGGTGCAACACTTCTGCGAGAAGCACTTGGATAAGATCAAGGCGTATATGGATAATGTTTCGCTGAAGTTGCCACCGCCCGCAAAGTGTACTATAGAAGGTGAGTTGTTGAATTTTTTATAAATTTCCATGTCTATCACAAATTTAAAATTTTAATTTAATAATCTAAATGAAATTTATTACATAAATGTGGTTTTATTAATTTTAAACAGTTTCATGATATATGATATACTAGTGCATGCACTAGGCATTTTGTCATGTCTGAAACCGATTATATATATAATTTTTTATGAATGCGATAGAAAAAGGGTACATGTATTATTACTGTTTTCATACCCATTATCTTGTAATCTGTGCTAATTAGAGGGATAAATTAGAATATACCGGTGTATGAGAACAATTTACAAATGTATGAGTTCATAGTACGAGTGTGTACCATATGGTAAATATGTGGAAAACGATAGACCGGAGCGATCGTATGTGTGACTAGCGTAAGGAAAGGACGCTGTGTGCGCGCGACGCGGGCCGCGGTGTGAGTGTGGACGTGGCGAGCGTGACGAGCGTGACGAGCGTGGTGTGCGTGCAGAGCGGCGGTCCAAGAAGCAGGCGCGGCTGGCGTTCGCGTGCGCGCGGCGCGGGCCGCGGTGTGAGTGTGGACGTGGCGAGCGTGACGAGCGTGACGAGCGTGGTGTGCGTGCAGAGCGGCGGTCCAAGAAGCAGGCGCGGCTGGCGTTCGCGTGCGCGCGGCGCGGGCCGCGGTGTGAGTGTGGACGTGGCGAGCGTGACGAGCGTGACGAGCGTGGTGTGCGTGCAGAGCGGCGGTCCAAGAAGCAGGCGCGCGCGGCGCGCGGCGCGGGCCGCGGTGTGAGTGTGGACGTGGCGAGCGTGACGAGCGTGACGAGCGTGGTGTGCGTGCAGAGCGGCGGTCAGAGCGGCGCGGCTGGCGTTCGCGTGCGCGCGCGGCGCGGGCCGCGGTGTGAGTGTGGACGTGGCGAGCGTGACGAGCGTGACGAGCGTGGTGTGCGTGCAGAGCGGCGGTCCAAGAAGCAGGCGCGGCTGGCGTTCGCGTGCGCGCGGCGCGGGCCGCGGTGTGAGTGTGGACGTGGCGAGCGTGACGAGCGTGACGAGCGTGGTGTGCGTGCAGAGCGGCGGTCCAAGAAGCAGGCGCGGCTGGCGTTCGCGTGCGCGCGGCGCGGGCCGCGGTGTGAGTGTGGACGTGGCGAGCGTGACGAGCGTGACGAGCGTGGTGTGCGTGCAGAGCGGCGGTCCAAGAAGCAGGCGCGGCTGGCGTTCGCGTGCGCGCGGCGCGGGCCGCGGTGTGAGTGTGGACGTGGCGAGCGTGACGAGCGTGACGAGCGTGGTGTGCGTGCAGAGCGGCGGTCCAAGAAGCAGGCGCGGCTGGCGTTCGCGTGCGCGCGGCGCGGGCCGCGGTGTGAGTGTGGACGTGGCGAGCGTGACGAGCGTGACGAGCGTGGTGTGCGTGCAGAGCGGCGGTCCAAGAAGCAGGCGCGGCTGGCGTTCGCGTGCGCGCGGCGCGGGCCGCGGTGTGAGTGTGGACGTGGCGAGCGTGACGAGCGTGACGAGCGTGGTGTGCGTGCAGAGCGGCGGTCCAAGAAGCAGGCGCGGCTGGCGTTCGCGTGCGCGCGGCGCGGGCCGCGGTGTGAACGCAGGCGCGGCTGGCGTGGTGTGCGTGCAGAGCGGCGCGGCGCGGGGCCGCGGTGCGCGCGGCGCGGGCCGCGGTGTGAGTGTGGACGTGGCGAGCGTGACGAGCGTGACGAGCGTGGTGTGCGTGCAGAGCGGCGGTCCAAGAAGCAGGCGCGGCTGGCGTTCGCGCGCGCGGCGCGGGCCGCGGTGTGAGTGTGGACGTGGCGAGCGTGACGAGCGTGACGAGCGTGGTGTGCGTGCAGAGCGGCGGTCCAAGAAGCAGGCGCGGCTGGCGTTCGCGTGCGCGCGGCGCGGGCCGCGGTGTGAGTGTGGACGTGGCGAGCGTGACGAGCGTGACGAGCGTGGTGTGCGTGCAGAGCGGCGGTCCAAGAAGCAGGCGCGGCTGGCGTTCGCGTGCGCGCGGCGCGGGCCGCGGTGTGAGTGTGGACGTGGCGAGCGTGACGAGCGTGACGAGCGTGGTGTGCGTGCAGAGCGGCGGTCCAAGAAGCAGGCGCGGCTGGCGTTCGCGTGCGCGCGGCGCGGGCCGCGGTGTGAGTGTGGACGTGGCGAGCGACGAGCGTGACGAGCGTGGTGTTCGTGCAGAGCGGCGGTCCAAGCATCAGGCGCTGCTTGCGTTCGCGTGAGCTCGGCTCGGGCCGCGGTGTGAGTGTGGACGTGGCGAGCGTGACGAGCGTGACGAGCGTGGTGTGCGTGCAGAGCGGCGGTCCAAGAAGCAGGCGCGGCTGGCGTTCGCGTGCGCGCGGCGCGGGCCGCGGTGTGAGTGTGGACGTGGCGAGCGTGACGAGCGTGACGAGCGTGGTGTGCGTGCAGAGCGGCGGTCCAAGAAGCAGGCGCGGCTGGCGTTCGCGTGCGCGCGGCGCGGGCCGCGGTGTGAGTGTGGACGTGGCGAGCGTGACGAGCGTGACGAGCGTGGTGTGCGTGCAGAGCGGCGGTCCAAGAAGCAGGCGCGGCTGGCGTTCGCGTGCGCGCGGCGCGGGCCGCACTGCCTGTTCGCGCGCGCGGCGTTCAGCGTGCGCACGCGCGCGCCGCGGGTGTGGATCCACCTGATGTTCCTCGCGCTGCAGGCGCGCCACGCCTCCGCGCTCTCCTCGCGCGACCCCAACGTCGCCACGCTCAAGCACTGCTGGGAGATCCTCAAGTGCGAGAACAAGACCTTCCTCACACTCGTCACCAGCGCCTTCCCCGGACTCAAGGTACGCTTCACTTGCCGTCGGTTTTGTATAGATACAGATTGTATCATGTAGACTCCGTACATCAAATTACTTTTTTTTATAATCGATTAAATCGTGATTAATAACAAACGTGTAAATGTGCAAGTATATGTATTTGTATAAACATTTTTTCAATTTTTCTGAGCCACATAGAGATATAAGCAATTGATAATAATGGAATGGTGGACCCGCTCGTTCTATCGGTTTACGTCAGCGGGGCGACAGCGAAGGACGGCGAGACGAGCATGAGATCAGATCAGTTAGCCAACGTGACAAATTTACGAGAAATTTATCGAATTAGGAAGGTGATTGCTAGCAATGGAGTCATCACTCCACATTGCCAACAATCCCCTTTCCCACAAGCGAAGCCAAACTAACTAGGAAAGCGGCCGTTTTAGACCCTGGGTCGTGTCGTTCCTCCCGCCTCCCATACCAAAAAAAGCCAGTTAGGTAAGCGGCGTTTTTAGACCCCGATTGTTGTCGGTCGCAGGAGCAAGAGATGCTGCTGAACGAGCTGCGCGCCGCGGGTTTCTTCGACGTGTTCGAGCTGAGCGGCGGCGGCGGCGGCGGCGGCGCGGAGGCGGCGTGGGGCTGCTTCCTGTGCACGCGGCCGGAGCGCGCCGTGTTCCTGGACGCGGGCGGCGCGCCGCTCATCGAGGGACAGCTCAAGGAGAAGAAGGGACGCTGGAGACTGTTCCGCCGCTGGCGCACGCGGTACTTCACGCTCTCCGGCGCGCACCTCTCCTGCAAGGGCGCAGTCAGTATCCGTTTTAGTTACTACTATTTAGGCGTACTAATAGGATATTATCGGTTGATATTACAGATGATAGTGAATTGACAGTGATAGTGAAATTTGTCTTGTTTATTATTAATTTAAATTATAGTTGGCGACATTCTTGCGTAGTGTTCCATTAATATATATTCTAGATATGTCTTAGAGATTTATTTCAATAAATAAATTACACGCTGATTTAATATACCATAAACTATTTATTTAATCTAATTGTACCATAGACTATTTTATATACCAATATCAAATTATACATTTTCCAGAGCGGCGGCGAAAGCATAGACATCAACCAGATCAGATCCGTGAAGGTGTCCCGCGGCGCACGGAATATTCCTAAAGCTTTCGAGATCTTCACGGGAGACCAGACCCTGATCCTGAAGCCAAAGGACAGCAAGAATGCGGAGCAGTGGGCGCAGTGCTTGTCCATAGCTGTTGCGCATTCGCACGCACGCGACGGTCCCGCCAAAGCCAACAGTCTTCCCGCGCGCGGCCTTACCCTCAAGAGCTTCTGATTTCTAAACGCTATGTATGTATGGTTAGTACTAAGTCAGCCCCATATAGTTTGTATACGTCAAGCCGGAGTTGGTCTTCAGCCTCTCCGTAAATTCTTCCACGGGTTTGGAGCGCCTTCTACATTTGCCCCCTATCCGGTGAAGCCGTAAAGGCCAGCTGCGGCTAACAACATTAGAATAGTCTAGAAATTTGAAATGCGTGGCACAGAGATTTGATATCCTTCAAATAGTGTTCGTATATTATATTTAAATATATGTTTATATCTATTAAGGTAAGCATTTCTGCTGTATATATTATACAGGGTTAGTCGCAAAGGGACTAAGCCAAAAGGCACATAGAATAGGCGTAAAACTGAACCATTTTTTCTAAGAAACAAAGTGGATATAAAAACTTTATGTTGAATTGGTCACGTGACTATGCATATTGCATAAAGAGTTTAATTAAATAAATAATATCTCAGGATAAGTCGCACATCTAGTGCTAAGCTTAGCACAGCTTTAAGAATACTAGACAACTGATATAAATACATAGATACATATTTTTGTAAATACAATTTGAAGAATATTACCCGTGATCATCGGATGTAAAGCGTTGTGTTAACCCATAGACCACCGTGGGCGACGAGATATTATTTTTAAATCCCTTTTACATTTTAGGGCAATTTGTGTATGACTGAGATTTTAATTGCCAATTACGAGTAACCCTATATAGAATATAATTATTTTATATGATGATACACAATCATATCTATAGGTACGATATATTATAAGAATGATACAATATTGCGCTTACCTTACGTATAGGTGCCAAATTAAATGACTATTAACCTTGGACTGCAATTGAGTAGATCTCATATTACAATTATATAATATATTATAAACTGTTATGTTATATCCAGTAACGTAACATTTTATATGTCTTATTAATATTACAATACATAAAACTGTTTTTATTATATATGATTTTTAAAAGTGTGAGACAATTTGAAATGCAGTAAACGTCTAAGTACGTACTTAAAGTAATGATTTAAAAGACGGAGAAATTTATGTTAACGTGCGATCAAGTCATAATGGAGTGACGGTAGAATTTGTATTCTATGATTTTAAAAATAAAGTGTATTTTATATCGCAAAATGAGTGTTGTTTGCGAAATAGAAACTTTACAACACATCTCTTCAAGATACGAAGAAAAAACTCGTTTCTGTTTACATTAAATTAGTAATAGACCCGTTCATTAATCAATGGAATTATGGAAGGATTATGGAAATTAAGGATTATACATTATAAGTGGGGATACCCTTTCGTACGGTAAAACTGGAAAGACTAGCTATGGCCAATGGCTAAAAAGGGTTATTGTTTAAATAAATTATGTACTAAGATGATACTCCAATAAATTTATTAATGGATCGTTAAGTAATTGAAAACGAGCCTAAATTGTAACAAGACGACTGAGATGAAGACTTTGAAATTGTTGCATTTGATTAGTATGCTAGTTGTAGCTTATACGGTAGTGAGCGATGCAGGTTCCATTGATACTCATTAATATCACAATTGATAATTATGTAATATTAGAAAGAAAGAAAAGAATAGACTCTCTTTCTTTACACTAAATGTTGATTAAATAAATAATTAGGTAAAAGCAGGTTCAGAATAAGTTGCACTGTTGCATTTTTAATTAATACTTGTAAATAATAATATTCCTAGAGAATTTATACAGTGCCATCTAGTCCCAAGCTAGGCAAAGCATAACAGCAACTATGGATACTAGACAACGGAAAGATATATTTAGACACAATATATGAAGAAAACACCCAGACTGATTATACTCATGAATACAAGTGATTGGACCTTGTGAGGAATAAAGAGTTGTGAAGCAATTGCAAGTAAAGTTGTGTGCTAAACGGCTAGTCTAGTCTAGCCGCTAGACTACCGAAGCCGTCTAAAAGTAATTTGTGTATCATATAGTAATAAAATCATGGAACCGGCATTCTGCTTAGTATATCTAGTTATAAATAGCAGTATAATAATATTTCTAATAATGCTCATACGATTTATTAATGTGATAATGTCATCCGTCACATTCCAATTAATTTTAAGGTCTATAGTGTACATGCAATTGTTTGTATTGTACACGAGTATGTACTTAAAATTGTTTACCCTTCAAAACATAAAGTAGAAGTGTAATACACTAGAGTTGTGATACATATATGTAGACATTCAAAATCGTACTTATTTTTAAACTTTCGCCTTTGGTAACATTATTAATATAGTTAAACCGGTTTTAAAACGAATAATTATATGGTAAATAAAGGTATTTACCTCTCTGGACATTTCGACTACGTTGCACAAGCCTACTAGTTTTTTTTATGATGAAAATGGAATGGTGCACCCGCCTGCGCTAATGGTTTACCCTGGCAGTGGAAGATAATAATAAGAATATGATGTCAGACCAGTTAGACCATAGTGACATATTCTTGGATTTTATCATGATAGTTTTCATGGAGACTCGTGTAGAGGTCAACCTAACATGGTACATTGCTAGCAATAGGGTTATTAGTCCACATTACTGACAATCCCCTCCCCCCCAGCCTACTAGGTTAAACTGCCAGCACCTATCAACACTGACTGTCGCTGTTACTCCAGTCAGCTCGTGAACACGGCTAGTACAATCTAGTCAAAACCTTTACCATGAAATTATTCGTGTTAAAACTAGTTTAACTATGTTAATAAATTTAAAATCGTCTTATATTACTTGATTATTCATTCTTTAGGACATAGATATGTTTCGTTTTGTAAAGTTAATGTGAGATTATGCAAGTGCCTTGTTATTATTATGTTAGATACGAGTTTAGAAGTTATTCACATAAAGTACAATGGACTTGATACAATTTAATAATTATTTTAGTTTGCATTTTTGCATAGGATGTACTTTTAAGTTTTTAGTATGCGTTATTTCGATTTTGAAACGTTTTTATAATTTTTATTATTATAAAATATTGAATCAGATTGTTTAATATACACTATATTTGCAATTGTAAGTAATATATTACATATTAATTACATACATATACAAGTAAACTTGTGTTGATGCAGTGACTGTTTCAGCATATTACTAGACATTTTTGATCGAAGACTGAAAGCTGGTCATTACTGCGTTGTATTTGTGTCCTAGGGAGCCCCGATAAGTCGTTCGTTGTTTGATTTATACTTCACTGCTGTACACAGAATGTTTCTAAAATATTTGGTCTCAAAATATATGGTAACATATTTGTTACAAGTAGAAAATTAACTTATCCAATGTGGTGCGTAATGAATTTTTGATATATAGAGTGCTACCAAATTATCTTCATTCCCTTATACATAGTATTAGATGTATACACTAGGATAATGACGGAAATTCGTGTCGCTAATGTTTTTTTTTAATAAAAAAATATCTTTTAATAACTGGCAATATTCCGTTTTGTGTAAATTAGTCTTTAAAAACATCTGTTGCGCACGAACGAAGAAGTTCGTAGTATGTTTTGTAGATACAATAGAGATCAGTGAGCTGTATTAGTACCTATGTAAAGACCTATCTATATATTTATATATAACATGCAGATATATTTTATACCAGAAGTTCTTCAACTTCTGGTATGAAATAAGATCGTTTTTTGCCTTTAAAATCTAGTTCTCAAATCAATGCTATAATTTCTTCTATGCTCCGTTTCCATTGTTGTTTTATATAAGCTATGAATTTTACTTTGAATCCAAGCCTATATAATAATTAAAGTCGTAAAATTTTAGATTTCGAAATATTGCCAACTGTGAACAGAGTGGCGAACGCAACAATAGATATGGATAGGATTAATATATACGTACGTACGTATTTAGGTACGTACTTGTGTCTGTCTTTATATATATTACTAAAATATATATTCTCTGTTCCAAGATGTAACACATAAATGCTTGAACTTGCCATTAGCATATTATTACAAACGGTGTAATTATATGACGCATCATGAATAAAATTACATTGTAATTATAATTATTTGCCATTAATGTATGTTTCAAAATGGAGTATGGAGTATAAAATGTTTGTATGACAATCGAACTCAATCCTATCCTATACTAAGCACTTAATTAGCGACCGCTACATATTGTCATTTTTATATATTTTATATGGTAACCCAAAGAACATTCGAGTGGGGTTCTCCGAACCAAGGTGATGATTATCACCCACTTTTTGTGATGAGATGTACCCGCCTGCTATTGTATATGTGCATACTAGACCATTATCAGCATCATCTTTTCATCATCACTATGCCACTTTCATCATTTACTATTTAGTCGGCCCCTCCATTATTGTGACGAAACTTTTATAATTGCATAATTTTCATATACTTGCCATATGGTCTAGTGTCTACACGTCTTTATTCTGTCCTCACCAAATATCTAGTGTTCATGAATTTATGTTATTTCTATATTTAATTATCTTTATAGAACTTATAAGAGACTCAGTTTTGTACATAATAATAACTACAAATGTAACATGTAAAACAACGTATACACGACACAAAAATCAGGGGCAATATCGAAGAAAAGGTAGGGAACGCCTTTGACTGCTCTGTGTGTAGAGAAATCGGGACTGATTTCACAGAGTTAGCTCTCTGAACCAATTTTACCACCACCATATTGCCCCTAATTTTATTGTCGTGTGCAGGCCGTTTACGCATTATAATAGGTATAGTGTATCTTGACTAGGTGCTAGCGTTCTTTTATTAGTTGTATATAGAAGAAAATAGTGATTTAAGTGTATACAGTCGTGTAATCAAATGAGTGAGTTTCATCCGTCCTTTATGTATTGTTCAAAATGTAGTATATATTTGAAGTTGGCAATTATTAGTTATGGAAATATGATAGAAAACATAACATTTTTATTATTAGTTGATACTGCAATTTATATTTTAGATTATTTTTCGAAATCGAAAATCGTTATTAAATCTAGGCTGATATTAATAACGATTAAAAATTTTTATTTTTTTTCTGTATAAGTTGCAGGCTGTATTTACAGCAATTTATTATTCTAGAATGAAATTATTGGGTATATAACCCTGCTTTCACTCAAGAAACATGTTTTGTAACGAACTTATTATGTTTTTATACTTTGCACATAAGATGTGAAATATTAGGTTTGATACAGATACTGCGTTTCGACATGAAGTTAGAACACTAAAATCACTATGGATTGGTTCGGCGATTTTAGTGTTTTTGTTAATTGGTCCGTAGTATTTAAATCTTTATTTGCATAAACGGTAGCATCTTGTAGAAAATAAGAGTCATTGATACATACTAGATAGGTACTTTTTTATTATTGATTTTGCAATAAAAACATTACTATACATACTATTTGCCTATAGTTGTCAAGAAAATTAGTTTCTAATTTGGTAACAGCCAGAAGTACATTATAGCTAATAATAATCATGAAATTTTGTTAATGAGTTAAGTACTTACTGATATTATTACCAAATTAGAAATAAACAAATTTATAATATTAATATGCCATTGTACAGACAGATTTTTATAAAATGTTATACATGTTGATTAAGTTTAAGATTAGCTATAGCTTCACAGAACTTAAAAAATTGGTGCTACGTAATAATATTATATCTGATTAATTGATGATTTGTGCTTCCATATATTATTGTGACATATAAATCACTTCATGTTTATTATGCACACTTTTGGCTTCCGGTACTTAAAATTGCTTTATTTATTGTTTAATAAATAATATTGTTGATAAATAATGTTTTTCATTAAATACCAAAGCTTTCTTGTTAAAAACGTTGAAATATAGCCGTCTATATTGCGGTCATATTATTATTCGGTTCAGAGAATGTCCTACCGGAACACGCCCCAATTTCGATTGGTGCTTTTTCAAAGTAGGCGGGGCATAGGAACTAAATGTGCCAATCGAATTCCATAAAACAATCGACCGACTGAACCAAATTTACAGAAAGTGATGATCTATGGTAGTTTTTTTTTGTAATAGCTAATGCATATATTTAGGCATTTTATGCATTATGGTCTCCCCTAAATAACCTGACCTGGCTTTAGAGCCATCAATTGCCTCTTAAAACCGGCATTAGGTTGTATGACAGGTCGTTTCTCTTTCACTAATTTGTATGCATCCTCAAACTCCATATTTTGGCAATGCATCAAGTATCCTATAGCCATCATTGAAGTACGAGACACACCTGCGTTGCAGTGTATTAGTATATTATCTTTGTTATCAATCGCTTGTTTTATGAATGGTATACCTTGTCTTAGTACTTTTTTTATGTCTGTTTCAGGCAAATCTAAACAGTCTATATATTTGTGGTTCACATTTACAGATACATTTATACCTAAACTAAGTACATGTTTAATATTATTGGCATCTATAACAAAATCAGTAGTGCAATCTTGTGATCCTATATATAAATTGTCTATGACTAACACAGGAACATTATCAGGTTTTGTGTCAACAACGAAACCATAACACGATGTAAGGTTTTCAGTATTTTTCTCATCACTACCCCTCTGTACATATCTTTGCCCATTTACTTTAGTCACTATTGTGTCAGTTTCTTTCAGTTTGTCTTTTTGCTTTAACAGTTCACTGAGAAAACTCATTTTCACTCACTGTCACTATCTTCAGTTTCTTCTAAATGTTTTGATGTCTCTGTGGATCTGTATATCAAATCATCAGGGTTATATTCTACATTGCATAAGTAGAGGCCGTCGGGTGGACAGTTTTGTATGAATGGGTACCATGAATGTTTCGATGGTATTTGCAGCATAATTTTTATCTCTTCAACTGGTAACTTTCCTATGGCGACGCTGATGAGTGTGCCTATCATTCGCCTTATCTGTTAAAATAAAATGTATATAAAATAAAAAATAATTTATTCATATAGGATAGCCAATATAGCTAATTATGAATGTAGTCCAGAATATCTTTTTTATTTATGTTTAATATTACATTAAATTAAATTGATAGTATATACAATTAAAAGTATTGGAAGTTAATTAAATGTTTCATACATAATAATACTTGCAAGTAATCACTTTACCCTAGTTATATTTGAATGGTGATGTTCAATGATGTACAAACCATGATATTCCAATAAAATACAAGTCAACTGAATTGTCATAGGATATGGGACTCATCATAATATGCGATAGCAATTGAATTTAGTTATATTTAATAATAATAATGTACCTGATTATGAACAAACGATCTGCCCTTTATTTCAATATCCCAATAATCAAATACACTCTCTTGGGAGTGTGTGTAATTTGTGACTGTTGGTCGACCGGGTTTCACATCCACTGAGTACAGTGTGCGACGGTTCTGCTTGTGCTGTTCCATTTTGTTAAACCTCTTGAAAGTTGTGAAGTCATGGTAACCAGGGAAATATTTGGCACCCTCTTTAAATTTTTCTATATCGAATTCTGGTATCCTGTGTACATGTGTGTAATAAATACTAATTTAAAAACTGTAACATAGCATTCAACATTACCAAATTTCCATGTATAGGTAAAAACGTAATGTCAGGGAGATGGAGAGAGAAGCAAGCCAATCTCTAACTCAATCTCTTGGAAGGGGGGGGGGGATTTTTAGTAATGTGGACTAATAACTCCATTGCTAGCAGGTTTATATCCATGCGGTATATCCCGGAAAACCATCCTGGTAAATTGCCATTAGCCAACATGGGCTAATTGACCTGACTTCATACTCATTTTATCATCCTCTACAGGTGCCCGCCAGTGTAAACTGTTAGCACAGACGGATGGATCTTTCCCATATCATCCATAAAAAAATCTCTGACTATATGAAAACTGCTTACCTCAAGAAGTAACATCTTCTCCATTCTTCGACTGGTATATATGAGGCAATGCTAACATTTTCAGGTAAAGTAATGTCCTTTTTTAGAACTGCCAACCTGAATAATAATAGTAAGATATACTTATTTTATGGAGATAGATAGTGTATCAATCTCCATAAAATAATACATACAGTAGTGTAGGTTTCAGTAAAGGAAGTCTTGTAATATGATCTTATACTATAGCAAATTCATAAGTAATGGACTCTGATAGTTTCTCAAGGGTCATAAATGTACACATGACACCCCTGGTGTTACAGGCATATGCTAACCATTTACTGATGGGCCATATACTTTTTTGCAACCTACATAGTATAAAAAAAAAGATGCTACTACTACTGTCATCTATGACAAAGATATAAAAGTCTTATTCTTAGTTTGTAGTTCTGGCTTGTTAATGTGTTATATAGAATTAAGTATTAAGTACCTATACAAATATGTCCTAGATGTTGCTTTTCGTCGAGAATTGAAGTCATCCGATACTCTCAAACAATTCTTGACATAAATGGCGAAGTTATTCTTATAGAAAAACTTATTCAGTTGGTATGTAATATTATTAGGTTCATATATATTTGCACCATATCTCTCTAGATCAAAGTGAGCACTACAGTTTAGTGCATGGACTCCTCCATCTGTGCTATAATAAAGAGTTGTTACAGGATGGATTATTAATGATTAGTAGATTATATAGTATAGTATAGTATAGTATATATTTTTTCATTATTCATTCATTTTTATTCATTTGAAGTGTAGGAGAGATGAAAATATTTGAATACTATAATGTATAGCTAGGTATAGGTAGATAAATGAAATATGTCTTCTCAGTAATACATCTAATAGCAGACAAAAGATATAGACCAACAGTACAACATTATATAAATTTACCTACAACATAAAGAATGAAATATCTACCTATAATATATTACAATATCAAGTATTGAAAGATGCATATGGAACATGGTGTTAATGCATATTCATTTGTATAGACGAAAATATGAAGTATTGAAAGGTGCATATGATGGAATATGATGTGAATGAGAGAGAATGATGGTGTGAAAGATAGCAAATGTTGTAGTAGTAAGGGTGTGAGGTAATGTACAGAGCTAGGAGAGAATTAGCTGGAACATGAGTAGTAGTGAATGAAGGAAAAAGTGTTTTATGGTATCTCAAGGGGTATAAATATAATAATATTCAATCCCATATGTTGTGTTGTCCTTATTTTTAGCATTCTCAGCAAAATGAAACAGTCTTATCTTTTACGAACACAGTCAAGGATACTGTAAACCACACCCCTCTGTCTCCCTATACACGATGTTGGCAAAATCCCAGACCTCTTTGGTGCAAGCCATTCAAATTAAAACTAGAAGAAAGATGATACCTTTAAAATATAAGGACATACATGTTACTTCTGCTAACATATTGACCATTCTATCACTGAATATATATATATATATATGAAACTGACAGTAACTATTCAAAATACATGAATAGAAGATCAGGCAGAATATATGAATTCCTGTGTGTATGTGAGTTATTATTGTGTGAGTTAAAGTATTGCATTCTGAATCATGAGTAGTATTAAGATGTACCTGTTCATTACCTGCTACACCTACGCATATTAATAGTTTTAAATATAACTGTATGTTTTTTTATAAATGTAAGAAGATAAAAATATTAAGATCTTCCTGCATATTATGGATTTGTATAGAATATGATTGAAGGAATTTGCTACATATTCTATAGCTTTAAGAGTGTTGTACACATAGTAGACAATAATATGTTTACATGGACATCTAAATCTAGTACATTTAGTTTATAGTTTCCTCACCGACTAGACAAAGTGAAATTAGGATAGTTCAAGGACTTGAGTTTCAGCAGCGCTAATTCCATAAGGCCTTGTATACTCTGTGGGTCGGGATAATTTCGTCCTTCTTTCAACCATATCTTCTCAGAAGACCTGTATTTGTATTTCAAAATTTAATACCTACCCTAGGTATTTAACCTATTTATAGGTTACATTACAGAGCTTCACAGTTCTAGTAGTTAACAAACCTGAAACCTGTTCCTATATATGAAAAAAAAGTTAGGTATCTGGCTTTCATCGTATTATAAAGTAACAAATAAAACTGCTTGGTTATTCCAATAAATTTGTTTAAAAACAAACCGGATAAAGATTTTTAGGTTATGTAGCACAGAGTTCCGAACTTTCGATGTCAATCATATACTATCATTATGTATTTGTGTTTTTTATGAGAAAGGCAAAGGGAATTGTGTACGCCATGTCTGATGTATACAGTATCTGTATTATTTTAAATGACAGTTCTAGTCTGACAGTTGACATAGGTCGCCTAACATCGAGACAGCTGTGATTAGTCAAACGTCATGTCAAAATCCATTCCATTGCCCGTTCAATGCCATTCGTTCAGCAGTCCATCAGTTGAAAAATGGCTCAACGGACGTGGCATATGTTTACGATATTAACTTTAATATTTACAGTTTTATCACTTGTTGGTGATGTTTTATCAACAACGGCGGCGCCATGGTATGAAAACTTACCGGCGGTCACTATGGATTATAAAGTTCACATAGACGCTGGTAAAGAAGATTGTTATTTCCAGTATGTCCAACCGGGTGCTACATTCTACGCCAGTTATCAGGTTAATATTAAAACTGTATCTTGATAAAGTTATTTAATCAATATCGATTGCAATATTGATCTATGGATACGTAGTCCTGTATGTTAGATAAATAATAAAAAAAAACTAGCAAAAGTGAATCATAGTTTTGCAACTTTCTATTGTGTTGTACAGGTTTTGAAAGGTGGCGATGGTATGTGTGGGTTTGCCGTACGCCATCCTAATGGTCACATAGTGCACCCGTACGAGTGGAGGCAGAGCGCGGAGTACGCAGACCAGTCGTCAACGGGCGGCTACTATGCCGTGTGTATCGACAACCAGTTTTCGAGATTCGCCGGGAAGCTGGTCAACCTGTACCTATCGGTGATAAGATATGACATGTGGGAGAAATATGCGAAAGAAGTGGAAGAGCTGGATATGAATATAAAGAATTTCACTGTAAGTTTCATATTCCTGCAATGAAAAAGGTTGTTTAAATGAAGGGCCCAATTATCAGATTGCTAGCAATGTAAAATTCACTGCTAGCAATGGGATCACTGGTCCCTAGGTTAGGACAACCTCCAGATGGCTCCTGCTAGTCTTAGATACTTATTTCTTGATGAAATTGCCTCAATATACTGGCAGGGTAGGATGTACCAGTAGATCAAGGTCTTGTTTATTGTAAATTTGAGTATGGCTTTCAGCATCTCGTTTACATGATAGTAATTGGCTGCCAGAACCTGTAATTCAAATCAAAGGTATAATGTGTATGTATAATTTGAAATAAATTTCCGTACAGGGAAAGGAAGTTTCCGTGCTGGAAGGCAGAAATCTGTGAGGCAGTCACCCACACAGATTATTACAAATATATAATTACATAAATAAACAGAATGTATAAGCTAATAGATTATATCTTCAGATTCTTCAGGCTGAATAGTGTTCACTGTTTATCTAATATTAAATAAAGCTCTACATAAGACAGTGGGTAACTATGGTAATATTGAAATATCTAGAAACAGACATAATACGTCATTAGTAATTTTATTTGTATAGATATAACCCAGTGAACTTACACAAAAAAGAACAATACAGGAGTAAATTAAAACAAATAGTCTGCAGTCTCAATACTTTATAACAATAACCTTAATTTGCACTATTGAACAATAACACTCCTTAAATACTCGGCCTTGGATATTACTTTTATTAATGTGTGTTATTTATTATAGTATATACATATAGTATGATATTACTGTAATATTATATTATGGCCAAAAGTACATTATTCTTCTGTTTTTAAATTAATTAAAATTTCTGAAATTAACATACTCTCTAAGTCTTTATAACATTAGCTATCTGCAAGTGAATGTCCATTAGGAGCGGTCCAGCTGTTTCAGATTAGCAGGACAACACAATAGACACAATTTTGTTATAAATTAAATTCTTGGTTATAAACCAAGAATAACCCAAGAACCAAGAAAGTGGTATAACCACTCAACCACTTGGTTTGTAATGTATATACTATCATAAACATTTAGTGCTGTCAATTTGAAATTATAGGCAGATTGATATGAAATTATTTATCTGTATATTTTTATTATATTACTAGCTGTTTCCGTGACTTCTTCACATGGATATTAATTTTATTTTTCTAAAATAAAAGTTTGCCTAAGTTGCACCTTATTACATCAGCTACCTGCCAAAAAAAGCTACGTCAAAATCGGTCCAGCCATTTCAGAGATTAGCTGGAAAAAACAGACAGACAGACAGACAAAAATTGTAAAAAATGTTATTTTGGTGTATGTACCATATTTAAAAAACGGTTATTTCAATATTACATAGAGACACACCAATTTTATTTATATGTATATACTAGCAACAAGTCCAGGGAAGCCATTCCCACAGATGCATTAGAAATCTTTTAATTTCTTGGATTTTTCTATATATCTCGCATGTGTTATACATATAGATTATATTGTATAATATACCTTTCTCTTGAATCATTCTATATATTGCTGAAAACAATTACAACTGGTTCCCTAATTTAAAAGACATAAGTGGACAGATATGGCACTGACTTTGTTTTTACTATGTAAAGATTCTGTTAATATAATAATTATTTTTTATTTTCATACTGGAATAGAACAGTAAAAAATGTTCTGTTTTTTCTTGTGTACCCAAAGGTTGTGTGGAAGAGAGATTTATTTAGTAAAAAGACTAATTTTTGTTCCCCCATTATTATTCTGATACAATTCATTCATTCATAAACTTAAGAGCGACGCTGTTGTCGGTGGAGCTCTTGCCACTTTCTACGATCTTCCATTATACTCTTTAAGCCTTGATACGACACGACTCCAATTCTGTCTTTGATTTGTTTGATACAATAAGACTTAATAATAATTTGTTTCCATTTCAGAGTGCTATACAATTTGTAGAGAGGAATATAAATGACATCTTGCAGTACCAGTATCACTCCAGAGCACGGGAGTCTAGAGATTATAATTTGCTACAAGATAATAATACTTATGTACTTAGGTAATAAAGGTTTTTTTTATTAGTCTATGTCATCATAGTATCTTGTTGGAAATTGTTATTGTAACACAGAACAATATTCTGTCTTGTTAGAAAGTGACAGACTGCATGTATGTTTCTAATATTTACACAGTTAGTCTTGTAACCTACGAATGTGTCTGTGTACCATAAAGAAAGGTTTTAAAGGTCCATAAGAAAGCCTTTCATAAAGAAAGGTAAAGCTGGAAATGGACAAAAAAAGTTACCTCTAGTTATCTGGCTTGTTAATGTACTTTGTATGTCTTGTTGTAACAAAATCGGTTTAGTAATTACAATCTGAACTTGCTTTTATTACTCCTATACGAATGCAGCTTGTAGGGACCTGTCTGCTCTAATCACTACAACTGATTTAGTTACTTAACCAGTTGGTTGTATATTTAATATTTTTACTCTAATGAAATAGTGCTGATTAGTATTTTGTATTCACACAAATATTAATAATAAAAAAAAGTTGCATCTATTATTTAAAAGAGAAACACGCAAGTTTCTTTCTCTTTTGTCTTGTGCCGAGACAGCTTTCTAAAAGATTGGTAGAATAAAAAAATATGTCTAACTATTCAAGTGCTTAAATTTAAGTTTATTTGAATAAAGAATTTTCTATTCTATTAGGAATAGAATTAGATTCAATAAAAAATCTGTTTATTTTTCTATTCTTATAAATTTCAATTGTTTTATTTTCAGATGGTCGTTGGTACAAATAACGGCCATAGCGGCGACAGCAACACTGCAAGTGTATTTTGTAAGAAAACTATTTGACGTGAAGGAGAATTCTTCCAAGACCAGAATATGATTTGAACTGCATCTTTAACAAGATCATCTATGAATTGTTATCTCGCCAATCAAGTGACTGAATTTATAAATTCCATTTTGTTCTCTACTTACTTTCTCTAATTGAATCTTGCGATCTCTTTATTAATGACTCATGTATGAGCTTGTGATTGAAGCATAATATTAAGGGATACGGAATAATGAAAAGACATTTTATAAGGTACACAATAAAAATCAATTTGTCAGTGTTATGTTTAAGTAGACGATGTTTTTATGTTTATAAGTTGTATAAATATTTTTGCTTCAAGTAATCTTTGTTATGTGATATTGGTTTCTATTTAGGCGCATCCACAGCGAGACATTCTGTCAGAATTCAAACAAATATAAAATATTATTAAAGCAGACTTAGTATGAAACATCTTTTGTATATGTACATCTGTCTCACCTATTTCAGTCGCTAAACCGCTAAGGGTAGTGAATTTAAAAATTAAGAAAAAGTACAAAGGAAAGCGGGTTCGGAAGGCATGACATCTTAGTCCTCCTAAATGGCAACGCGTGACTACCATAGGTGACTGCCTTGTGTCCATAGTTTATACTCATTCTTCTAACGACGAGTCTTCATTCCGAATGAGTGCTAGAAAAAAAAAGAAAGTTTGTTTTAATAAAGATTATTTTAATTTCATGTATATAGGCTATGATTTCTACTTATCAGGTGGACTGTAAGCTTATCTGTCATTCCAGTTTCGTTAAAAAATCACTGAAAAATGCTTTATAATATTTGTTTTAATTTGTTTTGTTATATTTGTTAGTTCTTGAGTCGTCTTTCTATATACAGTTGTATATAGACATTGTTATTTATAACTTGTTTCTATCAACTAGAAATTTAATAATTTCTGCATTCCATTATTGGTATATTATGTGGCCACAGACGATTGAACTATCACGTAACCATTGATTCGACACCATTCCAAATATATATCTATTGGTGTTAAAGAGATAAAAATGAGCTCTTATGTCGCGTGTGATGTCCTATTTTCAATCGTAAGTATATTACCAACCTTTACGATCGCTCACTCTTGGGCTGCATTTTGCATTTTTAGTATTCTCTCGTTTCAATGGCAGAATTATGCAAGACATTCTTAATAATAAACTATTTCGCATTACGGAAATAAAATGTTGTGGATTTCGACTTTAAAGTTTTAGCTATAAAGTCGATTTCTCAATGGTTACATATTTTTGAGGTTGATGAAGTTTCTAGTGTTTGCATCACTGTTTACTACTATACTTTGGCTTTGTCCGAAACCTGATGGCGTGCATTTAAAAAGATTGCTTTTATTTTTTTAAGCTGCTTCCTATGTGGTACCAGTTGTATCATTATACTATACTGCTTTCTGATTTCCATCGCCAAACTACTCAGATTCTGTTTAGTACCTACAAATTGTTGAGATCATACTGTCTGAACTCTGAGATTGACATTTCAATGATCTGAATAATTAAATAATAAGCAAATCGTCTGATCTTCAAGCGTTTCGAATTATTTTTTCCTATATTCATAAGCATATTTTTTTATTTATATACACAATTCGATTTAATGTTGCTAATTTTTTCTATGACAATTTTTTACCTGTGTTGAAATTAGATAGTAATTTAATTTGTACTATGATCAAGATGTACTGAAATATAGAGTACTTATGTAATGTTTATGACTGTTTTTTTTTTCGTCATTCTAGTTATATTTAAAACTTCTATTATAACCCTAATATTGTTAATAACCGAAAATAATAAGCAGGATGTTCGTTTGTTATTACCTTTTCACAAATAAACAGCTAATAATATGTTATTATTATAACCCTCTTCTTCCAAACTTCCGCAAGCCGTTTAAGAATATTAAATTTGTATGGCTACTAGCTGTGCACGCGACTCGTCCGCAGATTATAGTGACTGACCTAATAAACAATAAATATTCCATAATCTAAACCAAAAATGGCAATTGCATCCCCTATTTTATTTAACCCCCTTTAAGAGTATTTTTTTTACAAACTTTGAATGTCATGGTTATTTATATTTAATCAATACCCTTAAAAATAAGTTTCAAGGGAAAAAAGGGTTTTATGGGGTTGAAAGTGGGGATGAAAGATTGTATGCTCCAAAATAGCCTATGTCCTTTCTCAGGGTCTAGACTATCTGTGTACCAAATTTCATTTAAATCGGTACAGTAGTTTTGACGTTAAAGCGAGACAGACAGACAGAGTTACTTTCACATTTATAATATTATTAGTAATTAGTATTAGTATAATTACTAAGGAAGTAAGGATTTGATCAACAGCCTCAAAACTAAGTTTCATCGTTCTAGCTTCAAAAATGACCTATTTCCATACAAACTTTCATTCACCGTTTTATTTCACACCTTTAAAGATAATATTTTTACAAACTTTGAATGTCATATATTTATATTTACTCAACATCCTAAAAAATTAGGTTAAAACTTCTAACTATAAAAATGTCAATACTTCCATACAACCTAGTTACGATCCGAAAAATTACTTTAAATAAATGTAATATAAAATCGGTGTACATTGTGTGAACATAAATATTCTTCTGATTTTTTCGGAATTGGTTTCACGACAGATATACGCTACGACTCAGGAAATGTTTTTCAAAAATTCAAAATTCAAATACATTAATTCATGTAGGACATTTTAGCCGCTTATGAATGTCAAGTTTTTACATATGTCCTCTTTCAACCCCTTACAATCCTTTTTTCGCATTTAGTACCCTATGTCCTTTCCTCAGGGTCTAGACTATTTGTGTACCAAATAAGAGATGGAGAGACGGAGTCCAGTTCATGATTCTACAAGACATTTGTTTTGGTATACCATTTACGACTCACCCTGTACAAGACATATGTACCTTAACGACTCTTTATCGCACACAGGAGGACAGGAAAATAAATAAGAGACATTATTAAATACACATTTATTATATTTAATAATACATAATTATAAATTCATATAACCTATTAATATTAGTTATCGTCACATATTTGAAAAGTATCTACACAACAAAATAATTTACTTAAGTACATACATACAATTTAATTTTTCGTAATTATAAAGTATATTTATATATAATAATCTGAGTTTTCGGAATGTTTTATATTATACATTTTAGAGTAATAACGGGCATAATTAAAAAAATTTAAAACATGCAAAATGCTTGACTTTCCGCTTTATCATGACTAGGTAAATTTCCAAACGTCGCGGTAAGTGAGGTCTAATACTAAGGGAATATATGGATAACGTCACTTAACTATGCACAAGTAATGTTGCTCTAAAACGATAAATTACTCTGTACAAATAATTAATGCGAATCTCATACGTAACTGTACATTCCACAATAAAACATAGATAATGTAATACATTTTCTTAACTCTTTGAGAGATAAAATTAAACACTAAAATCATCTTGTGTATCGACGTAACGAGCACCTCTATATAACATTAAGGTGCAATAATCCTCTAAGAGAACCGCACTCATAAATTGTTACAAAAATATTTTTTGCGAGTAAAGTTCTAATAAAAATAAGGCAGTGCAGGACGGACGTTAAAAGTTAAGCGTTGCTCCGCGGTGGTAGCGAAGCTCCGTGCAATCGGTAACAAGAGATACACTAGTACCTAATCTACATACTGATAACGTATTTAAATGATATTTTCTGCTTATTTACAAACCTTAAAAATGTGATGTAATATGAATACGCGTAAAGAACTTCGCGTATTGAGATTGAGTCTTGAGTCATTTTTGCTTTTTGTTTATTGGCAAGTAGCAAAACTTTCGCTGCGACATCGTTTGTGAGATTCCATTGTATAACACATTTAGGGCCGTCCTTGATGTTAGTGTGCCGCTCGGGACCGTTCACGTAGGCGGGGAGTTCATATGTAGTGATACAGTGGTGAGGAGTCAGTGCAGACGCCGCTTGTGGCCGCCGTAGGAGGAGGAGAGCGCGAGGAGCCTGTACCGCTGGCGGAGGTGTCTCGCGCGCACGTGCGCGGACGCGATCTCTGCAGTGTACGAGCCCGGGAACCAGCCCGCTTCGCCATCTCGTGTCCGTTCGCCATAGTACCAACCTAAGAATAATATTTTTTGTTGTTATTACATTTGTCTATGTGGTTTTTGCCAGTCGGTAATCGAAGATGTTAGCTAGGCTGAATTTACACCCGTAAGTTTTGGTCATATCATCAACTTAACATACATTCATTACAGTAATACAACAGTCATGTTTTTATGCATTTCACATAATTCGACTTTGACCGATCCCCCGTCCAATTAAAACGGGGATCGAAATTACGACTAAGTTGTCTTCGGCCGCTCCATAAGTCATTTCGCGGGTTTAGAATGCCATTTGCACTCGTGGGCGTGTATCTTCGGTATTATTATTGTTAGACAGTATCGTTCGGTGAAGCTGCGGCCAACAGCACCAGAATATTTAAAAAAAAAGATGTAGTTAAAGTTTCGTTCACGTAATTTGAACATAAAGGCGATTATAGGCCTAACAAAGTACCTATATATATTTAAACGCATTTTTTTTCAAACTATACTCCACTACTCCAAACCAGCGAAAGGACTTATGGAGCAGCTGAAGGCCAACTCCCGCCGGACGGATACGACTTCAGTCTGAGGGCACCGCTAGGGGTTCGGGCCATCGTAATTTCGATCCCCGTTTGCATCGGACGGGGACCGATGGGAGAGTTGACGTACCCTCCCCGGTCTTCCTGGTGACGTTGACGACGTCTCCCTCCGCGAGCTGCAGCTCGTCGGGCTGCGCGGGCGCGTAGGCGTAGAGCGCGGCGACCTGCGGGCAGTCCCAGCCCGCGTACAGCGCCTCGCCCGGGGCCGCCGCCGCCGGCGCCAGCGCCTCCGCCCACCGCCGGCACGCAGTCTCCGACGGACACGACGCCAGCTGACGGCCACGGATTCATTTATATCTACACTTTACTGCACCAGATACCTCCAGGGGAAGAGATCTATTTACTGCACTAGATACTGCCAGGGGAAGAGAATCATTTACATCGACACTTTTTTTCTGGCTCCGGCGATTTGTGTTGCCACTAGCCCGTTTCTAGTTTTTTTTTAAAGTGGGGTAATCGACGCGTATTAAAAAAGTAGCAATTTAGAAACAGGAGAATTGGAAATTGTTAGGAAAAATATACATTTATATACTTTTCTGCGCACAAGACATAAAAATATTTATTAATATTAGAATATGTATATACAAAAGGCGATCTTACTAAGCAAACTCTTGTATGATTTACTTACATCTTTATATGATGACTTTTGGGGAGAAGGGAATTGTTAGTAATGTACCATGTACATTAACGCATGGCATGCACCTCTTTATTATCACCTATTAAAAAAATATAAACAAACTTTATTTATAAGACATGACAGTCTCAGTAGTCTAGTGATTTAGCAGACTGTCTTACTTGCAATGGTCGCGGCTTCTATTCCTGGCTCGGTACAAATTGTAATTAGAAATATAATTGTTAGTATCGGCTTGGGTGTTTATGTATATTATGTGTGGTAACTGTAGAGCGTACTGACCATCTCGACGGTGCATCCGTCGTGGTTCTCGAGCAGCGTGAGCAGCAGCGGGTACTTGGCTGCGCCGGTGGCCTCGCCCGCCGACACCTCCAGCAGCGAGCGCGGGCAGTGGTCGATGCCCAGGTACGAGTCCTCGCTGTGCACACAACACACAAACATACTTTTATACGCCTCTCTCACCACCTAAGGCAGCCCCTATTGCCAACTTTGTATGTTATTTTTTTTAATTTTTATTATTTGTAACTCGTGTTGTGTTGGCATTATCTAGCTAGTATTGGCATTAGCTAGTTGTAGGATTATCTTAGCCATTGCTAGTCTATTCTCTAGTGCAAACACAGTTTCAGTTATTATTCATTATTAATTTATGAGTCAGACAGTAATAGTTATTTTTCTAATAGTAAAATAGTACTAACCCTGTCTTCTTGGTGATTACGAGGATGTCATTAAAGAGAAACACGTAGAGCGGCACCTTGTGGAACTTCTTGCCGAAGGTAAGTTTGGACTCGTCTGATTTCCACACTATCTGCGTCATTTCGCCTGAGCGCACCAGCCACCGGACAGGTCTGAGGAGAGGCGACATTATGTTACAATTTGATATGCGTGACATTTTTTTAATGTATGGAGTGTAAACCTTTTCACAGCGTCCATAAGCTATGTTAATATTTTAACATCAAATGGGCTCTTTTTTATACCATTATAATCAGCAAGGATGATATCCTTGCTGGCCATAAAAAACTAACATCTAAAAGAAGTCGCAAAGAATGATGAAAGGAAAAACGGTAATAATAATTTCTAAGTTATGTGTTCATTTATAGAATTCTCCACATGAAATTCCCGTGTATCCTTGCGAGCGAGAGAGCAGTATAGAGTGTGAGGGAGAGCGTCGATATATATTTGTCGATTTCATTGCAATTTTATTTCAAATTATTATTATTATTTATACTTATTTCAAAGTAATGACCAGTTAATTCTAGTTATTAACGTCGGGATAATTATCTCGAATTCGGATCTGCCGGAAGGTGCTGCTTCCCTGGTAAGAAAGAGAGCAGTATAGAGTTAGAGCGAGTGCGACGGTACCTGCGGTCACGGCGGCCGCAGGCTGTTGCTAGTTGCGCATCCCCTGGTAAGAAAGAGAGCGGTATAGAGTTAGAGCGAGTGCGACGGTACCTGCGGTCACGGCGGCCGCAGGCTGTTGCTAGTTGCGCATCCCCTGGTAAGAAAGAGAGCGGTATAGAGTTAGAGCGAGTGCGACGGTACCTGCGGTCACGGCGGCCGCAGGCTGTTGCTAGTTGCGCATCCCCTGGTAAGAAAGAGAGCGGTATAGAGTTAGAGCGAGTGCGACGGTACCTGCGGTCACGGCGGCCGCAGGCTGTTGCTAGTTGCGCATCCCCTGGTAAGAAAGAGAGCGGTATAGAGTTAGAGCGAGTGCGACGGTACCTGCGGTCACGGCGGCCGCAGGCTGTTGCTAGTTGCGCATCCCCTGGTAAGAAAGAGAGCGGTATAGAGTTAGAGCGAGTGCGACGGTACCTGCGGTCACGGCGGCCGCAGGCTGTTGCTAGTTGCGCATCCCCTGGTAAGAAAGAGAGCGGTATAGAGTTAGAGCGAGTGCGACGGTACCTGCGGTCACGGCGGCCGCAGGCGGGCGCGAGCTGCGGCGGCGAGCGGACGTGCGGCGCGAACTGCAGCATGCGCGACACTCGGAACATCTCCTCGATGCGCTCCGTGTTGCGAGCACCCTCGTTGCACTGCGACACGAACTGCACGAGACATTTATCTATATATTAAACTGTCTATGCGTATCAGCCTCCTCAAGGGAAACCAGTGCTGTGCTAAACTGGTCTAATTTAGCAATATGATGATAATTACGATAGTAACAAGTCATGGAAAACAAGATGAACTCAGCATAAATAAATATATGGCCAGCTAATCTATTGGGATTAAATCGCAAGATGGAAGAATTATTTGTTATTAAAATTCGAAGAATGTGTATTTTTATTATTTTGGGATGCAAAATTAAATCAATATTTGTATAATAAAATGACTTGTATTAAGATTGCCTATAGCGTTAAGACTACCTTTTGTACTTATGTATGTTTTATTTATTGTATTAAATAAAATGTACATAATATATGGATGGATATTTGTTACTCTTTCACGCAAAAACTACTAAACGTATTTTGATGAAACTTTGCAGGAATATAGCTTATATATCAGAATAAAATATAGGCTATAAATATAATGCGGGTGAAACCGCGGGCACATCTAGTAATTTGTATAATTGAGATGGGCCGTCTGTACTAACGTGGTATATTAAAAAAAAAAAGCTTACGTTATTGAGTGTGGCGAGTGCGTGCATGCAAGCCTGGTACTCTTGGTCCTCCGCGTGCAGGTTCTTGAGGACTGCGTCGAGGAGCAGCGGCAGCCGGGTCACTCGCTGCATCGGCAGCATCAGGAACGAATGCAGCGACAGGCTCTGACACGCCGGGTGACTTTCCAATCTGGACCATATCGAATCCAAATTAAATGATTTATTTTTAGGTAATTATATATACTTGTATATCAATCATACGTATTGACACCGAAATATATATAAATATTTAATACAATACAGTTTAGATTGCACCTATAAATTTAACACGCAATTTAAAACTTCATGCCACTTTTAGTTATTGTCAGTTGATTGTGTATTCAATATTTTGACTCTAATGAATTAGTGCTAATTGGTAGTTTGTATTCAAACGTTGTTGTGTTGTGATGAAACATCTTTCCTAATTAGATTATAGAATAAAATAAATAAAATAGTCAAAAGTGCAAGTTTATTTGAATAAATAATTTCCTATTCTATTCTATTGACAACTGTAACAACATTTTTACAAGCAAGTTGTAGTTTTACAGGTCCAAATCAGATCTGAGATCGCTAGGAACATAATAAGTGTAACATCAACTTACTTCTTGAGTGTTGAGCTAAAACCAGGCTGCTCCCTCAGCCGCTGCAGCGCTTTCACCATTAACGCTTGATTTTCACAGTATTTGACGTAAACGTGGAAGTGTTCCTCGGCGTGCTGGAGAACAATATCACAGATGCCTTGCAGCAGAATGTTTTCTTGCCAGCACTTCTCCAGCTCGTTCATAAGGCGTTGTGAACACTTGCGCACTGGGAATAGTCACAGAGCATTTAATATTAGGTTTTATAGTTAGATCCATCGTTAAAAATAAATGTAGCCTAAGTTACTCTTTATAACATTAGTTATCTGCGAGTCAAAGTTCCGTTAAAATCGGTCCAGCCCTTTCAGAAATTAGGAGGACCAAACGATCAGACAGTGACTTTATTTCATTTAGGTATTTGAATTACCAATTTCACGGTTGCAGATAATTTCATGAGCAAATAGAAAGAAGATTGAAGTTCTTTCTAATCGTAAAGATCTTAGAGTAATGTGGTGGCTATGAATGGTGATAATTATACTGATATTACGGCCTCGGTGGTCTAGCGGTTTAGAATGCATTTTTACTTCCGATGGTCGTGGGTTCGATTCCTACCACAAACATTTGTATTCATGAGTATGATTGTTTGTATCGGTTTGGGTCTTTTATTTATATTATGTATGTATTTACAAAAGAATGTATATCTATGCATTTGTATAACTTGTCTAGTACTCATAACACAAGCTCTAGCTAGCTTAGCTTGGGACTAGATGGCGCTGTGTGGATTGTCCTAAGATATTATTATTATATTAATCAAGTTACCATCATTAGAACCGATTTTAATGCGTCATTAGACTCAGGTTCTTCCTAAGATATTTTAGCATAGTATGATTATGTTCTGAATATTATTGGTGACACATTCATTTATGACTCACGCGGATAAGTAACGTAAAGAGTAATAAATACAATATAAATAATTATTACACAGAATATAATATTGTAAATAATTAATTTATATATTGATCTTTATTGTTAAAGAAACGTATTAATATGTAGATATCAAACAAAAGCTAAGTGGTTTAAAATTTGTTTGATTAATAATTTCTGATTATGGACGATTTCGATGGTCCAGCGGTTTACTACTTGCTTCTAATGGTCGCAGGTTCGATTACTAGTTTTGTATTTTGACTACGGTTATTTATATTGGTCTGGGTGTTTTCTATGTATATGTATGTAGTTATAAAAATAATGTATTGAAGTATTCCTATCCGTTGTCTAGTACCCATAAGACAAGTTCTGCTTAGGTTGGGACTAGATGGCGCTATGCCAATTGTTTTTGGTTATTGTTATAGTTATATACAGCGTCAGTTATAAAAGCATTTAGAAAGTAAGGACAATCATAATTATGCGTCTTCATATAAATTTTAAGATGTGCCCTACGCCAGTTGCCTTAGGGTTTTTCACAGCATATCCTAGCTTAATATCTCAGTAGGTGTTTCAAACCTTTCCTAGGGCAAGAATTATAGCCTAGTAAGGTAGGATGAGTCTTGCACCAGATCTCTTTGAAGGAGATTTTTACAGTATCTTCTAGCCTAAGACTTCGATAGGTGTTTTAACCCTTCCCTACACGACGTCACGAGTTATAGCCTAGTGTGGTAGGATGTGCCTTAAGGATTTTTAGAGTATCGCCTAAGACATCAGTAGATGTTTTAATCCTGCCCTAGGCCAAGAGTTATAGCCTAGTGTGGTAGGCGGTGTACCTTACACCAGATGCCTTTGAAGGAGGATGTTTACAGTACCTCCTAGCCTAACACATCAGTAGGTTAACCCTAGGTTGTACCTCCTATAACCCTTCCCTAGGCCAAGAGTTATAGCCTATTGTGGTAGGATGAAGTGGTTAATTACCACAACCATTTAAAAAGCTTATCCAATTATCAATAAAAACTAATTGTTTTTTAATAACACGACAACACGGCGACGACAACCGTCGCGACGCCGACGTAAGACTAATCACTTCAAAGTACTTTTTCATTACATGTCTAATTTTCTTTCGTATCTCGAATAAGGCAACATTAATTCATGCATAGGATGCTCAGTCAATCACTTATAGAAGTGATTGACTGAGTAACTGATCTTCCAAATGAAATAAAAAAAATAACATATGTAAGTACTAGCTACTTATGTTATTTTTTTTAAGTGTAGGGATAGAGACGTTCATAAGAGGCCGAAAGATTCTATATTAATATTTTGAAGATTGATATACATTGTCGTAGTAAATAGTAATAATAATAATAATATCGACGATACATACAACGCCATCTGGTTCCAAGTTAATGGAGCTTGCTGTACTAGAAAATTAATATGAATACTTACATACTTTTTTGTATATACATACATATTAAATACACAGTACAAAAGACAGAGACAGAAAGAGGTTCACCTGGCAGTATTGTGGAGAAGAGGGTGTCGAAGTCTTCAGCGGGCAGTATTTGTGTGTCCCGGAAGGCGGGGTGGGAGATGAAGTGCGCCTCCAACACGTTTAGCGAGTTAAGGTACGACGCTTCCGACGTTAGCAGTTCAAACTTCGCTTCTTGGAGACGCTTCTGCGCCGGCGCGAGGGAACCTGTGCGTATTATTATTGTTTAGAAAGGCAAAAAGTTTTGCTTTTGTTTAATAACATCTTTCAATAGAATGGTATTCAGGGCCTGATTAACCATTTCGGGACCACGTCCTGTTTAAGTGTTGAAAAGAGATCGTCTAATGATATTCTAAATTAATATAATTGCATCGAAAATACAATTAATAAGACTCTAAGATTATTTTTTAATGAAACATTTTATTGTTGTTAATAACATTCTACGTGTGCGGGGTCCCTAACCATTGCGGGATTTCTCCTGTCCCATAGAGTTGCTTATTTTGCCTAATTGTTAATTATGCCCTGACTACATTCCTAATTAATTATTTTCAAGTTCTTTATCCGTTTATCTGCTCAAACCGTATTCGCTTACAGTAGTTTTTATATACCATGGCTGTCTGTAATAGACTTACATGAATAGAAATATTTTTATAAATATAATCCCTGATTATTCGTATTATAAAATTCTCGTAGAAACCAAATCTCGTGTCTAAAACCTAACATAAAGACAAAATGACTAAAAACTCAGAAATCCTTATCGATGTCTTCGTTACTTATTAGTATAACCCTCTTCTAGTCGTATCAACAGATTGAGAGTGGATTAACTATATAAGATAGTTACTAACATTTATTTTTAAACTAGTTAAAATCTGCAATTAGTATCATAATTACAATAGTTACATATTTCATGCTCTTTGCGCTTTTTATTGGATTTCTTAGATTATAACATAATAGTATTATAGTATAAGGTAAAAGTTTGGTCAAGATATTGTAATATATTGCATAAAATTCATTTTGAAGATTTCAGGGCATACTAACAAGTGATAAACTAATCTAGTCTTCAGTGATAGTTATATGTAATTTCCCAATCACAACCACTTAAAAGCAATTCAGAATCTATCGATACAATGATGCGGAGTGAATAAAATGACCTTGCATTAGATGGATCGCCACAGAATTGGTGCACGACAGTGAGCACTGACGTAATTTTAATTTTTAGCATCAAGCGGCAATAAACATAGCAACTTAGTGTATTATTCCAATTACAGTAAGTTGATTTTAGCACCAATAGGCATTTTCTGAAGTTTAATGACAATTGCGTATGCATGTAATATGTATCTATAATCCACCTATATTGTATACCTTTCTACATGATTGCTAATTAGGTAGGTACAGGATATATTTCTCCTCGAACGTATCTGCGTATTTTCGGATTTAGAAAAATCTTTATTTGACCTTTTTACTCTTTGTGGCACTAAATATTTGTGCTAATGGTGGGACAAGAAATTAAATAAAAGAATATACATTAAGTAATTTCAGTTTGACCCCCTCGGATCGATGCCCCTTCCAATTCAAATGGGGATTCAAATTACGACAGCCTGAGCCGAGGTTCGAACCCCTAGTGGTACCCTCAAACTAAAGTCATATCCGTCAGTTGGTCTTCACCCGCTCCATAAGTCCTTCCGCGGGTTTGGAGTGCCATCTGCACTCGTCCCCTATCGTTCGGCGAAGCTATAAAGGCCAGGTGTAGCCAACAGCATTAGAGTAGTCCGAAAAAAAATAGTTTAATACTCACTTAGTACAGTGGAGTTGACGACCTCGGGTACCTCGCACCAGAGGGTGCGAGCGGGTCCCCGCGGCGCTACTAGTGCCATGGCGGATGGTCGTGCGTTCGGTGCCGTTCCCGTGCTCGCGTCCGCTGGCGTTTCCGCGCCCGCTTCCGCTCCTGCGCTCACCTCGTACGCGTCCGAATCCGAGTCGCCCGTCTCACGACACACAGACTGTAGGATTGCAATGTTTTATTATAAAGAGGTTCATCTCTACATAAACCTCTTTATAATAGATAAATACTAATAATAATGCCATGAACAATTCACACGTCGTCTAGTCTTAAGCTAAGCAGAGTTTGTGTTATGGGTACTAGTACCCACTTGTCTAGACAAGTGATAGATATTGAGTATGTTTGGAACTTTGGATCTAACTTGGCACAATAACTTTGAAAGATTTAATAATCTACTAGAAATCTAAATTTAGAATCAAAGTAGGTGAAATATCTACTAAATTAACAACAGCGTTTGACCTAAATTATAACTAAATAATATGTTTTAACGAAACGTAGCACACATATGTGCCTGTCCGTGAATCCTACATTCGGCCCCGAGCAAGGTTGCGGCTCAATTGTAACTAATTAACGTTGTATACCTAATGATCATTAACGCAAGCGTAAACAACCAAAAGTAGTAAATAACAGATATTTTAAATATAATATATCTTACTTGTTACTAATATTATAAACGCGAAAGTTTGGAAGTATAGATGGATGGATGGATCTTTGTTACTCTTTCATGCAAAAACTACTCATCTAATTTTGCTTATACATATAGGCTATAATTTAAATGGCTATTATTGATCACCTGTCTTATTCTAATAGGGATGGAAATTACGATAGCCTGAGCGGAGGTTAGAGAGAACCTCTGCGGCGTTGCGGTAAAATTGTAACTACCTGATTTGTGTGATCTGTATTCAGATCCGTATCCACGGATCTACGTTTTTGACGATCCGGTACATCACTAACAATTACTAGCGTGACTTGTGCGTTCTCTTACTTTAATTTTTGTTTTTCTCACTCTACAACAGAAGCACAACCTTCAAAGCAAATTGCTTAGCTGCTGAAATAGGTGACACTGAGGTACCATGCAGAGTTCTTTGTAGTCTACCTAGATACGTGATTATAACAGTACGTACCTCTACTTTGGCCGCGTTGTAGAACTGATAGAGTGGTTCGTGAGTGAACAACGAGTGCGGCAGCGGCGACGCAGGATGCGAGCCTGATGACGCCCCTGATGACGTCGAAATGTTGCCCGCTTGGTATAAACCTGCCTCCGCGTACCTGACAACAAAGTGGGTTTTTTTATTGAAGATAATGGAATACATCTACTTGCGCTCTGTCTGCCTGCTGTGTAATGGAATAAGCTGGCGGGGCACCAGTGGAGGATGATAGGATACGGATGAAGTCAGGCCAGTTAACTCATCCTGGTGAGGACTAAACCATGATAAGTTCCAGTGGACGAGCTTGGTAGCACATCTGTGGGGACATGTGGCTCTATCACTAACAATGTAGTAGTATCTATTCGGTAACCTTTGTTAGTAATATCTATTCAGTAATTTGTATTCAACAAATGTTAAGTTAATAATGTAAAGTCACAACATTTGAAGAGTAACACGTAAGTTTCTTGCTCGTTCTTCTTGTGAGGAAACAAATTTCCAAATACGTGATAGATATAAAAAATTATGACTATTCAAAAGTGACTCTTTGCGATGATCTCTAGATCTTTATGGATGACTAGTTTTACTCGGAGCTGCTTGCAGGAATTCGGATAAAAAGTATCAAATTATAGACCTCATGGGAACGAAGCCGCTGGCAGTAGTATTTCTATCTTGCTACGAATTTGTATTTTGTTCCGGTGGTTTTTATTTATCAAGCTAACATATGTAGACCAACCGTTACGGTCAGCACGATCAAATTGTATAATGGAGTACAGGTACTTTTAGACCAACATATACATGTATAATATTATTATAATTATATAACAATGGCGTTAGCGCATAATAGTAAGTATTATTATATTTATAACTAGCTGTTACACGAGACTTTTTCCGCGTGAAATTAAAATAAAAAAATTTACTAAAGAGTCAAGTCAAAGAAAAAGTCCTTAGCGAAAGCGAGTAAAAGTGCCATCGACAACTGTTTAAGAGATCAGCAAGAACAAAGAGACATACAGTCAAAATTTTTAAAGTATTTTCTGTGAAATACTGTTAATTTGAAATTATAACCAGAGCCGTCTATTTTATTTATTTGTTTAGACTAGTTGTGTATGCGATTCAATCTCTAAATAATCTCACTTCTATCTATATACATCAACCATAATAATGGTGAAATATTTTTTTTGTCTTTTTAAAGCTATAGGAATGTTGAAATATTCCGCGAAAATTCATCTTAAATCCTTCGGCCGTTTTTCTGTGATATAATAAAAAAGAAACAGACAGACAGTCTACATTTCGTCAAAAAAATTTCAATTTTAATATACGTAAATATTTTATGTTATTATGCTGATTGATACATTAAAAGGTCCATGAATTCCGGAGATAATGTTATAAAATGCATATTAATATTCATTAAACTGTTATCTAAGTACTAAGGTACATACTCAAGCGGTAATATAAACAGCGGAAGTGTTCCAGTAAAGTAATCAACAATAGGAAAAATAGGTGCCCTCGGTGGTTTAGCGGTTTAGTACACCGCAGCAGTTACGATGGTCGCGAGTTCGGTTCCTGGCATGGTATAATTATTTGTATTCAAGACTATGAATGTATCGGTCTGGGTGTTTTCTATGTATATCATGTATTTACAAAAAAACTCTTTATATCACAAGCTTTGTTTAGCTTGGGATTAAATAGAGCAATGTGAATTGTTAAAAAAAACAACTACCAAAAGCGGCTTTTTTCGTGTCCGCAAAAGCCTCTTTTGATAGCCTCATTTGGAAATATAGTCGTGAAGGTATGTTTATAAAAAGTATGTTTTATTTGTTGATACATATTTCTGAAATTTAGAAAATAACTAATTTCGTAAATTAACTATCCAATGAGATTTGTATCTTATATTAATTAAAGTGCCGCGCTCTTGTCGGCGGAGTTCTTACCATTTTCCATGGTCTTCTATCAATGACAGTGTACCCACTGTGATTTTCATGTTAATTTTTTTTATAATACCTTTTTTATAATCTGGAAAATCTTCTAAAGACCGTCCCCCTGTCAGGTGACGACGTGGTGTGTGAAATTCTTACCCACTAAATAACCACACGTTGTACCTACGAATACGAGATAGCATCCTATTGGGACTCCAGCGGCGTTAGTCCGCCCTTAAGATGGTGCATCTCGTAGTGTATAATAATGTAATGGCGCTCCTACACTGACGGTATACGCGGGCGAGGCACTAGTGGAGGAGCATAAAATGATCATGAGGTCAGGTCAGTTAACCCATCGTGACAGATTCATCTGGTTTTTATTATCAGGTCAACCTCATATGGTACATTGATATGAATGGGGTCATCAATCCACAATACTAACAATCAGAGGGAAAGAGGATAGTTAGTAATTTATTTATTTTATTTATTAATTTATTTCAGGCAACTAGGCCCATATTATAAATACCTTATAGACTAACATACATATAGTATAATATTTATAAACGAACATTACCCCATTACTAGCAATGTACCATGTCAGGTTGACCTCCATGCCGTTCTTCCTGTAAACGATCGTGATAAATTCTTGGTGAATTTGTCACAATGGGCTATCTGACCTGACCTCATGCTCATCTTATCATCCTCCACTGGTGTCCCCACCAGCGTAAACCGTTATCGCAGGCGGGTGCACCATTTCATTATCATCCATAAAAAATTACTAACAATCTCCTTTTGCCCCATTTCGTTGTTAGGACGACCTATTTCGCCCTACTCAATCGTGAAAGCTACCTAGCTTAGTGCATAAAACCAATTTGAATATTTAATCAATCAGTAATCTATCGTAATATGTATACCATGTCATGGTCATATAAGAAATAGGTCGAATGATTTATTGATTGGTCTATATGAAGGATATACAGAAAGACAGATTATTTAGCACATAGATCTATACATCTTTACATACAAATAAATTTGGAGTGTCTATTTGTAATATTGAAATAACCGCTTTTTTACTACATGCATATGAATATAAATATATATACACCAAAATAACATTTTTCAATTTTTGTCTGTCTGTCTGACGGTCTATTTGTTCCGGCTAATCTCTGATAAGGCTGGACCGATTTTGACGAGACTTTTTTTGGTAGCTGATGTAATAAGGAGTAACTTAGGCTACTTTTATTTTAGAAAAATAAAGTTAATTTCCACGCGGTCGAAGTCGCGGGCAGAGCTAGTTTGATATATAATTATGTAAATATCGATTTTACATAAATCTATATGTACTTTACGATAAACAATAAAAGACATAACAAATAGTCAGCTAGTGCATACCTAAAAAACCTCATGATTGTAATGTTGGGCACAATAGTCAGAGACATTGTTAACTCTCAACGTTGTGGGAAATTCACACTTAACATGTACATACTTATGACTCTGGGAACATTTCGATACAGCAAGGTAATCGACATATTTTCGATTGATTAGGTTTTTTAATCGGTGTTGCCATAAAAGAAAGAATTTTAGGCATATAAAATGCCACATTTTTTATAACTACCTTTGACATAAAAGCTAAGACTGTCGTGTGACTAATTCCTCAGAAATCTACTGTTGATGGTAGTTTTGTGCAGTATATAGCAGCCCCTAACATATCACTTTTTATCAAGGTCACTCATGTAAATTCCCACTCCCATTTATACTAATAAAAATAGATTGCGAATTTACAGCGACTCTTAGAATGATCAGCTAAAATCTTTTATTATTTGTAAGGTACATTAATCAGAAATATTTTAGAAGGTATCTCAAAGCAAAGACACGCACTGTATAAATACAGTCTAAATATATGTAGCTGTAACTAATATTACCACACATTACAAAAAATGTAACTAAAGTAAACAATAAATAATAAACAATAAATTGTTAATACAATCATTAAATATACATAAATCTGCCCACATTAATCTGTTTGCCCTGAGATTGAATGGGTAAAAATATCCCGCATGTGCGTCTTTATCTACTTGTGCATTAATGTTTTAATAAATAAAAAAAAATACTTAAAATTTACTAAAAAAAACTTTTCATAAAAAAAAACCTTATTATTTTGTACTTACAAATAAATTAAATTTTCAGCACTTCACAAAACACAATACAGCAACATTAATGTACTGTTTATCAATCAGAAAACAGTCATAAGTTGTGTCATCACTTTATTCCAGAAATACAAACTCGCACAGATAAAATAATAATATTACTTTTTATAACAAACACATGAGACCAACTTCCTACGTTGGAATTGAAAGCGACTGAAGGTTTGAACTGACTTGGTTGTTCGACTGAGCAACGTACATAATGTATCAGGCACACGAGTCATTTTAAGAGGAATAAGTCGTAAGCGTGTAGCGTTGTAATGTACGTAATGTTATATGGACTATATTCTCCGCATTTAGCCTGTCATTTGGGCCGTTGTGCTTATAGAGCCGAGACTACTAAAGTAGCCAGCCAAATTCCTCCCAGAAACGCAGAAGCCTCTTGTTGTTTTAACCGGCTTCCCGGAGCGACCTCAGTTCCCAGGATTTAATGTGTACCGTTAAGATATTCGTTGCTTTAGAATAGTTTTTTAGCGTTGTTTAAAAAAAGAGATTGACAAATATTCCAGTAACAGCTTCTTTTAGATGCATTTTGAAATGGGGTAGAAACGGAAAGCCGATTTAAATACATCATATTTACATTCTATACACGATATAGTAGAAAACTATAATGATATAAATCATTCTTTGATAGCTTCGTTCTTCGTTAATTTTTAGATAATTAGAACAGCAAAAAATACACTTGACGGGAAGTGGTAACCGTCGCCAATAAATGACAAGTACTACGACGACGACCTCGGTGGTCTAGCGGTCTAGCTTTACGTCCGATGGTCGCGGGTTCGATTCCTCGCACGGCACAAACATTTGTATTCATGAGTATGATTGTTTGTATCGGTCTGGGTATTTTCTATGTATAATATGTATGTATTAAAAAAAATATTTATGTATATGTATCAGTTATCTAGTACCCATAACACAAGCTTTAGCTAGCTTAACTTGGGTCTAGATGGCGCTGTGTGAATTGTCCTGAGATTATTATTACTACGGATATTACGATACTATGTGATGCCCGCGATACCACTCATGCGTTGCCATTCCTGAGGATTGAGATCTCATGTCTTATCCTGTAATTTAATTCCTTATCTCACTTCAAAAGACACATCTTACAAAGCAAGGTGACAGCTAAAATAGACTAAGAAATCTAAGCAAACGACTTTTTACAACCTCGGAAATGAATTTAAATATATATGCGTCACATTTAATGACTGTAATTAATAAAACTGTAAACATGTGTAATTTATGCTGTTTGTTTGAATTCCTCTAATATAATTTCATTTTTTTGTTGTTATCTAATTAAAATTTTATATTTATTGATTTTTATTATTTTAAGCTGTTTGGTTGTTTGTATTCATACAACATCATAAACATAAAGTTTTGTATGGAAGGAGTATCACACGTTGCCCATTATTTTCGTTTACATTTTTAATGTGGCGGTATTATAAGGCAATAAGGTTGGACTTTAAACTTATTTCAAAGCAATTCAAAAGTGCTATATTTGAATAAAAATAATAAATGTTTGTATACGGCAATAAGTTTATAACTTGGACTACAGCCTAACGGTTGGTACGAAAAACTGGCTTGTGAGTCATTGGTTCGTGGATAACGGCGGGTGTTGCGCGCGCGTACAGCCTTACTATGGGGGTATTACATTATTAAATATATTGGATTCAAATGTAAAAATTGCCAATATCACTAAAGATGTTTATATAATGTTCTAATAGTTTATTCAAAATAAAAGCCAAAAAATATTTTCCGATACGTACATTTTCATATTTTCTTTCACTTTTTTTTTGGAGAAGTAGTAATAAACAAGAAATAGAAGAACTGGCTGGAAACTCGTAGATATTTAAAAAAAATACTTATTACACAAAATATTTATTTAATATTAATAAAAACAGACAGACACAGCGTTACTAACAGACAATGTAACTAGTAGGTAGGTAGGTATAACTAATTGTGTCTTTTTAAGTTATTGTTTAACAACCAAGTTAATGAGTAATGTAATGACATTAAGTTATAATACCATTTTGGAATATCTAACCTATTTTTAGGCTATTTACTAAATATCAATTACAATGATATACAAATTTGTAAAAGTTTTACCCTTAAGGGGGTAAAATAAAATAGCAGATAAAAGGTTGTATGGAAATTCGTAAATTTTGAAGCTAGAACGATGTAACTTATTTCTTTAGCTTTTTATAATTAGCCCAAATAATTAAAAATGCTATCCAAGCTATCTAAGGTCAGGAAGTCGCTGGCACAGCTATCTGATTAATTAATATTATAAATGCGAAAGTTTGTAAGTATGGATGGATGTTTGTAGTCTTTCACGCAAAAACTACTAAACGGATTTTGATGAAACTTTACAGTAATATAGCTTATACATCAGAATAACATATAGGTTATAAATTTGTGATACGTATAACTATGTTACACTAAGTTGCAGATTACTTGACTCATTACGTCTGAATGTCGTACTACTTTGAGGCTTTTTTCTGTAGGAACGTAATCTACCTACTTTCTCAGGTACTTTTTCGATGTTTCAAACTATACCAGAAAGCTGTTTCTTGCGGTTTTATATGTCCCGTTCCCGTGCGTAATAGCGGGAAATATTTGTTCATGAAAGTCTGGGTTATGGTTATGACTCATGGAGTAGTGATTTACATGTTAGTGACTAGCAGCAAACACTGGCTTTAAACGGGTCATTACAGGCATCTCTATTTTTTTTTACCGGTACGAAACATCACACTCATGCATATAAATGTTAGAACTGTGTGAGGAATCCAACCCGCCGTCCGTCGCACGTAATATGGTGCTAAACTGCTGGACCATCGATGCCGTCAATTAAACACCAACAAATTCTTTATGGGAGAGTAATACAGAAGATTTTTTAAAATATTCAACATATTTAAAAAAATCTTCGATATTACTAACATAAAAAAGAAATTAAATCTTGTCTCTCCAGATAACACTATAGATATAGATTTTTTTTTATTTATGAAAATTAAAATAAATTGTATTAAAAAAATAGAAACTGACCAGGATGTAGGGGAGGTGTTGACAGAGGGCAACTAGATTTTTTTAATATATGCATATTTAAAGAAATGGCCAGTACTTTTTTTTAATAATATACATTTAAAAGTAAGTTATTAAAAAAATATAAACTCACCAGGATGCAGTGGAGGTGTTGACAGAAGGCATGTCGGCACCGCAGCCGGCGTACCACGACGTGCGCGTGCGCGGACCCTTGTCCTTCCGCGATAGGGTCGGCAGTAGACGCTTCAATTCTGTTTACACAATTACATAATTAACACACCAACCCTACCGTTAGTTAATATCTGTTTGTTTTCCCTCATCAGTTTCCTAAGATGGACTAATTGTCAGCTCATGCTCATCTTATCATCCCCACTGGTGTCCCTCCAGCGTATACCGTTAGCGCAGGGGGGTGCACCATTCAATATTATATTTATTATATTTGACATGAAACTGATTGTTTGGGGAAAGGGGATTGTTTGTAATGTCGTAATGACCCTATTGCTAGCAATGTACCATTTCAGATTGAAATTCACCCTGTTACCCTGGAAATCATTGTAATAAATTCCTGGTGAATTTGCCACGATGGGCTTACTGACCTGACCTCATGCTCGTCTTATCATCCCCCGCTGGTGTCCCGCCAGCGTTAGCGGTGCGGGTGCACTATACCCTAATGATCCATTAAAAAAAATATCAGCCTGTATTTTACTACTTAATTTGCGTGTCATAATTAGATATTCAAATAAGCAATTATGACGTCATAATCACTACACAATCAAGTATCAAATTACCGCCCTGATAATTACTGTAATGTATAAACTGATTCTCAAGGATACAAATCATTTACTAAGGGGATCAATTTATATGTTTTTTATTCCAACAATTCAGATTTTGTTTCATAAGAACGCAATTTTAATCTTGGTGCAATTACAAATATAATACATATCTTCTACTGTTGCCCACATGAAATACTTTGCTTGCTGATATTGCTGATACGATATCACTTATGGTTAAGTGAGAGGCTTATTAAAATCGGCTAAGTACTTTTACAGTTTATGTATTATAAACAGACATACAAATCAAATATTTCCTCTTTATAATTTAGTATAGATTAGTAACATTTATTAAACAAAACATATATATTAAATATTTTGTTAAGCCCCTTTTCTGAGGCATATAAAGTTATCTACAAAATTATGAACATGCCTTAATTTAAACATTTATAAATTGAAGTACACAGTAACTAATATGAGGACCCCTTCCGTAAAGATGGAAAATTAAATTGTCTGACATTTTACAAAGTAGGTTGTTTTTTTATAGTATAGGGGACAAGAGAAACATCGGTTCAGTTGATAGTGAGTGATTACCGCTGCTCATAACCATCTGCATCACTTGGAAAAGTGCGTTGTCGGCCTTTTAAATCGAAAATCTCTAAAATATCGTGTGAGAAGAACGGGGACGAGGTCGAAAAATACATAAAAATTACGTACGTTATTTATGAATGACAAAACTCAATTTAATTACTAAAATACGGAAAGCGTCCTCATATATCAGTGAGAGTTTGTTATGAACATTTATCTATTGAGTGCATCAAGTACATACATGCTCCGTTATTCGACTTTTGCTGTAGCGCTTGCACAGTATAGCACATTAAAATTTACACTTTTAATAATATTAAACATATAACTTACTAATCATATGAACCACACGCCACAGTTGTAAATATAATGAAATAAAACAATGAGACGTCTGTAATAGAACGCACAAGATGTGACTGTGCAAGTAAATGAGTACTAACAATACATTAATGACAATTATGTATGATTACATACTTTGTGTATGTAGTGTAGACTGGCAGGTTAATTATACAAGTTGCAATGGTGACGCATTCCATATACAAGACAAGGAAACGATCTGCAATTATCTCACTACGAGATATCAGTTGATAGGAACATGGGAACTATAATTTGCAGCCACAACCGATAAATAATTGAACAGTGAGAATCATAAGGCTAGCCGCGCATTATCAGTTATTTCTTACACAAAAGTATCACAGTGTGCGGTCGGCCTTATTGTGACATTGTGATTAAGTGTAACGTTATCAGCGGGTTTAAAATAGCCACTCTGGTGATTCATAATGGGATTACTAGTTTTTACAACACTATTAATGACTTTGTCATTCATAGAAAATCAGTCGCTATACGGAGCATATTTAGTAGGTAAATAACTATGCTATATCATTCTACATATATGAAATCTTTTTATTTTCGCTATTTTATCAATTTATAACTTGACAAAAAATAGACAATAATTTCTTCCAAAAATATATTTACTCTGTATGTCGACTTAACATTACAGAATACTTACAAATACTTCCATTGGTAAATAAATATAAATAATTTAAGAATACAACTATGAATCACTATAGAAAGCAATTTAAACCTCCAGAAGGCAACAAAGACAGTGCAAAACGTAGACATCCAGGTGAAGCTCTGAAAGAAGTGTTAACGACAATCATGCACCCCCCGCTTGGTACTACACCTATTCATATTTATTAGTGGCCAGTGGTCGAAATATGACCATAATAAAAAAATACAGAAAGATCTTTGAACCAACTATAACAAATAAACAAAAGAGTATATATGCGTGAGTGTATTGATTTAATGTTTATTTAATGCATAATTAAAGAAAATATTAGCAATATGTACTTCTTCTCTATATGTATAAACTATAAGTGTGCGAAATTTCCTACTTCTTGGTCCGCGCAATTTTCGTAAAACGGTGTACAAAGTTTTTGCTTCACGTATTAACATAATGATATTCCTGAGTAATTGTCAAATTTCATCTGAAAATATTAATAAGTAATCCTCCGATTTTATCCATTCTATACAATGTCTAAATCAGTTTTTGTTAATAAAATATATTTTTTATTTACTTTACATTATCTTAAGCTCTTTATAGTATAGTAATGTAGTAGTGTGAGATGAACTTCTTAACATTCCATGTATTCATGGTGCGGGAGTAGGATCCACCATGTGGCAGAGAGGGAAACTCCAAGCAATCCCTGAGACTATTCGGGTTATAAATATTCAGCAAAAATTGTAAATTTTCTATTATACCAAAACGAACTAAAACTCATAAATATTAGGAATAAATTTTTTTCTTGAAGCATAAAAAAAAATGTATAAAAAATAGGTGTGTGTAACCAAGCGGAGGCACTGACCTCTGTTTAGCGCTGTCTTCGCTATGTCCCATTTGTATTGAATCCCATAATTTTACCATATTAACGATCTACGGACAGACGTCAACTGCAATTATTCTTGTAATTAATAAAGATATAAAATTTATTTACAACAGCATTTCAAATTATAAAGTATTAGTTATTTTCATCACTTTTGGATTATTAATTTTGATAATAGATATATACATATAAATAATACAAGATTAAGTAAAGTTTGAGAGTCATTTTTATACATAAAAAAAAATTACAGTTGCTAAAAATATATTTAAATGAATAGAGATCTATTAACTACGTCTGAGGCTAGGACTAAGAGTATCAATAAAAAAAAGTGGAACAATAAACAACAGTAACGTTAGGTAATTCATTCAATTACAATATTTCAGTATTACGCATTATATACGTAGAATTATTTCCTTTGTAAAGTACAGACATTGGTGGGCGTACCACAAAATGGGTAATTCAGGGAAGAAGTCAATTGATGACGTCAATGAGGAGTGAATTGGACGTCGTAATCATTGTGACACGAATAACGTGAAACAAACATTTAAGAGGAACATACCAATATTTGAGGTAAAGGAAATATACAAATATACATATTTTCATATTTTTGTAGTTGATTATATAGTGTGAGAATTTGTTGTTTATACTAGGTATTTATTGCGTATGCGTTCCTGATATATGTTTCTGAGTAATATCCCTGGACACTACTCAGAAACATATATTAGGAATATTTATAACAGATATGAAAAAATTACTTTTATATCCTGTCTTATATCATTAAGTTAAAAATAAGAAGATCTATTGAATATACAAAGAAATCTTTTTCATAAAACAAAATTGTAAAGAAACTCAATCCTTTTTTATCTAATTATTATGAAATATATAATTCTAAAAATAAATACCAAAGTATATACTCATATAAATACTGAAAGTTTTATTGCGTTCAGAGAATACTTTTCAAAGACCATTATACGTTACGTATAGTATTGTATGTTCATGGTGACTACGTTGACTCATTAACTTTAAGAAAGAATCAGAATTTTTGTAGTCATGTATAAGCATTTGAAAAGAATAAGAGCTGAGTTGTCAGTTTTTCTAAGCTCGAAAGAACTCCGAACTGAGGGTACATTTGACTTATCATAAGAGCCTGTAATAGACCTTCATGAATAAAGATATTTTGATTTGATTTGACTAGTAAAGCCTTAATGTAGAACATTAACAACATTAGTTAGCAGTTGTAACAGATTTAATAATCCACAGATAATTATAGATTTTTGTAGTATGGCAGTAATAATAAATATGGCTGTAACTTAACTATTTTAATTGTTTGAGTTAGCTAATGAAATAAATGTTCGAATAAAGAATTTTGATTTGATTTGACTAGTAATGTAGAATATTAACAACATTAGTTAGCAGTTGTAACAGATTTAATAATCCACAGATAATTATAGATTTTTGTAGTATGGCAGTAATAATAAATATGGCTGTAACTTAACTATTTTAATTGTTTTGAGTTGGCTAATGAAATAAATGTTTGAATAAGGATATTTTGATTGATTGATGGATATGATATATCGTCAAAGTACAATTCCAAAAAATAGTCACTTCAATTTTCTCTGAAAATACAGCATTAAAGTTTCTCCTTCCATGTTGTGTATATACACAAATTAATACATGATCAGTGATATTTTTTCATAACAACAATATCAATGTCATTAGATGGTATTGGTGGTAATCAAATCAAATCAAGTCAAACATAATTTATTGATGTAGGAAATTTTAACCGCTTATGAATGCTAGTTAGCCATGATAAAAGAATTATCTACTTAAATTATGATTTATATGTAACAATAAATGATAATAGAAAAATGATACGATTTAAATGTAATATATAACATATATAAAGAATAAATGACAATTGATAAATGAGCCCGCTACATAAATAATTATTCCAACCCAACAAGCCTTATAATAAAAAATAATTAAGATAAAAATTGTCTACAGAAAGTAATTTAATTTTAAATAGACGGTCAAGGAGATGCATTTTAGTTTAGAAATCCCATTTTAATGATTAATATTATTCATGAATTTCTTATGTCGTATTTACAACATTTTATTATAGTCATAAAACAATATTATTAGCTAAATTTAAGAACTTTAGCGGATTATTAAATAAAATAAAATTTGGTTCATTTTCACTAATAAAATATTATTTGTCCATAACGGTTTTTGAGATATCTCTGCTGCTGTTAATAGAATAGTTTCGTCCAAGTTATAAGTTCAACCTACCGGCTTTTTTTTGTTCTATTTATTGTTTAAAGGAATGAACCGACCAATTAAAAACTTAACAGAACTCTTTTTTAAATAATTCAGTATTAACTTTATGTAAAAAATAAATTGCATGTTTTTTTTTTCAGAACTTTTTCACTTAATAAATTTGTCTACAGTTCAACTTTTACTATTTTTTTTTTAATTTTACCGGACATTTTGACTATTGTTCAACTATCACCAATTTTTTTTATTATATCTATTGACAATTTTTTTGTTCTTTTTATCCTTTAAAGTTAAGGCAAAGGGAACTGCGCCCATACAGCCATGTCTGCAATGACAATTATTAATTATTTTTTTAAAGTTGACGTCTGCGCGGGTCTCGGGGTGTGGTGGGGGGGTACCTTCGTTGACAGCGCTAAGGTCAGTGGGCGGGTGGGGCCCGGGCGGCGGCGGCGGGGGCACCGCGGGCCGCTCGAGCGCGAGGCACGGGGACGACTCGGCCCACGGTCGGCTCCTACCGTCTCGGCGGCGGCCTGCGCCACCTGCGGCCGGAGACAGCGTCTCCGTGCTGCCGGGCTGCCCGTTGTCGCTGCTGCGGGACATACGGACCGTCCATTACTTATGTGATGATCGAAAGAGGGAATCACGAATCACAAGGGGGAGAGGTAGTAATGTAACATCAGATTAACTTCCATGCCGTTCCCCCTGGAAACCATAGTGGTAAATTGCATTTGTCAATTTGGGCTAACTGACCTAACATCATGATCATTTTATCATCCTCCACGGATGCCTCGCTAGCGTAAGCCATTAGCGCAGACGGGTGCAACATTCCGTTATCATCCATAAAAAAAATATATCACAATGGGGGAGAGGGTTGTAGTACGACATCACGTGTTTTTATTTTAACTCTCCAAATGTTCTAAACATATTTTATCAAAATACTAGCGGACCCAATAAACATCATCCTGTCCGGAAAACAGATTCTGTTTTCCTATCAAATGTATCTAAGTGTTTTCATACATACACATAATACACAAAATTTCATTTACATTGGTCCAACCGTTTAGTTGACAACACACATACAGAAGACATGTATATATTTAAATAAAATGGTTTTTGATGTTAAAAATTAAAATAATAAAAATAAAAAAATGTATAAAATCACAGGTTAAGTTGTTTGGCATAAGGTTTTAAACGAATTTTCCTTCCTTTATCGTAGCTTATTCTGTTGGTCGCTTTTTATGATAACCTGTTTATATAATAGAGTCAAGAAACTTTCCACAGTATGCCTTAGAAACGAAGTAGAAATATTTAAAAAAAACATGTTCGAATCTTTTATATAAACTACAGATAGTGACGTCATTACTGTTTTTATTTTATTTATTTATTTCAGGGTACTAGGTCCGTATAATAAAAACGTTATAGACTAACATACATATTAATTAATATTATAAAACTATGTAAAGGTATGATGAAATCTTTATTTATGTTTATAACATACCTAATAATTACTAGCATTATTAATAATTCAGTAAATATAGACATACTTTTAGGTAGAAGTAAATCAGAAGGGACATTACATTATCCTTATTGTATTAACCTTCAATTTAATCTCGAACAACGACCCAAACAAGTGTCTAAATAAGGAAAAATAGAATTCAAAATACAATACAATGCCTCTGGGGGGAAGGGGGCTGCTAGTAATGTGGATTGTTGACCCTATTGTTAGCAATCTACCATGTCAAGTTGACCTCCAAGCGGTTCTCCCTGGAAACCATCATGATAAATTCTTGGGGTATTTGTCAAGATAGGCAAACTGACTTTATGCTCACTTTATCATTCCACTGGTGCCCTAGCGTAAACCGTTAGCGGCGGCGGGTCAACCATACCATTATCATCCAATAAAAAAATACTAACTTATAACTTAGTAAATATAATATTTTTAGATAGAACATTGATCTTCTTGATTAAAATTATATGATTCAAGTATTATTTAGAAACAAAATCTCACCAATTACTAAAGCCGGAGTCTCCATCCATCGAGTCAGTCAAGTAAAAAGTGGAGTTGGTGATCTTCAGCGCGCTAGGTACTTCTGTATTTATGTCGACTGCCAGCGACGACGCCCGCCTGAATCTAGATTTGAACGAGAAGTAAGTCTTCCTGGACAACGTGCCGCTGTCCTTCTTGCTGTTCTCACTTGTAGGGGTCGTGGGCTTCTCCGGGGGAGGCTTGTCAGGCAGAGGTGGCGGTACATCCCCGTTACTGTGTCTCTTTTCCCCTATAACAGTCTTCAATTCCTCTTTAAAGGTCCCGTTGACTTTTATCACGGGATTTTCAGTCTTATTGAGCACGGGTTTAGTGTCGTTGAAGTTGATATTGCTGTACACTTGCTGAATCTCTGGCTTCTCACAGTTGGCATATATTGGAGTTTTCGTTTTTTTAGTTGTGTCGTATGTACCGTTTTGATTGTTGCTGAACGATTTTGTTAAAGATTTGCCATCCATTGCCACTGAAACAAGAATTTAATATAAATAGATTATTCAGAAAGGTATCGTTAATTTCGACATGTATAGCATGATCCGATATGGTCTAGTGGCTAGGATACCTGGCTCTCACCCAGGAGGCTCGGGTTCGATTCCCGGTATCGGAATATTCTTTTTGTGAAATTATTTTTACATCCTAATGTTCTGTTAATAATTTGTTCATTTAAAAATGTAATAAAGTTTTATTCAAAGGAATATTTTGTACGATTATTAAAAGTAATTGATTTATTTCAGATGTTAACATTAACAATAAGTTTAATTTAATAAATATAACTACAAAATTTTAATTTTATATATTAATTAAACGTTTTTCATTGTTGTAAAGGTTTAGTACACCGATATACTTCCAATGTTCGCGGGTTCAATTCCTCGCACGGTACAAACAATTGTATTATAATGAGAATGATAGGTAGGTATTAGTTTCGGTTTTTTCTATTTACATATATTATGAATGTATTTAAAAAAATATATATCCCATAACACAAGCTCTGCTTATCTTGGGACTAGATAGCGCTGTGTGAATTGTTCAGGAATACATATTTTTTATATCATTATTACATATACATACGTATATAAGTTGCCAACCAGCAATAACTTGGTTTTGCTATGGCCGTTACTGATTTTAAATAGCAATAAGTTTGTGTAATTTGTGAACATTTTATTCTATTTGCTTACCGTTATATCTCTTGGTAAGGTTGCGTTTTATCTCCCTCATCTTCCGCTGGGCGGCGCTGGCTATCTTGGTGAGCGTGTACTGCCCTCTCTCGGTCGGCGGTGACGGCAACCGCGACGACGGTAGCATCGGCGGCGCTTGTGCACTCTGTAATAATAGTTATTATTATACTAATTAAATTGAAAAAATATATAAACTTTCTTTCTAAAAACTTGAACACATTTTAGACATCTTTCTACTTGACTTCCATTCTGAAGAACCTTTTTTATTTTCTATTTTCATAATATCCTTATGTAACATACATACAAAAAAATCTGTCTAAGTCTTCTGTTTAAGTCTTTTTATTTTATATTATTCATTTACTCTTGTGGACGGACTTTAAAATAACAGTAGGCATTAGGGACATTCTGTATAAAAATATATTATATTTGTAAATATTTTTAATCGGTTTTATTAATTATAATTATTAAATATATAATATATTTTTTTCTAATCTTAATTTATGGCCTCTCTGATCTGTTCTTAATTTTTATAGATTATCACCACTTAGTCCTATTTTTTTAAGAACATGCCAAAAAAAAAATCTATGACAATATATCGATTATGAATGAATCGATATTTCGTTATATTTCAGTCAATTGTAATAAATGATAATCGATTATATTTCCACAGCTATAGTTGGCACAAATAAATAATAATCGATTATAATTACACAGCCGTAGCTGGCACGTACCTTATGAGCATCGTGGTCGTCATCGGAATCGCTGTCGAATGAGTCGAAGTCGTCATCGAGGGGCAGCGGTGTGGGTGCCGACGCGGACTGTGCTACTAGTGGCGGCTCCAGGCTCTCATACAGATGGCCGGAGTCACTACTGTCGCAGTCTGGACAATACGAAAAAAAAATAACGTTTTTTTTTTAAAACCAATTTAAATACAACAATACAGTGCTAGGATGACCTAGTAAGTAGCAATTCCTGTATCAGATATATCCCGCTCTTCCATATGCATTACCATATATATGTGTTTAAAAAGAGAATATCAAAAACTTTAATAATTATTATTTTATAACATGTCAGGACAATTATCACAGCGCCATCTATTCTCAAGCTAAGTAGAGCTTGTATTATGGGTACTAGACAACTGATATAAATATTTTTTTTTATAAATATATAATCATTAGTTTTACAATTGATGTAGTTTATATACCCAAGTCAGTGTAATACTCATGTGAAGATAATTCTAATCCTACATTATTGATGACGACAACATTATATCATTTTATAATACATATAAAATATATATTTTATATTATAAATGAAGCGAATGGACCCAATGACGAATACCGTCCATATATGCAACTGAGTGAGTAAGACAACAATTGCGTTATATTTGTCGTGGTTACTTGGCTGCACAATAATTCGACAGCTTTAAACGCGATTTTTCCGTTTTACGAAACCTGGCTTGACCTTCTAAACCGGACTGTATATTGATTTCCTTTGCCTCTGTGTGACGAGGAATAGAATAAAAATAATCAATACATGAAACGATTCGAGTTCTATTTGATATTGACTACGTATATACTATTTACATGAAATAAATTTATTTCTATAGATATCATTCACACACGTACTACGGATATTGTTAAATCTGTGATTACTAAATATACTTTCATATGAATTTAATGAAAAGCTGTTAATTTTAAATTACAAACAGACACTTCAGTTTTATTTATTTCTATAGATATCATTCACACACGTACTACAGATATTGTTAAATCTGTGATTACTAAATATACTTTCATATGAATTTAATGAAAAGCTGTTAATTTTAAATTACAAAACAGACAATTCAGTTTTATTTATTTCTATAGATATCATTCACACACGTACTACGGATATTGTTAAATCTGTGATTACTAAATATCCTTTCAATTAATTGCCGTGAGAGCTAAAATTGTGGCATTAATAATTGTATGTCGATGAACAAAAAACATTACAAAACGTATAGTAACAAAACATCATATAAAATATACTTTAGGCATTGTCATTATATATTGGCTAATGTATTGTTTATTTATATATAACTAGCGGTCCCGGTAAACGTTTTTTTGCCATATATATTAATAGCGCTATTATAAAATAGGGGCTGATGGTAGACGGATGAAAATTACGTTTGTGTCTGTTTTTTTTAATGCTTCGGCATTAAAAAATGCATATATAAATATTATGTCTAAAAAAATATTTTTTTGATATTAACCATTTTTATCACTTAGGGGTATAAAAATAGATAATATATTTACGGACCTAAGGAGTACACATATATAATTACATCAAAATGGATTCAGTAGTTTAAGATCCCCATCGCAAACAAACAGTATGACACGATTATTTTTATCACTAGCTACCCTCCCCGGCTTCGCACGGGGTGTACATGTATTATACATACATGTAAACCAGTGAGTACTTTGATTGTTATAATGTACTTAATTGTAGAATTGTTAGAAATCAAGCATAGCTTAGCACAGTTGATATCTCCTTTATACGAACATATATAACAAAACCTTCCTCTTGAATCACTTTATCTACATATTGCTGAGAACTACATAAAAATCCATTGTGTAGTTTAAAAGATCTAACCGAACAGTCAGTGAAGGCGTCTTCACTTTATACTATATAGAGACGATTGTATACGAATGTATAATGTTACATTGCTATATCTTTAGCCAATATTGCTTGCAATATAATTATTGTGTAGTAATGAGTGACTGCCATTTCGCATTTAATTTCTGTCTACTTAAAGACTACATCGTTAAGGACTTGTAATTTATCAAGTGACTCGGTAAGACAGACACGTCATAGGCAACATTTGTGGTTTATAGCACATTATACTGATTATTTATTTAAATCTAATTGTAATTTGACAAAAAAGGTGGACTTAACGTTACTGTCTGCCAACTTTTGGAGATACAATATTACGGGTTTGACAAATTGTAAAGCATATAGATATCACTTTGTGTGTATGATTGATAATAAACTTCTAAACCTCTTGTTTTTATTCTCTCTATTCACCAAAGGTAGTCTGGAATTAATCGATTAGCACTATGACCGCCTTTTGTATGAGTTAATGTATATTTTGTATTTTAATTTTTGTAATAAAGACTATAAATTTTAAAAAAATAAAGGGAGAAAATGTGACGCAGGCGAAGTTGCACCGATTAGCTAGTATAATATAAAAAGGACACTAAATACATTGTACTTATGGTACCAAAATAAATTAATTAAAAAAAAAGTTCTTTTGTTAATTACGCAACGGATTTTAATGCAGTTTTTAGCAGTAGATAGAGTATAAATAAGAAATATATATATAATATAAAGATATATATAATAAAGAGTATAAATTGAAAAAAATGCTTTATTTATATAAAAACACCAAAATAATTAAAATAGTAATTATACATGAACCGATACTCATGCGATAAAAAAAAGCATTTCTTTCAATTTGCACTCTTTATTGCACAAACTGTTTATTACATAAACCTTCCTGTTGAATCACTCTATCTATTGCTAAAAACTGCATTAAAATCCGTTGCGTAATTAACAGATAGCGAAGGACAGAACTTTTAATGTGTGTAAGTGTGTGAAATTTCATACCCCTCAGTTCGCGCAATTTTCATAAAGTACCAAATTTTTGATTGTATTAATATAATGATATATTTTATATCACAGCGTAATGGACAGTTAATAATCAAACATGTTACCATGAAATTCTTTTACAGTTGACGGTAATATCTTCTAAAGTAAACTGCGCAATGGATAGTAACAATAAAAAATGTCACCAAGAAAATGTTTTGGAGTTGGTACGGTAATATCAGCTCGTGCTTTTAGTTGGTCAAGCAAACAATAGTGAAGGCATATGCACGTCGGCTGCAACAGACAGATGTCAAGGCTGCCCGCCCTATGTTACATAACACTCACCTGCCTATGCCGGTAAAAATGAGGCAATGTACTCGAACACGCTCCCGTACTGCGAGTTTCACAAGTGTGATGACCGCTGTACATGCAGTTATAACGACTACTAATTTTTTATACACGTCTTATGAAATTATGTTTCATTGACGTTTCTCTTTAAAACTTTCCCACATCTCTCAAGCTATTCCTAAGGAGTATAAGAATAAGTTTTTGCGACAGCTCTTCAATATTCTTTATTGTAAAGCATGCGTGATTACATAAAGAGATGTTAGGTTATAATTATGTATGCTGTCTAGGCTGTCGGACATTCGGACATGTCGGACAATTCATACTGATATGTTTGACATGTTTAGCCTATATAGCATACAAACTACATAAAAGCTACATAAATCTTTAAATCAAATATCAATGATATTTCTCGAATTATTATAATGGTAACTCCTTTCTAATCAGTAACTCAGGGAGCAACTCTAAATTCCAGTCGCCTTAGGTTTATTCTAAAAAAAATGGCTTTGACTGCAGTTGGCTTTTACCATGAGAATCTTGGTGAATTTGTCACGATAGGCTAACTGACTTGACCTCATATTCATTTTATCATCCTCCACTGGTGCCTCGCTAGCGTAAACTGTTAGCGCAGGCGGGTACACCATTTCATTGTTATCAATTAAAAAAAACATTGCTATTACATTCTGGCTCAGACTTCACACAAGCTTCTACACAATAGAATTTATAATATACAGCACAGTACCATATGACTCAAAGTAGTTTTTTTGTTAAGATATATGGGCTATTGTCAGGTGTATATGAACCTGTAGTACTGTACCATTGTACTCCTGTTTAGAGTTCGCTATGAACTCTACAACAATTATTCCCCTCTGTAGGCAAACTCTGACTTGCCTATTGTACACAAAGGTTTTCCAAAAAAACGATTTCTTTCCTATTAACCAATTACTTAATGCGTCATTCGCCACATCATATTACTTAATACGCAATGGTTATTAAATCGAAATGATTAGAAAAACATTAAATTGAGGTATAAATTGCAGATATCAATGTATGAAACGGTCATTAGACTATTACACTTATAACGATATCAAGTGCATAGTCGTACTTTTGTTGGTTAGACTCTAAGATCGATAAACCTTGAAAGTCTTCTATACAAAGATAATAATAGAACCTGTTTGGGTATGAATTGATACTGTGCATTGAAACATGTTTTGTATAAGTTTTTAACTGGACTGTTCAATAATATTACTTTAACTTACTTAGCAATTAAACACACTGCTGGCGACCGAAAGCCGCAAATCCAATGATATTTTTATTATTTTAAAATTAATATTTTTAGAATTGTTCTTTTTACACGCTATGTATTTGATATATTTGTCTTATTATCTTACTAGTTGTTTTCAATTGCAGATATACATTGATATCTACATTTCATACCTCAATTTAATGAAACGGTCATTAGACTATTACACTTACAACGATATCAAGTGCATGGTCGACTTTTGTTAGTTAGACTCTAAGATCGATAAACCTCGAAAGCCTTTTAAAGAAAGATAATAATAGATTCTGTTTGGATATTAATAATTGATAATGTGCATTGAAACCATTTTGTATAAGTTCCGTAACTGGAGTATTTTTATTTTTCTTGTAACTTAAAATAATACATGAATATAAAATTAAATCAGAATATGTTAAGGATAAAAATTACAACTACTGAAATCTAAAATAGTAATTTGTTTGTAAATTAATTGTAAATTAATAGTAATACCTATTAATTTGTCGGTTTCGATGGTTTAGCGATTAGGCACACTATTTTAGATTTCAGTAGTTGTAATTTTAATCTTTAACATATTCTGATTTAATTTTATATTCATGTATTATTTTAAGTTACAAGAAAAATAAAAATAA